CCGAAAACACTGGAACATGGAAGTGGCTGTACGGTCCAGATGAAAGTGAGAATATTCGGAATACAGAAAAGTGGAGAAATTATCGCCCGCTGAAGAAACACCAGCTTACCTCTGAGAATGCTTACGATATTGTTGTGATCGTTCGATATCAAAGCGCTGTCATTGCTACCCTCGTTCTCAGAGTCGTGCGTTGTGATCAGCTAAATTCCAAGTCGGGTATTCGGAGAACCGCATCGCAACGACCGATAGGACAGAACCATGCTGCTTTCATCCGTGCATTGACCGTCGCATATCGGTACAGGTACCTTGGACTTGGAGGTGCTCTTCTTCGTGTTGCTGTTATGATGCGTGAAGAAAACAACTGGAAATCAATCGAATTCGCTGATCGACACGCAATGTCGCCGCAGGTGCTCCCTAAGCACTTCATCTTCTCTTCTAGCGGGTTGGCCAGGGCATGGGTGGATCGTCTTCGGGATATAGTTTTAGAGTACCAAAAAGGTTCTGGCGAATTTCCTTGGCTCCTGGATGAGGACCATAAGGCCCGCGATGGAAAGTTGCCCCCGTATCTACAGCTCGACGTTCAATTTGAGAAATTGAAAGCGACGCAGATTTCGGGGGAGATGTTGTTGTCGTATTCCAACTATCCTAATGAGCACTGGTGAAGACTTCCAAGTGCTCTTGAAGAATACTGCTTACTGTTCTGATGAGTCCCTAGCTGTTCAGACGGGGAAAAAATGTATCAACGTTCCAAAATCCATTCAATGCTCGCTCTTTTGTTTCGTGCTATTTCTTCTAGAAACTTCACTGCTTTCTGAATCGCTTCAAGTCCCTCGACATAGTTTCCGAATAATGCAACCCCAAGTGTCGTGACAAACTCATGCTCAGCTTTGTCAATATGACGGTTATAGTAGCCACGTTTTAGCTAAATTCGATACGATACACTCTTAAAATACGATTATACTAATTTATATACCTTCGTATTCGTCTTATCCTTTCGTGACTCTTAATATCGGCTATTTTACGGTGTCAAAAAAGCATATTCCTATCTAGTAGATTCGTAGATAAAGCTTAGTATAAGTCGAATCAATAAATACGACTTTCTTATAGCTTATCCTTAGGTACACCATCGCGGTCTATCAGCGTAATATTCCTATTATGGTTACTTCTTTGCCCGGTCGGGTTATTGGTGCTTTGGTCTTTTATAGGAAAAGTGGGGCTTGGGGCAAGGCTGCTGTTTGGGAGGCTTCTATGTGGGTTTTGAGTGGTACTGCGCTTGTTTGGGAATTGTATTTATACGTGGAGGGGTCTGGGGAGGGAGTCAGTACTACAGCTATATATAATATTCAATGTTTTATCCCATTCCATAAGTGTTTACGTGGATGAACGAATTGAGTGATTCCGGATACTAGCAGTGTGCTAATGCCAAGGGAGAAATAGATGCTTAATATTCATCCTTAGAGCAAGCAACATGCATCGACGTGGATACCACCGACGTCGTCCAAGCATTTCCAAAACCAAAGGAGCCAATAAAACAGCCTCAAAAGGAGCCGAATACCCGGCAAGCCAGAAAAGAACGTGTAAGCAACGCCCGCCAAGATACACCAGACCATAACGCGACCGACCATTTTCCGACCCCCCAAATCCCCGGACCAGCTTTTCTGGCTCAATACTGGGAAACTGGAGAAAGGCGACCCTTAACATCAAGACCCCCTTTTATCCATGTCCCGCAAACACCACACCACAACCGGCTAATCCGCTGCTGACGTTGGTCGTGTGGTTGTTGTGTAGGCTTGCCGGCAATAGGACGACCCGTCCGGAGCCGATTCGCGGAAGCTTGAACTTGGCTGCGGGAGGGGCAGCGTGGCGTGTGGATAGGGACAGGGGGTTATCAGGCTAAACCGGGTGAATTCAGCCCGTGGCTTGGGGGTGGGGATTTTGGGCTGGTTTGGGCTGGTTAAATCGGGTGTTTTGGGTTGTGGCTTGGGGTTACTTCTGAAGGCATGTGCGCACCTATATTATATACAACCTTGACATTATTTCAGGGAATATGATATGGCAAATAAAGAGAGTGACGGATGGATGAAGCATCTCCAGATTTCGAAACGCGCGGGGTCCGGGGGTCTCCATATGGAGAGTGTGGGGCTAATCCTTCTCTTGTCCGAGTTGATGTCAAGAGAATACCCGATGTTAAGCCGGTTGAATGGTTTGGTGAAGCAATTCGCATGGGATGACCGTTCTGGATGTTGGATCGAATCGCGAGATCCAGCCAGCATACTTTCAAGCCACACTGTGTGTATACGGTGCAGCACTTCCATTTAGCCAGCCGTGTCTCGGCCTCTAAATATCCACGGCTAAATCCCTGACTCGCATCGCGCACGGCCCATCGATGTTGCAACTGTTGTGCCGTCTCATCGAAAGGCCGGGTGGTCGGGCCACGCCTAAGAACGAACGCGCCACGAAGCTTAGTCGCCAATGGGCTGATACCTCCATTTTGTTTTCCCCATGGGGCTAAGGTCCCGGGGATAGTTGGCCCTCATTATCCGTAGTACCCGGTCGAATAAATAACATGCAGATACCCTTGTAGAGAACGTGCAGGCATTTATTTTCTGCTTCTTTGTCGCACCCGATCCGAGTCCGTTTTCCCACCTGGCGTGGATATTATCCTGTTTCACATAACTTTGTCGGCCTTTTGATTCATCATGGCTCCCCTTCCTCAGGGCGAGTCGGCCATCTCGGCCAAGCGCGCTGAGCTGTCCGGAAAGGGCGGCTTCAAGGGTCTTATCAGCAACAAGAAGACTACCTCTATTGGGCTCTTCGCGTCACTGGGTGGTTTGGTGTATGGATGTAAGTAGATGATGCTTTGGTCACAGAGTTGGGAATAGTATCTGACCGCGATCCAGACAACCAGGGAATGTTCGCCCAGGTTTTGACAATGAAGTCGTTCCAGATAGCTGTACGTCAATTCCTGGATTTGCAGCACTGCATCTGCTAACAGAAGTTTCTCGCGCAGACCCATAACTATGCTGCACAAACGGGTATCGAGCAGGGAATGTTGACATCTATTTTGGAACTTGGTGCCTGGGTGGGAACCCTGTTCAACGGATACCTCGCCGACGCACTGGGCCGTCGTGTTACAGTTCTCGTCGCCGTGGTGGTATTCTGCATCGGTGTCATTGTTCAAGCGTGCACGGTAAACAAGGACTTCGTCCTCGGTGGTCGATTTGTGACTGGCCTGGGCGTTGGTAGCTTGAGTATGATTGTACCGCTGTACAATGCCGAGTTAGTGAGTAGGCCTTGGGAATCACGGAATCGAAAGCGAAAGCTGACAACTGGAAGGCACCACCAGAAATCCGAGGATCCCTCGTCGCCGTGCAGCAACTCGCCATCACCTTTGGAATTATGATCAGCTTCTGGGTATGTATAATGACAACCTCTCTCGTGAGATCTTCAGCCCTGACGTCTCCAGATCGGTTATGGAACAAATTATATTGGCGGAACTGGTGAAACACAATCAGATGCTGCATGGCTGGTCCCAGTCTGCATCCAGATCCTCCCAGCTCTCGTCCTGGCTGCTGGTATGATGATGTTCATGCCCCAGTCGCCGCGTCACCTGATGAATACCGGCCGCGAGGAAGAGTGCCTTACGACCCTGGCTCGCTTGCGTGGCACATCTGAGGATGATCTCCTTGTTCGAATTGAACATCTTGAGATCAAGAGTTTGTATCTGTTTGAACGGGAGGTAGCTGCTGAGAAGTACCCCAATTATCAGGATGGGTCCTTCTCTAGTCGTTTCAAGATCGGTTTCTATGACTACCTTTCCTTGGTCACTAATAAGTCGCTCTTTAAGCGTACTGCTACTGCCGTATGTTTACCCTTCAACGTGGATATTCCTCGACTCTTGCTGATGATATCTCAGTGCATGATCATGGTGTTTCAACAATGGAATGGTAGGAAAACCAAGGCTCTCCTCTATGAACTTGTTACTGATATCATATCGTTTAGGCATCAACGCTATCAACTATTACGCGTAAGTCCTTGGCGATCGAAAGATGGGACGGGACACCCTGGATCCCACATTCCCTGAAGAATGATAGTGCAGCAGTGCTAACGTCTTGGAGACCCTATATCTTCAAAGATATGGGTCTAGGAGGCAATACCGTTTCGCTACTTGCAACAGGTGTAGTTGGCATCGTGGAATTCCTCTTCACAATCCCTGCCGTCCTTTGGGTCGATCAGATTGGACGTAAAAAGATCCTCATCGCTGGCGCGATCGGAATGGCCTCGTGTCACTTTATCGTCGCCGGTATCATTGGAGCCTACCAGCACTCATTTGACTCGCATAAAGCTGCTGGCTGGGTTGCGATAGTCTTCGTTTGGATTTTCGTCATCAACTTTGCCTATTCCTGGGGTATGTCTGGATCTCTTCGCTGCGGTGGAACATTGCTGACCCCGTTATCTCACCGCAGGACCTGTCGCGTGGATTGTCACTTCTGAGGTATTCCCGCTCAGCATGCGTGCCAAGGGTGTTAGTATTGGTGGAAGCAGTAACTGGGTAAGTTGCACAGCATATGCAAATGTTCGTCGGAGCTAACGGTGTACCCCATAGTTGAACAACTTCGCCGTTGGTACCGCTACATCTCCATTCCTGGAGAAGAGTAACTTTGGTGCATTCATTTTCTTTGGATGCATCACTAGTATTGCTGTGGTGTACGTCATTTTCTTGGTTCCCGAGACCAAAGGTCGAACTCTTGAGGAGATGGACGAATTATTCGGGTCGACTGGTATGGCGGCTGCGGATAACGAACGCAAGGTTCGGATCGAGAGGGAAATTGGCCTCCTTGCTCTCGTGGGCATGGAGCCTGCAGACGAGAAGCGCGAGATCGCAGAGAGCAGGGCGGAGTTCTCAAACCACGAAGAAAATGTCGTCACCGACTTGAAGAATTGAGCGGCCGTCAAAGTTTTATACTGGCCGTGTCAATTACTCAGTAGGGCTGATCGACATGTTCGCTCTCGAAACCGGAAACCGAACGCTGTCAAGGGTTGATCGACAGTAAGTCGACATGATACCCGCATAAATAGTTGTGCTATACATCTGGACTCTCAATCTTAGCCGGTTATACTTTATGTGAGGTACTACCCCCTGACTATTCCTTTGTACATGCATGATACATATCACATGCGATCGTATAATGATCTGTCAGACCACAAAACAGTCATGCTAGGCAAACCTTTTCCGGGGTCACTTTCTATGTATAGCAGTGGAGACTGGGCTCGCTCCGACCAGTCACATCGATCGTCAGGCACTATTGTCTTACTTGAACCTGCGATAGATTAACTCTGGATCCTGGCAATTTGTTTGTTTCGATTCTTTTTATTCAAGCCATCCCATCATCCCGATTTTCTTTTTCTTCCACCTACTTAAACCCAGTTTCTCAAACTATCACCTCAACTCCACCTGCATCCACATCCACACCTACAACCAAAATGTCTACCACCACAACCTCAGTCAGCGCAACCAACACTGCCAGCTGCGGCGGCAGCGTCTGGCAAATCCCAACAACAGACGCCGCCTGCGCCGCCATCATCAGCGGCAACGTCACCGACGTGATGGACCAGTGCTGCAAGGACGCTTCCCCCGCAAGTACGACAACGACTGCGGCATCTACTGTCTCGCCCAAGGCCAGGATATCGGCACCCTCCAGTCCTGCATTACCAGCAAGAGCGGCAACTACCACGACGTCTTCTGTAACACTTCTCGACAGAATGCGACCGCCACTTCTGCTGCCACTAAGGCTTCTTCTACATCCTCTGGCACTACCGGTACTTCGACTTCGACTTCGACTCACAATGCTGCTGTTGCGAACCAGCCCGTGTCCAAGTCTGGGCTTGGCCTCGTGGCTTTGATGTTTGGGTCGGCTTTCATGGCAGCATTTTCTTAAATTAGTTTTGTCTTCGATGGCTTTGGATGACTTACGATGATTTTTCATGAGCGGGCCAACGACCGAGCTTCACATCCTGTGGGCTTGGCTTTATCTTTTTGGTGTATAACTAGCATTGCGCATACATACTGAATTGTTACTGGGTATCAGTAGTATTTTTCACCTGGCACTAATCGTCCAAATTTGTAGAAGATCATCAAGGCATTGGCCAATGAACGTTTTGGATATTTCCAAGGTTGAGCCTCCTGAATCCGGGGAACGCTTGTATAAATTGCGACTTTGGAGAGAACTTCTCTTTGCCGAACTTCAAGTATCAGTGTACTTTGTACTTTTCCTGTTGGTTGAAGATTAATAACCAAAGCGGTACCTTCACAGCATGAAAACGCCAGATTTCGCCCGAAGTCGCCTAAAGTGTTTGAAGTAGGCTATTCAATACAATATAATTCATAATAAATGTACGGGATCATCGATAAATCCAAATTTGTCAGTGTTGAAACTCAGCGAAGGAAAAGGAATATCTGGAGACCCAGTGACGTCATGAATCCCCGCTGTGCTTACAGATCACACAATTCAGCTTTGCGAACCCCCAGGCCATCCAAGCAAAGAATCACTTGTAAAAAAACAAAAATCTGAACGAAATATGGCTACACAAACTGTCATCGCAACCGGCACATCGTCGGGCCTAGTAAGGACCCTACTCAGCAATCAATCAGCCAACCTCTTAACCAAATTCCACGACAGGGATTCGAAGCTATCAAACAGCTCCTGGAACAGACGCAGCAGTCTTATAACTTCATCCTTGGTGCCCGGGACACGGCAGGAACTCGGGCCGCATATGATGCCTTGAAGTTCGACACTGCAAAGCACTCTGTTGCTATCTTGCCCCTCGATCTCTCTGACCTGCGTAGTGTTCAATCATTTGCGAAGCAAGCTCTGAGTCAGTTGGGCCAGAAGAAGCTGGACTCTCTGTTGCTTGTTGCTGGCATGCTGAACAGTGCTGAAGGGCCTGGTCCTCATGGTTCACAGTGGTGTGAATCATATGTGGTGAACCACTTGGGTATGTTGCTCTTCGAACTATCATCCGCGGTTCGTTACAACGGTTGAACTCCTGCTAACTTACAAAAAAAATGCAGCCCAGCACTATTTGGTTCATCTGCTGGCTGACGCCCTGGCTGCCTCGCAATCGCGCCTTGTTATTGTATCTTCCGGTGCAATCCGTGGCGTGAGAGGAAACGATCCCTGTAAGTCAAGCCCAAGATCCCCAAATTCCTCAGCTGAGAGCAAATATTAATGGCGGATTTTCTTTTCCAGCCACACTCGACGTAGATCTAAGAGCAGGCTCTGGTGCAAGCGCACGAGTAGTCTACAGTGCCTCAAAGTTCGCCCAGCTCCTAGGCGCCCACTACTGGCGTCGCCAGCTTCCAACCTGCACGGTTGTAGCTGTATCACCCGGTCTGATTCCCGACACCAAGCTTGCGCAACACCCAAGCTTAGGATTGACCATGGACATGCCCGATGCCAAGAGCGTGCCAGAGGGTAAGAGAATGCGAATCTGAATTGCTGGGTTGATACAAAATAACTAACTGTTTACAGGAGCCCAAAATATTCTCCGCGCTCTCAAGACTCAGGATCTGCCCAGTGATCCTCAGCAGATCTTTCTGACGAGCTGGGGTGAGTGGTGGCCGACGGATGTTTATGCCACCAGTCTTGATCCTGCTTTGCAGGATAAATGGTGCTTGAGTAAGGCGGATATTGAGAAGACCGAACCTGTCTTCAAGGAGTAAAGCTGCATCACAAACATTTGATCCGCTCAGACACTTCGATAGTTGTGCAGTTCGTTCAGATCGGACCTAAAAGTAACTAAAACCAGCCACCTAAACATACACAATGATTCAATCTTGAAACTTAACCCATTTTTCCGTCACACTATATCCCAGCGAATCAACGTTTCCTTCGGCGGAAGATCTACGGTTGTTGCATCTCCTGGCTTCCGGTTAGGGTAATTCTCCGGTGACAACTCCGCGTGTAAAACAATATGAACCCCGCAAATGAAGGTAACCCCGAAATAAATGACGCAAGATATAAACAATGCCCCTCCAGTTAATACTGTAGAGAGACAAGGCTGAATAGAACAATGTTGCTCAACATACTATCACTGGCCTTGCTGCCTTTCGGTATCAATGCCGCCATATTGAAGACCCGACTTGATGATGGAGTAGCAGGTACACCTCCAATGGGGTCAGTACCTAGCTGGATTAATTGTATTTGAAATAGCTAAACTAACACCACCGCAGATGGAACACCTACAACCACTATTCGTGTTCCCCGAATGAGAAAATTGTACGCTCAAACGCGAAAGCCTTGGTTGATCTCGGCTTGGAGAAACTCGGTTATCGCTACGTGACAACTGATTGCGGGTGGACGGTTGCTGATCGCTTAGCAAATGGATCTTTAACTTGGAATGAAACGCTGTTTCCAAGTGGATTTCCTGCTCTTGGAGAGTACATCCATGACTTGGGTTTGCTATTTGGTGTCTATGAGGATGCAGGTATTAAAACATGTACAACGGGAATTGAGCAGGCTGGCAGTCTGGGTATGCATATTCCAGGCTAATTCTAAGTTCTCTGGACCTCGCTAATGCCACTGTGCAGATCATGAGGAACAGGATGCTGCGACTTTCATGTCCTGGAATGTCGACTCGCTGAAATGTATAGGATCAGTACTTTACAAACAACGTCCGATAGACTGACCGTGGAGTAGATGACAACTGTTATTCTGACGAAGCCACTGGATACCCAAACACAAACTACGCGCCTAGCATTTCGCCGCGTCTCAGGTACGCAAACATGACGAAAGCGCTGGCTGCCCAGAGCCGAAAAGTCCTCTTCCAAATCTGCGAATGGGGTCTCGACTTTCCCGCGCTCTGGGCACCATCCCTGGGTCACACATGGCGTATCGGCAACGACATCATTCCAGCATGGCGAAGTATCTTCCGAACACTCAACCAAGCAGTACCGCAGACATCCTTCGCAGGACGTGGCCAATGGCCCGACCTCGATATGCTGGAAGTTGGAAACAACGTTTTCACAACACCTGAAGAGCAAACCCACTTCTCAATGTGGGCTATTCTGAAAAGCCCGCTCGTGATTGGGGCTGCGTTGAAGGATGAATTGACGCAGATCAGCGATGCCTCGCTTTCGGTTCTCTCGAACAAAGATGTTATTGCCTTCAACCAGGATTCTCTTGGCCAAAGTGCGAGTCTTCGGCGTCGTTGGACGGAACAGGCATATGAGGTGTGGAGTGGGCCCTTGTCCGGAGGCAGAACTGTTGTTGCGTTGATTAACTGGGCCAATGAAGCGCGGGATTTGACCTTGAATCTCCCGGATGTTGGTCTTCAGACTGCAGGAACTGCGAAGGATGTCTGGAAAGGCAAGACCGTCAGCAATGTGAAGACATCCTATTCGAGCTCCGTTGAGGCTCACGGTGTGATGCTTCTGGAGTTGCGTGATACTACCCCAGCGGGCGTGTACCCAAGCTCGAAATTTGGAACTCGGAACGGGTGAGTAGCTGCACTGCGCCGAAGTTGCAGCTTTGACACTGTTAGCTTGGTATTATTTACTGATTTCAGCAACTATAGCAACAAAATTACGTTCAATTCCATCTACGCGAACACGACTAGCGCCAATCATACTGTCTCTATCGTGTTTTCTAGTCCAGCAACTACGACTGGAAGCCTTCAATTACAGTCATCTTCAGATACTAAATCAATCAGCATTCCAGTCGGCAAGTCTGCCAAAAGCGTCTCCTCACCACTTTCTCTTGTGGCTGGTTCATCCAACGAGATTACAATTCAATCCACCATTTCAATCGATTCCATTCGCATCGAATCTCCGTCCAGCACATACTACCCATGTACTTCATTTACCCTGAGCGGTTCCGCGGCTCTTGCAAAATGTGGTACAGGATTCTGTCTTCCGGTCGGATCCAAGATTGGATACATCGACGGAAAATCGACCGCTCGCGCCAGCGTCCACGCAACTGTATCTTCACTCGGCACCGCCAGCGCAACCTCGAAATATCTGGAAGTTGACTTCATCAACAATGACATTGCTCTGGCGACTAGTTGGGGCTTCGGGTCGAACACCAGAAACATGACAATCACTCTGAACGGTGGAGACCCCGTCCGACTCGAAGTCCCTTTGACTGGTCGTCACAGTGAGCTGTTTGGACCGGGGTTAGGTTGGTGGGATAGCTCGACACTGGGGATCGTAGTTGACGGTTGGAAGAATGGTGATAACGAGGTAATCATTGGCAATGTGGCGGCTGGGAATGTGTTCCAGTCTTATGGTGCGGACTTCGTGGGTCTTCGGCTTTATAATTGATGATCTCGTGCCGGATAGTTGGCACTTTCTGGATTCAACAGCTTCATAAGCAAACGCAGCATCAGAAACTACATCTTGATCGATCGTATATCTTCCGAAATCGAAGATAAAATTGAGACACACCGGTGGGCTCACGCTCCCTCAAGGCTGCTTATAATTCAGTCATGTTCCCTACAGCAACAATAAATTTCATACAGCTTTTTACGGGATCCCAAGCAAAAAAAAATATGAAATTCGCGTTCAACGAGTCCAACGTGTGTCTCAATAAGCGTGTAGCAGATTTATATGTCCCAGACCTTAAGACCAAGCGTTCAGAGCTTTGCTGTCTTGCTTCTGGCCTTCTGCTTCTCCTCCCATATCTTCAGTGTATGCTGCGATTCTGCAGCCCGCCTGACCAAGGAAGCATGTAGTTCACTGTATTCTCCACCTTCCTCGATTATATTGACTTTTTTCTGTGTCTTCTGGTTGACGAAAACAATCCAGGAGTTGACTTCGCAGACCAGGGTATTCTGGGACACGGACCAGATCGAATAAATAACGAAAAACCTGTCTGATTGAACTTCTGCAATCCGAATCCCTGAAATAAGCTACTTAGGTCATGATAGCATATTAGTCCGTGTTCAACTGCGGTTTCAGGGAGAGTGGATAGAAATATAACTTACCAGGTCAGGGTATTTGACCATTCGCTTTCCTGCTTGGTTCAATCTATTCGTCATGACACTTATTCCACGGCCCGCCATGAAATCGGGGTATCTGTCTTTCAGCTGCTCCTGGAAAGACTCTAGGAGGCGAGTGAAGGACTTCGCGCCGATATGTGGATAGGTTTGAGCCATGACGTGTCCAAATGGATCCTGATCTTCACCCCAGGATATGCCATACTCAGCCAATGTAGGACGGTCGATTCCTCTTTCAATCATTGCTTGAACTGTTTTCTCGCGGAGCAGAGAGTACGACCCGTTTTGATCTGGGCTTTGGTAGGATGAGGCATCTAGTGCAGACATGAATGGTGCCATGATCACTTTGCACAAGAAATGGCAGGGTTTCGCTAAAGGTAATACTTTGAGGTGTGTCGGTTGTGCTTTATATATCTGCTAGTAAGTCCTAGAAAAGGAAGAGTAGTAATGCCGAATTGTATACTGTCTATGTCTACTTTATGTGTGTCTATCATAACCATATAAACGCCTATACCGAGGCTAGTAAAAGCAGTAATAAATACATTTATTTTGCTAGATATTGACATACACAGATCGGTTACATCATTAAAAAGAGGGAATACGGTTAGATTTTGCCCTTGTGTTACCACACTCAATGGTAGGTCCATATTATTTAATGATTGTGTAACCAAGTACATGTCACACTAGGCCCAAGAGCGAGCAGGAAAGTTTAATCTCCGGATTAAGGACCTATCTACTACCATTTCAAGCTTTCTACGGCTGTATTTAGATCAAAAGGTATATGGTAAGCAAATTTATAACGCCGCAATTGGCTGGGGGATCCCTTCCTTGTCGATCCTATGCGAAAAAGGAGGTAGAGTGTCATAACATTGCGGAAGCAATTGAGGAGAAAGGGTTACCATCAACCCCTCGGATTTACGCAGTCCACTTGCTATCACCTTGGCGGGTGTGGAGTATTCTGACGATATCCTATCTATCTCAAATTCGGCTATTCGAGGTGCGACCGCCACATCCAACCCAGCAGCGGTTGCCTCATTTTTCCATTATATCTGCACCGCTGTTTTGGAAGGGTTATTCGCCAACGGATCGTCGCATTGAATACCGTGAATACAGGTACGAAGAAGCGCGACTATGGAGTTTTGGCGCGTAGAGAGTGAAGATGGATAGTGCAACCCAGATCACCGCTGGGTAGTCTCCGGGGAGATCTTGGCTTGGGACATCTTTGTGGTAACAAAGGCGATGCGAACTCACTCAAAACTAAGGGTAAGTGACAGCGACTGCCGTTCCAGTCTTATCACTAATTGAGATTCTGTTACTAGGTTCTATCGGTCTTCCTGCAGTTCGGAAGTGTATTTTTTCTTTGCATTGAACATGGTAGCGACAGAAGACTGGTGCCGTCAAAATGGGGTACCGTCTTGGCACTATCTTGGCACCAAGATGGCACTTGTTTGCTGTGCCAAGACTTCTTTTTAACTGCATAGTTAGGTAATGCATTTACCTAAATAGGTATAGCCACGGCTACCATAGCACTAGAGTTTGTTTAGTGCCGCTGCACTTGTCAAGGCCTACTCAATGGGCTGAGCGCCCTGAATCACATGGTCGAGTGAAAACAGCGTTTTTGGAAGGACTGGGAAGAAAAGCAGTTTCCGAAGGCTTGCAGTCCTCGAAACTAGGAAGGTGGGGGGAGGGGGGGGGGTTGTGTTCCGGAAGTAAGCAGCATGAGAGATGCATGAAACGGACATTTACCAAGAAATTATCGGATCTTGGTGCGGGATTTACCTTGAAATTCGCTCGGATATCAGAGTCCATTTGCCGGTGGGGAAACACGTACAATCCTTGCCAATCAGTGTCCTGATTTCGCACATGTTTCTTTGAGCCTCTACATCCTGTGGACTGGGCATGCCTATGAATCCCAGTAGACTAACTATAAACAGCATATACACGCTTGTTCCTTGTCAGATTCGTAGCTTTCCCGAGGTCCCCTAGACCATGGGGCTAACTTAGCCGATGTTCTCATCTCCAATTGCAAGTCAATACGGGGTGTCCCCACAATCAGCACTAAGATTCAAGAGGATCACCCGGGCACGCATATAAATATGAAGTCACCGGGTTGTCATAAGCCCCCCACTGCAGTAAATATTCTTCTCGGTCACTGAAACCCATTGAAAGCTTCAAATATCTACCTCCAGCCACCTTAGACCACCCAAAACCGAGGCGACAAAATCCACAATGGCTGACACATACGGTTCCTGTGACCCGGCATTCAACCGCGTCCGCGATCTTCTCCAAGAAAGACTTGTCACAGGAGACGAAGTCGGTGCCTCAATCTGTGTCAACATTGACGGAGAGAACATCCTCGATATTTGGGGCGGCCATACCGACGCCGCTAAGTCCCGCCCATGGGAAAAAGACACCTTGACCGTCGTCTGGTCATGTAGCAAAGTAGTCACTGCCCTGGCAGCTCTGACCCTCGTTGACCGCGGCCTGCTGGATGTGGAAGAGAGAGTGTCAAAGTACTGGCCGGAGTTCGCCGCGAACGGCAAGGAAGACATCAGAGTGTGGCACATCCTCAGCCACTGCTCTGGCCTTCCCCAATGGGACAAACCAATCACCATGGAGTTTATGTACGACACGGAAGCTTCGACTGCCGCGCTCGCACAGCAAGCTCCTTGGTTCAAGGCCGGTGAGGTGTCGGCCTACCAACTGGTGAACCATGGACATTTGATCGGTGAATTGGTGCGGCGTGTGAGCGGTAAGCCGTTGAAGCAGTTTATTGCCGATGAGATTGCTGGTCCGTTGGGCGCGGACTTCAGACTCGGTGTGCCGGAAGAAGACTGGCCGCGTACTGCGGATATAATTGCTCCTCCTGTGATTATGCCAGAGGGCCTCGACCCGCAAAGCGTTTTGGCCAGAGCGTTCATCAATCTTACCCCGAAGGCCGAAGACTCTATGACCCCGGGCTTCAGGGGTACTGAGGCTGGCGGCGTGAATGGGTTTGGAAATGCGCGTTCGCTCGCTCGGATTGGCTCAATTGTGTCTTTGAAAGGAACAGTCGACGGGAAGCAGTATCTTGCGCCTAAGACTATTGACCAGATGATCCAGGAACGAATTCGTGGTATCGATCTGGTGTTGTACCTGAACCTCAGAATCGGTCTTGGAGTCGGCCTTCCGGTGCCGGAGAGCGTCACCTTCATCCCCGAAGGAAATATCTGCTTCTGGGGAGGTTGGGGGGGATCTTTCCTGGTCATGGATCTAGATCGCCGGATGACCATCGCCTATGCCATGAATAAAATGGGGCCAGGCATTTTGGGCAACGAGAACTGCAAGGCTTACATCGACGCGATTTATGAAATCATGGCAACCAGGGAGCCTTCTGCATCCTTGTGATGTACATATGTATTTTTATTCTGCACAAGTTCAACAGATGATTTTAGATATATAACGAAACGAAACCCCCGAGATCGCGTCACACGGTACAACAATGTCCGAGGTAGACCGTGTGGCCTTCGCTCATTTCATTGCTATCTCCCTACCGGTTCGATCTAGATCTCCAAGAAAGCCTCGGGTCTCCGCGGCGGTAGTGGGTTCGGGTCGATCATTTCCAATTCCTCCCTCTCCAGGGTCATTGTTTCAAGGCCTCTGCGAGCGGGATCCGGGCGTACGATCCGAGGTGGTATCTTCATTTCTGGGCACGAAAAATGCCACTCCATATGGGGTGCCACCGCGGAAAAGTGTGGAATCACATCAAGCACCGCTTTCGAGCGATCACGAATCCCTTCCCGCATTTACATCTCAAGGGTGAGGAAGAAATGATTAGATTCATGGCATATCTGGTCGTGAAGATGGGAGTGAGAGAGCTGGCCAAAACAGCACTGTTGTCATCTGATATAGACATCGCCAAAACCCGCAAATGGGTTGGATTTTGGGCCGAGATGAGTAACCCGCAAACCCATATGGGGCCCCATATTGGTCGACAAATAGTGCAAATATAGGAAGACTCGTGATTGCATAATTTTTGAATCTCTAGGCTGTATTTCTTTTTTTTATCTTACAAGCAGATATTCCGCGGGATAATGCAATTGTAGGATGAGCCATCTTGTGCAAACATGGATGGTGCCATGATCACTTTGGACAAGAAGTGGCGGGGTTTCGCTGAAGGTGATACTTTGAGGTGTTAGTTATGGGTTATATATCTGCTAGTAAGTGCTAGAAAAAGGAAGAGCTGTAATGCCGAATTGCATACTGTTCACGTCTACTTTATGTGTGTCTATCATAACCATATAAACGCCTATACCGAGGCTAGTAAATGTAGTAATTTGTCATTGGATGCATTTATTTTTCTAGATATCGACACATACCGATTGATTACATCAAAAAAGTGGGAACCAGGTTAGATTTTCCCTATGTAGCCACTTATTTATTAAATGATTGTGTAACCAAGAATATGTCACACTTGGTCTAAGAGCGGGAAGGATAGTCTAATTTCCAGATCAAAAAACTATATACTACCATTTCAAGCATCTTGCTGCAATATTTAGCTGAAAACGTATGTGATAAGCAAATTTAGAACGCCGCGATTGGTTGTGGGATCGCTTCCTTGTCGATCACTTGTCGGTGCGAAATAGTGAGAGTTCTTCTTAGAAACTTCTAGAAGTAACCACCTACATTAGCAGGCGAGTGAGACTCGTTGTTCTACAAGATAGGCGTAGCAGAGGTACTGTTCATGGCACGGACACCTTGGTCTGCGGCCTATTAGAGGACGTGAAGGGCTAACGGGGAGGCACAGCCTATCATAAATGTCTGCAAACTCGATGAATTTGGAATCTACTGACATCATAGTTAAATGTCCGTAGAACCTTACTTCCTGGGCAGACTTTTGCAAACCATCCAGTCATCTGGATAGGGTTATTCGTAAATTATTTTGGGAGGGAAGAGTGGTATAAATTCTGAAATTCCTTCCATTTTCCTGCGTAGAATTAGACCTTATGGTGCATATTACATTGATATCCTCTATCTTGGACATATCTTACATTATGGGTGAACAGGATAAGCCCGGTAGGTAACGAAAAGATCTGTTGTTTCCAGTTAATAGTTACTGACATGCCCCTGTTCTAAAAAGCTCTGTACGTGCTGGATACAGGAGCCAAGAACCTGAGCAACCCATTTAAGTCGGGCCAAATCTTAACCTGTGAGGCTTCAGGGGTTAGAATGAGGGCTATAATTGAGAACCTGTCCTTGCCCGATGGCATCGGCATATCACCAACGCAGCAGCGTCTGTACTGGTCCAATATGGGAACTCCAGGAGTTAACGACGGCAGTATCATGTCCTGCAGCCTCCGAGGCAGCGATGTAGCGACAGTGGTACCAAAAGGAGGGGTACACACCCCCAAGCAAATAGCGGTCGATGACCCAAGTAGAAAGCTCTATTTCGCAGATCGCGAGGGCCTCCGAATCATGCGCTGCGACATGGACGGCTCCCACCTTGAGACCCTCATTCAGACTGGTGACTGGAAAACTCCAGAACATCAAACCGATCCTATGCGATGGTGTGTTGGCATTACAGTCTCACCGCAAACAGGAAAGTTCTTTTGGTCCCAAAAAGGAAACTCGAGAGGTCATTGTGGACGAATCTTTTGCGCAAATATCGACCCTAGCGCCGGTAATGGGCGTGACATGAGCTTACTACTACAAGGTCTTCCCGAGCCTATTGATCTTTATTTCGATGACAAAAGACTCAACCTTTACTGGACAGACAGAGGAGAGCTGCCTTTTGGGAATTCTTTGAATGAGTTGTCGTTTCACTCTTCAGTTTTGACTCCAGGTAGTCAGACCCAGCATCGGATCCTCGCACGAAACTTTCATGACCCAATCGGGCTGGTAGTTGACTCCAAGCAAAGGTGTGCCTATGTGGCCGAGCTAGGAGGAAGCGTGTACAAGTGCAATTTAGTCGGAGGTGGCAAAAAAAGGATGTATCATGATGAAGATTGGGCATTGAGTGGAATTACTAGATCCCGTTTGTGATGGGTTTCATCGTTCGTTTCAAGGTTTTCATATAGAGTACGGAACCACCATTATTACTATACGATAGTAAATGCACCCATATCTCGGCGTACGCTTCCGGAATCGCTAGCAACTGTAAAATACGCGCCTGTTTGGCCAACCTTGGAGAGTACTTTCACCGGAACGAGATCTCGTTGGCAGAGAACCTGATCGAGAAGAAGTATATAAATCAATCAATCAACCAATCATAGTCCTCTTAACCTGCTGCAGCCTAACTAGTATCGTAATGGCTATGCAGGCTCTTCTTTCCAGTGGAAGCAAGAACTCGTGTCTGTACCCCTGCTCATGCTCCAGTACAAAAAGTGAAGCTGGTACTGAAAGAGTGGAAGCACCAGCCCATTACATGTAGGCCAAACCTAGAACCCATAAAACCCGCAGCACAAATGAGAAATTCAATGCCAGAAGGTATTGAATGCAAAATGAAAGCGTGGATGCACTGTCCACCTCTCCAAATCCTCTCTCTTCTCATAGTTCATGTAAACACCTCCGAGAAGATGTATCATTTTACTGTTTTGTCCTCATCCACACCGCTGTGATGAAGAGTTTCATTCCGGTTGACTATGGCTGTGCTCCCCATCTCTGCGATCTCGATCTTTCCTCCGTGGCATCGAACAACCATAACGAGGATCACGGGTTTTTGGTTGAACCCAGGTATGAAGTGCCTTTTCTCGGTCCTCGACCTTTTCTCTTTCGCATCTCCCTGATTCAAGTTCGGTTTGCATTTGACTTGAAATGGTTGAGCGCGTTGATCACGTGCTTTTGTTTCGGTCCCATGTATAAAGCGCCTTTGCCTGGCCTTCCACTTCTTCTCTTTCACATTCTCTCCAACTGATGGCATCCTCCACCAGGACCAGGAACCCTCAGCACCCTCATCACCCTTTGCACTTTCATCATTAAACCTTGCAGCAACCTTTCACAGGTAACCAGCTTTTTCCCTCACATACACAAAAGGCCCTTTGTCCTGACATTAACTATTCAACCCCAAAAATGAATCAGCCTTGAGACGCATCACGTGAGTTCCCATGCACAGATGTCTTCCACTCCAGATGAAAGGTTTTGTCAACTCGAGTCCATCTTGGCCTTGACCATTTATCCTTTGGGTTCCCCATTAGCTCAAGTCATCAAGCAATTATCAAAACAATGATCCTGGCGGTCTGCTAGGAGCTATGATCTTTCGAAGTATTAACACATCCACTCCTTCCATTACTTAGCAGAGTCGTCCCTCGTTCGCAGGAGATATTTTCACCCGCTGATTATGGTATCGCCTTGGCCAATGAATGAATGAATGGAACTCAGAAAAAATTGCCACATTCCGGATCTGGGACGGGGTCAATGCAAGACTCTACACCGGTAGGCATATCGAAAGCCGCATTGCCGTGTCAGGAACGATGCTTTTGGGAGTACTTGGAGACTCGATGCAATGATCTCTATACTACATCTGTATTCGAGCATTGGCGATCCAAACCGACATGTGGCGTCTCTCTTCTCCCCGTTCCAACAGATCATCGAAGTTTTTGCAACGTTTTTCGTCTGGCTGGTCTCTGCCAGCTATTTTTATAAGTCAACCAAACACATGCGCTGGTTCCTACTTACCTTTTTATGTACACATGTGTTGTCTCATTGCAAAAAGAGCAGGCATTATTTCCTTCCACCTGACGTAGCCTGCACTGGAGGTCTATCGTGTTGGAAGTCTGGTTGTGATGAAAGCAACGGCATGGAATCCAGCGGTAAGTGCGATCGGTATTGATTTGAATTATGTACAATGATCTAAGATGGTTGTGCGCTATTTCCTTTGCTGGTTGACATAGCTAATATCTCGCAGTTGAAAATGGTTGAGGGCTTGGCGCGTCTCGTGCAGATCCTCAAAACTCCTCGGTCCGAACCACACCACAAAGCATACTCGAGGATGTTACATAAATCCAAGAAATCAATTTAGCTGCTGAAGCTTGGATTGATAGCTATGGGATGAAGGGACAAGCTGGGATACCGGACCTCTGTTGGCAACTTCTCGGTCGTCGGGAGGAGGCCCGATTGATAATCGGGACATTCACCAAGGAGTTCAATATGCCATCAACTGTCGAGTGGAGAGATTATAACTTAGACATTCAGCCTCGCTCAGCATTTTCTCATCAGTCAGAAGAGAACGGGAGAACATACGTGAGCATGGTTTCTCCTTCCGCGGCCAATAACGGGATAATGAATGAAGCAGGATGTCCAATATGTGAACTCTTTACGCGGCGGTTGAAGGGATATCGAACTCATTGGTGAATGTCCAAATTACTGATCAGTTCGCCTCTCGATGCTTGGGGGAATGCCAAGAAAGCCTGATGCCTTCAAAAGTCAGGCCGAGGTGAAGGACCTATGTCTAGATTACCTCTCTCGATAGATCCGCTGGATCTGGGACTCTCTGATATGATTTGAGGAACTCAAAATGAAAATGGAAACTTCATGAAAATTTGTATCCTTTTTTGGTATTCCGTAGTCTTAGAATGTCTTTACCCTAGGTGGAAAAAACAAGGGATTTGGTCTTTGGGGGATATTAGAATATGTATTGACTGCTAGTTTTGACGCACTTGGGTTTTCTCATATTACTTCCATTGCAATCACGAGCTCTTTGGGGGTACTTCCGTGACAGATGAGCTGCAAATATAAACGAGGTACAATGTTGTTGGATGTAGATTACTTCCATTCAGAAGCTTCATTATTCAGGCGCCTTGACGCTTAGAGCTAGCTACACAAGATTGAAATTCTAGAAGTATATTTGATCATAGGCGAAAGGCAAAACTAGGTGTGATAATCCCGGCAGATGTGATGACCACAACACGACGGGGAGACCAGCTAGACCATTTTCCAAGACTCACCAAACAGGATTGTCAGCCGGTGACTAGGAGAAATTTACGGCAAGAGGAATGAAGGCATGTCACATGGTGAAATATGATTATATCTTCATAATATGGTAATTAGAATCTATATGCATAGAACTGGTGTGCATGCACAACCGAAGTTTTCATCGGAAAGGAATCAATCATAATCTGACACCCAAAAAAAGCAAAACACAGCAACAGCATGCAAGACCCATCAATAAGCCAGACGCTCTAAGCAACCTTGGACATTGCACCAAAGTTAGGTGTACCCAAACCGGAAACCGGGTCCCAGCCCTTCGTCGCGTTCCAGCTGGCACCGGCCACAGCGGGTCCACCGTTACTGGGGCCACCAAAGCGACCCTTACCATCACAGCCGGTGCTACCGCCGTCGACGATATCATTGAGGGTGGCGCTGGCAGTGGAGTATAGCCAGGGGTTAAGGAAGCCCATGGGGGGCTTGTTGCTGTTGATACGGCCGTCGTTGAGGAGAGCAATGACGCCAGCAAAGGCAGGTGCGGAAGCGGATGTACCGTCGACGCTGCTCAACGAGCCACGTTCGAATATAGCGTATTTTTGGCCTTGGGCTGAGACATCGGGGAATGCCCGGCCCTTGGGGTTGAAGAGACCGGACCAAGTGTCACCAAGGCCCTTGAGGTACGAGCCCACGGCTTCTTCTTGGTACTTGGGGCGGTCCCAGAGATCAGAGAAGCCGCCAGAGGAGAAGTACACGGCCTTTTCTGGCGAGGTACCGGTGGTCGCTCCGACGGAGGTAACCCATGGGCACGAGGCTGGGAACTGGGGTGGGAAGTGGGTTGCATTTCTGCCATCGTTGGTTTGGCAGGCGGCGCCGACGCCAGAATCACCGGATGAGAAGATGACGGAGACACCTCGGCTACCAAGCTGCGAGAACAAGTTACAGACTGTGCGAGCGTACGTCTCAGGGACACTCTGTGAAAAATGTTAGACGGCTGTGGGGGTAGTGGAGAATAGATAGACTCGTACCTGCTCATCCTCGCCATAGGAGGTGGAGATGACCTGCGGCAAGTCCTTGTTGTCCAGCTTGAGCACGTTCTGGAGGAAGTCGAGGTACGGCTCGTTGTTGTTGTTATTGGGGTCGGGCTGGTCAAGGTCGGGAACGAGCTCGCCACGACCACCAGTGCTAAACTCAACAACAGGAACAGGAGAGCTAACTCCCACAATGTACTGCAGGTCGAGGTTGGCCTCGGTGCTGTCACCGCTGCCTCCCTGGACGTTTCCGCCACCATTGAATTGGACGACGGAGAAGTTTTGACCCTTAGCATAAGAAGCGATGTTCTTCTCGAACATGGCCAAGTCGGAGTATTGAGCGTACTGCTCGAGGTAACTGGCGAAGCCAATCTTGTTGCCGTTACTGCTATTGGCCTTGTAGTCACCGATGTTATAAATGTCCTTAAGACATTGTGGGGTGATGATGCTGTTGCAGTCCGGGGAAGCTGACTGGGCAGCCATGCGGAAAGCCTCGTCGGCCTCTTTTGCCTGGCTGTGGAGAGTGTTTCGATTGGCGTGAATCTGTCCGAAGCGAGTAGTAGGCTGGATCATATTGACATGGGACGTGAGAGCGTCCGGAACGGAATACTCTAGGGTGCGGAGGCGCTCAATGTGTCTCGCATTGCTGACGTAGTACTGGAAGTTAGCTGCCAGCAGCTCGTTTGCCGTCTCTACGGTGGTGTGGAACGTCATCCAGTCTGCATCCTGCTCGATCTGAGTGATGCCAGCGCTCTCGAGCCATTCACGGATCGAGTCAGCGGACTCAGCGCTCGGTTGAAGCATGCGCTTCATTTCCTCGTGGGTCTGGAAATGTTTTCCATAATTAGGGTGGTCGGGAGTGGACATGTCCATGACGGCCTCCTCAAACCCAGCGGCATCGCCCTGTGCCAAAGCAATTTGTAGCTTCAATGGCTGGTTGGCACGCGGGGTGCGGGAATACCTCCATCCTATGTTGGGTCAGTTGGTTCCCGTCGTCGATTTTATTTTGAACCAATGCATTGAAACTCACCCTGGGGCACAGCCCTCAGGCTCTCAAAAACATCAGCTGCAGTAGAGGAGGCGAGAAGAGAAACGACCGCGAGCGATAATGCCCGATGCTTCCAAAGGGATGTAAACATGGTGACAAGAGCGAATGTGTACTCCCTACCAAACACCGATCGGGACCTCTATCAAGCGAATGTAGAAGAGACAAAGTATAAATACCTGGCGACACGAGGAGATCAACTGCAAAGGAGGGGTAACGGTGAATTTCTTATTTATTATGGTTGCATTGGCGGGGGGAGAATGAGCCAGGAATGTTGGAGACTCCCGACTCTAACATTGGGAAAGCGATTATTCACGACGATCGTGCGTCACTGATCCCTTGTCCCTGTGGACCCTTGTGGCGGATGTCCGTCGGGTTAAGGGTTAGCGAGCTTGTTTTAAATGGTTCGATGCTGGGATTTGATCTCGGACTCCTGCTGGCTGCCGCATGGTTGCAGTTGCGACCGATACTCCGTTGCGCCCGAGGCAAATCATGACGTTCCTAAATAGTCAGTGATGTGATTGGTATGGAGAAGATCTCTATCCCATTGTTACGGAGGCACCGGGGCTCCGAGGATCGGCAGGGGCAGACCCACACACTTGACGCGAGGTCAACAATGTGAGGAGGTGCAGCCGTTCAGGGTAAACTCCATGAAGGCCAGGCCCTGGTTGAAATTGCACCTGCTCCGCACCAAACAGTTGTCTCATCGCATTCAACAGCTCTTGGCTCCTTGAGGAGATGGGCGATACATGTACATGTAATCTCCAATGCACCCCTGCCAAGAAGTGGGCGGTGTTGGCATGGTGATCATGCACCATTGGAACAACTAACAGCCAATCACGCTATGTATCTGACCGGCTGAGGATGAAGCGCCCATATCCGTGGCGTTTAGTGTCCTAAATCAATCTCAAGATTCAGGTGCGTCGTGCATACAAACGGTCGTGCATGTTATTTGCATCGTGAAAGGCTGGAGGCTGGGATTTTGTCAATGCGCATATGTGCGATCCCAGCCAAGCAACTTTCACGGGAACTTGATGTGGCTGGGATAACTTGGTCGGGACTGGATATTGAGAGGCTGTCCATCCAGCCTTGCCTTTTATGGTAAAAATGAGTTGGGTCAGAATGTGCCTGACTCGTGGATGTGACGAGATGGGCAATGCATGCAGATGACACCTATCACGGGCGCACATGACGGTTCCCATTCACTCCGAGTCATATTTCAGTGGTTATGCGCCGTCTGAGTCGAATAATACCCTTGACTTGGACAGAAGTTGCTTCGACGTCGTTGGGTTGGCAGAAAGGGTCACGTTTTTGGATTAGTGACCGCCCAAACTACATAGATTGTCTGCTTTCGTCTATGATAGGGGGATTCCCTATTATGATGCGTTAGTAGCATCAATCGCTGTAAATATTGACTAGAAAACGCCAAATCATCTCAACTGAAATAAATGGTTGTATTGCTGGTATATATCTCTCGGACATCCAGGTTAAACCGCTTCCAAAAAGACATCTCAGACTCGTTTCGCCATTTTATACGGCTAACATATACATATCAACCAGCATCAATCAAACCAGACGCATCTGAATTGAAGGTGCTACATGAAGTAGCAGGTTGGTCGAAAGATTCCTCGGGGGAGAAGGGTGGAATTTGGTCACCTTCGGCGGACTTCATGTGAATGCCAAATTCAGAAAGAGCACGTTTTCCGAGAAGCTGAAGCAAGAAGCAACTTATGCAGTTGAACATCCTATCGACGTCCTTTGGACAACATTTATTCATCTTTTGCACGCATCCACGGTCAACATGGATCGCGCTAGTTGCCTTGCAGTGCCTCATCTTCCAGCACTTATATAAATAATGATCCGGCGCGAATGGGTTACGCACTTATGCTTCATGATGCCATATATCAGGTGTTTCAATTTCTCTGCTGGAGCTTAGAATATGACTAACACATCTTACTTGCGGCCCATTTGTGATCACCGAGTGCCCAACTTTGCCCACTGGACGAGAAAAAACATTTCGTTTACGCCATTGAATTCCGCTCAACGTTTAACCATGTCAAATCCCTCCTCCAAATTGTCTAGGGCCTTTCGAATCTCAGCGACATAAGCAGGGATACCACCAGAGTAGCACACTGGTTCATAAACCTTGCCAGGGATGCTACCACCCATATATGTCGATCTCGTCGTGGGAAAGAGAGTTCTGTTGTTGAGCTCGACAATATGCTTCTTCCATTCATCAGCTGCCTCGGCCTTGGGGTTGATATACTTGATGCCATTGGCCTCGATTTTGGTAATAGCGTCGGCGATCCACCGGCCCTGCACCGCAACTGACGTCGGACCATTACTCAGAAGCGTCGGACCTTGCGGACCATAGATGTGGAACATGTTGGGGTAGCCGCTGATAGTCATGCCGAGGTAGGTCTTTGCGCCAGGGATCCATTCATCGTCGAGCTTGGCACCGTCAATGCTCTCCAGACCGAGCTGGGTCATGACGCCAGTGACAACATCCTGTAACTGTTATTTTTCTACCATCTTGTAGTTGTATCAAGCGGAGCTTACGAATCCAGTTGCGACAGCGATGACATCAAACTCATGGTGAGTTCCATCCTCCAGGGTGATGCCAGTCTCGGTAAACTCCTTGATCGGGTTATTCTTTATGTCGACTAGATCCACTGACTCCCGGTTGAACTGCTCGTAGTAGTTCTGCTCTAAACATGGCCGTTTAATACCAAAGTAGTGCGGCATTTCCCATGGAGCAAGCAGCTCCCTCAGCCTGGGATCGCCAATACGAGCACGGGTTTTCGTGGCCCAGAACTTGTACGACTCTTTGTTAGCTTTCGGATTGAATAAGTTATCCTTATACAAGGCAACCCAATAGCGGAAGCCACCTTCCTTCCAAATACTCTCGTAGAACGCCTCGCGCTCCTCTGGGGTATCGTCAAAGGTGTTACGCTCGCACCAGTCATATGTGAAGCCAGCGAAGCTAGTCTCACGGAACCGGAACAGCTCTGGGTAGCAGGGCTTGATGCGCTCTTGCTCCTGGACGGTGAGATTGCGCTTGCGCATTGGAACGGCGAGATTAGGAGTTCGCTGGAAAACCTTCAGCTCGCCGGCCTCAGGGCCCCAGGCTTGCGTGATTTGCACACCCGAGGCACCAGTGCCGATGATAGCACAGCGTTTATTCTTTACGCTGATGTTTTTGTCGGGCCAGAAAGACGAGTGGTGCACGATGCCCTTGAACTTGTCTATACCGGACCATGGGGGAATATAACGTTTGGCGGCCTGAACGCTTCATCAGTAGATGTTCAGTTGAATGAAGGAATGAGGATGCGATGACTCACAAACCCGGTTCCGAGAACAAGGTATTTAGCCTTGGCCGTACGATCATCTGCAGTTTTGATGTTCCATTTCCCCTCTTCCGTATCGAACTTGGCCCCGACAACCACGGTGTTGAAAGAGCAGTCCTTCTTGAGACCAATTACCTTGTCGACGTGGTCAAAGTAAGCACGCAGGTCTTTGTAGTCGGGGTAGTTGCTGGGCCAATTCCATGTCTTGTATACCTCGGGCCAAGAGAACTCGTATTCCGGAACTTCGGAGTCGACGCCGGCGCCAGGATAGCAGTTCCATCTCCAGGTGCCACCCAGATCGTGACCAGCCTCGAAAATGACCGTTTTCAGGCCGCGATCGCGGAGGGTCTTGAGCATGAATACACCGGCTATTTAGTTAGCAGGAACACAATGCATGTAAGTTATGCCGACTTACCAAAACCTGCACCCACGACCAAAGCATCGACCTCGAGGTTTTCGGCATATGGTCCAGACTTATCGGCCTGGAATACCGAGTAATCAGTGAGCTCGGTGCTAAACTTCTTCAACTTATTAGGCATTCTAGGAATAGAGACCGTCTCTCCGGATCTATCCATTTTGGAGATTTAAATGATCACGAGTTGCACTTGTTGTCGGAGGATTAGGAGTTTGAGATGTCTTTCAGAACTTTTCGTTCTCGGACACATCCAAATTATATTGCATTCATTGCGATACATATATTCCTGCCGAGGTGAGCGTTGGCTTCGAAAACATCACAAGATACCCGCAACCTTGTCAATTCAATCCAGTGTACGTTCCACACGTGTCACTGGTGTACTGCAGCTGCCATTGATTGGATCCCCTTGGGCACTAGTTGCGGTTAATCCCGTCCCGTCCGCAATCCGGAGATGTTCCGCAGCGTTTGCGCAAACCACGAGGCAAACGAGGGAATTAGCGGGGAGGGGAAATTAGTCTCAACAGTATGTTTGAGCCTGTCGCTAAACAGCACTCGATTTCAGTCCCAGGGATCCTTGCCGTCAGCCGGAATACTCCATACCCACAATACCCCGCACGATCTCTCGCTTTTCCTTATATAGTTATCAGCAGTCATCACTGTGTATCCCGATGCTCATGTGATTTCGCATCTCCGTCAGATCATAGATAAGGCCTGCGAACGTCAAAAGTCCGGTATCCCCGGGCCACGGTTGTGGTCGCCGGCAAAGATGGGAACAAACTACTCGATCACTCTGCCGGTAAGCGGGGCAGGATCCAAAGGTAACGCGAATTTAGACAACGTTTTCTGGATTGCATCTTGCAGACTGCGTGGCAATTGGCTCATGTAGTAGAGAGGCTTTTCATTGATTCGACAAGGCAATACTAGCAGGACAGATGATATCTTGGAATAAAACCAGTAGGAATAATTAATTTACCATTGAAGCTCTGGGGAAAAGGAAAAGGTAACACTGAGAACAGCATCAAAGATAAGAGCGTAACAGTCATCTCAAAGAGGAAAAAGGGACTGTTTGGCCATAGCAATACGCGCCTCGGTGCGTAAATCGTCAAGGGAGAATGAAAAAATATCAAGTGGTGGCCGCCCCTGTAAAAGGGCATTTCCAAACAACATGTTCCGTGTGACCGTAAGAGGGGGCTGAGGAGATGAAGGTACTGGAAAAATGGCTGCATCCTGTTCTCTGACTGGGTCACCGTTAACGTCAAGTCGCCAAAGTTCAATCATACCAGCAACACCGGCTCGTCTCTTGTACCACTTAATCAATATCACAGCAGAAATATCACCTTGGCCGCCAATCAGTAGTCTTCGCATGTCACTTTCAAGAAGGGGTTTTGATTCGCTGTATCCGACTTCGAAGCAGAGCGTGGGGAGATTGAGACCATGAACATTCACATGCACATCCGGTTCTTTCCAAGAATTAGCATAAACGCCCCGTGTGAGGGTAATCGTATCCGCCACTTGGGCTTTCATCATTCGTTTCTCGGCCGTGGTCAGAAGCCCGGCTTCTATCCACTTGTCTCGTGCGTCTTGGAACCAAGTCTGGGCACAATTATGTAGCGGCGTGGGTATTTTGATCGTCAAGTTTCCAGTGTTGGGATCAAAGGACTTTCGGAGTGCTGGTGATTCAAGGTGTTCAAATTTCTGCCATAGTTGCATACCGACATGTGGCTTTAGCTGGGTAATGACAAGTAGATCAGGGTAATCGATTTGGCCAGGCTGGATAAGGCTTTGGATGGTTGAGTAAACACGGACGGCAGTTGGAATGTTCGCGGCAGAGACTTGGATGGGGAGTAATGATTTGTTTATTTCATCGTAGTCAGCTTCCGGAAGATAGGACGTGGGGGAACCAGGTTGGTGAGGCGATGAATTTGGACACGAATAGCACGACATGGTGAAGGAAGGTGGGAAAGGGGAAACGAAAATCGTGAAACGTCGAGGTTGTAGCTTTGGGAAGGATCGTTGAGAAGTTGTAGGAGTGTTGACATTCTCGACGTCATGATTATACCCTAAGCCCTAGCAAGTGCTTTGCATTACCACCCCTGGAAATAGTTTATGGCTAGTATCAATCCTAATTCTCTCACTTAGTCCATAATGACGTAGTTTAAGAAGAAGAAAATAACTCAAGTACTGGGCTGGGGAACCAACTATTCGGGCTCCACGGATACAAGAAAATGACGTGTTTCTTACACTTATAACCAAAACTCACAGTGTGTTTGTATATTACATCTACATATTGCGAACTTCTTGACTCCTTATGGTTGAAACCTCTCAAACCAACCTGAGTCCAGATAAGCGCTACTATGACAGTTTTCGTCGTGTCTCTGTATGTGGTCATGAGCTTTTACCTCCGCGCATACTGATATTCATCGCCACAATCTAGTTTTCTTCCTTACGCTGTGACTCGCCAAAATGATTCATGCGGGTCCTCTGAAGTTCAATCGCCAGCCCCCGCCCGCCTGCCTCAATGCCTCAACTCACTACCGAGTAGACGTGACGGCGGCTGCGGAAGTGATACGACACTAGAAGTAGATACCTTGTCCCCTGGTGCTACCACGGACAACGAGCGCATATTTACCTCCGACCCGCGCCTTCCAGCAAGAAAGGGTGTGGGTTATCCGTTTCCCCCAATATCGCAGTCGGATAATTGGCCACGCGCAAAAGAGGAGCCTCAATGGAGTGTTATTACTGCAAAAAAAGGCAATGATGGATTAGTGGACGCTATACATTCTGCTGCGGACGTTGGCTATCTTGATGACACAATGTGGGTGGGCACACTCGGAAGACAAACGGACGCAATAGAGTGTTGCGATCGGACGGCCATTGAGCGGAAACTCAAAGATGAGTACGAATCTTTGACCGTATTTGTTTGTGACCGTGACTTTGACGGGCACTACACGCACTTTTGTAAAACCATTCTCTGGCCGATCTTCCATTACCAGGTGCCTGACAGTCCAAAAAATAAAGCCTACGAGGACTGCTCTTGGGCCTACTACGTGAGTGTCAACCAAGCTTTTACGGAACGTATCGCCAAAAATTGGAAGAGGGGAGATTCGATCTGGGTGCAGGATTATCACTTGATGCTGGTCCCAGCCATGCTCCGAAAGATACTCCCCGACGCCCATATTGGATTTTTTCTTCATTCTGCTTTCCCGTCCTCTGAAGTTTTCAGGTGCTTGGCCACGCGCAAGGAGCTCCTTGAAGGCATGCTCGGTGCTGATTTGATCGGCTTTCAAGTAGCCGAGTACTCCGGTCATTTTCTCCGGGCGTGTGGTAGAATCCTTTCCGTGGAAGCTACCGACGCAGGGATTCAGTTAGAGGATCGTTTCATAAAGGTGGGAATATTTCCTATTGGCATTGACCCAACCACTTGGGACCGACGCAGACAATCAGCCGATATTAGGCTCTGGATGGACTCCATTATAACCGCGCACCGGGGAAAACGGCTCATTGTCTCCTGCGATAAGATAGACGCCGTCGGAGGGATCCGTCAGAAGCTATTAAGCTATGAGCATTTCCTTAATACATACCCAGAATGGGCGAATCAGGTTGTTCTGATACAAGTTGCTACTAGCAGCACACAGCAGCCTGAGCTAGAAGCGAGTATATCCGATATTGCAATGCGAATCAACTCCACCTATGCAACTCTCGACCATCAGCCCTTGGTATTTCTCAAGCAGGATCTTATGTTTCCGCAGTACCTTGCACTCATCACGGCGGCAGACGTTTTGATGATTACCAGCCTTCGAGAAGGAATGAATCTGATCAGCCACGAATTCGTTTACTGTCAAGACGGCCGCTTTAATAACAAGGGGTACGGTTCCTTGATCCTCAGCGAGTTCACCGGTAGCGCATCCTTATTTGGTAATCATGCGCTTTTGGTCAACCCTTGGAACGTCCGTCAGTGCGCAGATGCGATGCATACGGCGTTGATCCGAGACCCAAGGGAACGAAAGAAGGATTGGGAGCAGCTTCATCAATTAGTACTCGACAATTCAGCAACTAATTGGGTTAAATCTTTCAAAGAAAGTATGGCTTGTGTCTGCCATAAGCAGTTATCGCACCGAAGAATGACAAAGCCATGTCTCGCCATCGCTAGTCTCAAAGAGCGCTATCGACAGGCCAGCCGCCGCATGATGTTTATCCAATACGAAGGCGCATTAGCACCCTGGGGTTCCCCGAATAACGTCTTCCTTGCCACACCACAACGTACAATCACGACCTTAACCGATCTAATAGACGATTCTGCCAACGATGTTTACGTGATGAGCTCGCGAATGCCGGAGGAACTAGAGAGACAATTCTGTCGTGTCATTGGTGTGGGATTGATTGCCGAAAATGGGTGCTTCTTGCGTAAACCGCACGCAAATGAGTGGATCCAGCTAGTGGACCAGGCGTATACTGATGTCTGGAAAGACGGGCCTTCGCATATCCTGAAATATTTTCAGGAGCGGATGGAAGGAAGCTGGATTGAAACCCGCCACTACTCGCTCGTCTTTCACTATGGGTCGGTGGCCGACAGAGAATTGGCTAGGCGTCTTACAGCTGAGTGTGCCGATCAGATTAACGATGCTTGTGAGAGCCAGGGCATCCACGCCGTTATCTTTGATAGTGCTATGATAGTGGAGCCCATAAACACGAAGAAGGCTCTCGCGGCGGAAGAGGTGTGGCGCTACGTGGAAAGCTCCAACAATCCGAAGTTTGACTTCTTGCTGACCATCGGTGGGAACCGCGAGGATGAACATCTTTTCGAGTGGGCCAACGAGCTAGAGAGCACCGGAGTAGTCGATTATACTATGACAGTGACCATAGGCTCACACAGTGCGGAGGCTAAGACCACGTTGACACAAGGGGTGACAGGTGGGTCGCACCATTGTATGAAGGGCCATTTCGCTGCTAACGTTAACCAGGTGTTTTGGATTGCTTGCAGCAACTGGCCTCCTGCTAGGGCAACCGCTCGGTATTGTTGCAGGAAAGGCAACAGAAATAGCTTCGATGAACTTCGCGCAGCAAACACTCTGTATTATGGCGAGGGATAGTTACGAACGAGCTGGCCTTTCATTCGACTACTGTCAAAACAAACCTATGACTCACTAAACCGAGAGAAAAATTAGTCAAATGCTCACCAACCGGACGTACGACCTTAACTCTCTCTTGGCGGTATCAAAGAATATAGTCATGTAGCATCAACATCTACAGACACTCTCAAAATAGGCTTGACTAATACACCCTTTCTTCCGGCCCACCGCCATCCAGCAGGCTAACATCGTCCAGCAGCTACCACCAGCACAGTACATTCCTCCGGGATAAGACATGTTGACTCGAGTGAGATAAGGGCACTATCAGTCAGAATCTGAGACAACGTGACAGAGTTAAGGCCCAAAGCTTGCTAAGATTCTCTGTTTTTCAGACCAATGTCATGAAGGACTCCGTGTAAATATGTTTTGTGCCTGTTGTATACATGATTCGCCCTTAGAATACTTCGTGCACACTTAATCTGCTGGCCTCATTGGCGGCTTTGAGATACACCCACCTAGTTCTCAAAAAGCAAAAAGAGTGTAGTTATCGTCGCACGTTTATTATATTCTTGCTACAGCTAGCCTGCATCTATAACTACAGATAAGGAAGAAAATAGATTTTGATGTCTTGTTTTTGAATACATCTGTATCTAGAAGTCTGAAATTAGAAAAGTTACACACCCCATTGTTCGTTGCTACACAATATTCTCCACACATGATGTTCAGAACAGCCGGTATACCAACATGCAAATCGACGCCATCGGAAATTGAAACTCAGTCAATAAGCCAGACAGCGGATACTACGTGCAGTTCTGTAGGCGATTGGCGAACTACATGTACAGGCCACAAGGGTTCTTTCGGTCTTCAATATGTGAGACCCTAATAATACCTTGCGCTGATTTGATACTGTCTATGCGACCACGTATATATTAAGAAACATAAGGGTGCGTATGTACATGCTTGAACAAGGTTCTGAATATCAAAGAATGAACAATTATTTCTCCTTAACCACGGTTGGAGCCTGGACGACAGGCTGATCCTCTACTCCAGGCTCATTGAGCTCCAAGTGGTGAGCGTAGACCATAGAAGCGATGGAATCTTCCGTCTGGAGGTAAGTCCGGCTACCCTGGATGAACCAGAAAGCAAGCGCAATAATCAACATGACTCCGAAGACCGCAATAGCGAAGTTCATATCACTGGGTGCTGGGTTCGGAGCACCGGGGAAAAGGAAGAAGATGGTGGTGATGATGCAGTAGATGATACTGACCCAGTTCAGCAATGGGCCAATGCGACCGAGCTTGAATGGGCCGGGCGGTAGCTTCTCGCGACCAGTCACCAATAGTGCCAGGATGGGCATGGCATAGGAGACTGTCAGGGCGATGGTACTGACACTCAGGATGGCCTCCAGCACTGTGTTGGCGAAGAGGTACAGAATGCCGACGAGACCGATGATGACTCCCTGACCCCAGAGAGCCCGGGCAGGAACTTGCCACACTGGGTCGACGTGGCTGAAGTACTTGCTGAAGGGCACGCCGCCATCACGGGAAAAGCCCCAAGACAGACGAGAGGCAGTTGTGAGAACACTAATGCCCTGGCCCAGTCCATTGAAGATGAAGAGGGAAATGAAGACGGCGGCGCCATTCTGACCGACTGTTTCGAGCATCAGCTCAATAAATGGTAGGTCGGCGTTAACAACACTGTCCACATCCTGGATGCAGAACAGACAGACCACCATGAAGATGAATCCAGTCACGGCGCCGAAGAGCACAGCCATCCAGATGACACGGGGTGCGTTCTTCCGTGGTGCAGGAATTTCTTCAACCATATGAATGACCGAATCGAACGCGGTCAATCCATACGCAGCCTGCACCAGACCGGTAAACCAAACCACACCATCGCTCCAGCCAGTCTCATTCTTCCAAGCTCAAAAAGCGAAAGAAGGTGGCTGGAAAGATAAATTGGCCTTGGTACCGACCGAAATGAGCAGAGCAAGAGAGAGAACGATAAACAAGCCGAAGAACCATACTCCGACGAAGTTGTTAAGCCAAGGAAGAATCTTCTCCTTGCGACAACTCACCACGTTGATGAGAGTCAACACAAAGACGACGCCGATGTATACGACGAAGTTGAGCCAGCCCTTGTCGGCTCCATCCCACTCCGGATTAAACATGGTCTTCATGCCCAGCAGGAATTCAGTCATAAAGGCGACTTGCGACGCAGTCAATGTCCACCATCCAAAGGTGTTGATCCAGGCGCACATATATGAAACAAAGCGGCCGAGTGGTGTATTCCAAAGTCGATACACCCAATAGGCCTGGCCGAGAGCAGTGGGCATGCTGCTAGTCAACTCGCCCAGCGAGAGCGCCACGCAAAGATTGCAAACCGTGACCAGCACCAGACCCCAAAGAATCGTGATAGCACCGCCATTGGTGAGGCCGCTACTGAGATCCTGAGCGAAGGTCGAATATGTTCCTGCGAAAGCGGGTCAGCGCAATTCCATACATGTACCCAGGTAGCGAAGGGGTCTTTCGCCATTGAGCCAGCGAACGTACCGAGAACACAGAATGCCAGCGCCAGCATACTCCACATATCGAACTTGCGGGTCAGGGCCTGGGAATGGCCCAGGGCAGCGAGATCCTGTGCATCTTGCACATTCTGATCCGTCAGAGGCGGCTTAAGGGGTTGCGAATTGGACTCTAAATCCATCCCGAGGTGTAATTCAGCCGGAGGCAATAAAGATCAACTGAATGGGCAAGCAGGTAGAAAATGCGCCCATTTTCTGCCAAAGGATGAACGAGAACAGGGGATATGGCGAGGATATGAATTCTATATAGCTTGAGCGCTGGCGTTTTGGCGTTGACCACCCCCTCACGAAATCAGGGTAAATACGGAGACGTAGATAAAGCTGGGGGATTGATTAAACCAATAACGTGTGTGCTGAGAACTGAGTCAACGGAGTCAATTGGTCATGGATTGGAGAGGTGTTGATAATAGAAACGATCATCGCGTGTCGAGTTTTCCGTGGTTTTTGCGGGGAGTGTGTGTTCGCCTCGGTAGGACCTCCTACAGTGGGCCTTCGACCACGGATGCGCTCCACAGATAGGTCCCTTTGACATTTAACAGATACTCTAGTAAGAGAATTGGATTTAGCCCTGAAGATGCTTTGTTGCTGCCAATTGAGAGTGGCTTTTGCCACATGGCATAGCTAGTATATGGGGTCCGACCGTACTACCAACACTTCCACTATTTCTTACCAATGTATCCGAAGTCCAAATGTTATCGCCCCTAAGTACTTCGCAGTAGACAGAGCAATTCGTCATCTATTCCGCTATCTCATTCTCTATCTTCAACTGAAGCAACAGAGAAGTGGTTGGATCATCAGTGGCGAACTGGCCCAAAACGGAAAGTCCATGCGTGATAAGACGATAGGCGACACTTAGTCCGCGGCTCTATACTTAGGGGCATCAGGGATGAGGTTAAGCTCGTGTAAACCAACGCCATAATAGAATGTCTGCATATCTCTTTCTGCCGAGATACTAGTATCCATCGTGTGGAGTCAATTGCTGATTCCGATGCCGGCAACCATAGCATATCCAAGGAACGTCACTTGCTGTGATATCAAGTGGACACCAATCAATATAGATAGAATGGAGCTTCCAGGTTAGCATTCGGGGATCACACAAATCAATGCAGCAATGCAATTGACGATGATTCCCTTCCCCTCATCGAAAGAAAGGGGATAGACGAGACGACGGAATCGATGCATCACCCAGGCAGTAGTTTTGAGCTCTGTCCGGCAAACGGAGGCGTCAGGGTCCACTTCATTTGAGAATCGTCGTAACTAGAACCCGACAAACGGGCTAGAGTTGCGTCCGTCCCCTCATTTGGGCATCGCCGCAGGCTGAGGCGTTGAATAGTAGGACTGCGGCATTTGTACACATAGAGCTTATAATGTCCGTCATTGGCCTGCGTCGCCGTGTCTCGGTGATTGAGTCTCCTTCTCCTTCCTTTTATAGTGATAAGGTATGTTTGGGATCGGAGCTTGCGATCGAACGGCTAAGACCCCGCGAGATCCGGGGTATTCAGCCCGCATCATTCTCGTGGCGACTCTCTCCTGACAGACCGACAAACCGATAAGCTCGCCGTCACTAGCATCTTCTGAAAGTCAATTCATCATGAAGTAAATACGTGTTGAGAAGAGCGCGGGGGACGGCAGATCACAAGGATAGCCAAGCACGATGCAACATCCTATCCCCATTTGGGTATTTTGAGCCTGATCCATCCTGATAGGGCCAACGACCTTAATGGATAGATTCTCGAAGCATTCTAGCCTGGTGTCCCTACTTTAGTGCATCTTTGGGCCACTTGGCTAATGGGCGGACGAAAGTCCGCAGTTTGCCCCTGCGTCGGTGGTAGGCCATCTCCGGGCGTTTCTGATGTCCCTGCGCCCTCATCGGAAATTATTAATCAAGGAATGACATGAGAAGATGACCAACAGCTCGTATCGTTCTTGTCCTGCTTTCCCTCCTATCTTGTTGTGCAAATCCGCGTCTCCATGAGAGGTAACACGCTTTCCCTTGTCTTGGCTCATCGGGCTGAAATCCACCTGCATCAGCGGAGCATCGACAAGTTCCGAACTGGACCAGGTGTAGTGATAAGGCCATGAGGTGAAACACACTTAAACTGAAGCATGAGGTAAGTTCCAGTGGTAACAACTGATTAGTATTCAGGTACACACAAGAGTGCCGACGGAGCTTACATCTTCTGTCATATACATCAAACCCACCGAGGGCAACTATTGCCAAATCAGGATGCGCACAATACACCAAAAGAATGTGAGAAAGTGGAGAGATTGAGCAGGATGAACCATCCGAGTCTTGGCAATTATATTAATGCTTTAGACACTATCCAAGATGAATTCCCGTGCGTGTAGGGGAATCACAAGAACACAAAACACTTTTGTTTGTCGCCAGGACCCGAAAATCATGCAATAGAGATGAGAGAGGACCATTGAAGCCCAGTCACGACACCACATCCGGAACGCCTCCCAGCCTGATCGAAAATAAAAAGGAAAAAAAGGCAAACAAAACGCCGACCGGGAGCTTGTTGCCCGATTCTTCTAAAGATACACGTCACGGTCATGAGAACAAGTATTAATACTTGAGAAACACGGCAACAGATTGCTGTGGCATGATGTGCACTGCGCAGATGATCATGCTCGAGGGTGCTTGGGGTGGCGCCACATGCCGCCCGGTAGCATATTCTGCTTCAGCATCGCCAGCTCCTTGTGCAGTGCCTGGTTTTCCTGCTGGATGCTGTCGATATAGGAAAGTGCGTTAGAGAGGATCTCTGATTTCTTGAGAGAACCAGCACCGGCCTTGGGGGTGTGTTTTTGCACGCCGGCTGGTGAGATGGCCTGCTCCAAGGAGACGAATTTGGCATTCATGTTGGTGCGGTAGCGTTTCTCAATGATATTGTGTGCGGCACGCTTGGCGGCGTTCCGCATCTGCGGATCTTGGCTGCCTGAGGAGCGGTTCGAGTCTCGGGAGAAGCTGCGGGTTTTGCGGCTGGATGTGGGGGTGGGCTTGGATGGTTGTGATGACTCGGCCTCCTCTTTGATATTGGGGCTTGAGGACCATCTTGATGAGGTGCGGCTCTTCTGGGGTTGAGACTGGTAGGTCGGGTCACAGGTTTGGTTTGGTGACTGGGTCTCGAATGCGGTGGAGTCCGTTGATGGGCGTGCGGCATTGGATTGCCATGTTTGATCGTCACTATCCAGTTCCTTGAAGCGGTCAGCCTTGTGAAATGATATAAGTTTGGAGGCAGTGAGACATACTGATGATAGTGAGGCGTTGTCTTCGGGCATCGGCATGGAGAACCCGCTGATCTCCGGTGATCCAGCAAACGGATCAACAAAGAGGTCCTTCGAGTCGAGATCATTCAGGCTGTCGGCGAAGTCGAAGGGCACGGACTCCATGTCATTAGAGTTGAGGGCAAACAGGTCGATGGCACTGTCGTAGGTCCAGTTGGCAGCGAGGGGATCAGGCTTGAAGAAATCAACGGGTCGAGACTGAGGACTCAGATTCAGTTGTTGGCTGAGGTAGGTCCCTTCATCCATGGAGAGATTAGGGATCTCATTGGATCGGTTGCAAGCCATGATGCACATCCTGAAGGATCATACGTTGACGAACAAGTGGCGGTGGGAGTATAGTAAGGCGATGATACTATATAAAGGAAGAATCGAAGAGGGGGAAGATTCAGATCAAATAAAAAAGGAATAGATTACCATGGAACAGCGTTGGGTTTCGGCCGCTGCGATTTATATATAAACAGTCTCCCCTGACAGGGGGAGGGGGCGGACTCGGAACAGATTACGACTCATTGTGTACGAGTTGGCCGAAGCGATTGACCTGTGATGTCAGACCCTACAGAACCTGTCCCATAACAGGCGAAGTTCCGGCAAGTCTGCCCGGTCAAGTCGAGCCGAAGTCACCCCAGGCCAGATCTCTAACGGCCGGATCCGACAGACCAGTCATTCCGCTTAGAAAAATCAACGTGTTGCGTGAAACCGTTGAAGAATTCCGATGGCCGCGACGGGGCACAATAAAGTGGATGCGGATCAGCGGGCTGGACTTCGCCAAGCCGCCGTCGGCCGAGTCTCGGAGCCGGTACTATTTATGTACAATATAGGGATACTTGTATTGTACCTGTTGTACCTTCGTCTCCTTATTTTTGTTTAAATTGTCCTGCTGCCCTACACGTAGTAGATTTGAGCACGCTGGCTGTCTTCAATTCAGCCCTATCTGGTCATATATCATCCTATAACTTACAGTGCACCTGAGCCAACCGATACAAATTTCTGCTGCTTCTTTTTGACAGACGTCACAATTCGAACGGGTTTTCTTATCTCTGGCATTATTTCTTCTTTTGGATCCATTCAAAGTGAGCTATATCTATTTATGCAAACTTTTGTAAGAAAGCGCTAATCCTCGATCACGCGAGGTCCGAAATATATTAGGAGAACAGACAAGTAATATTCTCATTTTGCAGCACGTTATAAGTACCCTAGGTCTTTCCAGATGATATATCAAAATTTGGATTGTTTAGAAGAGCTGAATACATCTAAAATTGCAACAGCGTGACACCTTGCCTTCTCCGATAGTCATCTCGCATACTAAAAAGCTGCTCCTCCCAGAAAGCTATATATGTTTGACGGGAATTGCTGGATGACTTCATTTGCCACAGAATGGTAGTATCCTTCAACAAAAGAAAAGGAGTCGGTCAGAATGGATTCTATCATGCGCTTCACGGATTTATGCAGATCTAAACAACTCCTGCATCGATAGATACCGTCAATCCCGAATACTATGTTACTTATTGGACGCAGAAGTCCGGAGCATCGAATCTTATTCGACAAGGTAACTGAAACCTGTAGATTTCAAGGACAATATGCTTGCCATTGGAACGACCTCCGCAATATGCACGAGAGTCCATGGAAATGATCGTGGGGCGGTTCCCGGGTTGCAGTCTCAATCAATAATCCTAGATACAGCTCTCGACAGACCTACAGCATTCAGACCTATAGAGCCGATAGATCTGATACTGATTCCGTCAATTCCAAGCGAGCGCGCCCCCTCCCACCTCCGGACAGGGAAAGATTCTTCGCGTAATGCCAGTAAGTGGCCTGTTCAATAATATGATATCACTGTTTACTGCCTAAGCCAATGATAGATAACCCTAAAGAGAAGTTGGTCATTTGCAAGATAAAAGGGGACGGGTCGTAGATATTGGACCTCTCCTCGAAGCACACAGACAAATCGTGTTTATCGCCCTTTCCTTTGTATCCTTCTTCATTATAAGCTTTAATCTTAACACTTAAGTAGTGTACTTTGCTCCTGTATCTACGGGACTGAAATAGGCAACTTGGGGAAACTAGGGGTCGATATTAGAAGAATATGGTAAACACTCCCGTGGGTTTCTTGATGTCATGAGGAAAGTAATCACGGACAAATTGTCTTCATTCTGAGATCTACGCAGTTGCTTAACTTCTGACCGTCATAAAGCGGCAGCAGCAATCGTAGGGAGATCTCTGAATCGGGTATAGCTAAAACATATACGTATCGTCTTGAAATTAGTACATTTGCACTTCTATATCCGGCTTTGTGCCTTTACTTGTTGTAACCCCCTGGCGGTAAAATTTATACCCTGTTCCAACGGTTTTGCTGATTGCCTGCCTCACTATACTGCGAAGATCACCTGTAGGCCGCCCTGTTTGGCACGTTAATCTCTGCAGAACAACATTTGACAGATGTAGGTACTTTTGATCTCATAAGTGGCGCAATATATTTCACCGCACATATATTTCGTCACACACAGAATTGTTGAGACAAAGCATATCTAACCTATCGCCGAGACATAGTTAGGACGGAAGAACCCAGAAAGCTACTAGCCATAAGCCACAGTATAAAATCTGTACAAAATCAAGGAAGTATAATGATTCAACATCACAGATCTCATCTGACAGGTCAAATACGGCAAATGTTTGTATATCTGCACTGCCGCTTGTGACAAAATCCACGAGTAATACGCATACAGTACTTTTGCCAGGCAGAATCCGAAATAATTTTCTACTTGACTTCAATCAATGAAAAGCCTCCAAAACAATGCTTCGGTGTGTCATAGATATTAGACGTGGACTAGTTCCCTCGACGGACCGCTGCATCGTCCAGTCGCAAGGCGTATAATTCGTGATTACTTCCTTCCTAAAGGAGAGTTGGGGTGGGGTGACTCGGACCATTTTGTTCCTCTGTCTCTTGTTACTCAAGATCCCGATGTCTACCGGTATCTGCGATAACACCCCGGTGCTTGTTCGAGTTTTCACTCTATTTACGAATTGCATACGGAAACCATTTCTCGACTTTGAAGTCCGGTGAAAAACTCGGTACCTACATGTATGGCATGAGGTCTAGAGATCTCATGATCCTCAATAATCTTGGTTTTCAGATCCGATTCCAGGTTTCCGGTCCGCGCTTCAGATCCAGGGGATACGTCTCCCATAGGATCTTGGTTATTCATTTCAATTACCGCATGATTTTTTCCTTGTGGCTCGAAGACCATGCTGTCTTTCTAACTAACATATTCACACAGAACCTTCGGATCCATGTCAACGTCAAAATCTGGACCTGCCGATGCCCTATTCCGGGGCATCTAGACCGTTGATGCAGAGTTATTCTGCAGGCTGCCCGTTACCCCTGTGACATGCCCTGCTTCAAGATCCATGAAGAATGTCAGTCCACCCGGCAAGCCCAGATCCAGAGGTGGAGAAATACCGGGCGCTAAACCCGCCAGCTGCACGAAATGCACGGGTCTTGCCTTGGTTTTACTGCCGAGTAGCTTTCCCCGGACCACGGTTCTCGGCGGCGCGATCTTCGTCGGCAGCTGGGGGTGGCTATGTACTAGAGCAGCTAGCCCTATACGGATCTCGAGATCTAAAGGGGGAATAAAGTATGTTCAGCCCTCGGCCAGTTATTCTGTCTAACATAACGTTCATATTTGTGTTACTCCTGGCTTCACGATATACCGTGTCCAGGCTTCACGATCGGAAGGATCAGATGGTTCCAACATTCTGTATGTTATGCAATCTTTACACTTGTTTCGTCCCATCACGCCCAACACTGCTCGTCGAGGACTGATAAACACCGCTATATCCCACGACCGTTTCCCCCAATTCCTCAAGTACGATCTGTGCCAGCTTGGCATTGTGGTGAAAAATTACCCCATGAGGATTTTTGACTTCCATCAAAGCCCCCAAGGCACCTTCATATCCAGCGTCAACCACACCAGCAGCGATTCCCACCCCGGACCTCCATAGTGACGATCGAGGGAAAACACTCCCCATACAATTCCGTGGAATATGAACGGTTTCGTTGAAATCGATCAAGTAGGTGCCTGGTTGTAGTGTGATTATGTGCTTGGCTTCGTCAAAAGGCAGACTAGAAGTTTTGGCCGCTTGACGCTTAGTGTTATCGAAGTCGATGATAGCCGCTGAGGTCCATCTAGAAACCTGGCGTAAAGTAAGATCGATACCGCATGGCTGTTGCTGCTGAGTGACATTTCCTAAGTTACGCACCAAATGGCGGCTGACGACTTCGAGTCCGCTGAGAATCATGGTGCGGTCTATATCGAACCGAACAGCTTGGCTGGTAATAATAGCAAATGCAAAATGTTGTCAGGTTGCGAGAAGTGAACATCCAGTGGCTGTTCGAAGCCCCTTGATCCTGCCTACACCGCCTCACGGGGTGCTTCGACCTCCAACCCACGTTTCTCCTTACTTGTGATGATCCCATACTGAAAACCAATCTCTAATTGAAAGCAGTGTGTTTTGAATAATCCTAGGCCTGAATGGGGCTCAAACAGGGTCATGTAAGTTATAATCAAATGACATATCTCGGCCAATGACTGAGAACTGGCAGTACCCTTGGCTTTCATGACTGAATCTCGGGGTTGAGCAAACCGCCTGACTTGTGTATTTGGCAGAGCCATCAATCCTATACTCCAAATATTGTTAATCTCAACAATCCACGCGATATCCCGTAAGATATTTAGAATTACACGCTGGCCAGCCCCCGATCCTATCCCAGGCTTAGCGAATCGCCAATGGCTCCCATGACTGTGGTTTGCATTCCCAGCAGATACATGTACTAAGACACTCACCTTCTTTACGCTTGTCACAGATATACAGCTTATTGGATGCTATCCACTGCGGAAAAGCGGTGGCTGACTTAAGGCTGATGCGAGATGATCTGCAAGCCCTATGACGCAGATTGTGGAACAATGAAGCTTATCGATCCAAAATCTGACGAAAGACCATACACTCGATGCAGTCAGCTGCCTAGATCAAGGAATTCCCGCAAAGGTTTGCTATGGGACACGATCTGAGTTTACAGCTCGGTGTTCTCCGACTCCAACCCCCAAGAAAACATACCACTGCATGTGCCTTTCATTGGAAAACTGTGATCTCCCCAATTGGGCTGCTTTTCATCTGCATCTGGGTGCTCTGCTTCAGTAAAAATCTCAGACTTGGGGATCGGGCACAAGGCTGTGGTAGATATCACTCCGCAGGTCCTCGGCACATAACTCGTGGATTGTATAGGTGTGGTTTCACTTCTTCTTAAGTATGTGGCTCCAGATGAGATCACGAAAACTTAATAGGTCGACAGGCCATTCTTTATGTCGATTTCACCAGTTTACCATATGCGTGAGGACGCATTGAGGATTTCGATCGTCGGTAACTAGATTACAACCCCACCACTCTTTCACCCATAACCAATGAAGGACAACGTATTCAGGTCATGATCGGCTTGTAGATTGATCTGATTATCACAGTGGACAGATCAAGTCTTGTTAAAGCTGAATGACGCACAATGTGCTGCGAATACATATTGCTTCTTTCCCGGGGACCAAACTCATAAAGCCCTCGTGTATCTCGCATTATTGTTTCCTCGTCAGCATTGAATAGTGAAAACCATCATTGACCCCTTCAAACCTTTCTATATTACAGTCGCATTAAACAACAAACATGTCTCTGTATGCTTCCCATCTAAGTACCCCTAGCTAATCAAGGCGCTAATAAAAGACTACCCACATCTAGCTCCCCAGAACAGCACTACGAGCAACTTGTCACTGGCAAGAATCTCTCCGGCGATGACGTCCAAGCTGCCTTTGACAATCTCCAGCCTATCAAACCTGAGCACTTCTTCGGGACATGGAAAGGAGCCAATGTGAACACCGGCCACCCCACCGAGGAAAAGCTCACTGGCATGAAGTGGGCTGGCAAGACATTCCGCTCGACGGAGGATGTTGATCCCATCGAGGTCTACCAGGAAAACGGCGAAAGAGTGTGGAATCCAGACTGGGGGCATGCTCGGGTAAGTTGACACTTGGTTTCTGTCGCCTTTGAGATCGCAGATCTACTACTTTTCATGGATGATGTGGATCAGGGCTAATATCACTCCGCTCTACAGCTTCGCCAGATTGAGTGGAAGGGAAAAGTTTCTACTGCTATGATTTATGATGATGTCCCTATCATTGATTACTTCCGCTATGTTAAGGAGGATATGATTGCTGGGGCCATGGATGCGAAGACTGCTCCCGGTGGAACCTATTACTTTTACTTGTACAAGTGAGCGTGAGCATGAGCTTTTCTCACTGCTTCCTAATATATTACCGTCGTGACATTGGAAACCCACCTTCTTTGACATGGAAAGACATTAGATGGATAATATATTTCGGCCGAAGTTTTCGAGTTTACATAACAACTCCCCGAAACTAAATGATGAACCTTATTGCCTCTTTGAAAGTCATAGCTATAGCATTATTGGGGCTGTGTAATGTTTTGTTTATGGGAATATTAACATTCCTAGACACCTATGGCGCTTGTTCTGTAAGTGGACATTGATCTTCAAGTGCCCGCAGCTCGGCTAAATACTGTAGAGTCTCTGAATTGGCTCTATTCTCGGCCGGTTCAGTTCACCGCTCTTATTGCAACTTCCTTTTGCGGTTTCATCACCAGTCCAGGTTGAAAATGCATTCATTCACCTTGTAGTAGTGAGTTATCTCAAGCTGTGCCTCCTAGCGCCTCTCTGAAGCCAACGAAATATACCCGGCAACATGACGTCAGAGGCTTTGTTCAGCAATATATGTAGTTCAAAAAGAGTTTGCCTACTAGATCCGACCCAAGATTCCAACTTCCCGTGTTATCCTCAGTTCTCTGTTTTGTTGATAGCAGCACACATGACACAATACCGGGGATTTTCATACAGTAACCGGATTTTTCAAACAACTAGAACCTGGAAATCAATAGCAGTGGAAGTTTCCCCGACATAACGGCGACACATTTTTGGGCCGACGCCTGATAGTGAATCATTAATGAAGCAATAATTGCCCCGGGTAGACAAATCAGACATTTCTCGGAAGACACGGAAGCTAAGAATAGGATTGAACTCCAAAAGGGAATCCCCCGAACCGATGCCCACTCAAATCTGAAGATCGTCAGTGGGCTTACTCCCGTAACGGGGGTTGGATCCACCCTTCGGGTTAAAACACGCCCAAATCTTGGCTTGGCTCGAAAATGCAGGGTCCTCAGGGGTTTTGTATGGCAGTCAGGGTTTTGTAACTTGATATGTGGCTTCAATTGCGGTTGGAAGAGACCCTTTTCTACTTTGAGGGGGTATTTTGTAGCCTAATATTTAGATAGAGCCCGACAAGAGCCCTGACGCCATCTGCCGTACAAATCATGTATTCTGCCGCTATGAGGGATTGCAAGACATGTTTCGGTCTCTCGACCAATAAGAGAATAAGCCAAAGGATTTTAAAGTTAGCCACTTTATTTTAAAATGGCAGAGGGTCAATTTTGTGACCTCAACAAGTCCAAGCATGTCTTGAGTCGTATCAAGCTCCCTTTCTCTGGGGTATAAGAATCACTAAGTCCCTCTGGTATAATCTCCTTGTTATCCACAATCAACTAAATCACTAACATTGAAAATGAAGTTCTCCATCGCTGCTATCACTGGCTTCGTCAGCGCCATCAGCGCCGCCACCGTTCCCTCGGCCTTCACTCTGGTTGCTGAGGGCGGCAAGACCGTTCTGACCGATGGCCGTACGTTCAATTCCCACCCGCAAAATCGAAAGCCTGAATACTAACAATGGTGAATAGAGTACGCTTTCGTCGGTGCCAACACCACTGACCACGAGATCCTGATCCGTAAGTCCATCAGCCAACCCGGGTTCCACTGCAAGTAATATCCTGACACACTTCTTCAGTCCGTGGCGGCAGCCCCAACGGTCTCGTCTCCTTTACCTCCAAGGACGGTGTCCCCACCGCTTTCCAGAACCTCTACATCGTTGAGGACTCTGTTTCTCCCCTCGGCCTGACTCTTCCCCACTCCGGTGCCGTTCCCCAGGGTGGCAACACCACCGGCTTCGGTGTTAACGACAAGGGCCTCTTCACTCACGGTGGCAAGGCTTGGTTCGCTGTTGACGGCTACGGCCAGAACCCCGTTCAGCAGATCTACTGGTACGGTGCTCACAACGCCGAGTACCGCTCCGAGCAGCTCTACGTTAAGGAGCTCAAGAACTACTCCACTTAAATAAGGGCTGAGCAATGCTAGCTTGAGCTAACGAGGGCTTTGGTGAAAGTTCCATGTTTGTTTTGATGACGTCTCTGTGATAAGAGGCTTCTTTCGCTCCTTCATGTTTATTGCAATTGCACATACATGTATCATATACCAATACTAGCGACACCGAACCTGCAGAGTTCCAGAACCATTTTATACTTCATTGCAGTTGCCCGATCCTTGTACCCGTATAATTATGCCACAACTTCAAAGAGTTCATTTGATCATTGCCTTGATTGTGGTCTCAAAACTTTCCGGCTCACGTCCCAAAATTTTGCTAAGGGCAGGTGACACAACAGCAGTCTCACCCAGTTTGATAGCCTTCCAGGCAGTAGCCCACTCCCTCGAAAGATTGACCCCATGGTAAGTAAGGAAATCAGCATTTTGAGGAAGAGCAGCATATTCATCTGCAGAAATCTCCCGAATCTTGATAGATTTCCCAGTAGCCCGGCCCAATATATCGACCGTCTCAGCAAGGGATATCTCCCGTGGCCCCGAAAGAAGCACGCGCTGATTCAGATATTGGAACTTCGCAGGGTCATTGGTATACGACACGATTAATTTTGCAGTAGCCTCGCCCAACTCATCACGCTTTGCCCACGCGACACCAGGTCCCCCTCCAGAGTGAGGAATCATGATCTCATCTGTAGGGTTCTGTAGATCGAACCAAGTTGTGTATATCGGGAATGACTCAGAGTAGATACCTTCACGAACGGAGGTGTACGTGAAATCCCCTGCATGTGAATCTAAATACTCTTCTGTCTCCAGATGCGCGCCCATTACGTGGGCAGCACTTTTGTCGCTAAGGTTGCCGCCGAATCCAAGCGATGAGTAGAAGATGTGTTTGACACCACTCTTGGATGCAGCATCAATTGCACGTTTGTGGGACTATTTTCTCGTTAGTTGGATTTGTCAATATTCCTTGTTGGAAGTGTTTTCAGTTTACCTTCGCTCGGTGCTCAATTTCAATGGATGCATATGATATCAACATCAAGATATCTACGCCTTCGAAGGCTGTCTGTAATGTCGATGGGTCGTCATAGTCCGCCCGGCGTACTGTGGCACCCTCTTTCTTGAACTCCTCCAATCTCTCAGGATGCCGAGCGATGAGAATAAGTTGTGATGCTGGGAGCAGCTTCGAAAGGTGGTTCAAAATGCTTGTTCCGAGAGCCCCGGATGCTGGGAAGAGGCCGATCTTGGCACTCATTTTGGGCAGTAGGATATAAAATGGAAATGTGACTGGATATCCTTTCTTATTTTATTTACTCAAACATTCAAATTGAGGCGGGGATTCCACTCGGATTATATATCACAATAGTAAGGCTATTTCCCTGATTTGGGAAGGTGGACCGGGAGCTCCTGAAGTCGAAACCGACTTGCTTAGAAATGGCATTCAATTTGCCGTTTCGATCAAGTCCGAACTCCGAAGACGGTTTGGGATCATTTGAAATCAACAGTTCATTTCAAGGCCAATATTGTACTTCGACCTCCTTACTTGGGCCCCATCATAAATACGTCATCCACCCAATCGTGTGCCCCACAGCTGGTCAGAATTTCTTTTATTCTCAAATATTCAACTAGTGCGAGTCAATGCCTGATACCTGAGAAATGCCACTCGCTCCTCTTCCATCTTGTTCTCCACTCGAATAAACAACCCAAGCTCCTGCTTCCCTTTCTTTTTTTTTTTTTTTTTTTTTTTTTTCATCGTGGAATAGAAGTGATTGTCTACCATGTTGTATTCATCAATCATAATATGAACTCTTAAGGAGCTGAGATATGTACCGTCTAACGCCAATGCAAAACAATTCCATGAAATGCTTAGTGAGGCACACCTCCAGTGCCAAACAACTCCATCTTGATCCGGTCAGCGCTGACGCCCTGGCTCTTAAGACTCGATTCCATATCCGTCATGAACTTCTCTGGTCCACAAATGTAGTACTCGGTTTTAGCATCATCAAGGAACAATTCCTCCGGTTTAACCTTGTCTAGATTCACCCGTCCAACATGGTGATAGTCCACACCTTCCTTCTCTCCCTCGGAAGGGTGACTTGTGAAGAAGGTGGCGTTCAAATTGGGATACTTCTTCGTGAGGGAAGCAATGTGCTCTCTAAAAGCGCGTGCGCCTGATGTCCGCGCCCCGTGCACAAAGTGGAGCTTGCGAGTGGAGGGCGCCTTTGATGTCAAGGTATTCAAAATCGAAGTGAGGGGAGTAAGACCCACACCGGCGGAGATCAACACAACCGGATGAGCAGGCTCGGTCTCTGTGGTCGAAAGGAAGAAATCACCATAAGGATGCGAAACTTGCAGTGTATCGCCTTTGTTGAGGGTATCGTGCAGCACATTCGAAATATAACCAGGGTGAGCGGAAACAGCAGGATCAGCCGAGTCGATACCAGTCTCCTTCTTTACGCTGATACGGTAGTAGTCCGATCGAGGCTTGTCACTAAGCGAGTACTGTCGAGCCTGCGTATACTTGAGAGCCGGGACGTATGTCTGAACAGAGATATACTGGCCAGGCTGGAAGTTTGGCAAAGGCTTGCCATCGACAGGTGCGAGATAGAAGGAGGTGATCTCGTCGGACTCTTTGACCTTATCGGCGACTTTAAAGTCGCGCCAGTCGGTCCAACCCTCGCTTTGCTCGTACAGCTGCTTCTCGCGGCCGATCATGATATCGGCGAGCTGCCAGTATGCGGCTCCCCATGCGTCGTGGATCTCTGGGGTCAATGCTGCTCCGAGGACCTCGCCCATTGCTTCGAGGAGGTACTTGCCAACGATTTTGTAATCGTCGGGCTTGATGTAGAGTGAGGCATGCTTGTTGCAGATCAATTCGACTGCGGAGCTGAGAGCTCCCAGATCATCGATGTGCGAGGCGTAGGCGTAGAGTGCGCCGGCTAGGGCACGAGGCTGGTGGCCGTTGACTTGGTTGGGGGTGTTGAAGACGGTGTTCAATTCAGGGTGGGCTTCGAGCATGTTGCGATAGAAGACTGTTGTAATGGTGTTTCCATGCTCGACCAAAACGGGTACAGTTGCCTTAATTAGAGCAATTTGGTCCGCCGTCATTCCAGCAATGGAACCCATGGTGAATGAGTAGCTTGGATCTGTGATGTTCGAGGCGAAATGCGAGGTGCTTTTTTTTTCAGTCGTAGATAATATGTCAATTGATTTGAGTAGTCAAATCGTGTTCGTTCAAATTGAGAATAGTAATTAACTTCATGTCGTTGGCTGTGCGGCTATTTATAATAGTCTACGCCGTAGCACTGAAACGTTAGCTTCGGTGAACGGAAAAAATAAATAAATAAAAATATAAACACCCGTAGAATCCCTGAGAATGTGTCTGGCATGATTTCTGGACGGTGCGATTCGTGCCGAAAAGATCAAACATCTCCGCGGAGAAGAGGATATTGCGGATATTGCGCAGAACGGGATATTTCAATGTTCCGAAGATTTCTCGCGGCCGCCACTGCAATTATCTGGGGCACTTTGGTATGATGAGACCAATTTCTACATTGAGACACTTCAAATTTATGTCCATAACACGTTCATTAAAAACTTATAGTTCAAATGATATGGTTGTGGATCTGCTGTCAAAGCGCCGATCATACAGGATCCCGCAATGGCATGTAGTTCGTCGCAGATAAGCCTCAGATGCAATGATCAAATTTAAAGTTGGGAGGTATCAAGAAACTGGGAGAACAGGGTATAGTCTCTTTGATGTACTATTGTCACATCGCTAAAAACTCATCACACGCCGTCCGTCCAATCCCGGCGAGTCAGGCCATAGACGAGAATAAGCCGGCGTCGATCGGGAATCCCGGATTCGTCCAATAACACTCGCATGATTACTATACATCGGTACAGTGCCGAGTGTGTCTTGGCAGTTCGGGCCATACTGAAGTAATACGTTTCTCGTGACTAACAATCCCTTAGAAGCTGGATATTCACATGGATCAACACAGGAAGCAAACTTAGTGCGCCGGGTGTTTAACCGTTTTGGGGTTCCTTATTAATGCTTGAGAGTCGACGGAAACGACATCGAGCATTCAACTTGGAAGTGTGTCAATTAAGCGTTTAGCAGATCCCATCGTCTTCCAGATCTCACAGGTGTCAGTTAATCATCTGTGCAATACAGACGGTGAACTCAGCCGCCAAACCTTAATGAGCTCTATGAGTCGTTGATTAATCGCTAATTTCATACCAATTGAAGGGCCCGCCCAATGACAGCTTCCTGGGAAAGGCGGGGTCAGTCAATGCCGATCATGAGTGGAAGAATCTATTGAAGACTCGCGTGGTTCGCCGAAGGTCTAGACAATCGATGTCGCCGTTTTCGGAAGGCCGGCTGGTCCCGTCCCGTAACAGTAGCTTGTTTACTCCTAATAAGCCCTGGAGGGCTCAATCGCACATGCTGACCTCACCATTCGACATCTATACATCCATGGACCACTCAAAGCCACAACCCATTCAAGGTGGACGCCCTGGCCAAGACGACGAATTGTTGTTGAATAAGCGAGTTCAGTGGCTGTGTCCCCAGTTTGACCCCGATCGATGATACATGGACTGGCCTAGCATGCGTTCGCGGTAGGCAGTAGTGACGTCTGCCATATGCAATGGGGGTACAGTATATAGGTCTAACGATGGAAGAATGGGTGGAATAAAGGAAATGCTCTCACTTTGACAAGATTTTCTGCTGAATCTTGTCCTGTCGGCTCTTGACTTTCTTTAGCCTCTCAATTCCATCTTCATTCACGATGCGGTTCAAGAAGCGCCAATCCGCTGATGTCTCGACACTCGGGGGCCGCCGGGTCCCAACGGACGCGGTCAATTGCCTATGCTTCAGATGCCAGACAAGCTGCGATACAACTTGTTGTGTGTGATGGGCGAGTTCGTGGGAACGTTTTTGTTTCTTTTCTTCTCTTTTGCTGGTACCCAGGTCTCGAATACCCCCATGCCGGCTCCTGGGTCGCCGCCCAATACTTCGAATCTGCTGTACTCGGCACTTTCTTTCGGTTTCTCATTGACTGTCAATGTCTGGGCGTTCTTCCGTGTGACTGGTGGTCTCTTCAATCCAGCGGTAAGAAAGCGGCAATAAAAAGAGAAAGGGATAATGGTAGCTGACAATTAACAGGTAACTCTCGCACTTTGTGTCACTGGCGGCATGCCCCCTTTACGTGGGTTGTTTGTTTTCCCAGCTCAACTGGTCGCTGGAATTGCAGCTGCAGGTGTAGTGAGCGCACTATTCCCAGGACCGCTGAACTGTGCAACTCGTCTGGGTGGTGGAACGTCCATTTCGCAGGGTCTCTTCATTGAGATGTTCCTCACCGCGCAACTGGTGATCGTCATTATCATGCTAGCGGTCGTGAAGCACAAGTCCACCTACTTGGCTCCAGTAGGAATCGGTCTGGCATTCTTCGTGGCGGAAATGATCGGTCAGTAGTATGGCTCCCCTTTACAACAACTCACCTAACACTCCATTCCAGGTGACTATTATACCGGAGGATCCTTGAACCCCGCGCGCTCCTTGGGACCAGATGTAATTAACCGAACATTCCCCGGATATCACTGGATCTACTGGGTCGGCCCTCTGCTCGGTTCCCTCCTCGCCTCTGCCTTCTATCACCTCCTGTGCTTCGTACGCTGGGAGAATATCAACCCGGGTCAGGATTACAATGAGCAGGAGTTCAGAGCGAGAAAGGAGTCAATGGCTCCTTCGGAGAGAACCATGACCGACCAGGTTCATTCCGATGATGTTCCTGAGCAGAGCCAGCCTAATCGGGAGATCCTTCCTGATCAACAGGTTTAGTGGGGCGTAGTCGGCCACAGATCGTCATCTTGCAGTTAGCTCGTCTGTCTGCAGGTGGTATTGATCATTGATGACGTGGGCTCATTTGTTGGATATGTAATGTCACTACTATATACAGAGCTGAAGTGGGGCATGTATGTCTGTGATAATAAGTCTGAGGATGGCGAACAGCATTTACATGCCGTCTGCATTTTTCCTTCGAAGATTCTTAGGGGAGGTAATTGTCCAGGGATGTTACTGGCCAGACGAGATCGAAATAAACATTCATTCTGGAACAGAAGAAACAAATGTTGAGAGCTTGGGAAAGCAACGGGGCAAACCCGTAAGCACCGACTAAGATGTGAAATTTGAGTCACCGCACACCTCCACTGGCGCTGGTTAACAAATAGCTTCCACGCAAAAGGCGTGAATGGAAATCAGTCACAGCCTTGTCATTCCAGGCAAATTGAGCCGAGCATGGACTGCGAGATGCGTACTACGACACGTAGTGTGCTCTGAGATCTGACAGCATGCTGCCGTCAGACCGTATCCAAAGACTCCGGGAGTGAACAAACAACGCAAATCAATAGTCACCCGTTCAGACCTCCAGGATGCCAAAGAGTCGCGAGGATGAAGTGGAACTAAATCGTGGACATGCATCAATCCCCATGCCGCAAGGGCGTGGAATCCCCAACTGATTCGCCAATCTGACAGCATAGCAGACCCTCCCACTCCTCTTTTCTGCAGGATTAACTGCATCAATTATTGGCGGAGTCTCATGAAGGAGGATCGATAATTGGCTATTTCAGCGTTGGCGCTAAAAGAGTATTTGCAAGATCCACAATCCCTGGCCCTTGTGAATGCCTCGACTGCAGCTTGCCTTACTTTATCGTATTAAAGCAACCATAATCCCTGCCATGTCGGTCCGCGATCAACCAGATACAACCTGAGTCGAGTCCAAAATGGACACCAAGACTACCGACCCCGAGTTGGTCGCGTCGACTGACGCGTCGAGCACTGATCCAACCGACGTGCAACTGCTAGGTATGAAGCATTAACTCAGTATGCTCTTTTTTCGCGGGGAACACCGGTCGGGATGTTAGTTACTGATCCTCTGTCTAGCCCGTATGGGCTACAAGCAGGAACTCCGCCGACAATATTCCACACTGCAGGTGTTTGCGATTGCATTTAGTATTATGGGCTTGGTGCCCTCGATTGCGTCGACACTCTCGTTTTCTCTGCCGGCAGGTCCAGTGGGCATGGTTTGGGTATGGGACCAATCGTATATTGGTTAGTGCGCTCGATTGACTGGCTTTTGCGATACAGGGATGGTTCACAGCGAGTTTATTCATCTTGTTGGTCGGGCTGGCGATGGTATGTCCCGGTTGCGGATCTGGCTCTCTGTTGAACTATGGAGCTAACATCCGCCAGGCCGATCTTGCTTCTGCGATGCCCACAGCTGGAGGGCTCTATTTTTGGACTCATTATTTTGCTGGACGTCAATGGAAGAACCCGCTTAGCTTTCTGATCGGGTACAGCAATACACTGGGCCTAATTGGAGGGATGTGCTCCGTGGACTGTGAGGATGATCATTGCATATTTCCGTCGCTGTCAATCACTCTGCTTACTTTCCTCGCGGTGTAGATACCCTCGCCCTCATGATCCTCTCCTGTGTATCGATCGCACGAGACGGATGGTCCGCCTCGCGCGGTGTCATTTATGCTGTTTTTATCGGACTGGTCCTTTTACACGGAATCTGCGCCTCCCTAGGTGGCCGTTTTATGCCAAAGATCCAGACATTTTGCATCTACATCAATGTCGCGCTCGTTGTTGCGACAGTGATAGCACTGCCAGTTGGAAAGGTCACCCGCGGCGGATCTCTCAACTCAGGTCATTTCGTCTACCGCCATATTGACAACGAAACAACCTGGCCGACCGGATGGGCATATATGCTCGCATGGCTAGCCCCAATCTGGTCTATCGGATCATTCGATTCCTGCGTGCATATGAGCGAGGAAGCTCTGCACGCTGCCAGAGCCGTACCTCTCGGAATTATTTGGTCGGCTGGCTCTGCAATCGTACTTGGGTTTTTGGTTCTCTCTATCATCGCGGCCACTATGAATCCGGATGTGAGCGTGACATTGAATACAGGTTTTGGTCAGCCAATGGCTCAGATTTATTATGATGCGCTGGGCAGAGATGGTGCTTTGGTATTTATGGCTATACTCTGCTTCTCTCAATTCCTCATTGGCCTCAGCTTGATAGTTGCAGCTTCTCGTCAGGCTTGGGCCTTTTCTCGCGATGGTGCACTTCCTTTTTCTGGTTTCTTCCGACATGTAAGTGAGCGGATTAAGTACCAGCCTATTCGCGTCATTTGCGGTATCGTGGTCGTCTGCCTTGTGTTGGGCTTGCTATCCTTGATCAACTCAGCTGCTGCCAATGCTCTCTTCTCGCTCTTTGTCGCGAGTAATTACCTCTCATGGGGCACACCGATATTTTGTCGCCTGGTCTGGGGCCAGGATCGCTTTCGCCCTGGCGAGTTCTATACTGGCCGATTTAGCAAGCCGATTGCATGTGTGGCTGTTGTCTACCTGCTCTTTGGTGTTGTTCTATCTATGTTCCCAACCGCGGGTCCCAACCCATCTCGTATGTCACTTCCCATCAAACATATGATACAATGGCTAACTCTGATCTTATAGCATCGAATATGAATTACACCATCGTCATCAATGGCTTTGTCTGGGCTGGCTGCATGATATACTACTTTATCTTTGCGCGACACTGGTATACTGGACCACAGATGACTGTTGGTGAGAACGCGTCTACCGTTTCGAATAATACTATCGGTTCTTCGGTAGCTTCCTGTTTCAATGGAAACGGACCTGCCGCTGACGGACGTAAGGGGGATTAAATCGTCCTTGTTATATTTAGTTAATGCGTCTCCTTACGACGTGTCTGATACCCATGATACTTAAATTGTAACAACCCTCATTTGGCCCTCCGTTGTGGCTTGGAATCCAACACAAATCAACGCATCTCAACGGCAACCACAGCCGGGTTTGACCCCCTTAGCGCAGGGCACACGCCACCCGGTATTGGCATCGACGAGTATGATCTCGGCAAGGACGACGATAGTTCAAAAACTGCACATTTACGAGGAATGATGAAACTTCAATACGATATAGGTTGATTGCAATGTACTTAATGTACGATAGAGGGATATATGTACAATTTTACAATAAGAACGCCGGCATTAACCTGCTTTTCCCATATGCGAGCCAGCAAGATGTAAATAAATAGTCAAGGAAAGTCGTCAATGATCAAGAGCAGCCGCCAAAGATAGAACCCGAAAAATAAAAATCATCGAGTATCAGTGTTTTACAGGGCAACCATAAAACCCAGGACACCAGCCATACCAGCGGCAGCAGCGCCGATAGCGGTAGGGCGAGCGAAGGCACCGTTGCCAGAGGTGGAGGAAGAGCCAGTGGCAGACCCGCTGGAAGAGCCAGTAGAAGAGGCGTCACTAGAAGAGCCGGTGGTAGTAGTCATGGTGGTGGACAGGGTAGCAGTGGCTGAGCCCTCGGAGTTGGTAAGGGTGTGGCCAGTGACCCAGGTGGAAGCCTGGCTACGAGCGTCACTGGCACGGCTGGCGGCATCAGAGCCGATGGAGCTGGCCTCGCTCTCGGCAGCAGTGGCGGCTGCGCCAGCAGCACCGGTCAGGGTTGACACGGCGGCGGCACCACCGGTGTGCACGGCGTTGGCAATGGAGGTGGCTTCAGAGGCGGCCTCGGAGCCGATGGACTGGCCGTCGGCCTTGGCGGTTGAGTAAACGCCTTCGGCTCCCGTGACGATGTCGTTGATGTTGTCAACGACGTCTGGGGAGGCCATGGCGGCAGTGGCCAGGAAGAGGGCGGAGAGGATGGAGAACTTCATTGTCGATATGTATAGAGGATTGGTATATAGATTGAGGAGGTTTCGTGGCGAAGAATTGAGTTTGAGATTCAATGGATGATAGTCAGATAATCTGGGGGAAAGGGGGACTCTTTATAAAATTTCGATGAAGGAGCAGCTCCCGTCCCAAGTTATTGATAGAAACAGCGGAGTTTAATTGCGACTAGTTGGCTAGGCAGCCGAATGAGACAGTGGCAACATGACCTCAGCCTTGTGAATAGCAATCCTCACGTCGATCGCAGGGTCCGCTCAGGGATAGGGGACCAGTGCTGAGCTGGCAAAATGCATGGGATGTCCCGCCATGCAATTTTGGGTAAGCCCATCGTCATTTCGGGGCCCACCGAGTATTATGGGCGCAGCGATGTGGCTGTTTGGGGCCGTTTCATCGTCCCGGGACAAGACCGGCAAGATCTAGCCTGCATAGTCTTGCAGGAGCTTGTATTGTACCTGCTTCCATGTACCCCATGCGATGCAGCACAGCCAACACAGTTTTAGAAATTCTCACCTTAGGAATTTGGTTGCCTTTCCCGTCCCTACAACTTGCCGGGACCCCCGGCAGTCCCACAGAGTCCCCTGAGTATTTGGTGCCCACCGTGGAACGTCTCCGCTGATCAGCTGCGCACAAGCTGCGTGAGTGGTTGACCACGAGATGAGTATTTCCGAGACGGTGGGTCAACTTAGGTTGGATAAATCGGGCTTGGCGTCCGTAATTGTCGAAGGCAATAATTTGCTGTTAAGGAGCCTTCAATGCCGTTGTGATTGCTCTCGTTTGAGAAAAGCCAAGACTTGAGGTGACGCGTTCCTGTTTTGGAACCGTTATTTGCAAGGGCAGGGCTGACCTGTATCAATGATTCGTCGTGGATTGAGTGGCGCGGTGCTCGGAGCCCGTCGGATTGGAGTGTGAGGCGCATGATCACGTGAGTGTGGCGATGCTCGATATAAAAAGAAACAGAAAAAAGGCTTGAACGGCACACGTCATGGAGTATACATCCTACATAATACTTGGTATTGCTTGCCATGCAAAACTATGGTGCCTAGTTCTTTACATTCAGGGTTGTATTGATGAATCTTCTTATTAATAATTAATCTAGCTAAGTGTACAGCAAAATGCATATGTCCAAATGATGCAATAAAACGCCACGTCCAATATCAAGTCGTGAACTGGCCGTAAACCTGAATTATAGCTTCCCATCCACCCTTATGATTGGATTCACGCGGGTTGGTCTTATTATCAAGAACCATCACATCCGTCATACGCGTGCTGATTGAGTACCAGACCAGGTTTGTTGGGTTGTTCGTCACTCGCATCATGTTGGATTGGCAATTACCACTGCAGGGCTCGTTATACAGACCGTTCCAGTAGCCATCGAAGAAGGCCCAGGCTGCCGAATTGTATAGCGCGACATCAGATCCTCCGTCCACGTTTGTTGCCAATGCAGTACGGCACTTCTGGTCCTCTGTGGCGCACCACGAGAAATCAGGGTCACCGTATTTCGGTTCCGGTGCCCAGGGTGCTGGTGCAGCCTCGTACTCGCCCTGGCCCTGCATATATGGAGTCTCTGTTTGCAGAAGCCCGGCGAAGACGTTCTTCGCGTTGTGGAAGTTATAGTTATACAACCAGTGGTGCTCAGAACCAGTGCCGGTGAGCCATGTGCCTTTGGTTGCTTCGACCAAGATACCACGGCCAGTGGAGATGATGGTCAGGATGGACTCGCTGTCTAGGTTGTGATCGGCCGTCCAGCCCCAGAAGTTCTCGATGTATGCAGATGACGACTCGGTCAGGTGCATCACCATGAAGGCAGCCATGCAGTTTTTGGGGTCTTGCGACGTGCAGGCACCAGAGATACTGGTTTCGGCTGTACCACCAACGGTAGCCATGGTGTTCCATAGACCAACTTCACCTGGCTCGTTGCCTGCGGCATTGATCTCAATAAGCTTGGCACCAGGTAGGATCTCTCCCACGGAGAATCGCATATCCTGGATCTCAATCAGACCAACATCACCTGGGTTGCCAAGCTTAACAACTGCTCTTGGGTTGCTGACATCTTTGAAGTTGTCACCGTATCCAGAGATTACAGGCCATGCTTCTCCCACAATGCGAGTTCCGACAGGAACGAAGATCGTATCAGATACGCGGTAAATACCGAAGGGGATGTAGGTCACTTTGCAAGATTCGGCATTCTCAGCCAAAATAGCGTTGAGTGCTTTGGTATCGTCGGTTTTACCGTCTCCCTTGACTGTGTATCCTGGGACGGTCTTCACGTTGACAATTTCGGCAGAGTGATAGTCTTGATAGGTAGGTTGTGCCTTGGTGAAGAACTTATCGCCGACAAGAAGCTGAGGAGAGCGCTCAGTGCGCCACTCGACACCAGCCTCATATTTCGTGGGAACGACTGTACCCCAGACCCATGTTTCGATATGAGAGGTAGCAGCCAATGCCACGTGTCCTGCTGTATCGACTGCAATAGCATTTTGGCTATTGTGCTTGAGATTCTGGATCAGGAACTGGCTGTTCTGCTTACCATGGTCTTGGGACGAGTCGTAGAATCGGATTACAGGGCCGTTGTTCGTGGATATGGAGTCGAGAAGCACCAAACTGCCCAAGCCGTTGCCAGTCATGTCAATACCAGTGCCACAACTGTCGAACGTGGCACCTTGAAGAAGTACTGTCCAGCCACCTATAGCATGGAATCCAGTTTTACATGCTTGGAAATAGATATTTTTGAAGTTCACCTGCTGGTTCGAGTTTCTGATCCCAACAGCTCCACCAATAATGTCCTGTTTTATGTTAACTTGGTTCTGTCTTTAGGCGATCCGGATTTACTTACCACGTCAGTTACAGCAATCGTGGAACCGGCTTTCAAATCAATGCCGGTGTGGCCAGTTGATTGCAGTGGCATGCGGATCTTGACGTTTGTCAATCCAGAACCCTGCGCAACTCCCCACTGGAGAGCAGTAAATCCACGGGTCGCGTCGAGGGCAGTGGTGTCCAAGATGACGTTCTTGAGAAGCATTGCAAAGCTGGTCTCGGGTGCGCCGTTTTTCTCGTCGTACCCCATAATGAGATGGTCACCTTTGAAACCTGGAGCGGCCTTGAGGACAGGAGGGTTCAACGGGTTTCCGACGATGATGGTTCCAACCGTCAGACTAAGAGTGCTGCCAAGTTTATACTCACCCCCGGGAAGATAAACCTCAGCGGGATAGCGAGTAACGCCATGACCCTTTCGGCTGCCGCCAGCGCCATCGTCGTCGATGGCCTTTTGCAGCTTGGCAGTTTGATCTCCAGAGCCATCGTTGACAACTGAATAGTCCATAACGTTACGGAATACTGGATACCGCTCCGTTGAGTTAACAAATGGGGCAATACCTGCTCCCTGATTATTGTGATCTTGATCATCAAGCCAGAAGACTTCCGGGGACTTGGCCGCAGGGCCGGCGCATGTCTTTGTTGCAGGAGCGAAGACCGGATGAATTGTGGACCTAAAGGTGTGGTTAGCTATGAATAAGCCGCAGTGCGAAATGTAAACCTACGTGGCTGGCGCGGCGATGCCGTTCCCTGTCGGCGAGGGCGCTCCCTTTGAAGAACTGGGCTTTGCTGATGGCACGCTAGTTGTTGAAGATGCACTCGCCAGCGTTGTGTGATCCGCGGGCTTCGTCCGTACGGTTTTGGATGTTATTGATGACATGCCAGTTGTTGGAGATGCACTCGCCAACGTTGTGTGACCCGTGGGCTTCGTCCGTACGATGCTGGATGTTGCTGATGAAACACAGGTCTCTTCTGCTGACCTCGTTACCGACAACGATGGAGAATTCGGAACCCAGTCCACGGACGTCGTTGAAGTTGACGGTGCACCAGTCAGTCCTGCCAACGAAGATGCCAGAGCCCAGTCAAAGAACGGATACGATCCGTCTGCCGATGGAGCAGCGATACGCGGCGATTCAGATGAGCGAACCAGGTGAAGAGGAACGGTAGCACTGGATGCCGTTGAAACAACAGCTGCAACTGCAGCACAAGATGACAGACCCCGCATATTCAATTCTTGACCGTGATCTTGGCCCTGAACAATACACGAAAGCAGTAACGGGAAGAAGGATTAGAACGGTTGAGAATTAGAAATACCTTTCAAACAAATGTCAGACTAAGCAACTGTCACCATGCAAGACGTGTTGGTATGGGCGGATCAAAATAACTTGTATCTGGAATGTTTGCGTGGTTGTCGTCGCATACTAACTGGCCGGGTGAAAGAGCCAAGACGTTGTTGATCGGCATCCCTTGCAAATCCCGGGAGTTGGAGGCCTGTTAGAGAACCAAACAACTAGAGTAGCTTTGTTCGCTGCCGTATCTCGCCAATTCTATTATCCAATGAAAAGGTGTAGTCTAGGGTTTCTACAAGTCCAATGTGGGGTTGTAGATGTCGCTGTTGTGGTTTTTCCTAAATGGGATTGGTAGCGTCTCCTAACCTATACCATTGTTAACCGTTGTTAGCCCCAAGATTCACATCCCAGATCAGATAGTTTCAATTAATATCAGCATCAATTTAGTCTGCTGAGTTATCCCTCACTTAGCTTTTAACTGAAAATGATCTAATAACATTAAAAGCCGGGTAGAGCGTCAAATGTTTTACCGTAATCCGCACTAGACCGAGCTGTCAATATATAACTTATATCTTTGACAATCATGCTTAAACACTACAACTCTTTTTGTAAGAGATGACCAATATCTTTTCTTGGAAAGCAGACATGCTTTATATATTTACTCAACTCCCGCTAATCGTTGGTGATAATTGAGCTAGTATGGTTGTGAGATACCTTTAATATTAGTGCCATTAACTTATTCACTTCGATGTTGAAGATAGCGCCAAGACCTCAGGACCTTTCACAGCCCAGACCCAGATGGTAGCAGTTCATCATCTGCATAATGGGGCCACCGCGTTACCCCTTGCGTTTCCTAGACTCAATGGTGTTGTTGTCTCAGTAGCGTTCCGCGCTTCCCTCACATACCAACGGTAACGACGCAACGGCGAACATGCTCCCAGTTCTAAATAATCATGTTTAAAATTATCAACGAGGCCACGTCAATATCCATGTACCTGCCCACGAAAGGCGCTAAGTCACTAACTGATGCTGACATGAATTTCAGCCGACTCACTTCCGGGGACTAGGAGCCCAGGCATCACTACTTGATGGAGTGGAACATCACCTGAGGTCGGAAAAACACGCAAAAGAAGGAAACATTCAATACAAACGAAAGCTTTAGTTGATTTGAATAATGAATGGCAACGGTGTCCTACTTTGTCTAGCCCCGTTTAAACCTGTTTTAATTCATCGGCCTATCGAGGAGTCTGCAAAGAGATCTCCTATGTGGAGAAAGGTTACATATTTACCGGAATACTATAGAATACATTTCCAGATATCGCATGAAATTCACGGCCGAGTAATAGGTTGTCAGTGAAAACAGCAAATTATGCAAAACTCACCATTTTCAATGACGATAACAATGGTGAGTCAGCTAATCACAAGGGACTCGGCATGAGCTTTCTCTTGATGGTTGATAGCTTTTATGTGGCCATCTGGCGTTAACGTATTCGGCAGGCAAGCGAGTAGTCCAGCTAGAATACCACCTTGAATGCGAAACTTGATAATTGTATACCTCAACAACCAACCCTTTTTAAAGATGTAATATTAGAACTAATCTCTTACTATCCTATGCATGAGCCGGTCACAAGTGGGGGGCTGACGTCGCGCAGTCACGATAGTAAGCTAAATTGGATCTGTCAACTAGTCCATGTGTCCTCTGCAGGCTGAAGAGTTCCCCTGAATTGCTCTCATGCGTTAGTCAAAACATTGAAACTTGACTTGGGCATTTTTTTTTTGGCCCAAAATGAGCTCTATCATCGACTTATCCCTGCGGTCGACCTATTCACCGGGAGCAGCTCAACCGGTATTTTCACGAAATCAATATCCCTTCGCATCTGCGGGCATAATTATGGCCGATCAATGGGGATGCAAGTACTAACAATGTGGTCGCGTCGTCTCACTTAGAAGCATTGCAACGGTATCAACTGGCATCCCGGCCCTTCGAGAATTCCGATTTGCATTACTCAGCACACCGAAGTATTTCTACAGACCCCAAAGCCTTTTCAAGAAAATCATTGATTCACAATCCCATGGCGGCGGATATTGCATGGAGAACAATACCCTATTTGGGACGGTATTGCACAGTCTGGAACACAGTATCACCTCAGTTGGAGGTCGAGTGAACGAAGCTGCACAGCCAATGTCTGCATCGAGAAACTGGAAAGGCCCTAAATATGACGGAGAATATGAGTGTCCTCTTCATCCATGTGTTGTAGAAGATGGAAAGCTCTTTTGAACCTTTGCCTGTGACTGACCATCCAACCAAAGGAACCACATGGTTAACATTGCCACTATTGGAGATCAGAAATACCTGATAGATGTAGGGTTTGGCTCAAACGTGCCTCACAAACATATCCCCCTCATCCAGAATTATGAGTTTCACAATAACGGAGATTTACATGGGCGCGTCATTTATGGACCGATCACCCAGCATACGAGAATGGGACAACAACTCTGGCAGTATGAGATTCGCATAGGGGACAGCGCATGGACTCCTGCATATTGCTTTGCCGGGAGGGAGTTCCTTCCGAAAGACTTCACGATAATGAACTACTTCATGAGCACGAACCGCGCAAGCTGGTTCACCTTTCATGTCGTATGCGTCCGGATGTTGCTAGACGAGGAGGGTGAGAAAGTCGTGGGCGATCTGACTCTGCTTAATGATACGATTGAAAGACACTTCGGAGCAACACCTGAAGTGTTGCAATCTTCCACCTCTGACGAGGAACGCGTCGCAGCTCTCGAGAAATATTTCCAAATTACTATCTCTGAAATGGACAAGGAGAGTATTCGACATACCATTTCAGAGACTTTAAGACTTTGATTGGCGACGAGAGCTACTGATTCTTCTGCATGCTATTTCTGTACTGGCAAGATATAGATATAAGTTGTATTCGATCTGACAAGTCATCACTATTATCGAAATCTCCATAGTACGCAGCAGTATTTGATCAAGAAATTGTCCAAGTTAGTAAGTAGATGAGATTGTTAGAGCTTCCGACAATGAATATCCCGATAGATTGGATTGTGGCGAAATGACGCAGAAGGCACAAAAAGATAGCAGGCAAAGACAATGACGACAAGCTCTCCTCATCTAAGCTGGTTGACAGATGTGAAGAAGCCGACATTGTGCGGTGCATATGGGAGACTGCCATTCGAAAGCACCAGACGACCATGCCACCGACAGCGCGTCTCTCAAACTAGCTTTAGCAATCTTACTTTTCATGGTGAACTGGCTCACTACAGCTTCTGTGGACTTGCAAAAGAGTTGCAAATTCCACAGAGGGATATATCCCTCGGCCTGCAGGGAAAGGCAGGACAACATGAGAAGGCTCAAAGCGTTGCAAAGCTAGACGACTTTACTAAAGTAGAGTTGTCGCTTGCATTGGGATCTTGATTCGAAGACTGACTGGGCCTAACATCATCCTCACACCAAACCCCTAACGTATCCTTGATAGGCGGCCCCACACTTGCATTTACGCCTTAGGATCTAGCAGCGTATAAGAAGTCCTTAGGCAGTTCCTTGACTTTCTTTAGCAACCGTTTTCTTAACCGTACCTTTGACCGACGCTTTTGCAGCCGCCTTCGTGGGCCCGCGTATGGCTGCCTGTGCCACGTCACTCAGCCCCGGAATCGCACCTGCGATGGCGGATAGTCCGAGATCAATGCCTAATCCGGCCTAGTTAATCTTATTCCCGGTAGCTAGATCATATCCGACTGAAGTTGCGAGATCGGTCGCGACGCCGACGGCGATGGAAACACCCACCTTAGGCCTCGCCATTACCCCTGGGTAAACGGGTTTTACCCAACCCATACCCATTCCTTGGCGGGTTTTGGGTTCAAAGTTCAGACCCAGGGTCGGGTACGGGTTTGATATTAGACCCGTACCTAACCCGCGGGTTACCCACAGGTTGATAAACAATGCAAACATAGATAATCTCGTGATATACATAAATTGTGCATTTCTGGGCTGTATTTATATGTATTTAGCTTACAGCGGTATACTTTTGAAGGAACAAGATTGAGTGTGAATAGCTTCAATTGCCTGACTAAACTAATAAACTATAAACTGATCATTATGATGCCGTGGGCGCTTTCTAGATCTTCTAGAGACACGCTGTTGGGTCTCGGGTAGAGGAACCTCTTCCTCGTTGTTATCACTATATCCTTTAATACCCGATTTAGACTTCCGCATGACCTAACCTAACCCGGACCTAACCCGGACTAGGTTAGGTTTTTGGTCGGAGTCTTCGACCTAGTACTAGGTCTAGGGCCCTAAGTTAGGTTATAAATGTTATGAATAAGCTAACGTTAATACCCGTGACTATATAAGTTATGAATTTTTGGGCTATAATATTAAGTATTCTAAGGTACGTTAAAATATCTAACGGCCGTCGGAATTTAGGCCTATTTATAAAACTCAAGTTAGCGAATAGTAGAGTTTAAATTGATTGATTATCTAGCTATACTACTAACTAGTGGTACTTAAAGATATTATTATCCCGACCCTTACGCTTCCGTCCTAAGGCACGTACCTAGGTGCTGTTTCCTAGTAGTGGTAGCTAGGATTTTGTGAGACCACGCATACAGTCTCTACGTTTAGATAGGTAAGCGAGGTAGATGGCCTAGTTATGCGTGTTTTACAATAGGGTAAGAGTACAAAGTCATACCTAATTTCGAGAACTACTGTACGTATCTCCAAGTTTTTGGTGCTCCACGGCCCAACCCAAAGCGCACTAGCTCAGTTTAGGGTGCTTTCCCCATCATACCGTATCTTTGCTGAGTCAGATCGAATTTAAGTGCAGTATCACTGCTTTATTCCTTGATTGCTTTCTAGAGCCCTGATTGGCAAGCACTTTATACCATATTCGGAATAGCTGCGGGACTATCAATGTCTCGATAGATTATTCTTTCACATCACCGTACGCGATAGCAGCCGAATATGTAAGAAAATTCAGGAGCGGTCTAAATACCCCCTGTTGGGGTACATAGGAAGCGATAGTGGTGATAAACGGCACGGCGCTGCAATAAAATAGGGACAACGAGCAGATGACGAAGCAATCACAGCAGCTTAACATGCAGAAATATGCAGATAAAGTCCTACAACCCTAAGCCAAGATGATCTGAAGAAAGCGACAATAATGCAGGTACCAGTGGACAGCAAGACCGAATGAGCGACGTGCGTGACGAAACAGTCCATACGTAGTTATGCCACCTCTTTTTGCAATGTCTCGCGAACAGTACATCCGTGTTGGCTAATTCCCTTTCACTCACTTCGTTCGTTTCAGGGCATGACTCATTGCTACAATACTGTAAGCCTATGGGAGCCTCTTAAAATATTCTCTGCAAACAGCTCAAACTGACGAAAAGGTCTGGCGGCCTCGTAAGAATGCTGTGTTTAGAAAACAGTACTGAGCCTTATAGGAGCTTTCCGCTGCTAAGAAGGCCACTAACCCGATAATTATGAGTTTACTGGAAATTACCACGCCCAGAGACGTAACTGTCAAAATTTCGCTGAATGGAAACAGTCAAACGTCACTGATGACAACCTCTAGCTGCATTTCCACAAGCGTGTGACGTGACACTTGCTGATAGTATTGATCTTGGGCAGGTTTACAAGGATCAAGAACCAGAACGTTTTGTGCCAACGGAATAAAAACAGGTACAGTATCATGATGGGTGGCGCAGAAGAACGGGCTATTTTTAGCAGGCAGGCCTGAAGCTTGAAGGGTCCTAGATGAGATCGGCTTCTACCTCGGCTCTATCATATAAAAACACTTATAGAGACGGTCCACTTGGATCTCGGTGTTTGATTTCTGCTGCATTGATGGGAGAAGACACCTAGAGAGAAGTTCTGTAATGCTGTATTTGCGGAGATAAATTGCAATCGATGATCCTCCAGGTTACCTCCGGACTAGCAGTTTTGAACCCCTCAGCAACAGGTACAAATGGAATTTCGCGCTTCTGGTTCCTGTCAACATACGAAGTAAAACCTCTTGGAGTTGGATGTGTACCTTGTACTTCCATATTCGAAAACAGATTCTCCCACTTACACTCTTAGATAGTTTTGACGAATCACAGGACACACGCCCTAGCATACACCCTTAAGTTATAGAAGAACTGCGTATAAAGGTTCACTTGTGTCGCTGACCGCGTTACTGTACTTGAATGCTACGTCGAAATCTGCCGAAGCAGTACGAATCGAGGATGAGAGGCGACGGCTACAAGAGTTAATGACCAGTTTCTGCAGCGCTGCGGCGAACAGACACTGGCGATTTGAGATTGCAGTCAATCAGTTCGGGCCTTCTCGATTGGATTTAGCCTTGCCGGCTAGCAATCCTCAAGTCTACCGCGTTGGTAGGGCTTGGCGAGGTCCTAGTGTAGTGGAGCGTTGGTAGGCAAGACATTTCGATTGGTTATATGTTACAACGGACAGCCAAACCCCGGTCTTCAACAACAAGCTATCTTGAAGAGCGGAGTCCGTGCAAGGAGTCGGTAACGTACGGTCGCGGACCGACACCTTCGGGAATGGACGAGGTATAAGGTTAAGGATGCCCTTCGGTACTAATCCACTGTGTCTATTTAACATAACGTAATAGCTACGAGGGAGCAAGTAGCAGAATGGAGGCCAAAAACATAAGATTGGAGGCGATATTGAAGGAAAGAATGGCCTTAGAGGGAAGAGGCACGCCCAAAAAGCTCAGCTGCCTAATCTGATCTAGACTAGATCACTGGCACTGAACACTTCATCTCACCATAGACTACACGTTGAGTAGTCTGCAAAGACCCTGGTTATGGGTTCGACCCTGACAACCAGAGTTCTTTAGTCAATTTTCTTTGCGTCTTCATAGCCGTCCTCGCGGTCACGCTTTAAGAACCCGATAATGAACCATTCTGACAAAATCATAATCGTCAGTTCATTTGAAACAAATATGGAGGGAACCACATTAGCCCACATACCGGCCAAACTGAGTTTCTTGTCGCCAGAAACATCTATCCCTGAGAAGGCCTCCTTAATCTCTTTTTTCGCATCCTCTTTTGCCTTAAGCTCATCGAGCACTTTGAGAAGTTCTTGAAGCCCAACATTACCTAACGCATATCTCGTTTCAGCTTTTGCAGCTAAGCTTCGCAGCTGTACACTTATCTAACGTACCGTCAAGGTTTCTATCCTAAACAATCATGTGAGTATGTATGAAGGATTTCTTTGCGGCCAGGGGATGGGCGGCTTACTGCATAGAAGAAAAGCCAAAGCCATTGCTTGATCGAGGTTGCAGAGTAATAAATGTTCTGATTAATGTATCAGAATTTTCAAGATGCTGGAATGAAGCAAAAATCATTTCAAGCTGACCTTGGGAGTTTCTATAATGATCTCTTGCCAGGCCGCGGCTGTGATCTTGCCATTATTTATCTGCTCTTGAGTGAACTTCTTCTTCAAAGCTTCCGCAGTTTGTTTTGGTGTTTTTTCAGTTTTCCAACTCATTGTTCATAGGTTCCTGGTGATGCGTGACAATATAGGTAAAAAAACTCGTTCTTGGATGCTTATGAGAAGTAACAGGGGAACAGCCTCTGCTTTTATAGTACTCTACCCCAGTCAAACTCTAGGCATTTCATGAAGCATACCCATAGAAAAAGATAAAATACTTACAAATTACGGTCAAAATTGAACAGCGATCTGCACCTCCTTCACATATATCATATGTATACTTTGTACTACCTGATGATATATACCACTATCCCAGATGGTGATACGCATGAATTTGCTGCTGGTCAGTGCATAATGTCCATGTACGATATCTGCTCACCGCGCATTACTGATCTACAGTAGAAAGCCATCACTAATTATGACAATTCCCTCTTCCGAGCTAAATTTCATCCGCTAGAGCCGATATCAGTGATCGAACAAATACAGGGTCGCTTCGCTCCAAACAGCAAGCACTGCTGGAAACTGTCAGTGTAGAAGTCGGTGACACTGCTGCATCTAGATACGAAGCTAATCAAACCGAACCGTCACTTTGGTCGCTAGATGATAGGAGCTGTAAGGCTGCTGGGATTGAATGTTTAGCACTTCTAGCAAACAATGTTTGACCGCTATTTAAATATCGTTGTCGACCATTTACACTACATCCTGTACGATGAAATCTCAAGTACACATTATCCACAATTTATGGGATCGACTTCAGCTGGGCAACGTCGCACAACGTAACTCACGAACGCACTTGAAGCATGCATATCCAAAGGTCGATGGTTCTACTTTCTTCTGAAAATCTTCCCCGCAACAAAAATTTTCAATAGTGACCCTTAGATCTATTTGGCGATGCCATTGAGATTTGTGGTTTGGGTTGCATCGTCCCGTAGCCATCTTTTCGGATGTGAGTGGGCGGACTAAACCGAATATGATACTCCTAAAGAGGGCCGACTGTCTCCGCATCGAATTGATTAATATAATACATGAACTTTACGACTATACGGTGTGGAAATCTAGCTATGGCCTGGCGGCCCGTTATGTAACTCATCCGTCAGAGAATTTATATAGACACCCCTAGCTTTGCTAGGAACATCCCTCCATATGTAATTATCTGATTGTAATATGCTACTCTCACCACTTGCTCCTTTCAACTAAGCCTCTTATCCTCTGACTTGTCATTGATGCGGTTGCTTTTGCTTTTTTGTTATAAGATTCACACTGCCCGGTCACTAGGTGCGAGTGCCGTAAGTGGCGGGCAGGTTTTTCGTAGTGATCGACTGGCTTATTGCCACACTACATCAAGTATGGTCTGGAAAGTGACCATCCGAAATTCCAATCACATTCTGCTAGATGGATTGTTACACTGCATAGAATATGAATGGGATCTGGGCATGCTTACCGTATCACGGATTTGATACATCGCTTTCTTGGAGAGAAAATTACCACATATTCAATGCGCATTACTTATGATATATCATAATATCTATCAGCCGGCTTCTAAAATGTGAGACATGAGATTTTGCTGATTCCAGTACTCTAGAAAGGGTGTCGGTCCTGACGTGACGTAGACGAATGTGATACATGGCGTGAACTTGCAGTTTTGACGCCCCTCAATCACATCTACCAATGGCTCATAAACTCTATGGTTTATGACTTCGAGGAACATAAAGAGGAGAAATCGCCGTTCGGTAAAAATGGGGTACATCCTTTCTACCTTCCACGCAACCTAGTATCTTGTTGAATCATCTTATTCTCACCAACATAGCTTCTGACCTTTGTTAGAGGACATTTTGACCCGTGACACCATGGAAATGGATGGCAACATACATTGGAATGGAGCAAGTGGAGATACCGCCAGTGAGATCGCACAAAACAGGGCCAACCTCATGTGTGATGAAATCAGAAAACCTGCTAGAAAGATACAGACAATCAGTGATGCAGAATGGGATAAATGGGTCGAAGAGGCACGGAAGAGAAGGGTCCTCAGGGAAAAGGCAGTGCAGGACGAACAGGTGTTGAAGTACCTGAGAGAAAAACGAATCAAGTTCCAGATGAAGCGAGCCGAAATGTACGAAAATCAACTGGCACGGGATGCCGAACGGGACAATAGGCACCGTCAGTGGTACGAGGCTTTTTTCAACCAATTCCATGATATGGATGACCTTGATGAATTTCCTGCTGGAACATGGAAGGCGGTGTATTCCAGTGTGTCTTGCTGTTGACAAAATTAGATGCCACCTATAACTGGACTCAGGGTACGCCAGAGGTCGGCCTATTGCATAGGCTGCGCAAATTGCAGGATCGCACCATGAAGGATGCAACCGATTACTTTCATGGAGTTGTAACAAGAAAGGACCCCAAAACTGGGAACCAGGTATTTTAGCCTTAACACCGAATTTTAGAAGTGCGAGGCATCAGCTAACCCTTCTGAAACCAGATACCATATTCGCAAGCCCTGAAAGCTGCGTTAGAAGAGCATGTCAAAAGGAACCGCATCATATAAATTAATGCTATTCAATGGGAATGACGCCCAAACGCAATTGATCCAGGATGTCATTGGCTCTGAGTCTATCAGGCTCTTGCTGGAGGAGACGGCGTTTCGGGAATAAGTTACTGTTACCACTCTCGACGTGTCCGCCAAGTCATAGCGACAATCTAAGACAATGAGATCAATGCGCGAGCACAGCAATCAGATTGAAAGGCATCTATGAGTTAAATGGGTGAAACTATGGGTCTTAAGGCCGTTTCTTCGCGAATCAAAAAAGAGGCATTTTCAATGTGATACAGTAACGAGTTTGATTGCTGGGCTGCAGTGGTGTATGTTGAGTAATTGTGTCGTAACGTACTCTTACCGTAACTGGCATCCCTCCCAAAAACCGGCCTCTGTAACCTAAGGCTTTGGAAATAGGTCATAGATGTGGGACTATATTCGGTTAGCACACATACGGTCTTTTCCGCAGTCACTAGCGTGCAGCGCTAATGTTACGTTGAAGCTTTGAGCAGTGAAGTCATTTATGGACTTGTGGAGTGTGATCGGCAATGAGCAGCAGTAGCTGTGTCTATCATTTTAAAATGGCTGTATAGGTACAGTAGGGTCTTCGAAGATATTAATCATTGTAATTCACCGATCTTTCCCAACACGCCAATTTTTCCCGACCCACACATCTCTCTTCCTCATTTCATCACGCTCTCCTCGTCTAGTACTCTACCGTTATTCATCAGTTACGTGCCCCGGTCATATTGTTCAGTACGTTCAATATCAAAAATCTTGTGTAAGAGATTGAGATCTCTCTATCTCTCTGAACGTCTATCCGACGAAGTCATTTCAATTCATCAAATCTGTTGGACGGGGCCAAAAAACATAGCCATCCATTACACACAAATCATACGATTAAACGATCAATCTTGTCCACTACCTTCTATTCCTTACAGAATGACATGGAGCAAGATTGAGACTTCCACATTATTGTTACAGGATGGACGGCTGGAGATGGATGGATGATTTCATTACCCCGACTGCTCGCCAAAGTAGAACCTCAGATTGAGGTACAAGTGTGATAATATTAATCTGTATAAAAAGATCCAGCTATTTGTAGTCGCAGCAGCTCATCTCCTTGGTGCCTAACGTAGTGCCTGCCTAACAGACAGCCACTCCTACATATTGTAGTGGGGGAATTGCTGACTACATAAAGCCACGTGAAGTAGCGGTGTATCAGATGTGATCCCAGGCGCTTGGCAGGGCTCCAAGCCTTGCTGGCTGCCTTACGGCTAAGGCAACTACTCGGGCTGGCTGAGCAAGCCAGGTTGGCAGCTTCGGCAAGCAAGCATTATGTAATTACACAGCGGTGAAACTGGCTAACGTAATTCACAAGCGAGCCGCCACCCCAAGCGAGCCGCCACCCTACCTGTATCTATTTATTTTTAATGCATTTTTCTCAACCAAAACGCCATTAAATTCAATAAGCTAAAAACTAGTTCTATTAGGACATGTAGTCAATTTATGACCCTGAATTCCACATATACTGCACTTTGGTAAGGCTCTCTTACGTGGCTGTGAAGGTGCCGGAGCCGATTCTGCCTCACGGGGGTTTGTGCTAAAACCGCTTGCTCTGGCTGCGCTACTAAGGTAGAGGCCTCTAAAACTGACAGACCTTCTTCGGAAGCTATTTGCTTTTTAGACCGAGTCCTTTTTCGCTTCTTCGTCTCGTTTGCAGCGCGTAATTCGCCTACTTCTTTCTCGAGAATAGCTGCCGATTGTATTGTGATTTGATAGGCTTTTAAAACCTGATTTATCGCGGAGTTAAGCGGGCTTAGTGGGCTTTTTGAACGCGCTTTTAGCAAAGCTTTAATTAAGGAAGCTTGCTTTTGTAATTGTACGTAGTTTGAAGGCGTTTTTGGATCCTACTCGCTTCCCTAGCTCCGGGGGGTGTCGGGGTTCGAAGGCGAATATTAAGCTTCGAGATCACTCGATCCGGACTATAAGGCACTAAACCGGCGGCGGTAAAGCTATTCTTAATAGTCTCCGATTTAAATGCCTCAATTCGCGCGGACGGGTAGGCTTCGAGGAAGTCTAGCTTATCAATGTGGTTGATTCTAGCACGCGTTTTCGATTCGATAAGCCGAGCGTAACCACGCTTTAACACCGCAAAACAGCCGATATCAAGAGGCTATAAAAGGTGAGACGAGTGCGGAGGCATACAAATTGCGATAATATCGTTTTTCTCGTAAATTTCGTCGAATTTCGGGGTTAAATAACTTCCGTGGCCGTCGAGTATCAAAAGTCTATACTTCCCCTTCGTACGCGAAGAAGTAGACGGAATAAAGAGCTTTTGAAGCCACCGAAGTCCAATTTCGTCGGAGGTCCATCCGTTAGGACTAACCTCAAGTCTCTAATCGTCCGGAAGGCCGTCGAACCAAGATTCGATAAAGACTTTGCCCTTAAAAATGATACAAGGAGGAAGCGCCCACCCCGACGCATTTATACATTTAATTGTAGTCACCCACGCGCGGTTTCCGGGCTGTAAAACCGATCGCCGACCGTAATATTCCCTTCTCGTAATAACCTTCGCGGTTGCGATTAAGCCCATAGCAAAACCGGTCTCGTCAAAGTTATAGATGTCGTCGGGGTCAATACCATATTGAAGTATAGTCTTTTAGACAAGCGAAAACCAATCTCTAATTATCTTTGGATCTTCACACTTCGCACGCTCGAAATTGTATCGTTTTGAGAACCGAGATGATAGGATTAGGTGCCTTTTTACGAAGTTTGTAACCCAATTATCGCCGACCGAAAGAGGGAGGTAGATCCACGCGCCGCGAGTAGTAGATCTGCTATTTCTCGTACGGTAGACGGCCGAGGGGCTGCTCCACGTAAATCCATTGAGATAATCCATTTTTGAAGTGTTTCCTCCTCAATTTCGGTCAATTTATGTGAATTTGCGCGTACAGTAGCACGTTCTGTACAGCCAGAGAGGCGGTCGCGTAGAGTTGAACGCGGCACTTCAAAAGTCCGAGCAGCGTGAGCAACAGAGCTTATTTCTTTGTTCTTAATAGCCTGGATAGCTAATAAGATCCTACCCTCTTGCTCTGTACGATTTCGGGGCGATTGGGTACGAATTGGTGGCATGGTAGGTGGTTGAATAAATTAAATGCTAATTTTCGACGCGTTTTTAGGTAGGGTGGCGGCTCGCTTGGGGTGGCGGCTCGCTTGTGAATTACGTTAGCTAGCTCACGTAATGACAACCATGCGATCCATACGGTATCTCACAGGACTATGTGGCATATAAGACTTCCCTGTTCGGAAGATAGCAATTCAGGCACACTTCTCTTCTTCTGCCACCTCTACGTGTTCTCCTCTCTTACATCTCCTGCTACCCCTCGTGGCCAGGACCTGGTTTGCAGACAGGGAATGGTCGGGTTTCCCTTACGGGCTCCCCTCTTCAATATCTTATTATATATCACGTGACCTGGTATTCAACTGGTGACGCGCGCTGTCGCACGCTGTGGCCCTGAAACGAAACAAGTGCGAAAAGTGATGAAGAGTTGAGTGATAAGGTGAAGCTCGAACGCCTGGTTTCGGTAAGGGCTGCCAGAAAGCTACATGTTCACTAGGATAATTAAACTCATCATCCCACAATCTTCGGGTTCCAAGCTTCAGAAACACTCGATAATACTGATCTGGATGGGGATGCATGCGGCCTGTGATACCCGGGCTCATAATTCACTTGTCTGTACGGACATGCGCTTGGGCTAGCATACCACACCTGACGGACGGACGGTTAGGGGAAGGCCAGGTACAGCGCCTCACGTAACCGCCGACTCCACGATATACTCCAGGACTATATCTGGGAGTATACAGCGACCCCAAACCTATTCAATCCTTCAGCTTCCATTTCGAAACAGAGAACGCCTTTTCCCACGGCAAGTCAGTCCCCAATCAAAGCATCTTTCATCAAGCCGTTGCCAGAAGCAATCAGCGAATGGCAGGATCATCTTCGTCGCTTGCCCGTCCGGCTCGTAGTACCAACTCTGACGGATCACCGGCATATATGGCGCAGTGTTCGCAGGTATGGCTGACCCCATTTGAAACAATCAGCGGGATTGACCTAGAACTTGGATGGCAATTGCCCCACCGCTGAATAAAGTAGAAGAAGTAGATCCGATGATTCAAGATTTGACCCAGGATTAAGCATTACTGCTGGGCCCATTGCACTATTACAACCAATAAAATACTCCGACACATCTCGATTTGAGAAATTTGTCACTCCGACTACTAGTAAGGGGCTTGTAAGACTTATTCAAGTTCAGACGATTTGGTGGTTTAAACCAGCTTTTACCTAGGAAATACCTAGAGATATCTCAACTTCCGAACTTGGATTTTTGATTGTTGCAACCTTGGAAGCAACTTAGAAAACATTTGAATGAATGTGAAAACATAAAATTTCAAACTTGAGGGTGCTCGTATGACTAGAGCTTGAAATGAGAGTGCAGGCTGCTTCAAGTTATGCGGTCTAATCTGGCCAGAGATATGAAGGTTACCAGACATAAATATCTCTAGATCCAATCTTGCTTTGACGTTGAAAATGTGATGATGTCCTGCCTCCTGTTTGAACATGAAGGGCTCGGTGGCATATCATCACTGATCGCTTGTCGATCTTGATGGTCAAATTGACTGTTGCGTCCATCTTCCTACTTCATGCCCTTAAATGTTCATGGTGAGCACATCACTACAGCCACAGCGAATCAGAACTTGATCTTCGGGGTTTTCAACGCAAGTCCACTTGGTCCCAGACTCGAGAGAGACCTGACCCTTCTCGGCGATCGGGCCAGAAACTCGCTCAAGCTCCAAAGTGAAACTGTGGAAGTTAATAGCGCCATCAGGAAATTTAATGTAGTATTGGCCGTTGTTGCATCGGGCGCTTTGTTTTGGCGAAGCTCCGTAGCTCCTGTAATCCCATAGATACCAATTAGCCTTCGTGTATGCCAAGCTGGGAGCTTCCTTTAGTTTGATCTTACCAGATTAAGTTGCAATCGGTGGGAGTGTCATCTGGGTAGTTCGGATCAATTACCACGAAATGCATAGTAGCAGAGGAATATGTGGTTGCCGAGGCCCTGAAATCGCTAATTGAGATGGAATTTTCCCGTTTGGAGTTGGCTGGAGCGGCGAAAACCGAGCTGGCGGCGAGGAGAAGAGACGCGGCGATGAATTTCATGATGTTGGGTAAATTTAGTAATGAGATATCTGAAATATATTTGAAAATGATCTTTGAGCTATGCTGGAAGATTCCCCAGAACTGCGAAAGCACACGCTTTTATGGCCTTGGTGGACAGCAACCGCTGTTCTTCTTAGGCATCCAATATCCAAAATGTTTCAACCATAGCAACACAAACCAAGTCAACAATCTTGTCTGACCTGAACAATTGGTAGTCAGTAGTCGAGGCTGAGCAACACAAGATGAAACATTGCGGTGAGTTTGACGTATCCCATTTAACCATCAGCCCTGGATATGTATATAAGGCAAACCATCTGCCCAGGGATTGGATGAATGCTTCAGATTCTATTTCAAGACACAACGGTTGTAGACGCCTCATATGAGGCCTCCCAGTCACCAGGCCGTTGATGCTGACAGGCTTGAAACCGAATGCAGATCTTTGCTTTATACGGAGTAAGGGGGACCCTTGTTGAAAAGCAAATTTCGATTCTTGACGGGTCCGAAAGTAGCATCCAGAGATAAACACTCCCACACTATTACTGTCTCTCATTTTGTTATAATCACGAAGTTAAGTGATTCTGAGAAGTGCTTTAGTTTAAGAAGACAACATTTGAACATACGGGGTTTCGGCACTGTTCAATGATGGATCTAGTGGAAGGAACATCTTGATACTGTGTTGGCTGAAAAGAAAGGTCGACCACGCAAAAGATTAGATCTCTCAGTGGCATGACAGGTGGTCATCGGCCGGCAGGTCCGGTGGATTTGAACAGTTGATATACAGGACGAACAACATTTGCCGCATGAACCGCCGTCTGCCGCTTAAAAATTCTACCAATGCAGGCATCTCGGAGCAGCACGTTGCCGAAAAAAAATTAGGTGTATGAGAACCTCAATATTGATGATCTCTGCCTACTCGAGGGTGGTGGTTCCTTGGCGCCGGTCTTGGCCTCGTCTTAACCGAAGGTGTTGTCAGCTGTGCCAAGATCAAAAGATCAATTGCCACTCTGATAAGATTGAATTTCCATGGCATCCAATTCAAATAGGGTGAGATTCTAAAATTTACGTCAAAGGTTTGATCCATATGACATGTGGATTGCCCTTAACCCTTGAAGCGGTAACGGACCTCTTAGTAAATTGACGCATAACCAACACCATGAACCTGTTTTAATGGACTGTCCGCCAAGAAGACCAAGGCTTATTAGCGCCATCGGATTTATTCCCGTAATCCCCGATGCTGCAACGCCTAGTGCCAACTTGAAGGTCTCGAACGCCGGATAGTTTCGGTTGTCTCTTTCCAGCATGCTGGCTGTCCTGATATTGTCGGCTAGAGTGACCTACAGCCGTAACTTCCGAATTCGACGCTCAAAGCGAATTAGTGAGGGGTTTGTTAGAAAAGTGTCGGATGTTGCCGTCTCTTTTGGGCAGGTTACGGATGGCCAGCAGTGGGGCCCAAACTCTCACAGCACACTAGGGCCCGTTGAATATTGCTGATTGGGCCAGAATATTATCAGATCATCTGATAGGAGGTGGTTCAATCTCGCTTTGGTATGCGGAAACACCCTGAAAATTTCCCCTACATAATTTCTTCAACTGCTCTGTGCATTTCTACTGGGTCTTTGAAACAAAATTGTCGAAACATACCTGTTGTCCAGAGACATCGATCAACAGGAATTTGTCTTTCTGTTGGATTATGGAGAAGACAACTGCTATTGACCAGGTCGCACCGGCCAGCGGCATCGATCATGATGCCGAAAGAGCCATGGAGTTAGACCACGCCCGGAATGACCGCTCTGATGATAAGGCCAGCATTTCTGATGCAGATTCAGCTGAGTTCCAGGGTGGTGTCCAGCGAGTGCGAGCCATCACCGCCTCTTGGTCTACCAAAACACTCGTTCTGATGTTTATTCTGTAAGTCTGATCCTCGATTCGGATATTCCTCAGTTCGTTTTTTATCTAGACAAGATCTAATCTTATTTGGGCATACAGACTCTACCTCGTGTCATTCGTAGATGCGCTCTTGTCCTCAGTCCAGAGTTCTCTGAACCCTTACATTACTTCGTCGTTCGAGAGTCATGGTCTACTCCCGGTTGTTAGCGTGGTTTCTACCATTCTCGGTGGTTCTTCCAAACTTACTCTGGCCAAGATCATCGATATATGGGGTCGTGTAGAGGGATTCTTGTTCATGCTTCTCATCATCGTTGTCGGCCTGATCATGAAGGCTACGTGTACAAGCATGGAGATGTATACCGCGGCACACACTCTATACTGGGTGGGTCACATCGGTATAACTTATGTCGTTGAAATCATGTTGGCCGACATGACCACTCTCAAGAACCGTATGATCATGCTCGGTATCAACGGCACACCAGGTATTGCTACCACATTTGCCGGTCCCAAAATCGCGGCTCTGTTTTATGCCAATCTCAACTTCCGTTGGGCATTTGGTGCCTTTTGTATCATACTGGTCGGAGTTTGTATCCCCGTGACTATTGTGATGCTATTTATGCAACGCAAGGCCGAGAAAACCGGCATGTTGCAAAAGGAGCATTCTGGGCGGTCATGGTGGCAATCAATCTCTCATTACTTTATTCAATTCGATGGTGCGTATCCTAAATTCAATTTTGGCGTCAGGCTCACGCTAATAATTTGACCATTGTACAGTGATTGGAATCATCTTGATCACCGCAGTTTTTTCTCTTATCCTCCTCCCTTTCAACATTGACTCGTATGCCCCCAAAGGCTGGGCAAGTGGATATATCATTGCCATGGAAGTCCTGGGCGTTGCTTGTATTCCTGCATTCTACGTTTGGGAGCGATACTTCTCGCCTGTCCAGTTCCTCCCTTGGAAGTACTTGAAGGAACCAACAATCATTGGCTCATCACTACTTTACGGCATTATGTTCATCTCAACCTAGTGAGTCTTTCGTATCTACACCAGCCAGACCAACGCACTGACAATAAATAAGTACATGGAACACCTACTTCGGCTCCTACCTCCAAGTTGTCAACAGACTGGATATCACGACCGCCAATTACGTGCTGAACGCTTACTCCTTAACATCCTTCATCTTCAGTCCCATTTTCGGCCTGTAGGTATCACCCATGTAGGTTCCTTGGACCAACCTCTAATATGACCAGATTGATCCGCTTCACTGGAGAGTTCCGATGGACTGCAATGGCCGGAGTCCCAATCTTTCTTCTAGGCACCGGCCTCCTGATTCCCTACCGGCAACCCGGCACCGACGTCGGCACCTTAACTATGACACAAATTCTTGTCGGACTGGGCTCCTGTATTTTTACCGTCTGTGGCCAGATCGCCATCATGGCAAGTGTCAGTCACCAAGAAGTTGCCGTTGTTATGGCCATCTGGGGCCTTTTTGGCTCCATCGGTGCGGCCGTCGGTTCTGCGATCGCTGGTGGCATGTGGAATAACATGTTGGAGAAGGAACTGTACAACAGACTCCCAGAAGACGCCAAGAGCCAGGCCACGAGCATTTACTCCAATTTGGTGACGCAGATATCGTACGCAGATGGAACTCCGGAGCGGCACGCTATTGTTGGTGCTTATGGTGATGTCCAACGCAAGATGGTTATCGTTGGAGTCTGCATCACTCCGCTGTGCATTCTTTGCACTTGGTTCTGGCGCAACGTCAATGTGAAGAAGCTCTACAAGGAGCAGACTTCCGGAACTATCTGGTAAAGGGAATTACTCACATAGAAAGGTGTAATGGGAGACGGTGATGGAGAGATCTTAGATCGTTGTTTTGATTCAAAATTTTCACGTCAGATCTAGAAGGCGATACTCAAGATGAATGAATAACAAGATTGTCAATGCATAGTCATGGTCAAATACTCCCATTTAATAAATTCCACTTATATTTGTCGATTTCTAGATTCGACAATTTCTCCTTTACATTTCTACTAGTTTTCAAAACAGAAGTAAACGGCGTCGAGCGGAATTTGCTTACAGTAAGCTCTAGGTGCTCAGAGAGGCAAACCATTGGTATTTGCAATACCAATATTCATGACCTTTGGGCAATGAGCGCAAAGTACGACTATATTCTAGATATCCCTCTGGGTGCTCCTTAAGAGCCACCAAATTTGCCTCATACTCCCCTAGATTGAATATTCGCCGCTCTTCATTGGTTTCCCTCCTTCCCCATTTCCAATGGTATTCACCCGCATAGTCTACCATTCTGTGAATTATGAGTTCATGCAGAAAGGACACACCGCAAAAAGGATAATCCACTTTCTCGGCCTGTGGATAGAGGCGCCGAAGCGCAAATGCAGGATATATACCGTTACCCCAGGGTACTTCAACTCCAACTTTGACCGAAACATTATCCGGGATTACTTTCAGATGCAGTCGCCAGTTGTAATAGTCCCAATTTTCCTCTGGAACATCCAAGTCTTCGTCTGTAACTGGACATAATACGCCTGTAAAATGCCGAAGAACACCCCAACGATCTATGCCACAGAACTGACGATTCTGACACTCTGCTAATACTGCCATGACATCTCCTAACACGAGAGACCCGCTAGTAGATTCCATGATGTAACGACTATCAAGATCATTAGCCAGGGATATTTCAAGATAAAGGGGGAATTTACTACGACTGATCGCTGGAATAGTCACTAAAACACTCAACCTCTATGCATCGGCAGGGAGGCTGCGTGGCTAGCATAGTGGTCCATGATCCAGGTTTATCATAGATGCGCTTTGTCAAATCGAAATCTCCTTGCTCTTGCTCCGGAGGGTCGGTATATATCTGTGTTGAGATACCTAGCCGATGAAACGCAGGATTCAATTTGAATATTTGCGGACTATCCGGCTGTTGACGAAAACCTTTGTCGTGAGGTCGATACCAGCAGGCTTGATGAAGTGCGGGAGAATTTTGAATAACGTTTTTCCATCCGCGGCACACTCGTTGCGCCCGAACTATTTCGTCGAGGGAATTCAATTGCAGGATTATGTGCTCAAGGATCTCATATATACCAAGCGCCCGCTGAATAGACGACTCCATTTTAAGGATTGCGCAAGTTTCGCTTTGATTGTTTTCAGGCTGCGCGTGAGGCGTTGCAAATTGAAGGGAAATGCAGGTTATGGGCGAACTTCTGAAATCTCTACACACACTAAAGCGAGTCAGAATCTTTTTGATTATGATTCACAATCGTACTAAAGTCTGCCAAGAATAGGGCAAGACATAGAGTGGCCATAATAGGTGTAGCGTATTATGGAAGATGATAATCGACAGTGTGGAAAATGCCTTGGCTTCCGAAATTTCCGCAATTTCCACATAAAGCGGAGATTTCTCTAAAACTTAGTCGTAATTATTCACATGTATGACCCTTTCACTTAATGGGAATCGTTCAAGTGCCTGCTTCTCAGACATCCATTATACCCTGCCAAGGAGACCTTGAGCGGTTGTGGTCTTGGTCGCAAGAGCAATGAATCCTCCCACTACAGACATTGCTCCACTGAAGATCGAAACCTCCAAAAATCCGCCATACTTGTTGAGCAGCGCACCATTGACTGGAGGCCCGATTAAAGCAGCAAGAGAGGCAACCGCCATTCCCGCGCCCAAGTATGTTCCGATAGTCCGAGGATCTGGGATAACAATTGAAAATGCGGCAGAGGAACCAGAGATGATTGTTCCCGACCAAAACCCGAAGGCGATCGAATACACGATCAGGGCCGGGGTTGATTCAGCCTTGTTCATGCAAAATATGATGATCCCGGTGAGAATACCGCCTATGCTCAGAACGTTCAATCGACCAAACCTATCTGCCAGAACACCTGGGATGACACGCCCAAAGGTCGAAGCAGCGTTGAGAATTGCGAGTAGATATGAGGCAAGAGTTGCATCCATCCCTCTTGATACCGCGTATGTTGGGATGTAGAAAAGTGGAGTGAACAGTCCGAGGAACATGAAGAAGATTGCGGCGACCAGAAGTGAAAATTCGGGGCTTTTGAATGCCGATACAAGGAAGAATGTTGTTTTGCGCGGTGGGAGTCGAGATTTGACGACGAGGCATGAAAAGGCCAGGAGTGGGGTGATCACGAACCCGATGATCCGAACTGACCATCCGAACCCGAGGGATGTGCTGTTCAGCATCTTCGACAGGGCGATAGGGATCACTACACCACCGATGGAGGATCCAGAAACTGCCGCTCCCAAAGCAGCGGCAATATTCTTGTCGAAATGTTGGATAACTGCTGCCATTGCTGGGAATTGCAAAAGGCCCATGGAAGTGCCCAGAAGAACACCTTGGGCGAGCATGAACTGCCAGTATTGCTTGCATAGACTTGTCATCATCATAGCAAAAAGATACATTATTGCGGCCGGCCGAATAACCTTTTTCTGTGTCAGTACCCATGATCTCTCTAGCCTTCATGACTTGAAATATCGAAGAACATACCCAAGCTCCATATCGATCAAACAACGGTCCCCCAAGAGCACCTGCCGCGAATTGAAGAAAGGCTGCCATGGACCCAATCCAGGCAACCTTATCCGCGGACTCATTTTTCAGTTGGTGTGAAAGATAGTATTCCTCAAAAATGCCAAATGAGTTGGCGAACCCTAATGCCGAGAAGAAGATGCAAGCAGTTCCTGCTGTAACAAGCCATGCCCGGAGACCACCATCCGGTGCTTTTTCGATAACTTCCTTCTCGCTGCGCTCCGTTGAGGTGATGATATCAGTAGCAGCTTCCTGCGTAGCCTCGATGTCGGATTCGTTAGCAGTCATGTTTAATATATATCGAGCTGATGTCAAAAGGGGTAAAGCAAATTGATATCAAGATAATATTGTGGATGCTCTATTGATTATTCAGGACCTATTAGTGAAATGAGAGGAAATTGTGCATCTTTATAAGCCTCCAAGATACTAAACGCTGTTTCTCTAAATTGTATACATATCACCATCGGAGACGGAGAATTGCAGACGAGACGGACCAAAGGCGCAATTCCCGAGAATGTAAGACGGAGAATCCGCGGTGGTGGGGAAGGAGTCATCTCTAGCCCCTGTCGGTTTTTCACCGATGAATATATTCAGTCGGGGTCTTTGCCATTTTGTGCGTTCAAATATGACTCAATCATGGAGGATGGAAGCCCATAATTGAGCGCAATGTCGACGCCCGGATTGAATCCTCGGCGAAGAAGGCCGCCCGTGTAAGTGCCAAGCTACGACTTCATACATAGTTCGCGCTAATATTGAGAAAAGGTCATGTACGCTTTGCAGGCAAAGAAAGATCAAATGCAACAGAGAGGCACCCTGCAGTAATTGTCTCCGAGCTAAGAATAAGAGTTGCATCTATGAGAATTCAGCTCAACCGCTTCGGCGGCTTGGTAACGAACCAACGTTTCAGCTGAATTCAGCCCAGGAACATCACGAACCTCAGAACTCATTTTCTGTGTGGCGATCTTCGGCCCCAATTCAAGAGCGTTCGCCACCGACTGGGTCGTCGCAACCCACAGGTACCAGCTCAATCGCAGCTTCAACTCCATCCAGCCACTCATGTGCTCGAGAGGTTGAGTCCCTCAGGAGCAAGATCAGAGAACTTGAGGAGCAACTATCCAAGGCAGCAGGAACCCCAACCCAGTCGACTGCTCCAACCCCAACCTCCGACATTGAAGTCACGACTTCTCAACTAGCGGGCACTTTCCACGTTCATAATGAGAACCTCCCTTCTAACCATGGACAAAGCCAGGCCATTAGCCGCACTTTTTGGCATAAAACGCGACTGTATGGTCAGAGTCATTGGATTGGGGCCATCTCTTTGGTAGACTGCCTTTATTGTCTAAATCATGAATTCTTGACTGATCAAGTATTAGCTTCGTGAACTGGCTGAGTCAATAGAGCCGTACCTTTTAAATGAGGGATCTAAAGCCGTATCTGGCTTGCAAAAATGTAAATATCTGGGCAAGATGATCAAATCACAGCGTGCTCCTCAATGGCCAGTACCAATTACGCCAGACCTGCCTCCAAGAGATATTTGTGACACTCTTGTTGATTGTTACCTCCGAACTGTGGAAAGAATTTACCGGGTCGTGCATATCCCGACATTCAGAAAAGAATACGCAAAGATATGGCTGTCAGAAACACAACCTGATCCAATGTTTCTGGTTCAGCTCAAGCTCCTGCTTGCTATTGGAACGATAACCTATGATGAAGATTTCTCGCTACGCTCTTGGGCTACGCACTCGATTCATGAGGCTCAAACATGGGCCTCCGAGCCAGAATTCAAGTCCCGACTTGCCATTCCATTTTTGCAGATTCAGATCCTGCTACTAATAGCTCGAGAACTCATTGGCGTGGATGGAAGGATGGTCTGGGTGGCGGCTGGAGCACTGATGCGAACGGCTATGTGCATGGGGCTGCACCGAGATCCCGCATGTATACCAAAAATGTCTAGATATGCCTCGGAGATGCGCCGAAGGCTGTGGAACACCATTATGGAAATATGTCTGCAGTCCAGTATGGAGTCCGGAGGTCTTCCACTCATCTCCATGGATGACTTCGACACAGAGGCACCGGGAAACTTCGAGGACGATCAGCTTGAGATGGAGGACTGCACCCCTCATCCAGAGAGCAAATTCACCTCGGTCTCAGTAGCTATCGCGTTCCGGAAGATGTTTCCGATTCGTCTTGCCATTGCAAAGTCTCTCAACGATGTACGTTGCCAAGGCTCTTATGAAGAAACGCTTCGCCTTGACGCAAAACTCAGATCTTGTTACAAAGAGATGTGCCGGACTCTTCGTGAGTTTATCTCGAGATCCGCGCAAAATTCGCTTTCGAGATTTGAGCTTCTTGTTCTGGACTTCATTATGCGTCGGTATCTCCTGTCCATTCATATCCCTTTCTTTGCCCCGTCCTTGCATGAGACGGCCTATGCCTTTTCTCGAAATGTCGTCGTCGAAACTGCGCTCAAACTATTCGCCTCAGCTTACAGATCTCATTCTTCGCGCGGGGGATCGTCATTGAATACGGACCAGTCACCTGGCGAAACAGAGTTCTCCCGGCTGGTGGTAAACGGATCTGGTTTCTTCCGCACAGCGCCCATGAACGCATGTTTCATAATATCAGTTGAGATAAGAACAAGGATAAAGGAAGACGAGAGCTTGGATATCTTGAATATACGGCCTGACCTGCTGGCAGCAATGCATGATGCGAAAGCCTTGAACTTGCGATGTATAGAGGTTGGAGAAACCAACATCAAGGGCTATTTGTTCATGTCTCTCGCCCTAGCACAAATTGATTCTCTAATGCGAGGCGCCACGGAAGAGGAGACTCCATTGTTACTAATAAAAGCTGCTGAAGACGCGGAAGAGGATTGCTTGACAATTCTAGAGCGTTTTGCAGCCAAGGGTCAGAATGGGAAAAACGGAGAGGGGCTTGATTCTTCATCTACAAATCCACTTCCTGAAATGGTAGGAGGTTGGGACTTCATGGTCAGTGGAAATTTCATTCCTTCATTTTTGCCTCACTGACTCTTTTAGATGGCTGATGATAATTTCGACTTCCCGGATCTAGAACCCGTGAGCTGGATGATGAGTGGAATACCATATGGGATACCCTGAATAATCCCGACAGGTTTTTTTGAAATCCCGTGGCAGGTCTCTTAATCTACCAAAGAAGCAATACTAGCTCCATAGTTTGGGATTTAAATGATCAGTTGGATATATGGGTTCTGCAATTCGACTCCAAAGTGTCTCGGCATCCTTCTCTAGACATTGTGGAAGAGAATTCCGATGAGGAAACGCGGAGATCGAAAAATGACTCACGAGTGGCAAGAATGGCTCTAATTTCCGTTTGATGCAATGTGCCAAGCAACACCTGCAATCCGACTTGAAGCGATTGCCGACCATGGTTCGTAGGTAAACGGAGGGATACTACGACATACCTCGGGCAAGTCTCCGTGAGCTCATAGCCACCGCACCATGAAAACCTGAGAGCTTCAAATCTAAGAGAAAGCTGTCGACTGAGCAAAACTCCGATCTTTGAATGTTACTTGCTTTGAAGGACCGTGTCTTGATGTTGGCGAAACAGTGAACTCAGTCGTCTTCTTCATGTCGGCAGCACCTTCCATCAGCAGTTTCAACCGGGACTCGGATCCAGACAAAGCAAATTCATCGGAGGATAGGCACGATGCACCACAGAGCAGTCTGCAGCAACAACAGCGAGCGCTTCATGTCCGATTTCGATGCAATGGGCCGCCACAAGAAATCGGGCGTAACCCACCTACGGAAAGCTCACGACAAGAATGGGAACACTCTCAGCGGCAGGGAGAAGCTCATAGACCGACAGCTCCGTATGCGCACGAGTCGGAAGATATCGCCGACACCCCACAGCAAGATCGTGCTCCTGAATCCGGCCAGCCTCAGGGTGCCCCAGGTCTCGACACCACAGATAACGCAACAAAAGCAGAAAACGAGAAGAAAGAGTCTGAAGTCCCTCAACGAAAAAGACTCAAAGAGCGATGGCGATATGCAACGCAAACCCTCAGAATGAAAGCCGGCATATTGGGAGATCGCATGGGTCGCCCAGCGTCGGAGGGAGATGATCTAACATCGGGGAAATACAGACCCGACTGGGCAACTGGGGGCGCCCCTGCGCTATCAGACTTTACAGATGATAAACACAAGTCCGATGAAGAAAAGTTAGCAAACCAAGCAGCTAGCAGCTCTGAGGCACACCGTCTTGTGCGAGATTTGACCCAGGACCATTCCCAAAAACGTCGGAAAGGACGCGGAAGACCGTATCCACATGCTGGGACCGAATTTCAAGATGAGGAAAACCCTACTGGTGCAGAAGCGAGCTTGCGATATCGATCTGGAGGTGGGGGCATCCTGTCGCAGTTGATAAAATTGAATGGTGGCCAGCAAGCTGGCCAGCAACGAGATGCTGGAACCGGATCTCGGAGATCTACCGACTCCTCGGTTGCTTCATCAACGAGTACAGCATCTGGAACTCCAAGAAAAGGTAAATCACCAAAGTGGTATAAAAGGCCTGCAAACACTTCGACGTCGACGCTGATCGGTGGCGGCGAGGGGGCTTATAGCGGTGCAAGCACGCCCGTTTCCAGCGAAGTTCTATCTGCAGCTTCAAAGCGACGCGCCCAGGAAGGTAGCGGTGACAAGCCAGGTTCAAATATGCGACTCGAGGATGAAATCCGAGTGACAATCCACATTGCTGAGATCATCTGTCGCCAGCGGTATATCATACAGCTCTGTCGGTGTTTGATGTCTTTCGGAGCGCCCACCCATAGACTGGAGGAATATATGCAAATGACTGCCAAGGTGCTTGAGGTCGACAGCCAGTTTCTTTACCTACCAGGCTGCATGATCATGTCATTCGATGATCCGTCTACTCGCACGACAGAAGTGAAACTTGTTCGTATGGCCCAGGGTGTTGATCTGGCCCGTCTATCAGAAACTCACCTCACCTACAAAAATGTGATTCATGACGTGATCGGTATAGAGGAAGCAGTGCAGGAACTGGACAGTATCATGAAGACAAGCCCTCGTTATCCTAAATGGATGGTCGTGTTGGTTTACGGCCTGGCCACTGCTACTGTGGGACCATTTGCTTTTAATGCGAGACCAATTGACATGCCGATCATATTTATCAATGGACTTCTCGTTGGACTAATGCAGCATGTTGCTGCGCCTCGGTCGGTACTATATTCTAACGTCTTCGAAGTCACATCGACTGTCGCGACGTCGTTTCTGGCTCGAGCCTTCGGCAGCATTCCACGTGCTGTTGCGGATGGCAAGCGAGAATATCTCTTTTGCTTTTCCGCCATTGCACAAGCCTCTATCGCATTGATACTACCAGGATTTCTAGTACTCTGTGCTAGCCTGGAACTTCAGTCTCACCAAATTATCGCCGGGTCAATTCGAATGGTGTACGCACTCCTGTTTTCCTTGTTCATCGGCTATGGGATCACCGTTGGCACAACAGTCTACGGTCTTATAGACAACGGCGCCGTGTCTGACACATCGTGCCCAAAACAAGGGGCTTTTCAAAACCCCTATGTCCAACGGTTTCCGTTCGTAACGATCATGACCGTCTGGCTCCTGATCATCAATCAAGGCAAATGGAAACAGCTCCCACCAATGACCGTCATCGCCTTGTCTGGATATATCAGCAATTACTTCAGTACCAAAAAGCTGGGATCCAACTCACAAGTTGCGAATACAGTGGGCGCATTCACTATCGGGATTATGGGTAATCTATACAGCCGCCTTTGGCATGGCCACGCTGCAACTGCTATTCTTCCCGGAATCTTTATCCTCGTCCCCTCTGGGCTCGCCGCGACGGGCTCTCTCATTACAGGGGTCCAATCAGCCGACGAAATTCGCAAAAACGTCTCCCAGCATGGTGGCGCTAGCTCTACACCCGGGGCGGGCCTGTCATCTAGTAGCTCTGTTTTCAGCTTGGGTTTTGGAATGATTCAAGTTGCGATCGGTATTACCATTGGTTTGTTTATATCTGCATTGATCGTTTATCCGTATGGCAAGCCTCGCAGTGGGCTGTTCAGTTTCTAGGCTGTTTGTCTCCGGGATGCTCAATTTGTCAATATTTCATTTCCGTATCTGAGAAGCCAAACCTGGTGTACGGTATAGTCGCTGTGTTTCTAAAAGAATTATTACATACTACATATTGGAATTTCTTTCTCTTTTTCTTTCGGTTCCTCCATTGACGCGTTCACTTTTGCGTCTGGGCTTCTATCCACCCTCGGGCCCGCCAAGCCCGCTACCAACACCGCAAGGAATAGCTAGCCCATGCTATCAACTGCTACATCCTTGCTTGATCCCGGAGCATCTTGTTGCCGCAGTATCATGCAGAGATAAAATTTCTGAGAGTTTATTAACCATATCAAGGGTAAGATTAAAATGATCTTACGTTTTCTGAGAATACGAAACAGCGCTCTGCATAATTTAACCTTCAACCTTCTTGGCACCTCGCCAAAAAACAGACAAGAGATACAGAATACGCCTCTGCAGTAAGAAATCTTTACCGGCTATTCATGCAATAGCATTGGAGAGGTATTAGCGCCATATCTCGCTAAAAAATCAGACTGCACCATTTTCGTGACCACTCGTGATACCCCCAGAATCTCATTCCTTTTTTCCAAGACTAGAATGGTTAGCTTAGACCTATTGTAGCAATATCTACATCAGGAGCTGTGGAGGCTGCTGAATGTCATGGTTCAGGATAGGATGTGCAGGTAAACAACGCCGGCTCCGGCTGTACAACACTAATCCTAGATGCAGACCTAGAATAGGCACACCCGGTCTACGATACTGGACTAGAACGTGTTGGGGTGATAAAGAAACTTGTAGGGCTAGGTATCCATAGCCACTAGTGGCAAGGCTGTGAATGTCAGCAGGGTTGGAGCAGTAGTTCTTGAATCGGTCTATTCTCCCTTGTAGCTGAGCCAACATACCGCCTAACTTGGATTCATATGCAGGGCGTCCAACAAATCTGCTGTCGAGACTACATGTGAGACATACCCCATCCCTCCCCCTGCATAAAGTGCGTACTTTGATGGTTGAGTTGCGGACTCCATTGTAAATCATCCATTGGTAGGAATTGAGTTAGCACCGGGATCATGTGGGCAGGACCTTCCCGCCAGTTGCTATGCAGTGATTAGACCTAGGTGCATCTAGATCTATGATAGTACAACGACAAAAACGAGGCAGAAAGCAACCATTCGCACAATCCCTATTCACAGTAACAGCCATTCCCCAAAAAGAAACACTTCCAAACGCTGCCAAATACCGAACACCCCTTCGTCGCCACCCAAAAGCCCTAAATCTGAAACCCTGCATGCATCAACACCCCGCCAAGTCCGCCAAGAGCAAACGACGCCGAATCAAGCACAAAGGCAAAAAGGCAACAAGAAAAACACAGTCAATATTCACCCAACGTTAGCGCTAGGGCATATTTAATCAATCACATCTCACAATGCTCAAGATCTCGATTTCTAGATCTCGGAAGGTCGCGAGTAAGAATTCCAGGAGCCAATCCACTGTTATGCCTCAACCCCACAAGCCAATGACGGGTTCCTTGGCGATCACCCGCATATATGCACGCCGATACGAAGTGGCTGAGGCTTGGATTGTTGATATGTGAGGGGGCAACGTTCAGTTTGTGTTGGATGTTACCCTACACTGCTACCCGCATAATGAAGCAGGGGTTGTGATCCCTGTTCTCGTATTTTGCTCGATGTAGACAAGAATTCTTCCTATATGTGTGTCCTTGGCTGTGACTAAGAGATCGGGGATAATCCGGGGCATTGCTATACTGGGATTAGAGTTGAATCTTTTGTTACGCTGGAGAAGAGAAATACGAGGTGGGTAGGATTCCGAATGGAGGGATTGATTGCCGGTTCCTAAATTTTTGGGCCTTAGTTGGGGCTAAGGTGTTTTGTGAGGGAATTGTGACTGTGACGTGGTGGGAGTATGTGAGTCAGTGTTTGACACGAGGCACGCCGAGAGTCCTAGATGCGGGATAGAAACATGGAGAGACAACGAGAAGTTGACGGTCTATATTTATAATCGAAGTATAAATACCCCTTCAAACCCCTCCCAAACGTGAACCATCTATCAATCCAAGTTCTCTCTATCAAACCAATCTACAAATTCCACCTCAACCACAATCACAACCACCCCCAAATCCAAAATGAAGACCAACATCCTTATCCTCCTGGCTACATTGACAGCTAGCGTCATTGCCACCCCAACCGCCAACGCTGAAGCCAGCGAAATCTTCGAGCGCTCCGGCAGCTGTTACCACCCCAGTTCATGCAGCCGTTCCTGGGCTGGGAAGTGTGAGGATTACTGTGGTAGCCGCGGTTTCTCGCATATGACCGGTGACGGCTGTGGATGGCTTGCTAAGAAGTGTTGCTGTAGCAAGAAGTAAATGCCACCTACGCTAAATCTCTTTTGAACGGGGATTGAGGATGTGGGATGATGAACTACGAACTGTGGGCAAACGGGATAGGGAGAGGGGAGGAGGTACGGTACATTGTGATGGATGAAATGCAAGCGTATCTCGGATGTGTATGAAATGAAAATGAGAAATGCATTGATATGATATGATCTATTGTCAAGTACAGATACGGCTTCTCAGGCCAACCGGACTGGTCTTATACGATACCCGAAAGTAAATGTCTAATGAATGAATTGAAATATAAGCAAAAGAATGCCGAGTCAAACTCTGGCGTTCCTTATCTATGAGGAAGAAAACACACAATCGGTCTCGCATTGCAATGATGCAACCCAACAAAAAGACTTCGCCAGCGACCAGCCGCCAGCATGTTTTGACACTCAACCTCAACAGCCAGAAGGGGGACAACAGAAAGTGGCGCGAATGAGGAAACACGGAAATCAATCCCGGCTCATAAAAAGAAAATTAAATTAGGCACGGTCTATTGTATCGGCTTCATGCTTTGCAGTCGTAGCTTTCATCTGATCCTGCCAGACGGCGAAGCCGAGTAATTCAAGGAGGTGGCGTTCACGGTATATGAACATGCAGACGCCGGTAGTTTGCAGGAACTGTTTTGCGTGGGTGAGGAGGATTTCGTTATGAGATGTGGAGAGGGTGTAGAGGGTGTCGAGGGAGATGGTAATTTGGTCCGGGGATTCAGGGATGACAGGGAGCTCAGCCAGGAGGTGGCGAGTCTTTTTATCACGGGATAAGGAGTCACAGTATGTATCCAGCATGCGTTCGCGGGCGATGAATTTCAGAATAGAGTCCAGGGAGTCGAGTTGGACGATTGCTTGGGGCAGGGAGGTTTCAGGTTCGGCGAGACCGCGTTGCATCACGACCACATATTCCAGATCCTCGATCAGTGGGGTCAGTTGTATACTGGCTGGAGAGGACAAGCCCAAGACAGGACGGTCATAGCCAAGCTTTTTGCGCCAAAAGTAATTGCACAGAATCAGGGATATGATGCATGGGATGAGGACAATATATCCCCACCAACGCTCGGCAGTGACCATCGATGCAGCACCAGCAACAAGACCATTCAGGCCGTTGATACTAGCATGCCATTGGAAGCGACGGAAACGGGTATGCAGACGGCGACGGATATCATCACTTGGTTCGCGAGCATAGACAGCAGCGTCATGCATACGGAAACGATGGATCAAAAAGCCCGACCAGATGGCATTTAATAGACCAAATAACGCAGCGAGACCATTTCCAATATACCCTGAGAGCAGATTACTGGCCTTGTAAACCCGGGGGTTTGCACCGCCAATGGCCATCAGCGTACCAATGCCAACAAGCACCGCACCAAAACCCATCAACACATCCATAACGATTCGATCCACGACCTCCGTTCCAAGCTCACGGAATCCAACACTAATCCGACTATCAATCAATTGAGCCAGCTCAGCATTCTTATCATGATACTGCCGCAACCGCTGCAAATGTGCCCGTTCTGCCCGGAGTAGTTTGACATTCCGCCAGCTGAGGCGGTAATCCTGGATAGCAACGAACATCATGCCTAGGGCGAGTGTGCCACCAATACCCATCAGCACGGCAGCGAACTTCGGAACGGGGACCTCGTTCCAGACATTTGCGGCGAAGTCGCCCGCATTCGCTAGTTCGAGGTATCCCACGCTGGCCAGTAAGCTGTTCCTGAATTGGGATTGGCGGAAGAGGCGAAATCGGCCTCTTCGTCGGACTAGGGTCACCTGGTCTCTGCTTGCTTCGAGCGATTCCTGCCATGTGATGTCACTGGCTTCCCGGATGAGTTTCGGGACCACTGGTGGTGGGGAGTCTGCTGGTGAGAGGGAACCTATTTTCATTGCCCTCGGTTTGTCAGGTGTGAACTGGGAGAGGCGTTTTGGTGTGGGTGTGATGAGGGTGTCGGAGGAGTCGGTAGGGGTCGCCATTGCGAGAGTTTTAAGCGGGTGACCTTGGGATGGGAGGTTCACATGACGCTGTCCATTCCCATGCGTTGTACAACCGGTTGAAGGAGTTGGAGAGGAGATAGAGGAGAGAGAGAGAAAAAGGAGGGTAAACAGGGAGGCTAAGAAAGATAAAGAGGAAAAAAGACACGCAAGCGGGAAGATCGGGGTACCAACGAAAGCCAAGGCGTCCCTGTGGAGCCAGCCCTGTAGGGCTGAAGATCTCCATGGACTTTGGTTCTGCGCACATTTGGAAATTAGGCCCCACGAACTAGTGGTCTGTTTATTTTACTGGCTATTTATTGTCTATACATAGATTTCCAGGGGCAGGCAGCAACAATAGAATCTCAAAATGTGGTCTAATAATACATCTGTTGCTACGCTTCTTTCGACAGTTTCAGATCGTCAGCAGCTTTGGGTGTGAGAGCTCGGATCAGTTTGACGCCTGCGTCTGCCGCCGTATTATGGGATTGTCCACTCCAGAATTCGGCTTCCCGATCGGATCCGCGAAGGACGTCATCCTCTGGTACGTCTTTGGTAGGAGAGGGTGTTCCGTCGGGCGAAGGCTCCTTTTCAGTGGAGCCGTACACATTCACCCGTTCGTTGAAGCGCACACGCGGACGACGTCGGCCATTTGGTGAGCCCTGGGAGCCAGAGCTAGGTGATCCAGATCTTGTCAGGCTCGCAGCAAAATAATTCTTGCGAACGGCGTACCGGCGGGCCTCTTCCCGTCGGATGGTGTCAGAGAAGATTTTCTCGAGGGCCACGGAAGCTGTGAACCGCATTCCCAGGTAGGCTTGCTCCGCAATAAAAACGGTCAACAGCAGCGATGACAGATGTACCTCATGGATCGGCCCCCGATAGACGTGCACGATCGCTGCGGTCGAGAGTGTACCCAGCCAAGCCATGAAATCCAGTCCAAGCAGACAAGGACCGATTGAGTCCGCCCGGATTGGGGGCGGGCGCTGGCATTCCAGGGTGAGTTTGAAAAAGTCACCGCGCAGTTCGAGCCAGTTGTTCAGCAAAAAGCCCAATGGAACGAGTGGCCAGGCGACTCCAAAAAGTGCCAGATATCCGAATTGCACCCACATTTCCAAGATATCTTCCTCGACGTTGTACTCTTCTGCATCGGCCTCGCTACGCAGCCGGGTCATAAATGCTGCCTCCTCTGGTGGGTCGATCAGCAAAAGATCGGTGGCCTTGGAATAACTCCGCTTGCGCCCATATCCTGCCTTGCGATCGCGGTAGTTGCGCCATTTCTGCCATAAGATGTGCTTCACATATGGCAGAATGATCTCTTCCCCAAAGCTCAAGACTTGGGCTGTCATGGAAAGATAAATGACCTCCTGCTGGAAGCGGCTCGTGTCTACTTCGAACTCCTTTTGTCCAGTGAGCAAGGCGGCCTTGTATCCTGTCCTTCGGAGAATGTCCAGGTATGGGACAATCGAGCTACCAAAGGGAACGTAGACGTAGGCAGTCAGTATCGTCGGTAAGAAGGCTGTGATAAAGTTCATCACAAAGGTCTTCTGCGTCTGGGCAAGATCGTATTGGTCCTGCGTTCGGTAGTTCTCGTAATCAGTGAGGCGAGTCGCGATGTTGGTGAGGAACGAGGTGATGGCAGGTAATGAGAGCGAAAAGAGGATGGTCGGTACGAATTCAAGGTAGCTCTTGAATGGGCCGTCGTACACCTCAGAGATGAACACTTCCGACGCAAACGACGCGACAATCAAGGCTCCAAGGGCCACACTCGCGACTGATGCAAAGGGAACCAAGAGCAACTGTCGCGAGAACTGCTTCCAGCCTGGGAAGACGTGCTTGATTTGTCCACTAATGGGATCTTTGACCTCCTTCTCCCAGACGTACTGCTTCCGATTCACCTTCAATCTGCCAACACCCTTGACACCCCATCGTTGACTCAAATCAGCCTCCCGAACCTTCCAGTACTCGACAAACACGATGCACCAGACGCATAGCACAGTTCCGTAAACAATGGAATACGGTCCCAAATATACCCATCCGACGATGCCCAGTACGGCGGGCACGACGAGAAATAGCGAATAACAATGAATGAATGCGTAGTAGAAAGCGACCTGCACATAGTCAGCTTGGGGTCATTACGGCCACCTCGGAATGAGCAGAGAGCGAAATTTACCTTCTCGCCAAAGAGCGCTCGAATCGCATCCAAATCCTGGCTCGTTAAGACAGTCTTCCGACTCCATTTCCGCAGCATGTCCCTGCAAGCCTCCTGATCATGCAATGGAAAGGAGGCAGTGACACGCTCCCATTTCCCAAAACCCGGCGTGATCCCGGCACCACCGATCTTCTTTTGCCAGGTGACAGCGTGGTAAACCGAGCGAATCTCCTCTGACGGGGTTTCGGCGTCAGCGATAGCCGTCTCGTCGCCGTCCGGTAACGTGTGGGTAATCCCGAACAGCCAATCCTTAATTCTGCAATGCCATCAGCCATTTATCCTCAAAACACACATGTATCCACGCTTCATATCCCTCACCTCGACTGGTGTACTAAATTCCCCAGATGGTCTCGCGGTACCCGAATACACACCAATAGCGAAGTGCCGTGGCCGTGACGTACCTGGACCCGAAGACCAGCTTCGCTCAAGTCGTGGATGAGGGCTCGGAACTCGGTGATGGCTTGGGCTTGGTCTGGGGTTGTTAGTGAGATGGACAAGGAATATGCAAGCTTTATTTACCGATTTCGCCAAACTCATATTGCAGAACCCAATCCACGCCTAGGTTGTCATGTTCGTCTTCTTCGTCCTTCTGCCCCGCGAGCCAAGACATGTTGAGGGTCGGAGGTGAAGGTGTGTGAAAGTCGCAGGAGGAAGAAATGTGGGGGAAAATGACCACAGTAATTACCAGTTGCTATAATTACAAGCAGGTACAACTTCAGGGTATTTCGTCTATCCCCGCCGATCTCACAGTATGAACATGCTCACCGGTACTGCCAGGAATCTCCATCTTCTTCCTCTCCTTTCTCCTTTCTCCTTTCTCCTTTCTCCCTTATTTTCTTTTTCCCTTTATTCACCCCTGAGAACAACCTCAACCATCAAGTTACACAATTACGATCGCCAATACCATTGAAAATGGCGGGCATACCCGGCCCTGATCCTGTTCCAAGGCGCGTCACTAGGCTCCACGGGCCAAGCTTCAGCCCTACGGGGCAGGTTTTCCCAATAACCCGATTTGCCACTGACAGGCAGCAATTTAAGATCGCCAATTCTAATTACCGTACTCCTTGCTGATGTCCAAAGACTATATTTCAATGAGCCAAGGTCCAAGACTTACAGTTTGCGACCGTGCAGGAAATGAGGCTGGCTCAAAATCCAGAATTTGAAGCCTACAGGTCCGTCCCCACTCTCGACGTGTTCGCCACTTCGGATTGGCGAGTATTGGCCCTTGGCCTTGCTTTGCAGGGCTGGAAGCAGGCGAGAGGCGGGACTGAAGGTGGTGGGGTTGGATTGGCTTTGTCGGTGAAAGACACGGGCGCGAACTGTTTGAGACTGTCGATTCGATTCAAAATCCACCCTGTATTGCTGACAAAAATAGGAGTGACTTGGCAGGAGAAATGTTGAGGCCAAAATGCTGCTGCCTGACATGGGCGCCAAGCCCATTGGAATTGGATTTTTATTACATATTTCACCAAGCCCCAGTTATGCGGTCAACGGGAATTTCTATATTCTTGCCAAGAGTGGAGGTCGGAAATTGGATCCGTGACGGCAAATCTCGTCCAAGTCCCATCCAATTGGCACAGGCATCAGCATTTACGAAAGTCGGCTTGCCACTGTCGATACTCAAAATGGTGTAGCCCAAGATATTTCGGCATGACCCGTGCATGGCTGTATATCCGGTGCTTCCATAGTCGCTTGTATATATGGGGAAGCCGCGCTGCGACCGGTCCTTTTAGTGAAACGCAATGAGTTGACCATTATTGAAGTCAATTGATTTGACTTGTGCACGTTAATCTATCCCATTCTCACCTCCATTCCTGACTATCCCACTTGACTGAACCGGTCATCCTCGTACTTGGCATCTTGGCTCTATGCTGGAGTCAGCCATCGAGATCATGGCTCGTCGATTTCTTCGCGAGCAGAATATCACCCTCGGGTTGAGCCTGGTGCTCTTTGTCTTCATGTTCTTGCCCACTTTTCTAATTCTCGTGGCGGTCATCCTCTTCTTTGGGCTGGCCTGGCCGCGACTCCGCGGGTCGAATGCCCTGGACCGCGAACAAGGGGTTAAAGATCAGCAGCCGGAGACTAAACAAGTATCATAATGGTATGGTTGGTAATGTGCTCCACACGGGGTTAGGGTTAATGGGTTGACTGACTGGTTTGCAGGTGTCACACGGTGTCTGGCTTTATATTGAGCGTTATTACGGAGTCTTTGGGGACATTTACGACAACAACTTGTTCTTGCTTCGCATTGATGGATTGAAACAGTATTGATTCTGGTTTATACATGTTTCACTTTAGGGTTAATGAAACTCTCTATTTCTTCAATGAGTTTCTAGGGTCCTACGATTCGATATATGAAGATCTAGGACGATATAGGGATCTACTAGGCATAAGTCAAGATCAGCCCCAGATCATTCGAGAATAGCCATGCCAAAACCTGGGGACCTTGTAGAACGTCGATGCCTAACTGGGAACCGCCGTTCCGGAACAAAACTATCGTACTTTCTGGGCAAGCGGTCGAATCCGCTCACCTTTTGGGTCATTGGCTGCAAATTTTCAACCCCAGTCCACCTGCTACATAGCGCATGGAGCTAACGGGTAGGGCTGACACGCATTTCACGTGTTAGGTCATGTTGTTTTCTCCCGGGCATTTTTCAGTTTCTTCCTCCACACCCTGGACCGCCCTTAGACCATCAACAGATCCCCCCCCTTATTACACCTCTCCTCGAGATTCACTCCAGGAGAACTAGAATGGGCTGAGCAGATCACATTTCTTCATCCATGAGAGTGCGAATACACAAAGGGAACGCACTCTCCCAAGAAACCCAGTTTCTGATGGCACCAGATCACCGGTCTAGTTACCGCACACCAACCAACCTATCTCAAAGATAGAGATAGCAAAGATGGAAACCCCACAGGAAAAGAAGGCAATGCTGGAACAGTCCCCGCCTGACCGGTTCAGCTTCTTCTCGTCCCAGACGAAGGAGGTCACCACGTCGTCGACCTGGGACGCTCTTTTCCCAGATGGAAACCTCGATCATATGACCCAGGAGAAGCAAAAGGGTCGTCCAGATCCCAACCAGCCCATCTGGTGGATTGATATCTGCGATGCCAGTGAGGGAGACGTTGATGTCGTTGCCCAGGCGTTGTCCATTCATCCCTTGACGGCAGAGGATATTGCTATCCGTGAACCTCGGGAGAAAGTCGACGTGTTCAAGAACTACTATCTGATCTCATTTCAGACTTTGGTTTCTAGCGCGACTAAACAAGAACGGCCCGGTATTCCTGTCTCCGCTGCGCTGTATATTCTCGTCTTTCAGTATGGTGTCGTCACTTTTTCGCCTAGTGGCTCTGGACACGTTACTCGGGCTAGAGACCGCGTTCGCAAGATGCACGATCCGTCTATTTTGACGAGTGACTGGGTCTGTTATGCAATGATGTACGTCGCCCTTCCAATACTCTTCAGGTACGACCTATGAGTAGAGAAAACTAACATCCATCCAGCGACGACATAATCGACAGCTTCGAGCCCTTCACCCGGGCCGCAGAACAAGAATCCGAAGCAATCGAAGACCAAGTCTTTATCGCCCGCATTGACGACGCAAAAGAACTCATCCCACAAGTCGACTTTCTCCGTAAGAGAATCACCCACATCATCCGCTGCCTCCACGGCAAAGTCGACGTCCTAAACGGCTTCATCAAGCGCTGCCAGTCACCCGACAAGCACCCCGTTTTCCCGGATGGAGATCTCCTCCTCTACCTCGGTGACGTGCAGGACCATCTCGTCACCACACTGTCTTCTCTCGGGCACATCGATGAGATCATCGGTCGGTCCCAGGCGAACTGTCTGGCACAGTTGAGCGCTACCAATCTGCGTCTTAGTTTGACTATTAATTCCGGATTGAGTAAGGTTACCCTCCTGGCTACTATTTTCGTGCCCTGCCATCTTGTTACTGGTATGTGGGGAATGAATGTTCCTGTTCCTGGCCAGGAGGCCCATGGGCTTGGGTGGTTCTTTGGTATTGTTGGTGTGTTTGCTGCTTTTATGGTTGTTTGTGTTGCTATGGCTGCGAGGTATAAACTTTTGTAGATGATTGTTCATGGTTAGATGTTAGTTTATTGTTGGGTATATTTATGGGTAAGAGTACCATTTTAGAACATATACATTCGTGACACTTATCATACTTGTCATCATCGTTTCCTATACATCTGGCTGCTCGAGTTAGTTCAAATGTATCTAATGTTCGATATACATTCGCGAGTGGTTCCAGGCCTTCCCGGGGTCGTTTATTAGCAGGCCGCACAAGGCTAGTATTAGACAAAGACCTCTGCTCAATCCCTAGGTAAGATCTCCGACTCGCAGCTGCTCTCGTATCAGCACAGTTAGCATTTTGATCGGTGTTATCGGCTGTACGTTTAACTGAGCTGCGTAATGTAAAATTCATTCGTCTCCACATGCGGCCGCACAGAATCTGATTTGGACATCATGACCACTGGTAAACCTTTTCGCGCCCCTCTTCCACTGTTATAAACTGTTGCTTATTACCAAAAATTGGGTTGCGGCCGCAATCAGGTTGTGATGGCAGAGATCAATGTCTTGTTTTTTACCCGGTCTTACTTGGTGTCTAGCACTTCATTTTTCGCCCTTTGCTACTTCTCGATCACTTAGTAAAACTGAGCACGCCTAAGAGCGCTCTTATTCGCACCATGGAAAGTACATAGGCTCATAGAATTGATCTGGTCAACATATTTACACCTTGAGGCTGTACATAGAAATCTACTACTCGCCCTCCCGGTCAGAATGAGAAATAAGCCTCGAAGACTCAGCATACCTCTCCGTCTGCCTCACATAAAAGTCAAATTTAATCTCCCCAACCAGCTTCTTCACATTCCTAAAACAAAGTCAGCAAAACCAACACCACAAAGAACCAGGCAACACTCACCCAATCAAATCCTTCAAACTGAAGCTAACAACTGACCTCAAAACTTCAAGCGAAACAAACGCCGAAAAAGCGGGATCCTCAATATGCCGAATACTAAGCAACTCACCATCAATTCTCTGCATCTGCCTAGCAAGAGGAAAGGAATCCGGCGTAGACAAGTAAGGCGGCAGCGGCTGACCATTCGAAATAGCCGCAGACAGATGACACAGTAACAAGGTGATGCGATGAGAATTGAAATCATCCGATTTCAACGCTATCTCAGCCAACCGCCCCATCCACTGATCGTCATCATCCTGACCAGAAGTCTCGGAATCAACAGCTAAATCCTCCAAACTCTCTGTCGTATGCGCCATAAGCGACATACTTGTCAAGATCCGCTGGATCTCAGCAATGATACTATCATACGTCTCCTTTGGGAACTTGCCGCCGATAGGCGGCTCGAAAGTACTAAAGTGGCTATGAGCACGGAGACCAGTGAGGAGCATCATTTCCTCTTTGAACAGTTTTTGTCGGGAGGATTGGAGGTTATGTGCTGGGGAGGATTTGTCTTGGATGGGCCCTAGTTCGTCGCTGAGCCATAGTTCGATGGTGGAGTGCATGCAGCTGTAAAATTCTGCTAGAACGAAGAGGCTTCGGCCGAGGAGTTTGCGGAGTTGGGATTTCGCTGTTATTGGGTATGGGAATATTACCCAGAAGAAGGAGATGGCGCAACCTGCTGCTACGGCTGCTAGTTTGTAGGGGCCGAAGAGGTAAATTGGGTAGTAGGGTTGGCCGTTTGAAGTTGCTTCTGGGAAGCCGAGTTTTCGGACCTTGGTAACTTAGTCCTTGGTTTCCTTGGGGTAGGTAGGTGGTGTAGGATAATACCTGTAGCTCGTAGCCGATGATCACGTTCAAGGTGACGATGGAGATGACGCATGCTCCGAAGTATTGGGGTACTTTGATGTAGAAGTAGTACTGCTAAAGTTAGTATAGGTCATCTCGGTGTGTGCAAGATGCATATGCATACCCCGAATACGTTGGCAAGATAGAGGAAGACTATCACACCAGCAGTCTTGCCATCAACGATGTACCAAACAATCAAACTGAGAACAAGTGAGATCGTCGTCGCAATAATCCGAGCAACAAAACCAAACATGGTCTGTCCACTTGTCGGATTCATTCCAATAACGATAACAATCATAGCCCAGATACATCTCTGCCGAATGAAAAAGTCCTGAGTCTGATGCAAGAAGGCAAGGATTCCGACAGAAAATGAAGCAGCAGCAACGCGGAAGCCAAATGCGCTTTGATCGGACTTGATGACGTGGGAAATGGTACGTAATATCATACTTCCTTTCTCCCAGATATTTTCGGGTGGGAGGTGCTCGGGATCTGGAAACCTTGTAGGTTGATTGCGTTGGATACTCGAGGGATCGACATTCGACGACTGTCTGCTCGCCGACGGAGTTTCAGATTCTTTCTTGTCAAAGCCCAGGGAGAGCCATGCTCGAATGGACTTTTGTTTAGGGAAGATAAGTCGGTTGCGCTTCATAGTCCCATCGGTATGCTTGCTATTGGCGAACTGCACCAACTGCAGCGTCGCGTTCAACATGTCATCTTGTAGATGGCCCATGTACAGGGTCAAGAAGAATTCCTGCCGGACGTCTGGATCAGCCGGGATAAAACGCGGCTCCGACTCTGTGGAAGCGTCGGCAACGGACTTTTCAGCGGCTGAAAATGCTTCAAGTGAAGCCAGAGCCTGGGGCAAGTGTTTCCGAAGAGAATAATAGCTGTGCAACTCCTGCTCGAATCGCGCGGGAAAATCAGGCTGCAGCGGTGATAGAGTTTGACCCCTTGCTTCTTCATCATGAGGCTTTTTTTGCTTGTCCAAATGCTTAGGCCTTATAAGCTCCAATGCCAACAAGAAATAGTGGAGACCATGCTGCACAAGCTCCGAAGAATGGATGATTCGTTCATGAAGAGTTTCTACCACCTTTTGGATTTCAGAGTGTTTCAATGCCCCTTCTTCTAGATCGTCGAGATCGCCGGCTTCCTCGTCACGCGTCTCATTCTTGACTATTGACTCCAGAATCTCCGGCAACATCGACATTCCAGACAAGGGAAGAAGAAGATTTCCGAAGAGACGTGAAATGGCATCGAGGTCTTCCGCGGACAACTTGCCCCATGCAATCTCACTCTTGGAATAGAAGAGATCGGCGTGCAGTTTGTTGTGCAGGCCATTGAGTTTGGCCATTGCCCCCTGCAGCTTCTTCTCTTTGGCTTGCAGATCATCTTCATCATCGTTCTTCACATCCCGTGTGCTTTCGTAGGTCCGTGCTCGTCGAAGGAGACCTGAACCTTTGAACAGGAGTGTTTCCGAGCTATCTTCAACAAATGATATCTGAGCTTGAAGGAGTGCCTCGACTGATGCTGCGTAGCCCTTGAGATCATGGAACATATCGCCTCTGCTGGTGATGGGAAGGATAAGCAATGAAACACCAGTTGCAATAGCAAATCCAATCATAAATCCCTTCAGTAATCGAGCCACGAAATCCAAACCTGCGGCTAGCGAAGTGAATGTTCCCGCACGGGTAATCGTAACAGAAGCAAAAATGGAGAAAGCGACCATAGGATCCTGAAGCTCCATTGGTTTTAGAGCACGAAGCGCGTTTGCGCCCCTAACAACAGTGTTAGCAGCATCAATATTCTCGGGAGAGATACTTCATCATACCAGATCATGAATATAAGCCATATCGCAGCTACCGCGCAGGCATCACTGCTAAAACCGTCCCTCGCATCGGGGGCAGTATTATTTTCTCTTGCTTTCACGGCACAGAATACAGCAAGACAACATAGTGATGCGGAGAGACATACTGATATCAAGTCGAAGAACATGATTTTGATGAATTTGGCACGAGGCATGAGCGCTTGCGACAGAATTGATATCAAGGCGGAGAGGTAGCCAATTGTCATGGTGATATTGGATATTGCATCACTTTGGTAACTGTAATAATATAAACATGGGTATTAGCATGATACGGTAGGAAGCGTACATGGCGATGGTGATAGTTGGTGCCAAGGCGCCTTTCAACATCATGAGCATGGTCCGGGAGTCCAGCTCCAACTTGGACCACCACGTTGAGGGATTTATTCGGCTGTGAAAGGGATTAGCGCGCGGCGTTCAGAGGAATAGCAGTGTTTGTTTACCTCATGATCCGAGGCAGAGACGACTTGGGCATCTTTTCAGCCGTTGTCATTCTGCTCGTCTAGTGGCCTGCTGCCCGGTATCCAGATATATATCCGACCAAAAGGTTCAGTGGGAGGCAGCAAAGGGAAAACACAGAGCCAATTCTCCATGGAACGAGAAGAGGAAGTAAAATTTCAAGGTAGATCAATTAGACTATCGGATGCGTCTGCATGCGGATCGGGTTGCCGTTGGACCCGTGCCGAGCCAAGTGCCGATAGCGGGAGGAACAAATGGGCTTCGAACTCAGATATTTATATCGATTTCAAGATATGCTAGTCTCTTATAAGAGAAACCTATCATCTTGCGGCATTGCCTCCTAAGAAGTCAAAATGAGCGCCGGCCGGATCAGTCCGAAGAAGGCACGTGATATGATAGTTGAGTATAAATGCAATAAATGCAATATATCTCTAATATAATATCCGGTGTAGCTAAATTAATGATTGGAGTTGATTAATCTACAAGCTATTACTAGTATAGTGGCCTGGTTCTTAGGGAAGTTGCGCTATATTTGATATAGGACTTGTGGCTGTCAAATAGCGGAGTAGATATTTTCCGCTTAGGAAGATCGCTCTTCGATCGCTCTCTACGATGGGCGATTCTTTGATTTTCCGTAGTTTTAATGGATAAGAAACGATATGCGACCGTGTCTTTATAGCTGATAGATATTATATTATTTTTGTTCTCTAAATCCAAATCAGGGAAATAGTGTCTAGTATCCCAGGTCGAGGTTCAATGGTAGAAATTACATGAACATACCAACAATGACATATTATGTCTTTCTTCAAGCCAGAAGCCATATTCTCCTATGCAAGAAGCAAGAACTCGCGATAGCGTTACACAATTCATGTCCTACGCTTCACATTCAGGCAGCCATTGTGAGAGGCCTGGCGTGGCTCGTCATAACAAGATCGATTTCGTTATGATTGCTTCTTGCTGGGCAGGAGCAGGTTGTTCCAGAAATAGATCGTTGAACATGAATCCACCAGTCTCAACTGTGATCCTGAGTCAGTGTCCAGAACCAACTGTGGCTACTGTGACACAGCCACAAGCCACAAACTGGTGCGGAGTTGTGGGGCTTCCAAGGTTGTGACAGCGTTGAGAGAGAGGTCGCAGTAAAGTGAAGCGAAATGAAGCGAGAGTTGCGTATGCAGAGCGGGTGCACCAAAAGTGAGATGCATAGGTGCCCTCATTATAAACAAACGAGGTACCACAGACACCAGTCAAAGGACCGTGGCAACCAGCGTATCACATGCACAAGACACTAATCCTCATTTCAGGTCCTGGAGGCGTGCTAGAGATCTGAACAGCCTGTCCGGCGGGGATTTGAAACATTCTCCCGAATCGGACTCGGGTTGAAATGCACCGGAGTAACGCAATTGTGACAGGTCTCGAGCAATTCCCGATAGGCAAAACAAGAGCCAATAATGGTCTCGACAGGGATGGCAGTCAGTACGTCGATCGTAGCCAGCGTAGACCAATAATGTCGGGTTGGATGTCAAACATTGTCCTTGGTGGAGCCAGATTTGCTGTCCATCAACCTTGGCATCCTTATAGGGAGAATAATCGAGAACGCGTCATGAGCCATGCTGTCTGACTCGAGTGGCCTTTCCATAGATGTGTGCCCTGCGTTGACATCATGCTAGGGGGTGACGAGAATGCCAATTCTGGTTGTCGGCGTGCACTCGTCAACACATTCTTTATCAAGATCATCAAGGATCCACCATGGAGACCAAGACACAATGAAACTTCGTATGTGGCGCGCTTGTTGAGTTAAAGTGGGAAATGTCCGCGCCAAGATGCCAAGCTCATAAATAAGTCTGGTCCCCCTAATCCACCACTTGACAGCTCTCTCCTTCACTCACTCACTTCTTTCCAAAGGCTTCTTGCCTTCTTTCATCTGTGTTTTGTCCCTGTAATACATGCGTAAGTGGTGATGTATAGCTATCTATAGCTATCTTATTTCGACTCCACTGGAACTAACCATGCTCGCTTCTCTAGACCGGATTCACTCGTGGGCGAAAGCTCACGCATCCTCTCGTGGCCTGACAGATCAGTCCTCCCAACAGGCCGACGTACCTGCCGAAAAACCTCCCCCTGAAAATGGACAAGTGAATATCCCTGTGGAAGACCCTACTCCAGGGTCTGACATAGAACCCAACTCAAAGCCGGGTCTTCTGATTCGCATGCGAAATGGATCCGGCCGGTTTTACAACCACACCAAGGATGCCCTGTGCCACAGCTGGGTGAATGTGCTGCTGGTCTTTGTGCCGGTCGGCATCGCCGTCGAGGCCGTCGGTCTCAACCCAGCCATCATCTTCGCGATGAACGCAGTGGCCATCATCCCCCTGGCAGGACTTCTCAGTCATGCCACGGAGAGTGTCGCCAGCCGTCTTGGTGATACAATTGGAGCTCTGATCAACGTGACTTTCGGAAACGCAGTAGAGTTGATCATCTTCATCATCGCCCTGGTCAAGAATGAGATTCGTATCGTCCAAGCCTCTCTGCTTGGTTCTATTTTGGCGAATCTGCTGTTGATCATGGGTATGGCATTCTTGTCTGGTGGTCTCCGCTTCCAGGAACAGATCTACAACAGCACCGTGACCCAAATGAGTGCTTGTCTTCTCAGTTTAAGTGTGATGAGTCTTCTTCTGCCGACTGCTTTCCACGCGTCGTGGTCAGATAATGGCGACGCCGACCATGAGACCCTCAAGGTCAGCCGTGGCACTAGTGTTGTTCTGCTATTGGTGTACATTCTGTACATCGTCTTCCAGCTGAAGTCCCATTCATATCTCTACGCCAGCATTCCCCAGGCTATCATTGACGAAGAATCCCATCCCGGTGTTCTCGCAGAGTTCATGAACAGCTCTTCAGAATCCTCGTCAAGCTCTAGTGATGAATCCGATGATACTACGACGTCATGGACTACCGCCAAGCGTATTAAGAGAGCTATGAAGTACCGCAGACACCGCAAGTCGAGCACCAGCTCCAAGGGCACAACCTCTCGCCAGTCCTTCCAGAAGAAAGCAATGGCCTCCACTTCTAACGAAAACCAAAGCTCCATTGGCAATTCGATCACTAGCAACGAGCATGCCATTGAATTTGGTGACGAAGTTCACTATGACGCTGATAATGACGTGCAGGAGTCTGCCATTCGCTCCCGTGACTTTGGTATCGCTCTTGACCGTATGGATAGTGGAGCAAGCCAAAAATCGAAACGTGACCGCAAGAAGCGCAAGGCACTAAAGGCAGAGAGGAAGGCTGAAAGGAAGGCTGAGCGGAAAGCGCAGAAAGAGGCCACCCAAAGTGCTCCCTCCAAGGAGCCCCAGCAGACCATGAAAGGCTTCTCGTCTGCTCCTACATTTGCCGGCGTGGAAGGCGCTGGAGAGGATCCCCAGAAACGCCGTTCTCCCTTCGGCCCGATTCCCTCTCTGCTCTCAAATACTGTTTTCAGCTCTCAGTCGCCGGCTATGTCCCCTCGAGTCGGCGCTACTCGCCCTGGTCTTTCCCGCAGTAACTCGCTTCCTGCTCACATCAACCGTCCGCCCCCGGCCGGCAATGCGGTTCAATTCGCACGCGGTGCCTCTCGTCTCACTGAATCGGCTGAGCCCCCTGCCCCAGACGCTCCAGCCAAACCCCAGGAACCCGAAATGTCTCGGACTGCTGCTGTCGTTATGCTTCTGTTGTCTACTGGCTTGGTTGCTGTTTGTGCCGAGTTCTTGGTTGACGCCATTCCCGAGATGATCACAAGCTCCAACGTCAGTGAGGCCTTTATCGGTCTCATTATCCTACCAATCGTCGGTAACGCAGCAGAGCACGTTACCGCTGTCAGCGTCGCAACAAAGAACAAGATGGACTTGTCAATTGGTGTGTCGGTTGGTAGCAGTATTCAAATCGGTACGTCCTACATCTCTAATTCAAACTGAATCCTAACTTTTCCAGCTATCTTCGTCACTCCCCTGGTTGTTATCCTGGGATGGTGTATGGATAAGGACATGTCTCTCTACTTCACCCTTTTTGAGACCATCTGTCTGTTTGTCACCACCTTCGTGGTCAACTTCCTTGTTCTGGACGGCCGAAGCAATTACCTTGAAGGTGTGCTATTGATTGCCGCCTATATCATTATTGCGTAGGTATCTCTGTCTTCCTCTTGATGAGCTCTCACTAACCTAGTTCTTAGTTTGTCTGCTTTCTTCTATCCAGACAGCGATGCCGCCAGTACAATCGCAGGCTAATGGTTGATTTTTCCCACGGGTGTTCTCGCTCGCAATTTTACGTTTCATGAGGTTATTACAATTACTCAATACATTCGTTTATGGGAAATGGCTAGCGCCCCTATTCCCAACCCCGCATGCATTATCTCCGTCGTATTTGAAAACACTGCGACTCCGTCATTTCATATGTAGTTCCCCTCTCTAGCCACGTGTGTAACAATTAGTGGCTGTGCTATATAGACTAAGCCACCTAGTGGCTGGGTATACACTAGCGCGGATTATCTGCATCTTTTTCTCTCAGTTGTTCTCTTCCGCAACCCCTAAGTGACTTCTCCACTGCAGGTGGGGTGCAATCGGTCTCCCCCTATTCTCTCATTCCCCTATTCTACTGAGAAATCTCTAGGGGTTAGGGATGTATATGTCTATCGGTCAAGGTTCAGGAACCAAAATACAGAGTGGAGTTGGCCGATCAGGAGTTGATCATGTCAACCTCCAATGTAACCAATATGTGCCCTATGATGACACTTAACACTTGGCATGCTTATACTTGTATCGGATCATTCTGGGCAGCCCTGCAAGGCGTGGAAATTCTCAATTTGACCGGGCCACAAGCCACTACTGGGGCTCAGGAAGTTGATATCGCATCTGCCTAGAGGGATTAAATGCCGTCAACCACAGCGCTAACTGACATCTGGTGGGTACATCTGTCTCGGTCCTTTCGGTTCTGAGCGGAAATGTTGATGTCTACTACAAATAAATTGTTTAATTGTTTTCTTTCGCTTCCACATAAAAAGGCCTCACTCCCCTCCTTCTCTCCTCTCTCTTCCATTCTCTCCCTCTCTTATCTCTCACCGTCAACCCTCTCTCAATTCATCATGTCGTACGCCCCGCCTTATGGTGACCCATACGGCCGCCCACCAGCCGACCCCTACAGTCGTCCACCATCAGACGCACCTCCCTACCAACAGCCCTACGCGCCATACGGCGCACCACCCGCAGACCCGTATGCCCGACCTCCCTCAGACAGACCGCCCTATGAACGTGGTCCCTACAGCGCCCCTCCACCAGGCGCCCGCCCCCCACCAGGCCCCCCACCTCCACTTCCAGCCGGCTGGCACCAGGAATGGGAGCCAAGCACCCGCCGCGCCTTCTGGGTAGAGGACGCCACTGGCCGCTCGCAGTGGGAGACACCTTATGCCCAGCCTGCCTATTCGGGCTACAATGATGGCTCCCGCAGCGTTCCTCCCCCGAGCCTCAGGGTGGTTATTATGCGCCGCCTCCGGGCCCGCCTCCTGTCAACTATGATAACCGTCCTCCCGGTGATGGTTACTATGATCCTCAGCAGCAGGTCGAGCCTGAGAAGAAGAAGAGTAATGCTGGCAAGTACCTTGCTATGGGTGCTGCTGGTTTGGCTGTTGGTGGTCTTGCTGGTGCTTATCTTGAACATGAGCACGGTATGTTTGATTCTGTTGCTTTGAGTTCAATTGAACTTGCTTGTTGTTCTGTCTTGAGTTTGGTGCTAACGTGTTTATAGATGAGGATGAGGAGCGCTCGGACCGCGAGGAAGCATATGAAGAAGGTCGTCGTGATGAGGCCTACGAGGATGACTATGGCAGTGACTAGAAGTCTCATTTTGAAGATTGACAATTGCTTGAGCAACCCATATTCTTTAGTTCATTCTTTACAACTTCATTGCTAGGAACTGCATTTCGCGAAGGCGATCAATAGGGTTTATATTGATACTACGTTTACTGTTGCATTCCTTCAAGACCTCGTCTCATCCAAACTTTACTTTACCCAATCTTAAAAGAACAGACATATATAAACTCCCATCAACCAACACCCAACACCCTCACTTCCAACACAAGATCTCCCCATGCAACAACCCAAACCAAGCATCCTTATTATCAACAAACGACCTCCACCCCTGCGCAATAACATCCAAATCCTCAACCCCCGCAAATCCCTCCTCAACAACCCTTTTCGCAAACCCAGACTCCCTAGCCCGTCCCTCCATAGATCCACCCCAATACGCCCTCTCCGCATCATCCCCAAAACACCAAGCCCCGGCACTCCTCCTAACATTCTCCCTCCCAAATCCAGCCTCAAAAGCCCAAACATGAATCATGCTTCCAGGATGCGGATGTCCCCCACTAGACCGCTGCATCCTTTCCGTAACCTCTCTCCACTTGGCAATACCCTCATTCTCAGGGTACCAACTCAACTCCGCAGACTCCCGACAAGAAACAATACCACCTCTCTTCACAACCCTCCTCATCTCCCGCAATGCCAGCACAGGGTCCGCAATGTGCTGTAGCACCTGATGCGCGTGCACGATGTCAAAGGATCCATCTTTGAATGGGAGGGCGTGAATATCCCCTTCTTGGAAGGTTATGTTTGTCACACCTTCTGCTTGCGCGAGGGCGCGTGCTCCAGATAACGGGTCGGAAATGTATTCTACGCCCGTGACGGAGCCGCCTGGGACGAGTTTGGCTAGTGAGACGCTTATTGAGCCTGGACCGCAGCCAACGTCTAGGATTTTGTGCATTGGCTGGATGCGTGGGATTAGATGGGGGCTGAGTTTTGGGCTGTACGCCAGCTGTGGGTTTGGAGGACTGTTTTTGAGTGGTCTGTTGTGTAGACTTGGGGCATAGTGGTGGTTTTGTTGGTTGATGTGATTTGGTTGTTGTTTTGGTTTGGTTGGAGTGGTTCGTATGTTTGATGGGCAGTTTTGATCAAGTTTGTGTTTGCGTTGAGATTTGCTGTTTTGACTCAATGGGTGTTGAGAAGAGTTGGTTTGGAGTTGGTTGTCGGGGTTTTTATAGTTGCGGGGAGGAATTGGGTTTGGTTCGGAGTTCCGAGGTGGCGATCTTTTCCCACTATTTCTATGTATAAGCCCCATGGATGTCATTATTTCAATGCGAAAAGTGCTATTATTTAGTTGGATTAATTTACTCTCTCGCTTTCTATGGCTGATGGCAATATCCTGCAAGTCTTCACGCAAGAGCGAATATCTAGAACAATATCGGACTTGGTAGAGCTAGTCCGTACGGGAACTTCATATTCAACTAGAAGCATACTCAACTTATATTCATATAACTATAATAAATGCAAATTCCCAAATGATCTTATAAATGCTCATGCTACGTGCAATCTCAATTCAAATGTAAATCAGCTTCGCTCTGCTCCCATACAATCATGAGGTCATGTGCTATCACCTGACCGCCCGGATACAGCACTATATTGATTAGCTTCTTTCCTTTCATTTTCCTGTCTCCTCCGTCGTCAGATGTTAGACTTTGTGTATATTTAGCTTTTAAAAATCTTGTTGGGTCTTATCATATTCATTTATCCTCAAACTCCTCGGAAATACTCACCTTAGTCGGCTGAAGTCATCTATAAAAAAGAATTTTTCACCACCGTGGCAAATTTTCATCCTACATATATCTCATCTCACTTTGCATGAATGAAGCGTACCTCAGCTTCTTCGCGACCGCGAAGAAGCGGGTTAGCACCTCCTCGGAAGAAGAGCTGTTCTCAGTGCGAAAAGTCGAAAGTGAGATGTGATCTCGCAAAGCCCACTTGCTCACGCTGCAAGACTCGGAAAACAAATTGCCAGTATCCTGCTGTTGTTGGACCAAAACATCATGCATATTCCCACCCTGATGTTTTATCGAGTATCCCAGTCACAGAGGATATTCCGTCTGTCTCAGCCGAGATTGGATCCGCAGGTGAAACATTTAAGATCCCAGCGATCTGTTTGACCAAACCGGACATGTCAACAGACATGGATTTTGAACATCTGGACCTGGTTCCAATGGCAAACGCAGACGAAATTCTTGATCGCTGGACGCGTCCTTACCTGAACATGTCGACAGCCTCAGTACCCAAAGCTTTCCCGCCTTACACCATCCAATACATTACTCGTATCCTGAAATCCTACGTCTCCAAGCTAAATTCATCCGCGGTACCTCCATTCATTCACCACCAGCAGGTGACAGGCAATGTTCCGCCAATATTAGCCAATTGCTTCAGCCTCGTCCGCTCCTGGCTAAATCGAATGCCGGGAAATGAGAAGATAATCCAGAGACAAATATTGCGGGAGATGAGGAAGATCTATGATCAGGTACATCTAGCTCAGACATTATTCAGAACAAGCTAATGTTTATTAGGGACCACAATCCTGTGAAATCGATCGCCTGTGCGCTTTTCAAGCGTATTTGATTTACATGATGGCAATCTTTTCCTCTTCCTTCGAGGAAGGCGCTCTCGAGGATGACACTGAACTTGAATCCCACATCAGACTCCAGGGGATAGGGTTTTATTGTGCGAAAACTGGTATCACATCGGAAGCTGAAGAGTTAAACAATCGACCCAAGTGGGAATCCTATATCATCACCTCCGCCAAGCGCCGGACCCTCTTCACCATGTATCTCTTAAGCAGCGTCTACAATTTCAAAATGGGCTTACCAAACTTCGTGGCGGAAGAATTGCGAGGCGCATTTCTCCCGGATGGTTCCCGTTTATGGGGGCAACACAATCGCGCAGCCTGGGAACAAGCATACCATGCCCATTTGAGTCGGTGGCCAGATGGCAAGCTTGAGATTTCCGAGCTCTGGCGTGATTCCGAGACTGGCTCAGCGGCCCGGCAGGAGAGAATCGAACGGTGGCTAGAGTTTGCAGATGAGTTTGGGACGGCGCTCTTTGCTGTTTGCGCGCATATCCACGGGTGCTAGGTTAATGGTTGAGTGTTGCTTGAGGCGGCAGATTGTCGAAATTCGCTTTGCGGACTTCAAGTCGGCTGCTACTAGCTACCACAAGACTTCGAATGTGATGAGTATGTGGTACGGTATCTCGATTGTCCTCAAAGTCGTGTGAAACCAAAGTCCCGTGGATCGATGACCACAGCCCAGAGAACCGATATCTGGATGGCGAAAGTTGCGTTTTGCAATAGGTCAAATCATCGAAATACATGATCGACTAGCTGATCCTGTACGGGTTCCACCCTACCTATGAAGAGAGCAGCCTACAACCCTGGTGTCAGGACCCCTGACCAATGGCATCAGGAATTGGCCCCGCTGTGGACAAGTCAGCCATAACATCTTGGCAAAAAGGGCACAATATGTATATTAGCAGTTCCCGCTGGCCCTTGGACGACCAGCGTTCAGTCTGTTACTACAATACACCATACTATATTCGCTACTGTCTGGGACGGACTCTACTTCCCTTATACATATCCAGTGGTAATTGTATTTCACCACCTATATTCCTAGAATTGCTTGACCCTATAAGAATTCTTTGTAGTATTTCAGTTAGCACACGATCAACAACTGGTGAGAGCCTAAGATAGGCGAGAGGAAGGGGTACCATAGCCTATTTTTCCCTGGGAGGGGACCGGCAGAAGCTTGGAATTTCGTTATGCGAGTAAGTAGATAGTTTCATACAATTACATGTCTTTTCAAATTGGTATTGCGTTCTGTCCGCCTAGTGAAACGTATGTCCGCATAGTAATTCTCAAGAATAACCTGGAATTAGAAATGATGTATGTACGCGATGATCATATCCATTACTCCTAAGGTCATCTACAGGAAATCAATGTTTTAAATTTTTCAGAACGTTTGCTCTCCTTGTCTTCCTGGGGTAGATGCTCAGCACATACCCTTGCATACCCTTCTTCTCATCTCAAACAAATTGCATATCCTTCCTTTCAAACCAATCGAAGAAGCTTGTTCGAACCCAATAGCCCATTTTGCTGTCTGTTCTCATGTCATTCGATAATTCATGCTTCAATGTATTTTCTTCAATGCTGCGCCAGATGCGGGATTCAGCACCCCGGGTGATCCCAGTCACCCTCATCAAAGATCTCACCGATTTCCTTTGCTCGGTCCAGACACCATTTGAATGCTGCCGGAGATGGAAAAAATTGAAAATTACATCCCTGTTGAGCAAGAGCGTGACAGAGCTCATCCGATCGGTAAAGTACTTTTTCAGGCCGAGCCATCATAGAGTCGCGATCTTGCTCTGCTTCGTTCCTAGATAAACTTATGTTTCGATCAGCCCAAAGCACAAGCATGAAATCCTTGCAATAACGAAAATGCGTTTGTAAAAGGGTGATAATAGCATCATATACACCCCATGATACGTCGAGTTCTGTCGAGGTCTTGCGGCAGCTGATAGTTGGATAAAGGTGTGGAAGATTGCAGTAGATTATCGCAGAACTTGTGCCAAATTGCCTCTCAGCGGATGCAATGTCCACACATTTAAAATACCTGAAGATCCTCGAGTCAGATCCGAGGGAACACTTCGATCGAGCTTCTGCAGGTCTTAGGAAACTCACTTCATTCGTAATCGATTTAAAGTCCAGAAGACACCGCCATTTTCGGACTAGGATGTAAAGCACACGTAATTTGACTGCTGATAAGTCGGTTTCTGGTGTTGAGCATTCTCTCTATTGTCGTTGAATGGGTCTGTTAGAGCAGCCCAGGACGTTTTGCTGTTGGAGTCCTTATGTAGGCATTCCACATTCAGCTGGATGAACCCAGAATTGTATGGGTATAGACATATTTTGCTATGTGGCCATTGTCGGAAACCTGGCATGGTATAGGAGTGAGAAGGAAACTTGAGCAAGAAGCGGCGACGGAAGCCGTAGTTAGCCTGGACTAAAATTACTGTGCCTTTCTTAATTAGGTGAGGCGTGCGCCGGAGGTGTCATTTTAACACTACATTGAATAAAACTCTCCCTCTCAAGTATAATAGCACCCTCTCCGTAACCTCCATCTATCAATTTCATCTGCTCGTAAAATTCTTGCGGCACGTCCAGATTAAGGGAGAATGGAGTACTCGTATGTTCTCCATAGTGACGAGACTGAAATTTTAATCAAGCAAGGATGTCGGTACTTATACTTGCTGGCAGCTACAGGGCAGCCTGTTGCCAACCCCACTCCAAAGTATCAGTTGATCGCCGAACGTCGCACATCGCTGACGTCTTTGTTTGTGATGTTTCTAGCGCAAATATCAACACTAGGCGAGGCAAACTGAGAAGAAATAGAATGTATAGATAGTTCGTACTAGTTCGTATATCATAGCCTCTCACTAAAAACACATGCTGAATACACGGTCCCCCACGAACTATCATCCATCACTAGTGCTCCATCTTAGCCATCTAAACCGTATCGAGAACAACCTTAATAGGCTCTCTAGCAATCAAACGCTCAAGCCACTCTTTGGCATGAGGGAACTCATCCGCCTTGAATCCATCCTCAGCAAGGTGACTGTTAAGAATACGCTGCCAAGCAACGAACGCCACATCAGCGTAAGACAGCTTATTTCCAACTAGCCACGGCCCATCACCGAGACTCGCCTGGTGAGCTTCCTTCTGCTTGGCAAGCCATTTGTCCAGCACGCCAGTGACACGCTTGGCCTCATTGACATAGCGCTCCACAGCAGTGGGGACCTTCTCGGCGTGGTAGACTTTGAACCAGATAGCCTGGCCGTAGTACGGGCCTTGGCCGGAGATCTGGAGATGGAGGAATGATCGTGCAAGCTCAGCTTCAGCGCTGCGGGGCGTGAAGCTCAGCTTGCGGGGCTCTTGGGCGTCATAGCGGTCAATTAGATATTCGATAATGGCGCCACTCTCCCAGATGGTCAGGTCGGTGTTTGGGTCGTAGACTGAGGGCACACGTCCGTTAGGGTTGACGGCTTCGTATTCGGCGCCCTTGACCTCAGACATCTCGACTGGGACAGTTTCCCAGGGGAGTTCGAGGAGGGTGAGGATGAGGGCGACTTTCAGAGGGTTGGGGTGTGGGGCGGGAGGCCCTCCGTAGAGCTTGATGGGCTTAAGAGTGGAGGCCATTGTTAGGGCTTGTTGAGGTGTTTTGAAGTGTTGGTGTGGTATGTTGACCATGCTATGTAAACTTGGTCTTGCTTTATACTTGCTGTATACTTCATATGTCTCCACTTCGGCTCTTCCTTTAGGTCCCGTTGTGTCCCACTTAGCATTATTAATCCGACTGATTACACATGTCGCATCATATTTCCAAGGCTGGGCTTATTCATCTAGGGCGGCTCGGGCTTTTCTGGGGCCGAGCCTGCCAAGTGAGATCAAATACAGATTACCCCCAATGACACTCACGCTTTGTTTTTCCGTCCATACACGAAACTACTCTAAACATAGATTAGTGTTGATGTCACATGACCTGGGTGGTCATGTGACTCCCAATGGTCCTGAGTATAACGTCAGTCCTTGGAAGTTCGAAGCTTCTCTTCTGCTTGTCCGTTTTTCCAACCAATAAATTGCCATTATTGCTTGCTTCTTTTTTGCCTGTCAGGAATTAGACGTAAACAATCATTTTCTAAGAACAGACCCTTTCTAAACTCCAGAACGACCGCTCTACGTATAATATTGTATTTTACATGAAACTCCTATACACTGCTACCTCACTGCCCTTTTATATCCTGACATCCATCCTTCTCAGCACCACTACCTGAGAACTGCTAAATATGGCACCGAGACTACCCCTGTCAAAGCTACGCCTTATTAGTTTTATGATACAAAGCCAACCACGGATGGAGTGAACAGACGATCAAACATATCCGCAGGAACATGCGACTGTTCGGAGACGTCCAACCCCTGCCCCCTCCCTCCTCCAACTCGTATCAGTCGGAGACGAAGCATAATACAACTCATCCTAGAAGCGCTCTGTGACCATCTGCTAAAAAAGCCATGTCTGTACTTCAAGATGACTATCTTTCTGTTGGATGAATTCCAGATGCTAGCAACAGCCTCTATCATTAGGAAGACCCTCCTATCCAAAAGCTGGTTAAAAAAGACCGCCCGACAGAATGCTAAAGAGCACAATGCCGATTTATCTTCACAACCTCTCCGAATCTGGGTCGCCCCACCTCGTTTTCTTCCACAATGCCGAAAAAGTTGATCAATGAAGTCCTGGAACACATATGCGTCCGTTGAGCTGCGAAAGACGCGAGAGAGCATCGTACTGTATAGGAAATCCGTCGGACTCCAATCCGCTTATCCGGAGCCGAAGTCTGTCCTGGTCATAGATAATGTATCGTTTCGCTACTCCGAGTGGGATTGCGCAGATGTGTGCCGATGCGGGGGCCAAATTGGTTTATTTACCGCCCTTCTCGTCGGAGTTGAACCCGGTCGAGGAGTGTGTTGCTGGGCTGAAGGGTTGCAAAGAGTATGTGTAACGAGACCAAGACGTAAAAAAGTTAAAGAAGGGACGATCCAGATGCATGTGGATGGCCGCACCGTGCCTGTATCACTCGCCGCCTTTGCCGACTTTGTGTTGCGTCAATGTACATCACTTTTGTCTTAGTACATACCCGTTCAAAAGTATCTTCCCACTCCAATTTCTCGGGTCCCCTCTCAAAATATATATTCACTTACACTGCATATAACAGCACCATTTTATGGCCTATGATAATGAGGTTAAATTCATCAATAAGCTTCATAATAGCACTATGAAAATTTCGCTTAATATTTGTATAATTTCGTTAGTTGACATCTAGACGAGCGTACGCAAGGCTAATGAACAGGCTAACGATATACGAGCTTAGCGAAGTTCAGCATTTTTATTGTAGTCATTGTCTAGGAAGCCTCAATTAATAATACGAAATAAATTTTGAACTTCACTTTGTCTAATTAATTCAGATATTCAGATGTGTATTTCTCCTATAATTTCCGTCGCTGCCCAATGAGCAAGGTGTCTCCACTGTGGTTCCAATACTGGCCATGTCGATTTCAGAATAGCCGTAGCCCATCCCTCGAAGCACCATATGTGCCTTAGACGGTGCAAGACGACACAATAAAAACAGAGGATGACTAGTGCCATCGGCTCCCGTCCCTGCAAACTTTCTAAGAATCGCCGAGGACACCTTATTGCCCAGCGACATGCAGCATTGGTAAGGACGTGGTCTCGGTAAACTGCACTTAGGGCATCTTCCAATATGTTAATTGTTTCTTGGTATACAGCAGTACCGTGACCGGGATTCTGGGTGCCATAAGCGGTGTTCGCACTATAAAGTTGATTCACGGCCAATCGGACTTCATCCGGCAGTGGGATTGAACATTCCAGTTCGACCAAGGCCGAGTCAAAAATAGGACTGAAATTGCTCTCCTGGATTGAAGGTCCAGAGATTTTCAGAACATGTTGCACGCCCTCTGATAACATGAGCACCTGGAATAAATTATCCACAGATGAAGATGGATTCATGGCGTTTTCTAGGCGCAGGAAGCCAAAGTAAAATATAGCAAGGATACTCGAAAATGCAAATATTCCTTTGGCATTAGCTCGGCTGATGTCGCCGAGGAGCTTCCGGAATACCAGCAATGCTTGATTCTGATAGACCAGAGCTTTCTTCACATATTCTGCCTTTTTGGTCTCGCTTTTGGCATTTGCTAGGTGAATAGCAGAGACAGCTAATAAACCATGCATGAGAAATGGATGAGACAATGCCTCTTCCGGAACAAGGAATTGCCAGACTGGTTTGGTGGCTTCGTTTCGAGAAAGCGCCAAGTGGGTCTTGCTTGACCACTGAAGCATGAGCTCGAGGTCGCTGAGATCAAGGGCCGAAGACGAAGGCTGGCAAATATTGTCATTGTTGCACAATGCTTGGGAAGTTTTCATAATACAAGATGCCGAGAATAGATACTCGGCTTCTTGGCCCAAGTTGGGGGGAGACGTAGGAGATCCTACGGAGGATTTCTCACTCAGCCACATGTACGGGGCAGATGAGCCATAATTGCAACTAGTAGATCGTTTCCTACAATTTGTGCATAAGGGTCGTTCTTCGTCGCACTAATGAGATTAGCAATCGGTCGTTGAGTGGAAAGGCGTGAGGTAGTACCTTGACTCGTCTTGTCTTGCATTCTGCACAGCCATGGCGGGATTTCCGATGAGATCGCCGCAGCATCAGCGCAGTCTTGGTACAGCGATAGAGAAAGGTCGCTGACGAGGTGTCCTTAACGCAGCCTAGGGGCTTTCTTCCTAGTAATCTTGGATGTAACGAGTTATTGGACTGTCACATTATAGGATCGGAACTTTCTCTCGACTTCGAAGGAAAATAATACGAACTTTGTTAATAATCTAAGTTCCCGGAGCGCTGAAGAGATTCCGAGGTTCAAGTGGGTCTGCAAATCTGGAACTCGAATTGTTTACTAAAATAGGAAAGGAATACGATGATGCCAGGGATCGTCCTAAAACCTAGTCAGGCAAATACAAGACCAACCAATGGCCGACACGTCGATTCTACCATATGTATTTTAATAAGGTAGAAAGCCGGGTTTTTCGAGCAGATAATTGTAGAGAGCGTCTAGGATTGGTGTTCTTATATTTCGTCTCTGATGTGATTTAGAAAAACATAATTTCCGATCGTTTCCATCGTGACCTGACCAAGCGCTGCAACAAGATCGAAATCATTGAGAATATAGTAATCCATGGGACGGTGGTGCTCCTCTAATATGTATGTTTTACTTCATTTTAGAATTATGACTTCAATAACCTGTTAATACACAAAAACCGCGAACAATGGCCGGAAGAGATAGACTAATCGGGAACCCTCCGTCACTAGGTATGTAGCATGGTCCGCGAGAAGGGAAGTTAACCTTAAGAGCCGATTCATACAAAAATCAGTTGCAGCTAAAGCTGTTGGTCTGACGTTTACCTATCCGGGAGACAACGTGGTTAAAGGCCGTATTTTGGACAGCATCAACCAATCCATAAGAAAGGTGACCGGCCGGCAGGCGACAGGAGCATGCGTTGTCGTAAGAGCAAACCCCATCACCCTGTATCAATGCCATGGTCAGTCTAAACGCCTCAATGTATTTAGTGGAATAGCTCTCTAGAGACTCACCTCAAGACAATAATCCAATACTTTGCCACTTTGATCCATTCCAGTTGAGAGCTGAGGCACTGTACTGTTGTTCTGAATGGCGGACAACGCAAACATACCAACCGAATGTGCATGGTCTCTCTGAGCAGTACCATTCACGTTCGACAGCTTATTGGGAATGCGGTAAGGGTTCCCAACAAGAATCACCGACTTAACGAAGCATAATGCAGGAACGTCAAGTTGATCAAGTGCTTTGAGCATCAGAGTTGCGCCTTGAGAGTAGCCAAAAAGGGCGTAGTTCTAACCAGGGCAGTCACGAAGACCTTGATTTATGACATCCAGTACAAATTTCTCACCACTGGTAGTATTCTGCTCAGCACCTGCTGGATATTCGACAGGCTGGCTGACACCACCTGTTGTGTTGGCAAGGATGTCCTTGATCATCGGGTAGAACATGGTTGAGACCCCCTGTGGCTCAGCCGTACCACGAGCGTCAATCAATTCTATTCGCATCTCAATGATCAGCACCATGGCCTCCTTTAGATAAATATGGGATCGACCCAAATTAAAGATCCAGGAAGGGCCTTACTGTAGCTCGCGCATCTTCGAGCCTCTTCCGGGGCAGTGATATTTGCATGAGGCAGCGAAAGGAACTCAGCATGTCCACAACGGCACTCGAATATCCGCACAAGCGTATCATATGTAGTTTTGTGAGAAAAAGCCGGCGAGTTGGCAAAAGCCGGGGCCAAAGTGGCAGTTAACACCAGGATGGAGAGTGAGACAACCTGAAGCATGCTCGTTGGTAGGATGGTAGAAAGGTACAGAACGAATTGAGTCTCGGAAGCGCATGCTGTACAGTACATATAACATCTCAAAAATGCCCTAAAGATAGGAGTAACGACTGCAGATATAGCACCTAGGTAGGTAGTGGAGACGATTGCCGATCATCACCTTCGTATTCCTTCCTACATGAAGGGAAAAGCTCGAAACTGTACTAGACTTGGTCCACTTGGAATTCGAACCATTGATTCATTCTACGTTATTACAAGGCTGCCTAAAATCATTTCGAGTAAAATATGGCAGAGACATCTGACGATGCTCGTATTCTCTACCAAATTCGGTTTAGTATCCGAACCCCATCTAGACCTTGTCCAAATGGAAATCGAACGACCATCATATCCTCAACTATCACAAGCTTTCCTTGGAATAAAGATAAGTGGAGATAATATTGGAGGTATATGAAGATCACGTTTCACTTGATCTCTACTCTTACACTCTACTCTCGCCTCCGTTGAACGTCCATCACAATCAAGTGCGCGTTTCTGACCAATCCATCCTTGAATCGACCATCATGTTACTTCTCACCTCAGCCCATCTCTGCCATGCGCGATTACCCCAATGCTGCAGGGCATACAGCAGGATGCAGCGCAGTGCAATCTTCTCTATTGGCTCTATGTCGTCTACGGCGATGGAGCATACCCGTCCTTCCCTATCTCATCCTTTACGCGGGCAACAGGTAGTCCCAACACACAGTTCGTATGTCTATTCTACGGCGACACACCTGCCAGAGGCCCGCCCGAATACGAATACCCCGGTTACACGTTACACGCCTCCCCGAACAGGCTTGGTCGCGTCTTTGCCTCGCTCTTGGATGCCATATGCCGAATTGGCTCGGCTGGATAACCCCTCCGGCACCTACTACCTGTTCTTCCCGACTCTCTTTTCCACACTTCTCGCTGCCCCTATGGCCACCGGTGTAGCTCCGATACAGGTGCTTGGAACGGCAGGACTATTTTTTACAGGTGCATTAATTATGCGGGGTGCGGGGTGCGCCATCAATGATCTGTGGGACAGAAATCTAGACCCTCATGTTGAACGGACCAAGTTCCGTCCCATTGCTAGAGGAGCAATCTCGCCGCAAAATGCAGTACTCTTCGCCGGTACTCAATTGCTGGCCGGACTAGGTGTACTTCTTCAATTCCCTAACCAGTGCCTTTGGTATGGGATTCCGAGCCTCCCGATTGTGGTTGCGTATCCGTTAGCCAAACGAGTCACTAACTATCCCCAATGTGTCTTGGGCCTAGCCATTTTATGGGGTGCGATTATGGGATTCCCTGCATTAGGGGTAGATATATTGGGCAACCATGATGCCCTTTTGGCGGCAGGGACACTGTATTCCAGTTGTGTAGCGTGGTCTGTTCTGTACGACATGATTTATGCGCATATGGATATCAAGGACGATGTGGCTGCAGGGATAAAGTCGATCGCTCTTCGACACGAACATAACACAAAGGCGGTCCTGACTGGTCTGGCTCTGACCCAGGTGTCCCTCCTCGGGACCGCCGGGATTGCCGCAGGCTGTGGGCCCATTTTTTTTGTCGGTAGCTGCGGTAGTGCCATTCTATCTCTGGGGCTCATGATTTGGAAGGTTCAGCTGAAAAATGTGAAGAGTTGCTGGTGGTGGTTCAGGAATGGATGCCTCCTGACGAGTGGAGGTATTACCTTTGGTCTCCTCGGCGAGTATGCCTCACAATACCTGGGTTTGTACCATAGCACCGGACCAGAATCCTTTGAGCAGTCGTAAAGTATTTGGTCGAGATCGGCTTGCGGGATTGGGCTCATCGTCGAGCAGGATAGCTGGGGAGGGACATACTCTGACTCCTACTTCCATTGTCAGATCCCTTGGGGCTGGAAGATGTAGTCAACGTGATATGGACTGTTGCTCATATTTGTACTGGATCGAATCTTTGGTGACCTGCGTCAGCTTACATGCGCGGTACCAACTGTCAGTAGACACCATAAGCGAATAGAACAGTAGACGCGAGCAGAATCCATAGGGTAGCATAAACGAGAACCATGGGTTACTTCTTAGAGCTTATGTCTCTGCCTCAGCCATTGCGGCACGCCCCTCTGATACGCCAATTGCCGGTTCTTTCCCCAGAATCATCCAAGACATGAAAGACAATGGTGTCAAACGGTTGATTGTTATTTCAACGCCTTCGTACTGGGTCAAGGAGAGAGATGTCAGTACATGGACATAACTGTACGGTCTTATGCCGAAGTTGTTCGCGCCCCAAGGAAACGCGGAGATGGTAACTATTGCAGAGGCAGTTACCAGTCATGCAACAAACCTTGATTAGACTATTATTCAAGCTCCGTGTCTGAGAGATGGACCGGCTGATGCCTCTGTTTTGGCAGGGGATGTAGGTCCGAATCACAAGGGGGTTCTAAATTTATCGCGGAGAAGCTTGGCTCGATGGGTTTTGGAAATTCGAAGTAAGGGTGGATTAGAAGGTGCCCTTTTCGGGCAACTACTCTAGATATTTGCCGGTTTTAATTGATCTAAGATGTTTTCGATCTGCTTTTACGCCATTATGAATGTGGCTATCGGCTCAAACCGAGTTTTCCACATACATAGTGAGAAGCGGTTGGTCTTGACAATACTATTTAGGGTATCAAGCAACGATATGGGAAATCTTCGGCAATATAGTTCAAAAGTTTCGATGTTATTGTTTTGCTTTCATGCAATACAAATCCAGGTAGTCAAGGTAACAATGTGATCACGCGACCCCGCACCTGTCACATCACATCCCTGTACACGACCTCGTATAAATAGGGCAGTCCGGCTGCGCACTCACTTCCCCTTCTTCATATCCCATGTGAGTAATCCATTCCCTCTATACGCAACTCTTTTACAATATTGATATCTGACTTCTTACTGAATGACAATTTATCAACCTCCAACCAAAACTTTGCAACACGCGACACGCGCCGTTCTACCTCACGCAAAATCAATGCGCATTTTATGAAACCTTCAACCAACACTTCATGCATCATAATGGAAACTCTGTGTAGTGCAATTACATCGCCCCTGTTCAGTCCTCACATATTACCTAGCCCTCTCATGGGTATCAAACCCCGACGACGACAAGCTCCCACGTCAACGCAGATGTGCGGGTGTCGATTGTTGTTTGCCTCTAGATACCCAAAGCAACGGATACCTTTACAGCATGTTGACATCTTGCCCTATATGTCAAGATGATAAGTCGGTCTCCTACAATACTCAGCATCATGCTCCAATCACAATCCTGACACGTCCTGAATATTATTTAAAGCAAGAAGTCAAACTCAATTCAAATTCACCTACAATCTAAGTACACTCAACAAAGTTGTTTCCACTAGCTCCAGTATGCGTAATAACACCAGCAAGCTGGTTGTTCGTGTTAAAGATAACACGGTCCGCACCAGGTGAGCCACCAGAGTAAACGCTGCCACTGCTAAGAATTGGGAACTCGTAGTATGTTCCCGACACAGGGAAGACAAAGCCCTCATAGTCGTGGTATACGTGCGGGTATGAGGATGCAGTGCTGCCTTCGGAGTACAGGTCATATCCAGCATTTCGGGCGGCGGCCACGGCGCTGCTGCTGTAGCAGTGGGAACCACAGGTTGAGGCGCAGGCACGGGCCTCAACGTCCAGGGGCGCCGCGAGGGTGCTGGAGATGAAGACGGCCGCAAGGGCGAAGAGCTAGGATAGTGTTAGTAGGTTATATTGCTGAGAAACGGGGCATCGTACCTTGGTGTACTGCATCTTGGGATTGGATATAGGTGGGGATTGAAAGAGGGATTCTTCAAACTGATCGGCTGGCTCTTAGATATCTCTTGCCTGCTGGATTTCAATGTTGCTGGGGATATAGCTTGTTTATATAGACCTTGCCGGCGGAGCTGGAGACTTCTCCGATACTTCAATTAATACAATACCGAAGCGAAGCATCTCCTTCATGCAGCGTTACATTCCCTGGATCGAAACATAAACCATCCCATTGGTGAAGAGGTCATGCATACACAATTTATTCCCGGGTTAATTCAAGTCTTTCCGAGTTAGGAATCTCCGCCGATCTGCAAAACCGGAGTATAATAACGGGGCGAAGGAACAAGAGACTTCCGATTGGTCTAATTAACACAATGTGAAGAATTGGACGATGATAGGGTTTCTGGAAATGCTCGCGCGCCATTCGAAAAGTGATCGACACGTTTCCGGGCGCTATTCAGTTAGTTAGACCCTTAGTAGACTCATGCAGCTCAGATTAGCGCAGGGGGTTCCCTCCTCTTTATCGGGCCAATGGGGTCACTTGCTGCAGGCCACGATGTTGATCTAACGGCCAGTTCTTCAGCGCCTGCTGTGGGGTTCAGCACCGGGCTATCGGCATCTGCTAGAAATCGGGTTTCGAATGATGAAAGTGCGATTCTAGAGCTTCGCGTCCGAGAATATACTCCACAGAATACAGATCCTTCGAGCTAGGCCGGTCATATTATGTTTTTTTCGTAATTTGCATAAAGTGCTTTCCCCTCATTTCGTTCCGCCCGCCGACGGTTTCCGTGCTGATCTCGCGAAGTATATCATTTGGATCGACTCGGGAGTGCCCGATGGATACCAATTGGACTGTATGGCTCATGAGCACCACCTACTCTATTTCGCTTTTGCCTTGGCGGGCTGTTCTGTCTATAGTCCTTATCACATAGACTCTGTATCATTGAGAATAGGATTTAAATAACATAATGCCATCGGAGTATAGACGGTCGGGTACAACAGGGGTCATAAATGTGTATACAGTGCCATAAAATATTGAGCAGTTTCCTCACGAAAGCCTCGAAGCGAGTATACTGTTTCATGGATTGTTTTTGTCCTACTTTAGCCTCTCTTTTTTTACCTCTTTTAAGGGGACCTTCGAGTGCCTCGGGTCAATCATAAATTGTATAAAGGTTAGGGTGTGAAAGGGCTTCTGGCCTGTGACTGATTCACGGCAAGGGATAAGCTCAGCTTACCCAATAACTATAGAATAAATGCGAGCCCACCAGCTCTTCGTTTTCTTGAGAGTCTCAATCTCCTCGGACTCAACAAGCTCTCTCCTTCCCGTCCAAATATCCATATCCTCCAGTCGCACCAGTTTCGTCTTGTTCCAAAACTTGTAAGTGATGACGAATAACACAAACACCGGTAGCAAGATATAGTTGATCACAAAATCGGTCGAGCTGAAGGGGTTCAGGAAACACGTGTATCCTTGGAAAAAAATCAGAAAGACATTTGCTGCCAACGAAATGTAGGTTCCCCAAGGGTAGAAAATCGCTTGGTATGGGAGTCTTGATGGGTCTTGACCTTGCACAACAAGAGCTTGGCGGAAGCGAATATGTGCAATCCCAATCACTGACCAGACGATGAAAGTAGCCACTATACTTGGTTAGACTTACTCATTAGTCTTTCGGTTTGTAAATCTCAGCTTACCTCCTGAAAGTGTAATCAAGGCTGAGTAAACCTTGCCAGCACTAGATGATTGTCCCAAGAATACAATGCAAGCAAAGACATTGGTAAATATCAAGCCAGCCCAAGGAACTCCCAGCTTATTCGTACGACCAATAAACCTCGGTGCTTTTCCATTGCGGGACATGAACAGGAGTGTTCGCGATGCCACATATAGAGAGCTGTTGCCAGCTGAAATGACACTGATCACGATGAGGGCATTGATGAGGTGGGCAGCCGGTAAAATGCCGGCATCTTGCAATGAAATCGTCAACGGAGAACTGGCTGTCTTGGACGTAGATCCCAAAAGCCGGTGGTCATTCCATGGGATGAGGATTCCAATAAAGAATATAGTTCCTAACCAGAGATCAGCAGGTATCACCTTTGTCTCGTTGTCCACATATACTTACCGACGTAGAAAATCAAGATGCGCCAAAACACCTGCTTGATTGCCTTCGGGACTGCTTTTGCAGGATTTGCAGACTCTCCAGCAGTGATGCCAACCCTATATTATCGTTAGCTTCAAACGCATGCTCCGCTATTGTAACACTCGAGAACCCACATCTCAGTCCCAGCATATAGTGTTCCAGCAACCACAAACGTTTTCGCCACGCCATTGATCGAATCCGCAAATGCCCCGGGATCATGCCAGTATGTAAAACCAATAGTGCGAGGCCCAATTCCGCCTGTGCTGATGCAAATTGCGAGAATGAAGAAAACGATTAACGCCAAAACCTTGATGCTGCAACCGATTAGCCCAATCTGTCGGTTTCAGCCAATCATTCGGCAACTTACAGAGACAGCCAGAACTCCATTTCGCCGTATGCCAGAATCCCAAGATTGGACAGCGTAAGGAACATCACCCAGAAGATGAGAATCCAAGCCCATTGCGGCACAGCATCCGTCCAATATCCAATAACTAGCGAGATGGCGTTATATTCGTTTGCAAGGACCTTCAGAGCAACCAGATGAGCATGCGATCAAGCCCATAGCCCATTTAACAACAGATCCATACCGTAACCCACAAATACCAGTATGCCCAACCAAGCGCAAATGCAAGCGAGTCGTCAATAAACCGTTCTGCGTATTCAGTGAACGAACCGGTAACAGGAATCAAGGTCGCCATCTCTCCCAGTGATTGCCTATACTCATCAGCATCCTTCCAAAACCAACGCATGTGCCCTAATTACATGACGAAGAAGACGATGATGCCCACAAGGGAAAAGCTGATAAGAGCCCCTGCGGGCCCACCCTCGTGCAGCGCATTGCCCGAACTGACCAGTAACCCGGGTCCGATGATGCCTGTGAAAAAATCAGCCAACGCCCCCAAGAAAGAAAAGAAAATTGTGGTCGCATGTGGGCGGGTATCGTACCTCCGATCGCGATCATTTGCAAGTGTCTCGACTTCAGCTGGCGCTTCAATGGCGCTGCTAGGGGGTCGTTTGCTATCTCTTCATCTGTGCGGTGCTTATTTTCTCCTGTCCCTGACCCTATACTTTTTGTGGTGTCATCTTTGAGGGGTCCTCTGTATGTGACTGCGGTATCGCCTTTGTCTGTCATTTGCGGGTATAATTTGTCCTATAATCATAGGATAATAATCAAATCGGTGTAGCAGCTCGGCTGAACAAGGAAAAAGAAGAGAATTTGCTCTCCATGAGTGGTTGTCACTGGAATTTCCCCCGCGGGGCTTGGAAGTGAGGATTTTCGGCCTGTCATTTGCTGCCGATGTCGTGATAAGCTGCGGGCGCATCGTTACCAGGTGGGCCCTATGGCGTTACGCTTGGAGACGATCATTTGGAGCAGGGTGGATGATTTGATGGGACGGTATTTTCCGAGTACAGGATTGATGTAGGAGAGGAATATTGGCTGAATATTTGTGCGTGTGTGTTTGGCTGCAGGTGACCTTCACGCGACCGGGTTGGTATAGACGCGTGACAAAAATTGGTACAAATTGAGCATCATACAGTTGCTCAAAAGAGAGGCGACTACAGTCCATAGTAGATACTTCCAAGGACATCCATGTCAGCTGTGCCTGTCTCCTGTCTACATGTACATGTGTGTACCTGGATCGGTGCACGGACTACGCCACGTGGGGCTAAAAATAAAGTTATCAACTACATGAATGAAGCGACTCATGCATTATTGGAGAAACCACTTTTAATGAGAACAGGAACAATATGGAAACATACTGGAAGGAACAGACAGGGTGGATAAACGGGCTCAGACAGGTGTAGTTGGTCTTCAGAGTGAGTCAGTAGCTCTCTTGTATCTTCATAGCCCCCCGCAATCTTCAAGAGGATCAACAACTTGTCAAGGACACTAGAGAAATGAGGAATAAAATTGCATTTTCGAACCGAGTATCAGTACATGGGGAATGGGAACAGGAAATAGGAATGGGGAATAGGAACAAGGCAGACATAGGTTGTGAAAAGAAAACCGCTCAGAGTGTAGTAAATCAAAGTCCTCAGAGCAGCAAAGGCTTTTAGGTCTCTAGAAGTATCATCAGCACGGTATTCTCGGGGATTGAACAGACGGAAAATGGGAAAGGTGAAATGAGGAATTGGAATGAAGCAAACGAGGGTTGTGACATAATATGCTCAGACAATGTGGGTAGTAGTAGAGAAGATCATCAGAATTATCAGCTCTGTTCTCTTTGGTCATCATAGCTCCACAGCCCACGAATGAATCACAAGATCCGAGGGGGAAAAATGCAGAAAACAGAGAGGCAAAAAAGAGAGGAAAAAGGAAAGACAAGAGGCAGCAGCACAGGAGAGAGAAGTAGAAAGGAAAACAAGAGGCAACAGCACAGAGAGTGAACAGAGGAGTCAAGACAAGAGTCAGCAACACAGGAGAAGTAGAAAGGAAAGACAAGAGATAAGATCAAACAGGAAAGGGAAAGATAGGAAATGAGGCAGAAGACAGATGATTTCAGACAAAGGTGTGGAGGAGAGAGAAGAAGAAGCAGAGGAAGAGAAAGTCGAGGCAATTTATAGACGCGAGAGTTCAGATGGCAGCGCGCAGTTCAAATGGCGCGGTCCCATTGGTTCAACACGAAATATGAGGCCGGGAAATACCGAAAAAGGGAAGTGAAATTAGGCTTGAGAGGGTTAGAGGTATCGAATTGAGGGGTGGTGCCCTCGTTGGGTCCGGGGCTACATTAGGACGCAAATTCTTCGAGCTCTCCTGCGTGCAGATATTGTTCATCGTCGCTCAAATTACAAAGGCCGCTTTATAGTAGCATCTAAATCATATATTTGACGCTTCACAGCTGTATCTGATGCCGTGCGTGGATGGTCGATAAAATAACGTAACGTGGCTGAGAGGATATCGCGCAATTGCGCGCTGAAAAGTTCTACTATACATCTGATTTCCGCTTGGAACGCTGCGTTGTTGTCAGAAATACATCTGGGCATGTGATACACGGTTCGAACGCGTGTTTCTTGGGGATTCAATCATGATATTTCAATTTCAGCCCTTGCCTACTACGAGTATAAGATACCGCGTCCAAATCGCATCCTCCCAGCTTCATCCGGGAGGGAAACAATCAACAAGGATCTCCAGGTCTCCTACAGCGGTGGGACAACTTGTCGGTGAAAGTCAGACCCCATTTTGCGCTAGCAGGAGGTTAACAACTAACAACCGCAGCTCGATCGCAGAAAATAGTCGACATACCTCGTGTTCGTGTTGACGAAGTCCCGAAGACGCTCATACTTCTTTTTACGCTCCTCTGGGCTCAAATTGATCGCTGCAAAAATAGCCTCGGACATCTCAGTGATATTGGCTGGATGGAATGGAATACTACCTTCGGACATGAACGACGCCGCGCCGGCGAACTCAGAGAGGACGAGCACACCATGGCGCTCATGCTGGCAGGCAACGTACTCGAAAGACACGAGGTTCATTCCATCCCGTGTGGATGCGAGAAGACATACATCAGCTACAGAATACAATGCTGCGAGCTCGGTGAATGGGACGGAGCGATGCATGTAAAGCAGCGGAGTACCCTCGGGGGAGGCTAGCGGGTTAGTATGGCTCCAATCGTAGGGCAAAATACTAACCATGCTTTCCGTTGATCTTTCCGGCCAGGGTACATAGTTCGCGTTCGAGCTCCTGATACTCCTTCACATCCTCGCGACTCGGCACGGCAACTTGGATAAGAATGACCTTGTTTTCGAGTTCGGGGTGGTCATCTAGGAAAGCGTCGAAGCCTTTCAGTTTCTGGGTGAGACCTTTAATGTGGTCGAGTCTGTCGACGCCGACAATGACCTTGACACCATTGTATCTATCTTTCAACTTGCAGATACGTTCCTGGACTTCTGGCTTCGCCAGGGTCTCTGCGAATTTCTGGGGGTCAATGCCGACAATGAACTTGTCTACACAGACTAGGCGGTTCTTATATTGGATTTGGTTCCCAATCTCGGTGCGTGCACCGCTGGCGAAGTTATCAGGGTGTGTTGTTACATTGGTGCGGGGAAGAATTAGGGCTGACACTCACAGGAGACTAGCGCAGGTGTCGATGAAATTCTGCTTATACTCGTCGGTGTGGAAACCAATCAGATCGGATGACAACAGACCTTCGATAAGGTGTTTTCGGACTGGAAGGTTTCTCCAGAAGTCTCCTGCGGGAAAGGGCGTGTGGAGGGAGAACCCAATGGCGCAGGATTTACCCTGTTCTTGCAGGCGGTTACGGAGAAGCTCGGGCAACAACATGAGATGGTAGTCGTGGACCCAAATTAGGGTTCCACTTTTTGCTGCGTCGGCTATAGCATCGGCGAACAATTCATTTACTCGTCTATATGCTTGCCATGGTGTATCGTCGAAGCTTACACCAGACTGGTAATGGAGAATCGGCCAGAGGATACGGTCTGTAGGTTAGTGATGCTGCAATTATATTATCAGAAGGCTTACTCGAGAATCCATTATAGTGTTCCTGCGCCAATGTCTTGTCCAGGAATATGGGGATCGCATTGTGCTCTCCCAAGCTCTTGGTCACTTCCTCCCTGTCTGCCGGGTCTTTGAGTTCAATTCCGGGCCAGCCAAACCACTGGAACTGGGTGGACTTTGTTAGTCCCGAGAGAGAGGTGACAAGACCACCACTCGAGAGTGATGATTCAAACCCTCCTTCTACTCGTTTGATGAACAGGGGAAGGCGGTTGGAAACAATGATGAGGTTACTCTTGGGATCGCTGGTTGACTCCATACCGGTATGCAAAATGGAACTTCTATACTTTGCAAATAATGCTTGCAGAAACGGTATCAAAAGGCATATGAATGTGCGACCTGGAGCTATATCAATTATTTAAAGACTGAAAGGCGAGAGATTGCCTGCAGCCACGTCTTGCCCCAGAAATGGCAAATGGCAAATGGCAATTTACGTCAGTATGAATTTCAGTCTGTCTCGACCTTTGCTGTATATGTTTCTTTGGTGATGGGTTGGACTGAGCTAATAGATTTATCATTCTAGAAATATGTTGGTTCGATGATATTTTCTCTCTTTCGAGCCTTTATAGCGTGGTGTATATATATGGGAGAGGACACCCATCAACTACCGACTCGTTCTTACTTACTTCCAATGAGTGATTAATAAGAGTGGGTATGAACTGGAATTGTTTTGATATTTACTAATTAATTCATGATTTGTTGCTTATTTTGTTTCGTAGATGTCATCATGGCCATGTCAGGGCATCCACGGCCCTAAACGCCGGTCGCCTCCATCTGCTTCTCCGATTTGCCTCTTTGCTTCTGCAGAAATTTGACAGCAATGAAACAACTCAATCCAGCTGCGTATGCACACCCAGCAAAAGCAATCAAACCCCAATACTCTCCCTGGCAGCGGTGGATGATCTCGCCAGCAATCGGAACTCCGGTCAATGCTCTAATCGAAAATTAGCCATACAACTCTGAAAGATAATATGCGAGCACAAATGGAAGACTTACCCAAAGCTGACGATGGTATACACAGTTGTATAGTACCTCCCATAATTCTCAACGGGACACAATTCTCCCACGCAAACGGGGACAAGACTGATGTTACTCCCGCTCGCAAATCCAAACACAACAGAGAAGATAATGACAGCCACAACATTTCCGCCTGCAGGCATCCAAATGCCCAAAACAGCAATCAAACAAAGAATGTTTGTCGAAACCAATGTGTTGAAGCGACCAATATGATCAGCCACAATACCAGGAAGCCAACGTCCAGGAAACGAGCCCGCATTCAAAAAGACGACCGTCAGATACGACATCTTGGGAGAGATGCCACTCGCAATCGAATACGAAGCAATATACTCAAGCGGAATGAAGAAACCCCATTCAATAAAGAAAACACCACTAGTCGTCAAAGCAAGCACAGGATCCTTGAGAATAGTTAGATCAGGAAGGAATGCCTTAATCGACGGCGCGGACGAAACCTTTGGCGGGAAATTGGCACGAACAAGCAAACAACCAGGAATGAGCAGAATCAACGTGATAAGCCCAACAACACGACTGGCCCAAGCAAATCCAATCCTCGGAGCAAGATTCTCCAAAACCAAAGGGAAGATCACACCGCCAATACTCCCACCCGCCAAAGCAAGACCAGTAGCAGCCCCACGCCTCTTTATAAAGAAATGGCCAATACTCGCAACAGGCACAATGAAAATAAACGACGTTCCCATTCCACCCAGGATTCCAATAACAATAAGGAAATGCCAATACTCAGAACAAAAGCCCATCAAGACAAAAGCCAGAACGAGCAGACTGGATCCCAGCCACATCAGCAAGCGCGGACCCTTGATATCGAATATTGGGCCGATCTGGATACCGCAGAAGAAGACGAGGAAGTTGTAGATGCCAAATATCCAGCCGATCTGTCCTTCGCTTATGTGGGAGAGTTGGTGTGTTGAGATCCAGGCTTGGTATATTCCGATGCTGTTCATTAGACCCAGGCCGCCCATTATTGCGCTGAAACTGCCTGCCACGACGAGGTTGCCTGTTAGGCCTCCTTCTGGACACGAGGCTGGGCTGTCGATTTTCGGTTGGTGGTGCATTCTTTTGGGATTGGGTTGGAGTTGGAGTTGGTTTATGCAAGTAGATGTATGGATGAGGCCTATGCAATTGATAGAATAGATGGATGAAAGAATGGTGTATTTGGTACTTTTGAAAAGATCCCTATAAACAAGTCAATGTATGGATATAACGCCCGCCTTTAACTGTTCTACATAGTGGATAACTGCAAATTTTCACCAAGTCTTTTCCCTTGTCCTCGGCCATTTTGAATGCATCGAAGGCGTGGTTGACATTTGACGTGCAGTGGGACCGAACTGATAAAATCGCCGAAGGACAGTGTAAAGATCAGGTCCGGAACTTTGTTGTCAGGGGACATGCAGGCCCGTTAACGGATGGGCAAATCGGCGTGGTGCTATATTTCGTCTTGCAGGAATTGTATCGGAATATACTCGGGTCGCCCCGTGGCAAAGGCGATCTACGGGTTGTGGCCGCCGATGGCCGATGGCCGAGCCATCCGGCGAACGTGGGGCGACACGGCATCGGCGAAACTACCCACAGACTATATTGGAATGAGTGAAATACGCACAAAAGGGTTTGTAAATGCATGTGAATAGACGATCGGCCCAATAGAACTAGAGCTGGAAAGAATCCCATCGGCACATTGAGGCAGGTTGTTCGCCGAGCTATTCGCGGGAATTGTATGATACAATTATCTTCTGTTTCCTATGAAATTTTAGCCGGGGAAATGTTGAGACAAATGACAGGATAGAGGCTCATATAGCTCTCAGAGATATCAAATTGAAGAATTACAAGAAAAGAAATAACCATGACAATGGTATACAGTCCATAAAACAAAACAAAATCCAACCAACCCCGAACCCAGCAATCCTGCCGGTTATGCTGCCAAAACCAAACATTGTAAACCAAGACGCCACACCAAAACCAGACCTGGATGTCAAGCTGTGGTCTATGCAAACCTGCGCTTGGTAGGACTCGGTGTCCGGAGGTGCTGTTCACGATCACGGCTGCGCTCGGTGACAAAGTCCATAGACTTGGTATTCTCAAGCAGCATGGGCGGGTCTTGTTTCTCGCCGTAGTTCATGTCTTGGGTTTGCCGAGGGTCTTGTCCGTAGTACCCAAAGGCGGGGTTGTGGTGTAGCTGTGGATGCATGGGCTGCGGTTGTGGGGGTGCTGTGCGTAGTGCTGTTGCTGGAGACGGTGTCTGAATGAGCGGAATGACCAGTTGCTGACAACTGTGACTGTGGAAATCGTAGCCAGGAAGAATAACTAGGCATATGGTTAGCATAGTCCACACAGTCGAGGCAGAAGGGTACTCACAATCGCCTTCCAGCTGATAGGGTCAATGAAGCTATTGATGATAATCGCCATTGTATGCGCCGAGACTTTGGCACGGCCAACCTTTGCCGGGTCTCGATTCATGCACCGTTCCCAGTTCTCGCAGATTGTCTCTAGGGCTGGGGCCCGACTAGGTCGCCCACAGTCATTGTCGACGTAGCTCTTCGTGCATACCGCCATATCGGCCAAAATTGTATCGGACATTTCCTGCGCGGCCTGCTCAAATTCACCGCGGATCGCTGACACAAACCCGAACACGACGTACACGGCCAGAGAAAACAGAGATAAGTTGACCACCAGCTGGGCCCACCATGACAGAATGGCGGGAACATTCGGGTGTGCCTCGAGCATGCTGAAGAATTCGGACCAGGTTGACACCCGCGATCCTTGCAGTTCTGCCTCTTGTTGTTTCCCTTTCGCGACTTTTCCTGCCCTGTTTTCCCTGCTGTTGGGTTGGTCTAGCTCGCTCTCGTCGTCGCTTTCGATTCGTACTGTTCGGCCAAGTTCCTGATCCCTTCTCCGCCGCTTCTGTACCCTATTTTGAATAGCGTTTGAGTGGTGGGTCAGTCGTGGGATCCCCCCTCGCCCTGGACTAGACCGGCCAAGGAAGCTGAAATGCGAGCTTGACTTCCCCTTCTTGGAGGGCTGATCAGGTGTATCCTCATTGTCTGCGCATTCCGGTGATGACATGTTCTCCGGGCCGGAAGAGAAATCGACGTCGAATTTTCGCGGTGTCGTGAAAGCAGGCTGGCCGAATTTGGCCTTCGGGGAGAGAGGTGCGGATTGTCGGGGTTGATTGAAGAGGAAGGGCTGGGAGTTTGGTTGGCGGAGAGAAGGCAGCTGTGGCTTCGCGGGAGAATCGAATACACTGTGTGTTCCTGGGGGCTTGTCAGAGGGATTGATCTTGCCTGGAGTGACATCGTTCGGGCCATCTCCGGTGAAATACGAACGTTTCTTGTCGTGTGCTCCTAGATTGAAAGGCGAGTTGGGATCGACTGGGCCTCTGGATTGCCATTCAAAGTCCATTGGACTTTCTGCCGTTCGCCTGTCCATGTTTGCGACCAGTGTGGGAGTGGGTGAGGTTGGAGAGCGGGTAAGTTTTTGTTTGGGGTAAACATCCAACCGCAACCTTGGCAACTGGCCCTATACAGTAGACACAATAGGTCAATATGGTTCATGTTTTTTTCCCCTCAATGGATTATTTGAATCAAACAAGTAGTATTCCAGGTATCTGGACTAGTTATACAGCCCAGATCAATATCATACGCTGGACGAAGGGTCAAACTATTCTACGAAAGAATACTACTCGGACCAAAGACTGTAGAAACCATCCTGCATGAGGTGACCAGCACCAACAGAAACATTAAACAGACATTTATTCATCCATCTGCCACTGATAATCCAAAGCCTCAAACCGGCTCTTCTTATTCCTCGCCGCAAACCACTCCTTCTCAAACCCAGTAGACCGATCGACCCCATCCCACCGATGTCCAGGCCGAATGCCATACCGATTCGGCTGAAAGGCACCCCGATACAACGGTTTCCCAGAGACGCTAGACCCAGCATCCGGCCGCGACGTAAGGAACTCCGCGGCAGGATCATTCCATCGCTCCCGCGACCTGAGCTCATCATTCATAATATCATCATCGATCGTCCGTGCCACAGGCATAGACTTAACATTTTGCAGTTCCTGTCTCCGCTCTTCACGCTGCTGTCGCTGGACATCGCCCATGAGAGCTTCGCGCGCTTGTTCTTCCTTCTCACGCTTTTCCTCCTCGGCGCGGCGTGCTTCAGCGCGTTTCATTGCGACGTTGATGATCCGTCCGGACGCGTCACGGTAGATCGTTTCCTGGGTCTTTTCGTTTGAGGCAGTCGGATCGCGGTATAGTGCTTCTTCGGCTTTGCGCCTTTTTTCTTGCGCTTTTACCATGGCTGCCGTCTGGGCGGCTGTTTGGAGACCGCCTCGAGCACCGGATTCCATTCGCGCGCCCTCGTCGCCTTCATCTTCCTTTTCGATTGTTGGGCCGTCATCTTCTTCGGCGTCTTGTTGGGCTGTTCGTTCCGCGGCTGCTGAGGCGAGGATTGCGTCTGCGGCTGCTTGTTCGCTTTGTTCGCCTGGCGCTGGTCCGCCGATTGTTTTCCAGCTTGACTTCTTTGCGCGGCGAAATTCGGCGCTTTTGGCCGATCGCTCGATGTATGGGCTGTCTTCATCGTCTTCTTTGCTTTTGCCTAGTGAGGCGCGAATATCGGGCGGGTCATCGTCTGCGATGATGAGGCCGGAGCCCGCTGTGTCGACGGCTTTGGTCTTCTTGCGCTTCTTCTTTGGTCGCTCCGTTGCCGGGTCGGCTGTGAGATAGTTCTTTGCTAGGTATTCGGCGAGTGAGCCTGGCATGATCTCGTGGGGTTGTGTGTATGTCGGTGTAGAAGTGTAGGTTGAGCTCAGTGATTTATCGATTGATACCCGGAGGAATGTTTCCCCGAACTGTATGCTGCCTAGCGCCATTCTATGTCGCTGAGTCTCTCTTGACCTGTGGGAATGTGAGAAGAGTCTTTGGCATTTATTCTGGAGTCCTTTCTAGTTTTCCTCAGAGACATAATGCCCCGCTCAGAAGAAGCAGAGTGGTGGGCAAATGCGGTCTACGAGGCTATCCAAGAGGTCCCCCGGGGCAAAGTCACAAGCTATGGTCACATCGCACGTCTACTTGGCGAACGTACGGGTTAATTCCCATTAAATGTGTCTATATACTAACACTATCCCGTTGAAATAGCCCAGCGCCCTCGTCAAGTCGGAGTTTGCCTAAAGGTTCTCCCAGCGGCAGAGTCCGGCCAACACTTCAACTCAAGCAATGTACCCTGGCAGCGGGTAATCAACTCAAAAGGAATGATCTCGCATCGGTATGTGCATGTTTCAATCCTATGACCTTGTCTCAATCCAAGTTTGGTCACTCAGCCACGCTTCAAACACATGTTCATGTACAGGTACATGTACAGCCTGTTTAAACCACTGGCTAACAACAACGCAGTGGACCCGGCAGTGCAGCCCGCCAAGCCGAAGCCCTCGCAGAAGAAGGTGTGGAAGTGACTACTGACAGCATGGGGGAGATGTACGTTGATTTCTCGCGATATGGATGGTTTCCAGACCACCTCCCCAGCGAGACGAGCCAGCAATCATGACACAACGTGTAGATTGGGCATCCATGCATTATTCCTGGATTTGAATCAATGAACACTGTTTGAAGCGACATGCATATCTTTAAATCTTATTTACTCTTCGGGTCAGGTGGAAAGAGACGATGTAACGAACGAATATCGAATCCGTAGATTGGGACTTGTCTGGAATCTAGAATAAAGATGACATCGTACATCGAGGAGAGTAACGCACTAATGAGGCAACCTGTCCATGGTCTGGATAGTAAATGGAAGAGTCTATAGGGAAATATGAGAGGGAAGGGAGGTCAGACGGGAGGGGGAGGTCAAAAGCGTGGAGAGAGGTCATGAGCATACGAAAAACAAGCGCATCCAACCAACTACCAAGCTGAACCCAAAGAGTAGAAAGAAAGAGAAGAAGAGAAAGAATGGGAAACGAAGAGTGAAAGCACATAGAACCAACCAGCATCAATCCGTAAATGGAAAAGAAAAAAGATCGTTAAAACTCACATCATTGCCATAAGGGCATATCCGCAGAAAATCAGAGAAGTTTCCATCTAGACTAAGAAATTGGAACAGGAGACCAGACATTTCATCGCTGCTTCTTGACCTCAGTAGCCCAGCCTTCAATGCCCTCTCCGCGGGTTCCAGGGGGAATGCCTAGATCAATCCCATCCATCCCTGGTGTGTCCTTCATCCACTCATGAGACGACATTCCACCGGCATTGGCACGTTTCTCCGGTGACAGATCTAGCATGGGTAGTAGGAGTTCACTGATGCGCATGCTTTCTTCCATCGAGTAGTGGTACTTTTCTCTGAGGACATCGGGCAGGGCCCAGTGGCGGAGTCGATGAATGTTGCGCAGCTCACCCTTGCGATTGAAGATATCTTGGGACCATTTTCCAGACAGGCAGAGAGACTTGGGGAAGGGACCGAGGAGTTCAATGATCTGGGCAATGTGGTCGTCGTCTTTGCCATACTTGGTCCCTGATTGTGGGTCAAACAGGTAGTCTCCGGTGATCAATTCAAAGACCTGGACAGTTAGATATGTTCGCCTGGGATAGCGCATGTCACTTACCATGCATGCCATGCTCCACACGTCGGTACTCGCGCCCCATTTAGAACCCAGGATGACCTCGGGTGAACGGTATTGGCGGGTTTGAATGTCGTTGGTGAAGTGGTGGCCGACCCAGCAGGCGTTGCCTAGGTCAGCGATTTTGACGGAGATGATGTTGGCGTCAATTTCTTCTTCGGTGGACTTCGTAGAACCTTTATCAAGAGAAATGCCAGATACTTCTCGCTCCAAAAGATCACTATAGACGTTAGACGGCTGAGAGAGACAGTGGGGGTAGGGACGTACGCGGTCTTCTCGCGCTGGTACTGCTTCTCATCTTCTTCCTTGACGCCGAGCAGCTCTTTCATTGACGGGGTATCTGCAGGTACCGAATGAGTGTGAGTATGTGCATGTAGGCGTAAGAGTAGGCGCAACAGAGGCGCAAGAGAAGGCGTAGACAAAACTGACCTGTGTTTTCGTTGACCATCTGGCTGAGACTGCTATGGGAGTTGGACGAGCTATGTTTGAAGTCAAAGCTGCTAAAGCTGGTGTTGAGAGGACTAGGTAACGGCTGACTGCCGGTGATCAAGGTGCGCCGCCGTCTACGGCCATTGCGGTTGTCCTCTTTGGCTTCCTTCTTCGCTTCCTCCTTGACATGCGCCTTGACGATCTGCTCGACGTCGCCAATCTCGATCAACACATTCTCCGGCTTGAGATCTGTATGGATGATCCCACACTCGCGGTGCATATAATCTAGGCCCAACAGCACCTGCTTTGTGATTTGCTTGACGAGCGGCATCGGGATACCACGATGGTTCCAGCGCTTGATCAATCCCAACAAGTTCTCGCCAAGGACTTCAAACACCATGCAGACATGGACACCATTCGGTCCCTTGTGTTCAAACGAGTCCAACAGACTGACGACATGCTTCCGACCGGGGTGGGATGGTTTCGCTTGCACGATTCGGTTGAGGAGCTTGATCTCATCGATCGCGGTTTCGGTGTAGTGTGCGGCCGACCGAACGACCTTCAGCGCAACGTGTTTTCCAGTCGTGGTATCTCTTGACAACCAAACCGTAGAGAAATGGCCCCAACCGAGCTTGCGCACCACCACATAGCGGCCATTGTTGTATGTTTCGCCCACTGCGACCGGGTGGTATCCGCCCTTGCAGTAATCCTCAGAGTCTTCTTCCTCGGCAGTGGCCTCGAGTTCTTCGCCCGACGACGCAGATGAAGAGCGCGATCCGGGTCTGGAGTTTGGAGCGGCACCGGTGCTGGGAAGAGTTAGCATGGGCCAGCCCATCATGAAAACATCACATACGATTCAGTGGGGGTTCCTTCATTGGTGACGATGGGCTTCAAATCAGTGCCCTTTCTCCTTTTCTTGCCGCCATTGCCATTGGCAGCTGAAGTAGCGACACTGGCCATTTGTTTGCCCTTGTTGAGCATTGCTTTGGTAAGATCGACTCCCTCCATGGTGTGGAGATTTGAGAGGGAGAGGCGGGGCACGGCTTTTGGTTGGCTCTGTAGGAGGGCGGTGGATGAGTCTACACCGTCAAATATAGGGTGATATCCAGGTGGTGATAGTTGATCGTTGACAGCAGTCGACAGTAGCTGACAGTAGACAGTAGACAAGTAGTTGGTGTGTTGTCGACGGTTGACAGTTGATAGTCGACAGGGCAGTCGACGTGGGAGATGACGTCCAACACCCGTTGGGCAATCCGGTCGTTACCTATTAGGTATCAATCGCGAGATGATCAAAATCGAGAGAAGAGAAGTATTTCAAGATGAAAGTCCAAGATTGTCTCGGAAGTAACTCTCTTCCGCAAGCAGCCAGGTGGTGGCGAATACGCATCGAGTAGAAAATAAATAGCCTATAGCGTGATGACGAAGAACTTCATCACGTAGTATTTTATTATTTTATATACTGCGCTGGCTGTTACGTTACTTCCTGCATACATCGTTGACTACTCCATATACCTAGGTATATATCCTGCCAGTTATGCCTGACCTTTGCATCTCCTGATGTCACAGATGACTTTAGCTCCGAGGCATCTCGAACTTCACGTTTACAACCACCATGGGCCCCTTCGATCGTCGCCCAATCCCCGACTACTTCATCGCCTCGCCACTGGTAGCTCTACTCTATCCAGTTCACCAAACTCTCCTCCGTCTTCGCGGATCGCCTCGTCTCCCTCCACCAGACGCCCGCCCAATCCGCGTAGTCTGCATCTCAGACACCCACACTCTAGAATGGCCCGACATACCTGATGGAGACCTGCTCATCCACGCCGGCGACCTCAGCAACGATGGCTCCGCACGCGAGATCCAAGCCAACGTCGACTGGCTCCAAAGCCTTCCACACCCGCACAAGATCGCCATCTGCGGCAACCACGACAGCTACTTCGACGTACGCTCACGCCGAGAAGAAGACAAAGAAGAGCCAACCTCAACCGGCGCCCCCTTCGCCGCCGTCTCCTCATCCACCGCCTCAATCCACTCCCTCAACGACCCAGGCGCCTCCCACATCGACTGGGGCGACATCCACTACCTCCAACATTCCGCCGTAACCCTCACCTTCCCAGGCTCCACAGCAGCAACCCCAACAACCCCCTCAATAGCACACGCCCACGCTCCCTAACGATCTACGGCGCGCCCCAAATCCCCGCCATCGTCCCCTTCGGCCCCGAACACGCCTTCACCTACCCACCCCAACACGACGCCTGGTCGGGCACCATCCCTCAAGAAACAGACATCCTAGTCACCCACACCCCGCCCCAATCCCATCTCGACCTATCCCCCATCTACTCGACCGGCTGTCCAAACCTCCTCGCGGAATCCTGGCGCGTGCGCCCAGCGCTGCACGTCTTCGGCCACGTCCACGAATCTTCCGGTCAGGAACCGATCTTCTGGGACGAAGCCCAGCGCGGCTGGGAACGACTCTGTGCGTCGCGCCGCCCTCGCGCGAGACTTGGTCGCTTGGCTTCGTTGGCGGGTTTCCTGCGTGATTTGTTCGATCTGTCTGGTTGGGCGGATGCGGCTCGTGTGGTCGTCTATGGCATTCTAGGGATGGTCTGGGCTCATGTTTGGGGGGGGGAGAGTCGCGGTGGTGGGTGGATGGTGAATGCTGCTTGCATGTACAGCAGTAGTGGTAGGTTGGGGAACCCACCTAGGGTTTTTAATTTGTGATTCTTGTTCAGCGTGCATAGCGTATGGGTTTCGTTTCTTTATCATACCACACGCCCCATATAATGCTTGGGCTGTTTACTTTGGGGGATTCGATTATGCTGAGCATCTACTGGCAAGCTCCCAGGTGTTGCAGTACCCGGAGGAGTTGTTGACCTGCTTAGTATAGCAAGCAAATAGTTATAATTTCAAAAGTATATGATCGATCAAAGGGCGACGTATTAGAACCCAAAGTTTATGACAAGCCACATGTATGATGGTGATATAACAGCTTTATTCCAGCCGAGGCCTGGCTAAATGAGATCGCGCCCTTGTCTCTGCAAGCAACATGCTTCTTGAGCTACTCCAGGTAATTCCACCGTGATCCATGGATCATACAATAGCTAGTTAACCTAAGCTTGCCAGTAATAGGTCAAACCACCTAGTCAGTGGCCGCAGACACAAAGAGGAAATATAAATTGCACCACACCATTCAGCAACATTGTTAACTGATTGGCCCTCAAGAGCCAGGCCATAAAGCCCAACAGTCCAATCCCCTCGCCAAAGCAACCCCAAACATGTGCAAATGAAGTTGCATACAGTAGCGCATAGAATATATCCACCCAAAGCAATGGTTCGCAAATAGATAGCGTGTGGGTAAGTATTGGCGCCGAGAGATTTGACTTTCAAAGGAGGGGGTAAGGGCTGTGCAAGCTAGCCTGGGTATATAAACCGACTATCCCCTCGCGATCGATCTTGATCTTACTTTATACAGCCCTATCAACTCTATTCTACTTCCTCACCTCATCACCATGGATTTCCTCAAGAAAGCTGCCGAAAAGGCCACCGGCGGAAGCGAGCACAAGCAGGAGAACAATCAGCAAAATGACGACTATGTTGACAAGGGTATGTGATGTGACTTGTTTCATTGAATTATGTTCTATATCCACTGTTGTGGGCATGGACTAATATGATATCATATTTTAGCCTTCGCTGCCGGTGCGAAGAAGTCTGGTTACAACCTCGACCGCAACACCCAGGAGAAGGTCACTGATGGTGCCCGCGAGGCTTACGAGAAGTTTACTGGGTATGTGATTTGTTTTTCCCTTTTTGCTATTTCTTTTTGCTTCTAAGTGATTGCTGCTAACTGATATTTCGTTGTAGCAAGAAGGTTTCTGAGAAGATCTCCAACTAGAATAGGATTTAGCATACCAGATATGAATTTGATATGAGTGAATGCATATGCACCTATATAGATAGGATAATGTCCGCCGGGTAGGGCCTTTCCTATCTGGGCTGCGGCCGCTTTATGAGGGCGCTCAGGCTCAGGATCACTGACTAGATGGTAGCACGAGCGAGCTCGATCCAATCCGGTCACGTGTATGATGGCTATTTCGCGGCGTGCTTAGTAAGCGCAGAGTGCCTACTCGGTCATTGGTTGGTAACGCTTAGCCTATTTGGGTCGAAAGCTCCTATAACCCAAGTTATTTAGTATATCGGGGATTTAGAAAATATAAGATTATATCCTTAACGTGTCTTAATATTAAATTCGAACTTTAGTTCCTTAGCAATGTACTTTATAAGATCGGTATCAATAGGTGAATTAGGAAAGTCCGGCCGTAACTTAGAATTCGCTAGCTAGGATTCTGCGTGTGATGCTAACTAACAGTTTAGACCGTGCCCTTTAATACGGTATCTTAAAGCTTCTTTAATTCTTTACTTATTAATTGCTAGTCAATTGATATAGCTAGCCGCTTTTTTTGCTAGCTTTTGCTCCTCTAAAATGGGTCTGTGCTAGCTTGGCACGAGCGCATGATCAAATATATCACTAGCGGCGACACAATCGGGCTCCGCAGTCCCATCAGCAAGGATGACATTGCATTACTTGTCATGGTTATACAAGGCGGAGATTTCTCACACTTAAGTCGGGAAGAAAAAGGGCATAGAAATATCCCAGCCCCTATGCCGACTGGAATGGAGCGCCCCTTGTGACCGCGAGGTACACCCACAGATACCAATGGCATAGAGCATCACCCAGCCATCGTTCTCTTGTTTAATATCTTGATGAGAAGATCGCGCAGTCGCTGATTTGTTTCCCAAGCTGCCTACGGTCCGCATACTCCATTTCGCCCAGTTGCTTTCTAAGAGGCCTTGGACACATCGTTCTGAGCAAAGCATTGAGGAAACCTGTGTAATATGCGTTGTCATCATGCCGACACCGCTGGTTCCCAATTCCTACAGTCAACATACCAATTCGTTTTTCGGGTGAGGGTTCATCCAACCTTGAACATGCCATCTATCAACTGTTGCTAGCCTGGCCAATATTCCAGGGAATACAGAATTTCATGGCATGCGATACCTTTACCCCCTGGTAGTAGCTCTACCTTCATAGCCGAGTACCGGGATTTTTCCAACGGATGACACGTGGCAATTGAAGAATATCCACACTCACTTGGCAGCACATATTCTTCTTGATCACTTGGCACACGAAGAGATCGGCGAGCTGAAGCAAAAGCTGCTAGATGAGCTGTTCGGAATTCCTTCGCTCAAATCGTATTTGTTCCCTCCAATACCCCGGATCTAAATCGTACAGTTTATCAGGACATGTATCCTACATAATGTATCGGGCCGCCACCTCTTCCAGTCTCAGGCTAATGCCTTATGTCCTAGGCCTTATACAAACCTCCGGTATGTTAGCTAAGATATCAAGCACTGATAATCCTACCTCGCCTACTACAGCTAGCCTATCCATGAACACGTATGAGACCACACAAGCAGGCCTCTGCTTTAAAATGGGTAAGAAAAGTAAAATCCCTATTTAATGCGTGCAGGGGAGCTAATTGTAACGGATAACCCATCGGAGCATGATCGTAATGACTGGAAACCGCGCAATCAATCTATCACTTTGATGTTATGATAACCCACCGGATCCTAAGTAAATCATTCATAGGATCTAGACTCAAGGAACGAAGTCACCGTAAATTAGTTTCTACATTAGAATGTACTACAATTGATTCTATTTATTCCCCACTCTCTTATCTGATTGGCAGGATACCTACCGACCTGCGAAAAGGGTACTTTTTTACATTGGCGGGGCCCAATTTTCATGTCCCATAGTAAAGTGGAAGCCTTAATTCCCAGTCTGCCAGGCTGGAGCCCCCCGTAGTGTAGGATAGGAAAAGTAATCCTAACTATAGGACCGAAGTCCTATCGTAAAGGTATTCTATAGTGGGGTTTAGAAATTCATATTTAAGAATTCCTAGAGGACTGACTGTAAACCTATACTAACTAGCGAGGCACAGCGTGGTATAATTGTTTATACTACGTGTTATACACACTTTATATCTGTAATCAGAAATGGAAAAATAGAAAATATATTATGACTAAAGCATCCCAGACACTAATCTCTCTGGAAAGCAGGCTAGTTGCAAAACGAGATCCCGAAACTGCGAACAAAGCTGATCTGCAATTGACTGTCCAAAATCAGCACCGCTGAGCATAATCCTTAGATCCATGGTCGCTTCATCCTTGGCGGAAGGAAATTGAATACATGTCACCATCGGATAAGTATGCATCATCTTGAAATCGCACGGGTGCACGCGGCAGGGAATTTCGCCCGGAAATACGTAATGGCCACCCATAGGGGCATGGAGGTAGGGGACTGCAGAGCCTAGTTCTGTATCACGGGGCCAAGATGTGCTTTTGCGGACCACATTTCATCCCAGTCTGCTGTGTCAGATGTCATGGTTCGGATGTGCTGGCGCTGGACCCAGCGAAGGAGATCAATCCCGGTCCAGTCTGGCTTCAGGAACACTCAGACGGGGATATAATTTAAGCAAGGGCCAACTGTACGTCCGATACCTGCCATCGCAAGGTGGCGGATCCGCACTAGTTGAGCAAAGACCAGATCATCGGAGCGAGTCTGACCAGCCAAACACAGCGCCTAGGCGGCTTTCGCCACGGTGGCCATAGTGATCCACCCTTTGTAATGGGCAATGGGATATCAGAGACACTGGTTACCAGCAGCTCGCTACGTGATCGGTCTACTGTGAGGATATACTGATCGGGTGGAACAACGTAGGTCATAGAAAACCCCTAGAGTAACTCTCGCCATTCCTGGAAGACCGAATCCGTGTTGTGTGCCGCTCGACCGTGGTTATAGTCAGAATACTCCAGCCCTAGGGCAGGGGCGTCATTAGCGTTCCCAAATACCGACATGACTTCTTCAATAACGCATTTCATCGCAGCTCCATCGTACTATGCCCGGTTGAGTCTCAGCGCCGCGGTCATATGGCCGCTCGCTCGGTCCTAGATCAGGAGAAGCTTTGTTTGTGATAGGGATCCCGAGGGAGATCGGGGTACGGTCTACCTCGCGGCAGATGGATATGGTCACTATAGAGGGGTCGTGTTCACCCGTCTGAATTTCTTGCACCGGCAGGTTGGATTCGCGTAGAACGAGCTGCACAAATGTTTGCTGGAATGGAACGAACGCAGTATGAAGGATCGCATGCTTTGAGACTACTACCCTGATTGCCGCTCGGAATTTGGCCACGTCCAGCGGCCAAGAAAATGAAAGGCAATATAACCAGTGTGATGCGCCTCGATTGACCCACGTGGGAAGTAAAAGGGGGGGAGGGGGACTATAGTGAAGATCTGGTCCCGATTCAACTGCCACTGGGTGCAAATCTCATCCAAAGATGCAATGAGCGGGATGGGATGCCTCTCTAGCACCGGCTCTTGTACAGTTGCTTGGCTTTGGCTGAGAACGATCGCCAGATCAAATAATCGAGGATTCTGGAATATTGTAGGCACTGCGATTGCCATTCCATCTTTTCACGCAGACGCTGCCAGGGCCATAGCATTGAGTGAGTCCAGCCCGATGGTGAACAGGTCTTCATCCAATGGGATGGTCTCTGCAGACCGTTGCAGCACGCGACAGCACCGGAATTGTCGCTTCCACTCCAATGCCATGGCTGATCAGATCTTTTGCCAAGGAAGAAGAGAGCTGGTCCAAGAGGCTGTATGAGGACTCGCCGTCCCATGCACAGACGGCCGGATTGTTTAGATAAGCAAGACACTGTTCATGGATGGTGTAATGTATACAACTGTTAAGCGGACCCACCGCGGTTTGGTTTCACTGAGATACAATATTTCGCTGTTCCTCACCCAGCACATCAATCTCACGGAGGAATAGTTGCGGCCGTTCGAGTAGCGTGACCAAAAACATGACGGAAGGTTTTTGCAACCATCAAGGCATATTTGTCCCTGAGCAGGGAGGTGTGGTGAGTATGAATCTACACCTCCGCAAGTCTGTAACATGTTTCCTTTGTTATTCTTACGAGAGAAATTATTGTTATGATCATATTCGGCTATTTGACTAAAAAAATTGAATTTTTAGCAGCAAAACTTTGGTAAATATCAGAAAAGAACCGAATATATAGCAAAGCCTGTTGTCAGTTCATCGTTTAGCCTTCAGCCTATTCAACATTTCGGTAAGAGCATCTCTTCGATCATTCATACCCGCTAACTTCCTTCTCTGCACCTTTCCGCTCACTGTACGGGGAATACTCTCCACGAAGTAAATCCCTCCATCCAAAGCTTTGTACGATGCCAGCCGCTGCTGCGCAAATTCATACACATCACTCGCAGTGAGCTTCCCTGATGCCTCTGCGGAACGTACCACATACGCACGAGGCGCCTCGTCACTCCCACCGGGAAGCTTGATCCCCGTGACCGCGGCATCTGCAATGAGTGGGTGCTTGAGCAGAACGGCCTCGATTTCTGCGGGCGACACCGAGGCTCTGTGTGTATACCCTGTCAGCACATTACACGAAAATGAAGTGGTCAACTTACCCTCGCACTTTGATCAGCTCCTTTGTTCGCCCAACAATGAAGTATTGTCCGCGTTTGTTGACATACGCCACGTCCCCTGTGCTGAACCACCCCTCGCCATCCACCACGGCCTCACTATTTCCCAAATACCCATTGAACAAGCCTGCACCACGCACATACAACCGACCCGGTGGCGCAGCCGCGTCAACCACTTCAACTGGGTGCTGCTGTGCTCGTTGATCCTCATCCTCATTCTCGCCAGACCCTTCAATAGGAGTCCTAAGATCAGCCTCCCACCCTGGTAAAACCGATCCGATACTGCCAAGATCACCTTGTTCTGCTCTACCGCCGCTAGCAGGGTACCAGTTCTGAAATACCGGCCCAGTCTCCGTCATACCCCAGATCTGGCCAACACAGGCATCGGGATGCAACAAGTCCTGGAACTGACCCATGCAGGCGCGGTCAATGGGTGCCCCCGAAACAGCAACGTAGCGGATGGAAGTAAGCGCGGATTTGGGATCCAGCGAGGCGGGCGCCTGGATAACGCTGTGCGCCATGGCAGGGACAAGATGTGTGTCGGTGATGCTGTGCTGGCGGATTGCGTCTAAAAAGAGGGGGAGTTGGAACTCGCGCGCAATGTACAGGGTGTTTCCATAACGGAGTGAGAAAAAGTGCGACCAGAAGGATGCAAAGAGGTGATACATGGGAAGACAGACCAGCCGCCGGACTTTGTACGGTGGAGGATTGGCCGTCGCGGAAATATGACCGGCGATCAGGGCACCGTGGGTGAAGGTGGCAGCTTTTGGGAGGCCCGTTGTGCCACTGGTTGAGTACATGGCCGCCGGGGTGGAGTTGGCGGTGGCAAGGTCTGCGATATAAACGGGTTCCGTGTCGCCGTGGGCGAGAAGGAGCATGAAAGAGCTTGCTTCAGCCGCTGTCGGAATGTCAAGCAATGGAGCTAGAGCTGGAGTTGGAGCGCATTGTTGGTCCTGCTGTTTGAGGGCAATTGTTGTCTCAAAGGCCGGATCGTCAAGTAACAAGAGCTGATTGGGTGAGATACCGGTTTTCTTGGAGACAGCAAGGACAGTTGGGAGAGCATCTGGCTCGGTGATAATGAGCACAGGACGGCCTAGCTTTATGACATGCTCTAGCTCATCTGGGACGCTACGCGGACTGGCGCCGATGTACACGCCGCCGGCCCCTATAATAGCGAGGAATATTGCTGTGTACAGAACCTGCGACGTGAGCGAGGGAAGTGAGTATGGCAAAAAGCCGGCTAGTAAAGGGATAACACACATTATTTCGCAAGTTGACCAAAACACAATCGCCTTTTTTGACTCCATGCGCCCTGAACCCGGCCATCAAAGTGCGGACAAGAAGTTTCAGCTGGGCACCACTGAGGGCACGATCTGGCTCATGAGCATCAATAATGAGCGCCTCAGAAGTGTCATAGTGAGCCTGAGCATCCAGAGCAAATGATACGACGTCGTGGGAGTTCGGAATAGAGCCCATGATATAATCTGATACTGCTGAGAACAACTATAGTAAGTGTAGGATGCGATGGCAAAGAGCTTTAGAAAAAAACTAGGAGACATCATTGTGGCAATAATTGGAATCAGCAGTGTGAATTCTCCTTGCAGGATGCAGGATGCACCACGGAGGATCTGGCCGCAACATAATGGAACTACTGCTATGTACTATGTACTCGGTACTCCTATAGGAATGAAGACTGTGGGTCAAAGCGCATTTGCGGAGACACCGACAGATTTACGAATACATTGGATTCATTTATGGGCTTTAATCACTAATTATAGGCCGAAATATTCCGAAAAACTCGATTGTCTACATTTGTGTATATTGAGCTCACAGAGAAAGCACTATCTACAAACTCGCCGATTATTCAACCTTCAACTAAAGGTATAATGCTAGAATCCAGTTTCTCAGCAGCGCTGGAGGCAAGGTCATTGATAGATGAGCCTCCAAGTAGCTGCAGAACCGGAATATCCACGCCAAGTTCCTTGACGAACCAGATTCTCAAATCCACCGCAACGAGCGAGTCGACCCCAAGTGTCATCAACAACATGGTTCCAAGAAGCGCGGTGTCATCCGGGAGCCGCATCTTCTTTCGCAACTTTTCGCTGAAACCTTGGGCAATGATCTCCGTAGCGGCCGCCAGACTCTCAGCAGCAAGCAGTTGCGCCTTGATGGGGAAGTCCTTGCTGTTTGATTCCGCAGGCCCTGACTGCTGGAAATACTCGATAAAAGGCCACTGCTTCGGATTGCGGTACCATAGGACATCTGGGAACTGAGCTGGATCCGTCATTTGATATCCACCAACTATCTCTGCTGATTGTCCCGAGTCTGGCCGGCCGGCAAGAATGCCTTCTGCAACCAACTCATGGAGATCACGCTCAGATAAAATAAGTGGACCCATGCGATTCGTGAGGAACTCCCCCAGCTGCGGGTCTATGTTGGCAAGGTACCCGACGCCTCGAATCTGGGCCGGATGAATGATGCTACCAACCTGGCCGCGCTGGCGTCGCTGATGCACGAGGCCAGCCATGAACTCTGTGGCAGCAGCGTAGGTCGACTGATGGAAGTTACCTAGTGGACCCGAAAGAGAGCCCATGAGAAGGAAGAAATCAAGGTGATTGTCGCGGTACAGCTGGTCTAGAAGCAGACTACCTTCAACTTTGGGGGCAAAGACTTGGTGGAAGTCTTCAACCGACGAGTCAGCGAATGGGCCGTCGCGTAGGACCATGGCTCCATTGAGGACTCCTCCAACAGGTGGTAGCTCTGAGTTTATGCGCTTGTGGACATGAAGCACCGAGGCACGATCCGCCACATCCCTAACTCAGTTAGTCATTTGTCGAAAATTATTTTTAAACCCAAAATGGAAGATCTTAGTACTCACATGGACATGACAATAACAGAAGCACCAAGCCCTGACATCTCTTCAAGCCACGCCGGGTCGACCTTCGGGGATCGGCTTGTGAGAACCACCGAGTGAGCTCCCCGGGCAATCATCCATTGACACACCGACTGACCAATGTCACCAGTGAGTCCCACAAGGAGATAGGTCTTGTGGGCGCACAATTTCACGAGGGAGCTTGCTGGAAGGGGGTCGGCCTCAATGGAACTTGAATGCATCCAATCGACAATCCTCAGTCGCTGGTGATTAAGAGACGGGCTCGAGATATCCTGTGGAGGAATTGTCTCCACAGAGGAGCGGAAGGATCTGCGCCTTTGGGAAAACAAACAGGCTTTGATGAGAGAATTTGCCACGGAGTGATGGGCACCCGGAGGAGGGAGCGAATCACTGTAGAAGTCCTTCAAACCACAAAAGGTCGGCCACGGTGTTAGTACAGACCTGAACTTGGAGAAAATTTGGTCTGCATCAAGGTCGAATGTGGCAAAGAGTGATACGTTGGTTGGTAGTAGGCGGGATATCGTGCGTGACGAGCTCCGGGGTGGGATAGCCAGGCTAGCTGGATCTTTGCTGGGTTTCCCATCGGTTGTGATGGAGCGTACCTGAACATTGGTTCGGGAGCCAAATGCAGAAAGAGCTTCTTGTAGAGACTTAGGGGGTTTGTGAAGAAGAATTGTAGAACCGGCAGGCACTTGGCGGACCAGTTCCTGGGCAAGGAGGGCTGCGCATACGTGGTCTAGGAAGACAGCATCATTTCTGTCTGATGACCAGCTGGGAACATTCAAACACCAAGCCGCTGGTGTTGAGACAACCGTCGCGTGAGAGGCCGACAGCGCCACAACCAGGGCACCTGTCCGCTCATTCGTTCCAAGGACTACATGAAGAAAGCCGCTGTTGATTCGAACAGCGGGAAAAGTCGCATATTGTACACGAATTCGAACAGTCTCTTCGCGGTGTCCTTGTCCTTCGATACCCGTCTGGCTTTCTGCAAAAGACGGGGGAAAAAACCAACCTCTTCTCGCTCCTGTGAATCTCCACACAGCTTTGTTCAGGATTAACAGACTGGGTCCTGGGAGTCCCACGACTCGCCAGCCATCGCTGGTTTATATCCGTGTCGCTATGCATGCGGGAAACCTTCAAGGCCCCGTTTTCTAGCAATAATTCCCATTCGGCGCTTTCCATGCAGTTGGATAGCCGATAATCACCACTCACTTCGGTGTGAACCAGCCGCATGAGTATGCTTGCAACAAGATCTGGCGACGCTTCCCCTGGGTCTCTGATCATGAGGTGCTGTAGTCCAGCATGGGGATTCTCGAAAGCCAGGGAGCGCAGAATCCCCTTGCTCATCCGGAGGTACGGATTCTCATCTGCCTGCTCAGTAGCCAGCCACAAGAGTCGTCCCGTGACACCAATGACGCTTTGCAAACTGTGAAGGCGCTCTGCCGTGAGACATTTCGCAAAGGGACTATCCATATCTGATGCAACTAGAACTACCGCCAATGAGGCACCGGATGGAGGGATGTAGTCCTCCAATCTTTTGGCGGCCGTGATGCGACTGTAGAATGGACCCACGAGATTTTTGACTGCTGAAAGTAGCTTCGCAGAAGCAGGTGTCGCTCCTCCAAGCAATACGAGGTCGCGCAGCTGTCCATTGGCAGGGACCGAGAGTGGTTCAATCAGCTTCTTGACGCGGTCGTCGATCGCCCGCGAAGTAAAGACAGACCAACCTAGAAGCTTTGATTCTTCTTCCGTTGGGGATATTGCCTCGAAATCGCCGAAACCTGAGGCTTGCAGCACCTGGTTCCAACCATCTCGGGAGATATGGGGTCCCCAGGGTCGGCCGTCTAGTTCGCCCAACCACCACCTGTCTGATCCGCCGAAGACAAACGACGATGTAATATGCTCGGAATCTGTAGTCTCCATAATAGCAACTCTACCTCCGGGCTTCAGCAAGCGTCTCACATAGGCCATGGTTTGCTTCAGCGAGCGAGTTTCGCATAGGACATTGCCTGCAACCACGAGGTCGAACCCATGTTCAGAAAATCCTTGTTCGATCGGATCCCGCTCTAGATCCAGCTGGCGATAGACTAAACGATCATTGTGGGAGGCAAAGATCTCACGTGCCTCGTCAAAGGAATTTTCCGAACCATCAGTGTACGTGTAGGAATGATAGCTTCGACCGAGATGGTCTAAGACCGCCTGTGCCACCGAGAATCTGCCACCACCGATTTCGAGGATTTTCATTCGTGGGTATCGGAAGGCCAATTGCTCCACGAAACATGCCAAGTGCTGCGTCATTGTGCTCCAGTCTTGGGTCTCCTGACGCATACGAGACAAGAGGTTCTCACGGCCCAGCTCTTCTACCAGGGAGCGCTCACCTCGTAGCCACCCAAGCAGGGCTTCAGCGGTCGTTTCCAGAGCGCGTAAGGCGACTGGATGAACCTCTTTGGCCGCCAGAGGTCGGAGAGAGGCAATTTTGCCTTCCAAATAGTCAGGTGAGTAAATTTGATGACTGCCCTGGCGAACGGCGGCCAGAACTCGATCCATCCACGCCACGTACCGGCTCTTGTGCCAGTCCAAGTGTTCGCGGTCATTGCTAGTCAAGAGATTCTGTGTGTCCCGTAGGTGGAGTAAAGCGAGAGTATCTGTTAGGTGGCGAGGGCGAGTGTCCGAGAGACTGGTCGATGCAGGATTTGGCGCCCATGGGCCCCAAACCTGCTTGACAAACATCGGACGGTCGTCATCAGGGAGCTGCGTGAGCTGAGACAGATGCATTCCCTCAACCTGGACGAATCCGCGACCCTTGCCATCGTACAGTTTGATATCACCAGTAATTCCAGTCTTTGCAATTTCGATCACTTTGGCTTCAACCGTTAGGTGGGCGTTGGAATCGTGCAGGGCACTAATCCGGCAAAAGGCTGGATTGATTGTCACACGGTCTAATCGGGTTGGAAGATATAGGCTAGACACTTGACCGTCGCCAGGGGAGCCGATGGCCACAAACAAAGCCTGTAGACTAGCGTCCAGCATCGCTGGATGGACTAGTAGAGATGGGTCATTGTCTGAATCGTGGGCGGAAATACTTCCATAGGCTATGTTCTTGCGACGCTGGAGTTTTTTGAGTCCCCGGAAAGGACCAGAGTAACCCAGGCCAAGCATATCCAGCTGTTTATATAACTGATCTGAATCCACAGCCCGCAGTCCAGGAGCGATGGGACCCTTGCACGGTAGTAGCGACACGTCGTATTCGCCCAATGTCATCCCGATGTGACCAGATGCGCAGCGCCGCAATGTTCCGTTGAAATTGGCCTGACAAGAAAAGGAAAGGATAGCATTGCGTCCATCACTGCCGTCAGTTTGGTAGACATTAAACATAATTTCAATACCGGCTGAGTCGTCGAGGAAAGATATCGCCCGATCAATAGCCAGGTCAGTGACCTCCACCAACTGCAGCGCCTGACCATCTGCGATGAGATGGGCAGCCTCAAGAGCCATGACTAAGTACGCTGTGGCAGGTAGAATGATCTGCGAGTTTGCCTGGTGACATTCCAGCCAGGGGAGCTCATCCACCCACAGGAAATTTCGCCATCGCCACTCTCCCTCGCCTGCATCTGGGCTGGTCGCACCAAGAAGCGGGTGTTTGGGTAGGCAGCGAGAGACTCGGGCCTCTGCTAGACGCGGCACAGCCCAAAAGGTTTGACTGTGGTCAAAGGGATACGTCGGAAGCCAGGAGAGGTACTTCAGCAGTCGAGAGGGTGCGAAGAGATCTACAAAGGATGGGATATTCACTGATGTAGCCCCCAGATGCGCCCAAAATAAGCCCACGGCCAGAGAAAGTGACTCAACACCGCCAAGCTCACGCTGGGATACTGGGATGTAGGGCATTTCGGCATCTTCGGGCTTCATTTCCGATATGGTCTGCAAGCACGGGCCACGGAGAGCAGGATGCGGCCCGATTTCAACGAGGGCGTCGAATTGGGGTTCGTTTTCCAAAGTTGCCGCTAATGCCTCCGAGAAACGGACAGATTGCAGCATATTTTTGCACCAGTACTCGTTGTCAAGCTCTGTCATTAACTGCCCGTTATGAACACTAGAGTACCATTTCGCTGTTGGCGAGCCCTCGAGAACACCAGTCTGACAGGATGTCATGGCCTGTAGATAGGGTTCAATACAGGGAACCATATGATGAGAGTGATAGGCCGTGTCGACACGCAACTGGCGCGGGGCTTGATCAAGGCTCTCAAAGAGCCACGCGAGCTCGGTGATCATCTCACTGTCTCCAGAGAAGGTCACACTGGAAGGGGAATTTGAGGCGGCGACAACGACGCTCCCTTGGTAGGGAGCCTCGCTGCAAATTGCCTGCGCTTCCTCCCAAGAGATGCTAACCGCTAACATGCTTCCTCTTTGCACCCCTGAGCCTGCGTGCTTTGCGGAAACACCACGTAAATAGGCAATCCTGATAGCGTCCGATGCCGACAGCCATCCAGCCGCGTAGGCGGATGCGATCTCGCCAGATGAGTGACCAACCACCGCCGCAAATTTCACTCCAAGAGACTGCAACATGTTGACCTGAATGATCTGCAGGGCGGTTCGGAGGGGCAGGGAAACCTCAGCCGATCCAACCCTAGAGGTAGATTCGGGAGCAGCTAGCTCATCCATGAGGGTAAAAGTGGGCCGATATGAGTCTGGGAGAGTGTCCAGGGAGTCCTGCATCTCTTGAAGCCAAGTTTTTGCTTTGGGGCATTGGGAGATGAGGTCAAGGCCCATCTGAGCCCATTGCGCCCCCTGACCCGTAAAGATGCCTAGAATTCTCTTCGGCTTCTTATTCAGGCGATTCGTGATGATAGACGATGCGTTGGCTGCAGAAAGTTGGTCTAGCTCTTCGCCCAGCTTCTCCTTCAGAGAGTGAACGGAGTTTGCCGTGAGGACGACCCTATGGCTCAATGTTGATTTTCGTGTAAGAAGGGATGAGGCTAAATCCAGTAAGTCGATGGTCGGATGTACCTCCAGCACATCCATGTATTGACGCAGTACCGCCTTGAGTGATTTTTGCGATGCGGCGGAGAACACAAATGGCAGGATTCCCTCCTTCGGGGTCTCACTGACAGTAGGTAGACTCTCCGGAGATGCGCTATAGCTCTCCAGAATAACGTGGGTGTTAGCACCCCCGAATCCAAAGGAACTGACTGACGCACGCCGAGGGGTTCCGTCTAAAAGATTGGGCCAGGGAATCAGCTCGGTCGGTACCCGGAGATGGGAGGTATAGGGAGCAATTTGGTCGCTGACTTTGTTAAACGACAGATTCGGGGGGATAAGCCCGTGTTGAACAGCTAGCAAAGCTTTCATGAGGCCCGAGAGACCAGCAGTGGACTCGCTGTGTCCGATGACAGTTTTGACGGAGCCGACATGGATGATGTCTTGCGATAGCGCGTCTTCTTTGAAAAAGGCATTGTATATTCCCGCCGCTTCATTTCGATCTCCTGCCACAGTCCCAGTCCCATGGGCTTCGAAATACTGACAACGGTCTTCCTGGCGCAGTGGGTCCAGGCCAGCGCGTGCGTAGGTTGCTCGAATCAACTTGGTCTGGGCCTCCGGGTTGGGCATTGTTATGGTTTGACTGGTACCATCGCAATTAATCGCCGTGGCCCGAATTACACCATGAATTTCATCACCGTCACGCAGAGCATCGCTGAGGCGTTTCAAAACTATAGAAGCGACACCCTCTCCGCGGGCGTATCCATCGGCCGCCTCGTCCCATGTGTGGCTGCGGCCTGTGCTCGATAACATATGTAGCTGAGATGCGCGAACATACGTGTCCGGTGATAAAATAAGACAGCTGCCGGTGGCGACGGCCACCGGGCATTCTTCATTTCTCAGGGCTTCCACGGCCAGATGCACAGCAGTCAAGCTTGAGGAACACGCCGTGTCGACAACTATTGAAGGCCCTTGCCAATCAAAGAAGTAGGAAACACGGGTAGCTAGCATTGATCGTGAGGTACCAGTCACACCAAATGTAGGAAAAACCTCTGGGTCGGAATAAAGCAGCTCCGCATAGTCATTGTTCATGGACCCGCAGTAAAACCCCGAGGATGAGCCCTGAAGTTGGTGCAAGGGCAATCCAGCCCTTTCAAGGGACTCATATACTACCTCTAGGAGGAGACGTAACTGGGGGTCCATTGACGCCGCCTCCATCGGCGAGATGTTGAAAAATGCAGCGTCAAATGCCCGGATATCTTCCTTGAGGAAATATGATTCCGGTGCATTGGTAGCTCCCCGCCGCATCTCTCCAGCATGATAGAATGCATCGGAATTAAAGCGGTCCGCCGGTACTTTTGATGCAACATCTTGCGGTTCCCGAAGAAGCTCCCAAAGTTGAGACGGAGACGATGCCGAGCCAGGGAAGCGACAAGCCGTGCCCACTATGGCGATGGGCTCAATGAATGCCATTTGGTCTTACAGTTACCGATGATAAGTCGATGAGTAGAAGTCCAATTGAATTTATCTATCGGAGATGGAGGTTATGAGCTTGAGTTCAACTTGGAGAGATCTGGATATTTTACCATGTGTCCAAAGTGCCCAAAATATCAGATTTGGTCGAGTGTGGTGGACGAGAAATTTTATTGCATATATATTCAGCCCAGAACGATTTACCTGTTGTATCGAGATCTATCACGTTCAACATTTAGTACCTTGTGGGCCTTCAGCGTTTAGGTGCATATATTTAGGTACCTTACGTAGAAATAGTACCAAAAAGTAAAAGAAAAAAGAAAAAAGAAAAAAAAGGGTAAATACCGAATAATTTATTCTAGGTATTTTAATTTCTGCTGATCTTATGCAGTCGCTGCTTTAGCGTACTTCTCAACCGCAGCCCATTGTAGACCTCCAGCTTGTTGATCATATTAGTCAGCGATTGTATGTTGAGAGAATCAGGAATTTCCTTGCTTGATATCATAAAATGGGTGCTTTCATGCCGTCCCTTGATTCTTCGATGATACAGCAGAGATGGAGACGATCGAGAGATATACTCCACGATCGGGAGAAAAACACGTTTTGTTTTTGCCAGCCCTTTATATATCTTCAATTTCCCCTTATTGTTCACAAGTTCAGTCTTAACACAAACTGCATCCACTATTGATTTTAAGTCATGGAACAGAATCCTCACCAGATCCAGCCTGGGCCCATGGACGATCCTGCCAACCCCATGGTTCTTTTTCACGACGCTGGAGGTACAATCTACCCGTACTTTCGCCTAGCAGATTTGCAAAGACCCTTGTATGGGGTAAGTAACTCGCGTTCTGAGCAGGGGGGCATTGGCCGCACGGGTTCCGCCAGATGGGCGTTGTCTATGCTCATCTAGTGAAATCGATCATCCCCTCTGGTAACATCATACTGGGAGGTAAGTCAACTTGATGAAGGTATGTGCTTCATACTAACTATTGTCTAGGGTGGTCTCTTGGAGGTTCTCTGGCGATGGAGGTCGCATCACGGCTCATGCAACTACCGCAATACACGGTACAAGGAGTCATCTTGATTGACAGCGTTTTTCTCTCAAAAGCTGTCAAGGCTCGTGCCCCGACAAATCTTGACGAATTTATCGCTGGCTTCAAGTTTCCTCCCCAGATGCCCGAAATTGTATCCGTCCAAGCAAAGCAATGTGTTTTACATTCTTACGAGGCACAGAGGGGCTGGAAGCCGCCCCCTCTTTCATCCCGACCTCATGCTGTGCTCCTGCGTGCCACAGAGCGTATAAATCCTGATACAATGGATGTGCACTTTCTAGACTGCGCTAGAGACTCGAATTATCTGGGGTGGGAAGAATGTGACCCTAGCTTTATCGTGGCTTGTCTAGACGTTCCCGGCAATCATTTTACCCTTTTTGATAGCCCGAATGTATGGTATACCCTTCTATGTTCCAGAGTGTCTTTGACTAACTAAATTGCTAGAATGAGATAATAACCCGCCAAATTCAACATGCAATTTCGATACTGACAGAGCGACAACGGTAAATAAGCTTTTGGTGAACAAATACCACAGACAAACAGAGATGCACCCTTCTTGTTGTTGCTTTGTTTCCAATTTACTTCTCACGGCGCCTTTCATTCCTACGTGAAAAACACTTCTGTCGACTTAGAGAGACTGTTCTTGTCTCCTTCACAAGGTGCTGATCTTTGGCACAAACTATCTGCGATTATGGAAAATCCCTCAATATCAGATGTTCACTGCTTAAGACTGAATTACTTAGGTCTATGTTGATGTAGCAGCTATTCCAATATATTCACCCAGAATTATGATGCGTAATGCTTTCTCTACAAGCGCATATAACCAGTTCCAATACCTCATTACGCCGAATCTTAGATTTTACAGGTCACTTTTTCAACTCGATGTAGATGTGACCTGTGAAGTGTACCCATGTGAGTACATTGAGGTAAGAACAGGTTTTGTTAGATTAGTATAGTTCATCGAAGGCCTTGCAGTCTTAGTGAATGACGTTATTACACAGCATTACGCGGAAACAGGCACACCAATAGGCAATTGCATCTCTAGTGCCTCTAATAATAGAAGCAAGACGTTGAAAATCTGGATTTATTCATTATAGAGCTCACCGACAGAAGCTACATCTGACACAGCTACGGGCTACTGCCCACTTTACAGGTATGAAAATTGAGTACGGTCATGGGAACGAGGTCTGCGTCAAGCTTCCAGTGAACTATCAGTTTCTTGCAGACCCACCAAGGTCTTTTCTGGCAAAATCAATTCACGAAGGCAATTAATCTACATATGCACGTTGCAGTGGCTTGCTGGCTGGGTGGTCTGCATATGATGCGAGGTTCTCAGCCGCGCAACACAAACAGATAGCCGATGCCCCAAAGTCTGCTGGAAAATCTAGTTGCATGGCACCTTGTTCTGTCAAGGAGGGGTTAAAAATTACCAAACTGCATGTCTTCCTCTACATTGGAGATGCACAACTGAGCTACGCCCCCAGCCTTCATCGCCGCGGCATTCTCTGAATCCAACTCCAAAACAATCATGACTGAATCGTTCAATGTCATATCCACCCTCCGCTATGACCCGGCGCTGCCAGGAATGGCGGAAGGAGCCCGGAATAATTACCCAGACTCTCAATGCACGCCGTACTATCTTCTACCCTACCACCAGGACCGGCTTCTAAGCGCAGCGAGGTGTTTCAATTGGCCAGACGCAGTAAAGTTCCTTGAGCAGGATCGTAAACATTTCCTGGATTTCTTGGATTCTTTCATTCCTGACCCAACAAAGCCGTGGCGACTTAGAATTCTTATCGACAAAGATGGAACAGGAAGAGTCGAGGCCAGCATGTCTTCCCCTGGTCCAGTTAATCTTCTTACCCCCTTCGACATGAGCACCTCATCCATCATATGGCGAGTCCATGTCGACTCCCAGTGGACCACCCCTTCGGCATTTACCACCCACAAGACTACTCAGCGCGATAACTATACTGAAGTACGCTTGCGAGCGGGGATAAAGTCCCCAAAGGATCAAGTGGAGGTGCTGATGGTGAATCAGCAAGGAGAAGTTATGGAGGGAAGCATCACCACGGTATACTTCCGGCGCCCATCGCCATCAGCTCCACATGGAGAGGGGAAGGCCAGTGATGCAATGCAGCAATGGATTACACCACCCCTTGCTAGTGGAGGGAATGCAGGAACAACCAGGCGGTTCGCGTTGGCCTCTAGGTTGTGCTCCGAAGAGGTTATCAATGCGGCTGATTTGAGGGACGGGGATGCATGCTGGATCAGCAACGGGGTGCGAGGATTCATTCGTGGTGAAATTGTTCGTTAGCTTTATGAATGACTATTTTGTAATAATCTAGCATCCAAGGTACACCCGAAAGGCGTTAGTGCGCGGCATCGGTAGGCGGTACGAATCTATTGACAATACCGACAAATATACATAAATGTATGTACATTACTGTGCTCTTTCTCATTTTGTTTAAATACTTTCTCTCCTGTCTCTTTTAAAAAAAGAAAAGAAAGAAACTGGAACTGGAACTGGAACAGAGAAGACACATATATGCAATGATTTGATGGTTTTACGATTGATGGACACAAATACTTTCAAGTAAGAATTCGACAAAAAAGATGACAAGGATCCCCGGAGATATACTATGCACGTTTTTAAGCTAGTTGATGCTCGGCGTAATTCGTACAATTTGTCCTTGCTTTACAGTACGTAAAGCAGTCAAATGCTTTTAGTATCAATGCATGTACATATCGTGATACATCACAAAGCACCTCGGTGAAGTAGGTACTCTGTATCTCCTTGCATAAAGCCCACGAGAGTCATGTCATAGTAGGCGCTTGAGAGCAATTAGTTCAAATTCATCATCGGACGAGTTTAATCGTGACCTATGGTCAGGGTCTCACCGACTGATACCATACTTTCGCCTGCAGGAACCTATCGCCAATTATTGCGATCTTCAATGCTTGTGCAGCAGGATTCTGGGTCTCGATTGCTGCTTGGTGTTCAAAAGGACATGCCGTATTAACCCCTAGTCCATTGAAGCTAGTTGTGTAGCACCAGTGGCTTGCGTGCCTGATGGTTGAAGCTAATGATTGTTACACTTTGTTTTACAATGGATCCTAGCATAAGCCCTGATTAGATTTGTTGCTCAATTTGATTGAGTACTAATAAAGCGGCCAAAATCTCGTTGTAAAAGGACGATTACTCTTCTTGTTTGACCTAAATTTCCAACTTCGTCTCTTCATAGACATCAATCCTCCCTGAAGCAGTGCCGCTATGGTTCAACCAAGGATCTTGTTCATCGACGCCTATGATTCCTTCTCCAACAACATTATCACCCTCGTCGAAGGATCCCTGGGAGTTTCTGTAACAAAACTCACAATCGACTCCCCACTTCCTTCTCACCTCCATGAGTCGTATGCGGGTATCATCATTGGCCCAGGTCCCGGAAGCCCCTACGAACCAGCCGATGTAGGCTGTATTCAGCAAGTATGGTCTCTACCAGAAGATCAGATGTTACCTGTTCTGGGGATTTGCCTAGGATTCCAAAGCCTTGTGGTTCATTTTGGAGGCGCCGTTGAGCGGTTACCATATCCGCGTCACGGCATCGAAACCGATGTTCAGTGCTGCAATGACCCCCTCTTCGTGGGAATTCCCACACTGCGTTCTGTGCAATATCACTCCCTCCACGGTGTCCTTGGACATACATTCGAAAATGGGGATCTTTGGGATTCGCATGAAACATGTCCGGAGCTTGTTCCGTTGGCATGGGACATTGACCACACATTTTCGCGGGCCCCTCCTACTCCCGAAGACTCGCGAATTGCATTCGGCAGGCTTAACCCGACGCACATCCTCATGTCTGTAAAGCATGAGACTAAACCGTTCTACGGAGTCCAGTTTCACCCGGAATCGGTTTGCTCGAGTCCTGAAGCACGTCAAGTGATCAACAATTGGTGGAAGATTGCCAAGGAATGGACGAGCCACCGTCTGATTTCTCAGCCAGGTGAAACCCCTGAGCCTAGCTCAGTCCTATCGAAGTTATTGGACCTAGAAAACTTGAGTCTTGCCATTATCAGAGATGCTCTCATCCCGAATGGAGACGAGCTGATTGTTTTGGACTCCGAGATGGCCCAAAATTCACCTCTGGGTAACTATTCTATCCTCGGTCTAGTCTACCCGGATACCCTCCGCGTCTCTTATAGCGCAGGGGATAAGCAAGTTCGCCTAGAGCAAGGCGATGAATCAACCACTGAAACTTTGGGTGGTGATGATCGCCACATCTTCACCTTTCTCAAGACGTTCATGGAAAGCCGCAAGAAGCTGCATGGAAATGAAAAGTCTCCATTTTGGGGAGGACTGATGGGTTACATCGGTTACGAAGCTTGTTTGGAGACTCTGGGTATCAAGGCTCAGCCTCATCCCGAACGTCCAGATTTACAGTTTGCATTTGTCGAGCGGAGTATTGTGATAGATCACACTGCTCGTCAACTCCATGTCCAGAGCATCAAGATTGATGATCAACAGTGGGTCAACGAATCGGCTTCCATCTTGGGCGGCCTGGCAAGCCCGGAGTTGCGTTCCGAGGACCAAATCACCGAAGACCACGCAGAGAATTGTCCATCCCGCTCTAACTCATCATCTTCATTATCCAAAGAGGATTCACTTGAGAGTTTAGATACCAGCCCTAGTTTCTCGCCTTCATCCGCAGATGTGGACGTTAACAAGCTAGTTACACGCACAAAGTTCACTATTCCCGACGAGGTCGCATACACGAGAAAGATCCGGGAGTGCAAGACAGAGATTCAGCACGGCAACTCGTACGAACTATGTTTGACCGACCAGACCAAGATTGACATTTCTTCTCCTATTTCCCCGTGGGCAAGATACCTACGCCTCCGCAGAGTCAACCCCGCCCCCTTTGGTGCATTCATCCGCCTTGGGCCAATCACTGTACTGTCGTCTTCTCCAGAACGGTTCCTATCGTGGACTCGTCCCAACATGGAAGACGAGGTCAATTGCCAGTTCCGGCCTATCAAGGGCACTGTCAAGAAGCGACACGAAAATCCTGATGGGAGCACACGCTTCGTCAATATTGCCACGGCGAAGGAGATTCTGGCCTCACCTAAAGAACGAGCGGAGAGCTTGATGATCGTTGACCTCATTCGTCATGACCTTACTGGTGCCCAATCCAGGGATGTGCGAACAACCTCACTGATGCAGGTTGAAGAATACGAAAGCGTTTATCAGCTGGTAACCGTCATAGAAGGCACGATGCGGCCAACATGCGCTGCCAATGACCCAAACTACCGACCCCTAAGCATGGGAATCGACGTCCTTGCCGCCAGTTTGCCGCCAGGGAGTATGACAGGAGCCCCCAAAAAGCGGTCGTGTCAGTTGCTTCGAGGTATTGAGGAAGAAAAACCACGATCGATATATTCAGGTGTGCTGGGGTACATGGATGTTAGAGGCGGAGGAGATTTCTCTGTCGTCATACGTACCGCCTACCGCTGGGATGATGAGACCACTGAGACAGACGAGACGTGGAGAATTGGAGCAGGCGGTGCCATCACCGACATGAGCCAGGAACTAGCCGAGTGGGATGAGATGCACACCAAAGTTGACGCTGTGCTTCGGTCGTTCAAGCTTGTCAACCAAGTCTCATCTTAGCATTCTCTTTATCATCTACACCCAGAAAGTAAATCTATATAGTTTTTGCTTTTTGCTCTTTTTCTTTTTAACACTCCTTCCTCTACCCAACAGGGACTTTGTTCTGACCATTGAGCTGTATCTTGATTTTCGGTCTTTTGAATTGACTACTTGCGTGGCTTTCGCCTCAAAACGTTTAATATTTGCCTTTAATCACAGCATAGGCCTACAAGCTGTAGCCGTAGTATTATTGATGGATGTCATCTTTACTTGGTCTTGCCCAAGTCCATACCGGGAACCACACCGAAAAAGTTTGAGAACGTCAGGGTCCAAAATGAGATATTCACTACATTAGCTCAGCTTGGTTTTGATCGAGATGCCGAATACCCGGAGGGGATTGAAATCTAACGCTACGTTCGTCAAGCCTTTAGTTTCCGGGTCAAAACCTCTGGGGTTGAAGTCGTGGTGGGTACAAAGGGTCAGGAATCATGATTTATGCACAAGTACCATGTCTGTGTACATCAACCAGCTTACCCCCTTGATCGAACATATGATCCATAACTCATTGGTTGAAAACAAAACAAAAACTCGGTGATCAGCAGACGAGATACATGCGCCATGTAATGAAATACAACATGCAGTCAACGGTTTCTGTAAGATCCTGCAGAGACCGATAGATTTCTGCAACGCCAATCATTCCTTATAAAACACACAAAAATACAAAAATCCCATGGCGTTACCATGATGTCACCTGAAATTCTTCAGCCAGCCTTTGGCCTAGACCTTACATATCTCCTGCACCCGACGGAAACGATTAGGCAAGGAGGGATTTCTATGACAATTAAAAAATACTCAACATCTATAGCAGCTGCACGCCGAAAACTAGTGTAATTGGAATTCAATAGGTCCAAAGATGAGTTGCTCAAATAGGCTATTGCTACATTATTAAGGATCGGTAAGATCAGATACCAACAAAGCACCCAAGATGCAATGCACGCCCACAGTCCATGCAAAGTAGATCCCACTCTGCTAAAGAATATATTGTGTCGAAGTTTCTCTCTTCTTCGTCGACCGACCAGGCTCATTTCGAATCATGTACAGCTCCCTTGAGATCCCCATGGCCCCCAAGACCTTGGAACTTCCACACAACCTTCAGGTAATAGTTCCATACCTTATTTTGGCAGTCATCGGACTTTTGCTCAAGCGAAAACTACTCTCATCGATCTCTGATATCAAGGGTCCTTGGTTGGCGTCAGTGTCGACCCTGTGGCAGATATATCATACTGCTAAAGGCGACATTGAATATGTTGTCCAAAAGGAGCACCAGAAGCATGGTATTGAATTTATTATCCAGGATATGCAATAGCAAAGATGGCTAACTATCCTCCCAGGCGATTTCGTCCGTATCGGCAATAATGAGGTGTCATGCAGTCACCCAGACAGCATCACTGCTATTCTGTCACCAGCATACGAGAAGGTAGATAAAGCTCCAAGAGATTGTACAGAACAAATATTAACACGCCTTTTAGGCAGGCTGGTATCGAGCACTTGCTGTCCCTGACAAGCATCACCAAACCCCAATGTCAGAATGCGACCCCAAGCGACACCGAGAACGATCATCTATCACAGCCAGCAGTTATTCCCTCACTAGTCTGATCAAATCGGAAAAAGTCGTCGACACTTGCATTGAGGAATTCCAACAGCAGCTCAAGAAACTCGCGGGCCGTGGCCAGGCCATCGATCTCGGCGAGTGGCTAAACTATGTTTCCTTCGATGTCATTGGCGAGTTGACCTTCTCGCAACGCTTGGGATTTGTCAGAAGGGGTGAAGATATCGACAACTCAATTAGTAGCATGCGCTTTCTCATGGTTTACCAAGCCGTCATGGGATACATGTATTGGCTGCACCCGTTTATCCTCCACAGCCCCTTTTCTGGCTTCTTTGGTCTTCGGCCGCATGCTCACATTTTCAAAACGGTCAGCGCGGCCGTTGATAAACGCCGAGAAGATCCGAACGTCCGACCTGATATGGTTTCTCAATGGATCAACAACCTCCGCAAGTGGCCCGACCGTATGGAGGAACGCGAGATCCTAGCCGTTGCTAGCATGACCACCATTGCCGGCTCCGAGACCATGACCGGGGCGCTGTCAAACATGTTTTACTTTCTCTTGAAGAACCCTGATTGCATGACCAAGTTAAAAAAAGAATTGAGTAAGGCCCAGGCGGCTGGTGAACTGTCTCCCGTTGTTCTCCATGAAGAGGCCAAGAAGCTTCCTTACCTCCAGGCTTGTGTAAGTTGTCACATTGTTGTATCGATGAAGCATAACCGAGTTAACATGAACATTGTTTAGATCAAAGAAACACTTCGATACTTTGCCCCTGTGCCATTCGGCTTGCCTAGAGTGGCCCCCAAAGAAGGAGTTACACTGGGCGGGCGCTATTTCAAGGCCGGTGTAAGTCAGCCGGGATGATTTGACTGTAAACAAATTTGCTTACTACTGCCACAGACTATTTTATCCGTCAATCCATTTGTCATGCAGCGCGATCGCCGCTACTTTGGCGAGGATGCCGAAGTCTTCAACCCAGAGCGATGGTTGCGCCCCGAGGCGCCACGCTACGAAAAATACCTGATTACATTTGGTACCGGATATAACGGCTGCCCAGGTAAGCAGTTTGCCTTTGCGGAGATCGGTAAAATCACAGCGTCTGTGGTACGTGACTTTGACTTCGAGTTCGAGAATATTGGCACAGATTGGAAGCACCGTAGCCATTTCACTATCGCACAGAGCGACTGGCCGGTGAAAGTCTCTGTTGCAGCACCACTTGAGAACTGAGAACATTATAAGAATTAAGTGCAATGTTAGACTTCTAAAAGTCTTCCGGTTTAGGTAAAAATGCAGCTAGCATGACTGCACTGACCTGCCGTCTGGTAATCCATTATCCGATGGTAATTTGAGATCTTCATGTTCTGATACTGAGTTATTCCAATAATGCATTTCTTGATGGGTCGACACGCCTAGGGTAAGAGGAAACCTTTCTTCAAAATGATATTGCCGTAGAGACTCCAGATACTTATCTTAGACATTAAAATTACAAATATAAAACCAACAATCCCATCTGTAACTGCAAAAAGAACAACTGGGGATCTTCTAAAGACGTGTTCAAGCTCCCCACTCGCCCGTTCACCTTGACCGAATCTATTAAATTGGTACTATTACAGCCTATTCCATCACTTAATGTGGAGATGAGAAAGCAAGCAAAACAGGAAGGCCTAGGCCTACTAGGTTTTACTAAATAATGCCGAACCTAGAATTCTAGAGACGGGGAAGGGCTTTGTGATTCGTCACGGCATACCAAGTCCGAAGTAATTACATTGCCGAAGGACAGCACATGTGACAGCAAAACATATGCATCGAAAAATCTTTTGGCGGTATCAAGAATAATGCCTTTTATCCACTTACACCCACTCAAGGAGAGTCGGTGTAACTGTTGGATTGCCGGATTGCTGTGGGAATATTAGCTCGGTAGCAATACTGATCAGCTTGATGCATCATATCGATCGATTCTGTAGCCCATAACCTGCATCAAAACTCCAATTTACATATGCAAAGACCATGCATTTACAACTGCATAGATGGATACGAGGAATTGCATGAACACCAATGTAATTTAAATCACACCTGATCTGCGGAAAGACCCGGTTTATCTGCAACAATAGATCATAAGCAGCAATGCCGATCTTCTGCAATGAGCAAGCATGCCGATCCACACGATGCTAGTGGATCTGGACTACTAGTTTGCGGGCCGTACCTACATACGACCCACCCGAAAGGTCATATTCTGTCGAGCTTCGTATACCAGAATTATCAAGAATCTTTAAACCATGGGGAAAGGGCTTAGCTGATCTTTCATTGTGACGTATTTATCCTAACATCCTGGTAAATACACACACTGCCAATGTCGTCGCAATCGGACTAGATCTCTTCAAGGCTCCCCATTACACTTCACGTTAGTCACTCTGCAAAATTAAGCCAATCGCATACCGCTCCTTGACGTAATGAACTTTAGTTAACATGATGAGCCCCTGGAATTTGTCCCCGGTCAGGACATGTAAGGATCACTCCATGAGGCCAGCCATTGATAACCGGAAAAGCATAATGCGACCAATTCACAGCTCCTGTTCATCTATATTAGGTCTTGCACGAGGCGGTGTAGAGGCCGCATCTTTTATCCACGTTTATGATGTTACTTCGGTGGTATCCCGGTCTGTCAATTATGTCTACGCCAAGTTCCATATGTTGGCAAAAGTGGTCCTTCTAGTTATACGGTTGTAGAATTGATATTCAGTTTGACATTGTTTTATACCAAAATTAGTAACTAAATTACTCTGAAATACTCATTCTTTGATGGTTGCCTTTATATAAACACCAGGAGTAGTGATAGAAGCAAGTGTTCCACTAGTCAGAGCTTACACCTGGATAGCTTCCTTTTCATGAACATGGATCTCGGCTGTCTTCACAATGGGCTCCTTCCGGTCAGGAATCCAGCTAGACAGTGATTGAAGAAAGAGGTCCTGAATTGATCCGGGATGGAGAATGTGAGGCGCATCTTGCAATGCACGACGGATATTCACGCGACCGTACTCGGCCATGTTCTCGTAGACTTCCCAGCGACTCTTGTCTGCTAAAACTTTTTCCTTCAGCATTGGAGTGAGCGGATGCAAAGGATCATTCAACCGCATTGATAGCGAATTTACCCACTCTTCGTAGGGGATGCCGCGGAGGGGTGCGGGTATCATCCTATTGAGTAGATCGAAGCTAGTATTGATGTCGATCGCATTCTTGAGGTCGGGCTGCACCAGATTATATGCCTGCCCAAGATTTGTGTGCGAAGAAGAGATATGCAGTATCGCATTGACGACAAAATCCACCGGAACAAATTCTTTACGCTGGTCGGGGAGAATCGGGTAAGTCCCCATCTCCATGCAGCTAGTGAAAAGTCGGGAGGCAAAGTCGTTGCCGTTGCAAATTCCCATCTTGCTGTGGCCAAGCACGAATCCGGGTCGATACACCGCCACTGGGAAACCATTGTCGATTGCGGCCCAGATGATACCTTCGGCGACATACTGGCTCTGGGCGTAGCCTGTATCATAGGGCAAGGCAGCCAGGTGAGCTGCTGGACGCTCGTCTTCTGGTAGGAGCTTGGCACCTGTGACGTATCCGGTTGGACCATACGCAGCTATTGTCGAAGAATAGTGTAGGGCTTTGAGCCGCTTGTGGTTGGCGAAGTCAAGCATGTTCATGGTTCCAATGACGTTGTCCTGGCGATGGGACGAGTAGGGTGCTACGTAGCTCACTTTGGCACCCAAGTGGAACACGACGCTGGACCATTCGGCGTAGAAGTCGTAATCATCCTCACTCAGTCCTAACTTCGGCAAAGCAAAGCTCCCTGGAAGCACGATGACCTTTTCCAGATCCGCCCTGAGCTGGTACTTGTCCAAAGTCTCCTGGATACGGCGCGTCGCTGAGTTTTTGTCTGCGGCTCGCACTAAGCAGGCTACCTGTTTCACATTTGATCGTGCTGCCAGGGTTGCTAGTAGGAGTGCTCCAACAAATCCTGTAGCACCTGTAACGAAAACACGACCTTCAGATGAATCCTGCCAATGAGGGATAGGCATTTCCTTTGGTCGCAGGCTTCGACCAAGCTGCGAGTCATTCCACCAGATCTCTTGCGCGGCAAGGGTTTCGGTTTGGTCGGATCCATTGCGCACATTGGTCACCATTTGCGTGAATTTCTCAAGCGTGGTGTTCTCGTACAGCATCTGAGATCGGACGCCGATGTCAAACGTCTGGTTGATGCGGGCGATCATCGTTGCGGCCATCAGAGATGACCCACCCATTTCCAGGAAATCATCCGTGGGAGCAAGACGCTCAACTGGCAGGCCCAAGACATCGATCCAGATATACTCCAGCTCCGCGGCAACGTCTCGGCTACCAACCTGGGATTCGGCAGCCTTGATTCGGGATTGAGCGAGCTCCTCATCATGGAGCTTCTCCAATTGTTTCCGGTCCGCCTTTCCTGTTGCCATCAAAGGGAGGCTATCAATGAGCTTAACGCGCAGAACCATCAAGTGAGGGGCGATATCTAGATAGGATTTTAAAATCGCTGCGGGTGTGACGTCGGGAGCAGCTGGAATGCAATAAGCAAGCAGGAACTGAGCCCTGTCAACTTCCTTCGGCGTAATCTTGATAACCACCGCTGCGTTGACTAAATTTGTCTGCAGCAAGGTGGCCTCTAGAGCTTCTAATTCCACTCGCTGGCCCCTGATCTTGACTTGATTGTCGATGCGGCCAATGTATTGGTGAATGCCCTGGTCGTTGGCTCGCATCAGATCACCGGTCCGGTATGCGCGGGACGGTCCCTGGGTCAACTTCTGAGGGAGATGGGGCAAATGGAGAAAGCTCTTGGCTGTCTTCATGCGTTCTCCAATATAGCCCCTGGCGACGCCCACACCGCAGATGAGCAGTTCGCCGACATCGCCAGGCTTGACAGGAAGGAAGTCTTCTCCGACAACAAACACTTCCACGTTTCCTAATGGCTTGCCAACAGGAATCTGGTTGTTTCGGGCTTCTTCGCGGGAGACCTCGTGCATCAACGTATAGACGCTGGCCTCTGTAGGGCCGTAACCGTTGATGATGCGACCCGGAGCTCCTGCATCAAAGATAGAATTGATGCTCTGGCAATTGATGGCTTCTCCACCGGTGAGAAGAGTATCCAGGGTCAAAAACGCTCCAGGACATGCAAAGGCTGTCACTGAAAGCAATGACGTGGTGAGCTGGAGGACATCGAGCCTCTTCGTACGAATGAAGACGCTCAGTGCGGCGGCATCAAGCACCGTCGCCATTGGGATTACGACAATAGTTGCACCTCGCAGCAACGAGACCCAAATCTCGACCAGGCTTGTGTCGAAGATGACGCTAGTGCCGTGACCAACGCGTTGTCCAGGCTTGACTAGATCGATTGGATCGAATGAGAGGTTGATGATGCCTTGAGCCACGGTCTCCACGGCCTTGGGCTGACCCGTCGTCCCTGATGTGTGCAGTACATGGGAGCAATTATCGGGCCCAACTTGAGAAATTTCAAACTCCTCGTGACCATCAGCTGAGATGTCCCGATGGTCCACAACGAGATGCTGCCAGGATGCTAGACGGTGTTGGTGGGCAGCATCAGTGATGACCAGTGTCGTGCCCAGGTTCGCTAGCATACGCTCGAGATGAGAGTCGGGAAGCTTCTCATTCAGCGGAACACATGCCCTTCCTGCGTAGACCAAGGCTACCTGGGACAGAACATGGCTGAGGCTTCGTGGTATGAGGATTCCAACAGGCGATGTATCTGCGGGATTCAGATTGCGTATCTGGCAGGCCAGAGAGATAGCCTTGGAATGAAGTTCGGTGTATGTGATTACATCAGTTTCGTCTTCAATGGCAGACCTTGGGCCGCTTGATGATGCCTGTCTAGCAAAAAGGACTGCCAGGCCTGGTTGCGGCTCCGGTGAGATAGTCATGATTAAGTAAAGGCGTATCAAATAGATCAATGGCAGAAAAAAGGTTCTCGTTTTGTCCTCACAAGACACGCTGACGCTCATCTGTATATTCATGCCATTCGGTTATAGTGATGACGAAAAATATTATGTCAGTGGTTAATGCGCATTACCTGGCTCAACCCCTTCTGATCTAGATTATGCTTCCAGTAAGGGATTCTTTTTCGATATTTTTCTAATGAAAGCTATACCGTGGCAAATGAATGACCGCATTCGTCCCAATTGGTATTCTGGTACAAAATAGACCATGTACAGAGGGACTGATACCCATTTAGTCTCAAATATCGCCGATCGAAGTTTCAATAGAACGTACATTAGCACAAGCCTCATATCATATGTTGAAGCTTGGGCGGGTCCTCCAAGGTTGGATGCCACAGGCGGCGGGCTGTTATTACAACGATGCAGTACGAAGTCCACATTTCTAGAATCCGGTGTAGCTGTTTCCCCCTACATGTTGCATCACACTATTCTGGGAGTTGCAATGCATGATGGTTACAAATAAATTACTTGTATTTCCAGGTATCGTATTGCAGATTACCAGCTCGCGCAGGTGGGTCTTTCTTTTTCTTTCTTTCATCGAATTATTGCGACCATCACTCTGCTCAAGTAGCGACAGATTACAGTCCGCATATGCTCTTACGTCGACCTGTATTGTGCTTCATGCTGCATCTGTAGTGGGGAAAGAGAGGTTTGTGCATATATCGGCGTGGCAATGAGGATTTATGACCCATACCGAGGTAATTTCCGATATGGCACAGCTGGTACCTAGGTGTAGGTATATGCAAAGGATCAATCAGTTCAACGAGTCATATTCTGCCTACACATAGCTATTCTGCTCCATAGCATCAGGCCAGATCCAACCCCTTCCTGACAATTAATTGGCAACACCACAGAGAAAATACATACTCTACCAGTCTTTGAGAAATTAAACCAATATGACATCCTTGAGTGAGATCTCTGGACCACCCATTGATAACGATACTCGCTGTCTGATAAACCGGTTGGAAGAGGTCGTCAAATCTCATCCTGACGCCGTGGCATTGATTTGCGCCCACGAGGATCCTCGTCGGTACGAACTGGGCGATGTCCAACAAAATGATGCCACCACGAATGTATCAGCGGCTTTTGCACAGTGGACGTATGCGCAATTATACACTGAGGTTGAACGGATTTCCCACCGACTCGAGAACCTGGGACTAGCGAGTGGATGTCCGTTATTCACCGTGCTGGGAAATAGCGTGGAGCATGTGACGACCACATGGGCCGGATATAGACTGGGCTGTCTCCATGTTTCAATAGATCCCAGAAGCTTGAAGAACGCATCTGAGGCTCGCCACATGATTGAGACAGTCCTCGCGTTTCAAAAAAATCAATATATGGCCGTCGTGGTGAAAGACAGACAAACGGCTACCCAGTTCGATGAGTTATTTCCCGACATTGAATGTGTGAAAATTCAAATCGAAGGAGGAAACGGCCCGTGGATTCCATTCTACAATCGTATGCAACCGAGTGCATCAACATACGAGCCAAAATTTCTGAGCGGAGAGACCCGCGAGTCACGGAGAGAAACTTCAGTCTTTTTTTCCAGCGGTACCACTTCGCTCCCAAAGGCATGTCTTGCGGATGTAGCCTCATGGGTCAGCGCACTTGAGACCAGGATAAGTGCTGCATCGGCTTTACCAGGTGATAAAGTCATGGTGCTCGTGTCTAGCAGTCATGCTTTTGGGCTGATGGGCATGCTAATAACCCTTACCCGCGGGGCCACACTCGTCTACTCCTCCGCTACAGGATTTGATGCCGAGTTGACAATGAAGTTTCTGCACACAGAGCAATGCGCATACTTGATCATGGTCTCGGCCTTGGTACACGCGTTTGTCGCAGCCAATCCCTCTACTGGCAACGTCATCAAGCCCTTGAAAGCAGTCATATTTTCCGGCATGAGCCTTGCCACTGCAGTAGCCAAAGATTTCAAAGCAGCGTTTCCTACAGATCGTGTGGAGAATATCTTTGGCATGATTGAGGGTGTTCATGTTTCTACGGGGCCGGTGGAAGACATTGAATCGATCTCCCAAGATGACCATCTCGCTTCAGGAGTGCCAACGTCCGGCGCCAGAGTCCGCATCTGTGCCCCCGGGAAGCAATCCCTCGTTCCCCTCGGCACACCAGGAGAGGTGCATTACAGCGGCTTTCAAACATCCAAAGGATACATCGGATTAGAAACCAAAGACTTCTACAAAGACAAGGGTGGCTCGTTGTGGTTCAATACCGGCGACCAGGGAGTCATTCACAATGGTCAACTCTACCTCGTTGGTAGATATAAGGAGTTGATTATCCGAGCTGGAAAGAATTTATCTCCTCCAGCCATTGAATCAACCTTGAACCAGGTGCCAGAGCTTTCTGTCTTCAATCCACAGGCCATTCCCTTCCCGGATCCGGTAGCTGGAGAAGTTCCAGTGATTGTAGTGAATCAACACATCAGTGACGACCAAGTTCGACAAATCACCAAAATGATTCTGGTCAAAATGGGACCAGTCTATGTTCCAACTAATATCATATCGGTGCAGACACTCGGGCTGGAGGACTATCCTCGAACCATCTCCGGAAAGGTACAAAAGACGAAACTGGCAGCCCTTGTACGTCAATATGAAGATTCATTGTGTCAGTGCACTACCATGGCCAAATCAACTGGTCTGAGAGATAGAGTGGTGCGTATCTGGGCGGGTACCTTTGGAGTCACTTCTGGTGATCTTGATACACATGCGAAAATTCTGGAGCGCTGCGACAGCATTACTTCCATGAAAATTCATGCCCGAATCCGACGTGAAACCGGCAAGGAAATTTCTTATTCTGCCTGGGCTACTGCAGGTACTATCGATGCCCAGATCAAGTTGCTTGAAGATGCTCCTGAGAAAGTTGCCAAAGGCAAGGAAGAACTCTTATCTACCAGTTTGCGACAAGGGGGCCCAGCTGCAGTGGATATGGTCCATCTCATGGCCAATCCCAGCCGATTCCAGGCAACCCGGCAAATGGTCGAGGAGGCGATTGCACCCAATCAACTCACTTGGGATGATGTGGAGGATGTATTTCCAACGACAGACTTCATGGATATAATGGTTCAAAATCACCTTATCGAAAGCTGGGAGTTTTTTGTTGAAGTATTGACAATGAATGCCGACCGTCAGGTAAGCATGTCCATGCTTTCTGTTTTCCTCGGCTCTTTCTAACTCTGACAGCATCTACGTTCGTCTCTTGAAAAAGTGCTTTATGTTCACCCCATCCTGCGTTCTTTTATTGTTGCCGATCAACAAGCTGCTGATCGGGCTCTCCATGTTACCATCAAGTCATGCAAAAGCGTACTAGATCAGTGCATCGTGGATTATGGAGATGTCGATAGTGTCAATGATTTGCGGAAACTCACACTTGACTTTCCACAGGAGCACCGCCCAAGGTTTCCCGGTCTTCTTTACCGAGGCCTTATCGTCTTTGTTAGAGAGACAAATAGTGCGGCCCTGATTTCCGCCTGTGAGTTATCGAAGAATTCAAAACAGCAAAAGCCCATGCTAACGATATCATAGTTTCCCATGCCGTGATGGATGCGACATACCATCAAATCTTTGTAGATGACCTTGATCTTGCTCTCGGCGGACATACTGTCCAGGCCCATGTCTCGTTCAAAGCGTGGAGCGATGCGCATTACGTTCTTGGGAGCTCCCAGGCTGCTCAACCTGCTCTGGATTATCACGCTGGTGAGATGGAGCTCCTCCGTTGGCCCGACAAGCAGCCTGCTATCTGGCCATCCCCTGCAAGCGCTGTTTATGTCTCCCCTGATCGTGTGAACGAAGGTCTTCCTTTGCTGACAATACCTCTTCCGGGTATTTTGGGTTTGCGACGCGCACACCCCGACCTTGCCTTGCCAATCGCCCCCAAGGTAGCGCTAGCCCTTTTAGCACTTCATCACACGAAGACCACTTCGGCCCTCATGCTCAATGTGGAGATGGCTCGCTCAGGTTTCCCTTTCCTTCCCTCGTCTATTGCAGGACTGGGCTCTTTCAACGCGGCAGATGTTACAGGTCCCACGATCGCAGGAATCCTCAATGTAATCGGTTATGATCATGATGAGACAGTTATCGAGATGTTACATCGTGCTCAAGAGCAACAAATCAAAATCACTCAACATGCCAACGCACCGTGGCAAAGAATAATGCAGCAAAACTCCGACATAAGGGACCTGTTTCCGAAAGTGGCCGACGCTCTGGTCTTCAATTGGACTGGCGCAAACGGGTTTTCACAGGAGACTCTTGGAAATCTCCAAGAAAACGTGAAAATCAGCTATTTGTACTATCGGCCTAAAACTGGGTTGACGATGGATGTTGGCCTCGGAGGCAAGGATGGCACAGACATGATTGTCAGTCCAACCGGGGCAATCTGGAATGAGTCACCAGAATCAATCTACAAACTTATGGCTGGCTTTGGTCGAATTGCTACGTGGTTGGTTGATGAGAGGAACTGGGATCGTCCAGTGGAAGACTTCCCTGAATGTCTAGTGGACTGGTAGGGCTGTCATTTCACAACATGTAGCCAGAGGATTGGAGTTTACTTTGTTCAATTTGAGTTTTTATTCTTGACTTGGTTCTTAGAAGTCTAGATATATAACCAGGTCGCTGGCACCAAATAACCCTCAGTCGAAAGATTTGTAACCATTTAATTCAAAATATATTACTCTACATGCTTACCATGAAACGTTGAGCTTGTGACAGCAACTCAGCTTTCGCTTAAGGTAGCTTATTTGCTGACCAATACGACGTATTACCAGAATGTATGAGTTGAAATTAATCTCCCAATCTTATAAATTTGATAGTGTATATTACTTTTTTTAGTGGCGTTTTTTTTTTTTTTTTTTTTTTTTTTTTTTTTTTTGGCTAGTAGCAAATGCATGCAACGTCCTGTTCTTAGTCGAGCTGAGAGCATTGCGTCCACTCAGTCCGCAAGTACCTCTAAAATCCAGGCTATCATGTGCTTCAGTTGCACATTCACGCAAGGAGAAAAAGCACATCAAGCCCACTCATGTGATTGATTTGATTGAATATTATCTTGCAGTTTTCGGGGTTACTCGGCTATTTATCTCCAATGTATTACATACGTCCAGTCTCGACATATTTCATCACTTTGTGCACCCTCACATTTGCCCATACATTCCAATATGGCTATTGAACACAATGAAGCTGCGGCAAGTAGCTTTGCGGAGACTGCTTTTAGCCAGTTTCCCCCTTTACCGCAGGATTCGCACGTATCCAGCCCAACCAAACGCCTCGTTCTTGACTCTTTGAAGTTGGATGCCCCTACAATTGAGGACCTTGATCATATTCTCCACCTCGGCTGGGCATTGGTGCTCGCCAGTCATACCGACTCTGACCAGGTTTTATTTGGTACCGCTCACCATGGACGGGCTACGGACCACGGCGATCAAGCGATCATGCCTTTCCGTTTCAAAGTGCAGCCTGACGCATCGGTAGAGGAGAGCATGACTGCCGTCGCTGGCTATCAACGCGAACTCAGCAAATTTGAACATTTGGGACTGGACAAGTACAGTACCAAAGGCTTAGACTATGTGGTGCTATGTCAGTTTCGGAACTTGCTGGTCGTGACCGGCGAGCAACAGCCCATTCCTGCGCCCTCCTATACCCAAAGATACCCTCTCACGGTCTCCTGCGCGTATCAGAACTCGCACTCAGTCCAAATTTATGTCGACTTTGATCCTGTTATACTACAGCCAGACATGATCAGGATCATGTTGACCCAGTTTACCGATATTCTGACTGCGTCAATCGCTGATCCGCGGGCTCAGATCCGGGGCATACAAGGAATCGGCGCACAGGGATGGAAACAGCTGCTTGAATGGAACCGTGCAGGACAATCTGCGGACCCAGTTAAGATCCGTGGGGACCACCAGATTGAAGAGCGCCTGAAGAAAACGCCCAACGCAAAAGCGGTTTGCACCTCAGATGGCACGTTGACTTATGAACAGCTTGATCATTGGGCCTCTCAAATTGCTCAGCAGCTAGTTGATATGGGAGTTAAGCCTGGAAAGTTTGTTGGTATTGTCACGCCAAAGTCGGTCGTGGCAACAGTCGGCATGGTCGCGGCAATGAAGGCCGGGGGTGCCTTTGTGCTTCTGCCGCCTTCCTTTCCTACTTTTCGTCTGCAGACCATGTGTCAAAAAACGCCAGTACATGTGATTCTATCAAACTCAACAACTCTTGCATTGGCCCGAGAGCTGGGCCTTCCTGTGGTGGGAATCCATGATGACATACAGAAAGGTGCCTCCGCTGGACTGGGCAACAACTTTGATCCCATCCCTACTGAGCCCCATCATCCCCTTTACGCCATTTTTACCTCTGGGTCAACTGGCGAGCCCAAGGGGGCTTTGGTCAGTCGTGGGTCCTATGGATCTGGAATCCGGGGATTTTGCAGCCGAACTGGACTGGGAGAGAATACTCGCGTGTTCCAAGCCTCTCCTTACGCGTTCGTGATAAGCATCATTGAGCAGCTAAACGCATTAGCAGTGGGTGCATGTATCTGCATTCCCTCAGAATACCAGCTGCAGAATGATTTTGAGTCAACAATGGCCAATTTGAATGTGAGCTTTGGCTTCTTAACACCGTCCTTGGCCCGAACCCTGAACCCCCGAAAGATCACCAGTCTCGAAATCCTTTTATTGACCGGTGAACCCGTCAAAGATGAAGATGTGAAGAAGTGGATGGGCCACGTTACGCTTTACTCTCTCTACGGCCTATCGGAGCTTTCTGGGAGTGTCCTAATCAAGGATCTCACTGGACTGCCATCATCCAATCAAGGCCTCGGGTATATTACGAACGGTGCCTGTTGGATTGTAGATCCAGATGATCATACTCAGTTAAGGCCGATTGGTATGGAGGGAGAGCTACTTATCGAGAGTTCTACAATGGCCACAGGATACATAAATAATATGGAGCAGACGGCAGCAACATTCGTGGAGCAGCCAAAGTGGCTCCAGGAAATTCGTCCAAGCGACGAACCAGGTCGATGTCTGAAAACGGGCGACTTGGTACGATACCAAAACCTCACCGGCGAAATCCAATTGCTGAGGCGGAAAGGAAGGCAGACTAAAATCCGTGGCCAGCGTGTCGAACTAGGGGAGGTCGAATCCGCTCTCCTCGTTCACTTCCCTACAGCAAAGCTTGTCGTTGTCGATGTCCTCACCTCGGCCGCCGAAAAAAAGAGCAACCCATCCTGGTGGCATTCGTCCATGACCCTTCCCTCCATGAAGTCACAGAAGCCTCAAAGACTAAAAAGAACACGTTTGCTTCATCGACGGTCGATTATCGTGCTAGAGCGCGTCGTGCAACTGCTGAGCTGCGCAAGGTCCTCCCATCTTACATGATCCCCAGCAGTATTCTCCCCATTCGCTTCATTCCGAGAACGGTCACCGGGAAGATTTCTCGAAAGGATATGATTGAATCTGCATCACGGTTGAGTTTGACTGAGATTCTGAAATACAACGAGGACCAGGTTCTATATCGGGGTCCAAGCACCCCGAGCGAGCAGATTCTGCAGTCAGTTTGTGAGAAGCTGTTGCGACTTCCCGCCGAGAGTGTCAGCCTCGATGACAACTTCTTTTATGTCGGTGGAGATTCGTTGACTGCTCGCCGGTTTTCCAGCATGGCGCGCGCACAAGGGTTGATATTCAGCGTTGCTCAAGTGTTTGAAGAGGCCACTTTAGCATCATTGGCACGATCTAGCCTTTTGTCCACTGCCCAAGCTGAACCCGGTCCCCACGCCGCTGTTGTTCCGAAGGAAGATCCCTTTGCGACGATTCGGGGAGAATTCGTCAATAATCTCCCTTCCTTCCTGGAGGCGAGTGACATCGAAGACGTGTGGCCTACCGGCGAGGTGCAGAGAATGTTTCTCGGTCATAACTTGATCGAACAATATCCTTGGAAAATCGAAGGTCAATTGGATAAGCATAAGCTACGCCAGGCATGTCAATCGTTCATTGACCGGTTTCCTGTTTTCCGATCTATCTTTGTCCCATTTCGCGGCAAAATATTGCAGGTAACTCTACGTCATGTCAAGGCTCCGCTTATCGAGCTACAAGCGCCGGAAGGGGAAGATCTGATGGCTTGGATAGACTCATATGCCAAGGGACCCGAGGAGACCAAACCTTTGGCGGATCAGCCCATGTTGAAATTCACCCTTGTCCAGGGTGGCCCACAAGAATATGCCTTTTTGCTACGTCTATCTCATGCTCAATATGATGGTGGTTGCTTCAAGCAGATTTCAGAGGAGCTGACTGCAGATTTCAACAATCAGGGGGGCCCGTGGCATGCCCGTTCTCGATGTACGTACGCGAATGTGATCGTCTGCGTACACCGGAGGCCTTCACCTTCTGGAAGAACCAGTTGAATGGCGCTCAAATTACCCAACTTCCACGCATTTCAGACGGAGAGGATACCCCAGTTATCCACATGGGCGAATGCTCCCCTGCCACTCCTCCCACCGGAATCACGGTGGCTACGGCTATCAAAGCCGCCTGGTCGTATGTTTTAGCGCAGAAGACTGGTCAATCGGATGTTCTGTTTGGCCAAATGGGCAGTTGCCGGGGAATCGATCTTCCTGGGGCTGAGGATACCCTCGGGATGTGTTTGAACACTACGCCTGTGCGTGTTCGATTCGAGGGAATAGAGACAGTCCAGGGCCTCTTTCGTGCCATTCAGGACCAGTATATCCAGTCGATGGAGTTCAATACGATTGAATGGACTGATATGCTGATCAACAGCACTAATTGGCCCCAAGATACGCAGCTGGACTCGGTTGTTTTGCATGAGAACATCCCCAACATTCCTGGACTTGAGTTTCCAGGTGGTATTCAAGGCCGCATTGGTACGCCAGTTTTCACCACGCCTGCGTACAAGTCTCATATGCTCTTAACTTGGCCTGGGAATCAAAAATTGACTATAATGTTGATGGGGAGGCAGAATGTGTTGGATAAGGATTTTGCCGAAACCTTGGTGAAGAATTTCGGTACGACCTTGGTGAAGTTTTTGGATTCCCCCAATGTTCTCTTGAGTTCTCTGGAGCCCATGTTCTGAATCTTTATGTATCTTGGGGCCTATGACAATTATCACGTTTAGTATATCATTTAGCAGACATTCACGACGCTTTGGGATTACTGAATATATTGTAGTGAAAAACTTCTTACGGTAAAATTTTATAAACGTCATAAATCTGAGTCTGTGTAGTGTGCACCAAGCACAATCCTTTAGCGCGGGCACAGATTTCGAGCTTTGCAGCCTTCCACCCCCAACCTTTTTCCTGTCCCTTGTTTCCCCCCCCTGCTGTTTCTTCGGGAGTGAGAGGATCCTAGAACATTCCATGATCTCATAGCAAACTTGTCGGTTTATTTTGCAGAAGTGTGCGCATGTTCAGGTAGCTGGCTGAGAAGTGATATACCACTTGCATACAATAGAGTGCGGCAGATGTGTTTAGTTGTATTTTATTTCCATCATGTTTTACTAAATACATTGTATCCACATACAGGTATCATCATTCTTGCGTGTCACTATTTCATTTGTGCATGATGGCAGAACAAAGCATGCTATAACACGATGCAAGCAGAACTACTTATCAAATTCAATATTTTTGCATACACCTTGCATTGATTTGATTCATCATAGTGGATATCTTCAGCAATAACCTCTACACCGCCACTTCCTAAGGATGGATGTGTATGAGAAGAGTAAATATAACGAAAGAGTAGATGTCGTAGGATATATACATTATCACCCGCAATTTCTCCAAAGAAGGTATATCCCACATCTCTACCATGACAGTTGAGAAGCATCTGATTGCCGTCTTTGGTGCCACAGGTGAGATCTCGTGTCCCAATTCGTACATTCTTTTTTAACTGGTTACAGGTGCACAAGGAGGCTCGGTCGCTCGGTCTCTACTTTTCAATCCCAATTTCCGAGTTCGCTGCATCACTCGGAACACTGCTTCTACGAACGCTCAAGAGCTGGTCAAGCTAGGCGCCGAAGTTGTCCAGGCACATGGATTCAAGGACGAGGAGCTACTGAGTGCCTTCAGTGGGTGCTGGGCGGCTTTCGTGAATACCAACTCGGAGGATCCAGTATGTCTCCCCCAAATGCTGTGAGGGATGTCCCTTTGTGATCCTAGGCTAACCGGAGAAAGGAACTGGCTTCAACTGGCCGCAATGACTTTGATCTAGGAAGTAATGTTGTTCGATGCGCTGCTCGTGCCGGCGTCCAGCATCTAGTCTACAGCTCAGCGCCATCTCCAGCCGTGTTGACTAACGGAGCTGTTACCCTTCAGGCTTTGGACTGTACGCCTTTCCAGTGCTAATTCAACCATCACTCGTTGTATTATGAACCTGTCTTATCTAATACATCAATTACCGTTTCTAGTAAAATGGAGAGTCGAACAAGTTGCGCTTTCGGAACCTTTCAAGACCGTCACTCCCATCACTGCCGCATGGTATATGGAAAACTGGTTTCACGAAGGCTTTTCCGATCTCTTTGGCGGATTCCCAACAATTCCCGACTCGGAAGGGTACTTGACTTACAAGATTCCGCCCTGGGGCGGCAAAGAAGACTTCCCTTGGATTAGCATGACGGATGACTTTGGTGACTTAGTTCATGGGGTTCTGCTACGGCCGTTGCGTTGGAATCGTCGTCCTATTCAGGGAACCAGCGCAATTGCGTCCTCTGAAGAAGTGGTCCGCACGTTCAAGTCTGGTGAGTTTGAATCCAAGGAAACATCCATCTTCTTGCCACGCCTCTAATCATAGAGTAATGTAGTCACTGGTAAAAAGGCACGTCATATCCCACTGGACGATCCCAATGACATGAAAACTTTGGGGGAGCACTGGAGAGAGGAGGAAAGAAATGAGTTCTTCTTTACGCCCATCCGGGACGGCGAATATTTCTGCAATGGCCCGACCGAAATTGAAACCTCGACTGCTCTCAAGAAGGCTGCATTTGAAGCAAAGGGCCGACAAGGAAGGGAAACACTCATGACTGTGGCTGAGTTCTTCAGGCGTGGGTTTGTAAAGGAATGATTGTACGTACGCACTGACATTAGTTTTGTAAGCAGCTTTTTTATCTCGGCCATGTCAGAAGCAATTCAATTGGCTTACCTAACGCACAATAGCATTATACGTCTCATTGCTGTTATAACACAGTTCAATCCATTTTTTCAGTTTGTAAGATGTAGTTTATACGTAACTTCAGTTGGGATGATAATTGATGATGTTAAGCCAGTACGATAGTAACTACTTTTATCTCACTGCAATAATTGTCCATCATAGGAAGGAGCTCGAAAAGAATCACTGGTAGGATGGGCATTTACCAAGTAAGCCTGAACTCTGGTTGTCCCTGCCACCGAGAATGTCAATATGAACATAAAAGCTTTACGCAAAGAAACCACAAGGAAGCAGTTTCAGTGGTTGTACATTAGGTGTTATTGATTAATGAAAATCGTGTATCGATGCCTATTGGCAACAGTTGAATCCATTAACCAGCTAGGAGAACTAAATGAGTCTGACTTTAAGCGATCTTGGGCAGGAAAGGGATTCTATCTACATGTAAAAATTATGGACTCTACCCTTCAGTATGAAATCTGAGTTTTCAATGTTTCGTCAATTGAATGAAACACAGCTGCATCAAGTACCTTGGGCATGCTATACAATCAAATAGCCAACATGCTTACACTTTGTTCCCATAATGGTTGATCAAGTAATCTCTCATGCTGATGACAGGCTCTTGTGGCAGGCCCTTGTCGCGCCGGGCTTCATCCTTGAGGTGCTGACAAGTGATGACATTGTCTGCGTTACCAAAGAACTGACCATTGTTGTGCTGTGTGTATCTGAAGACGTCTCGAAGCTCGATAAGAACGGTGTTATCATGGGTTGGGAAGTCCATATACGAAGCCATCGGAACGTAGCGAGCTTTCTTTCCGGTGACTATATAAATAATTAGCATGTTTTGCAAGGTCTCGAAAGTCAAACAAATTGAAGGTATGTTGCACAACTTGCCTTCGGTAAATGTCTTTACCATATCTTCGTAGGTGAAAGCTTCACTCAGACACTGAATAGTCTGATTTTTCCACTTCTCGGGGTTCAAAAACATCCCATGAACCATTTCGCCAAAATCGTCTGCGATAGACACAGTTTGTACCTTTCCCTCGCCTCCCACAAGAGGGCTGGTGAAGGTAAGGAATCCTTCTGCATCCGGGTACAAGGGAAATCCACCAAATGACTGTGCATAGATAGGAGTAATGAGATTCTCGAAATACCAGCCAGGGAAAGCCCCAATAACGGAATCAAACTCCTTGAATTCTCGTGCAAATAGTTCCACACGGTGCTTTGCTAGATGTGTGGTGGATGGTTAGATGCACGCAAATAAGTCGCGAAATTGACATGGGTGCATTATGGAGGGCACATACCATCCATACCAGGAACAGGTGCTTTTCCATTTGTGAACTTATCTGGTGATTCGCAGGTACTGTAAATAAAGACCTTGACACCAGCTTGAGCCGCAATGGTCACAAGTCGCCGTCCAAGATCTTCATCGGTAGGACCACCGGGGGTTGTGACCGACTATGGGAACTCAATATTAGCTTAAAATACTCATAACGGCAAGAAAAATAATTCAAGTTAAATATAAAGGCAAACGATCTAGAGACAGACAAACCGGATCATGGTGGTGTGTATTAAGCCAAAAGCCCCAGGCACCTGTTAGAGCTGCTTTCATGCTATCGTCGTTGAACCCATCCGCCTTTACTACTTCAGCACCCAACTTCGCCAGCTCTTGGGCATTTTCAGATTCAGGATTGCGGGTCAGTGCCCGAACAGTGAAATTCTGTCGGCTCTTAAGCAAAGACAGAGCCACGGCCCGGCCTTGTGTGCCTTTTATAAAGTTAACTGTGGAATTATACATTATTCAAGTGATACAAAACACTTACCGGTGGCACCGTAAACAACAACGACTCTCTGCAAAGATCCCATGGCTTGGTTGTACGACAATACGCGAAATGTGCCCTGAGTTGGGGAACAGACTGGCGGATATTTAAGTTGAATGATGTTATATTAGTACGGAGTGCCAACGCAGCATTCTCATGCAAGGAGGCACGGTCGGCATAATTTACTGCATGTTGGTGCTGGTTCAATATGCCCACGCCGTCAGCTCAAAATAGGAAGCTTCAAAGGTCCCCACCTCAATTTTTGCCTTGTTTTTCGTTCATCGCATGTACAGTGTATGGTAATCTGTCTGGTAGTTAGTTGCTTGCAGTAGCCTCAAATTTATTGACTTTTCTAATAAGTTTCGCGTTCCTTCAAGCTAAGGCATAAGCATATTGCACTACGTATACACGAATGATTTTCTTTTCCTCGTTTTATCATATTCGATGTGTCACATTATACAAGTCAATGCTTGGTACCTACATATATAGGCTGCATGTTGAGTGACATGGAACGTAACCCGTGCCGATGCTTCATGCAATACAACATAGGTCACGTAGCCAAGACTATCGTCCCGTACACAACGCAGGTCACGATCCACTTTAGTGCATAATCCTGGATGGTGTTCATACTCATGCGTACTTTACAATGGTACAATGTTTTACGCCTACAAGATACGTGTACTTGAAAGATCGTCGCTGGACACGTATATTAATACCAGTGGGTACATAACATCTCTCTTAGGCAGCTCTTCGTTTTATACGATCCATTGATTGTCATAGAAATGTCAACTCGATACATCGTAAGAGAATATTCCACAAAGCTTTTTAAATTCACACGATTATCTTCGATTATCTTGGAATTTTGGTGAGGGCCTGTGCCTAACTATACCTTTTGGTCGGAACGTGCTAGGCGGCCTATCAAGGCTATATCATATTATGACTGACAACTGTTTTACATTTATTTAATTTATTAACATACTGAAGTGGGAAATAGCTTACAGGAGGGCAATATAAACACTCTCCTTCTTCATCTACCACATCTATGTGTTCTCCTCTCTTTATCTCCTTATGGGCCGAGCCTGGTTCGCAGACACGCAGAAAGATTACTCGCTGGTTATCCTAAAAAAAAACAAGTAATTTCGGAATGACTGCTGTCGCCAGAAAAACAAAATGAACAACCAGTTTGAGAACCATACTTTCGTTGAAAAATATCGAATTGCACCGGATCTATTAAAGCTAAATTCGTCATCTGAATTCTAGGCTCTCTAGAATATTACCTTCGATATAAGTAGAGTGTAATAAAAAATAGGAACTCCCAGCCACCACTCTGTGGCTCTTTTTTCGCTTTCTTCGGTTTTCTTCGCCGCTATATTTCATGTTTTCTTTTTATCCAGTTCACTTACCCTTACCATACAGACTTATGATACATCATGCGTCTGGCTTGACTGTATTGCGATATAGAGGCGTTTCCAAGACACAAATTTATTTATTTGGTTGGACTGTTGCTTTTTAATGGGCAGGAAAACTGGGTATATGCTATTTCTGCTCAAGATGATTTGGGCTATTTCTTCCTGTATGAAAGACAAAGAAAAAGCTTTGAAGTGGCTGTAATGTGCACACGCTACAACTATCTAGATAGGTAATTTTCCAAGCAATTCATTATTTGTCAAGTAGCAACTGCTGCCTGTGGATCAGGTAGAAAGGGATGATGGGCTAAGAGCGCTCCAGAAACGCTGCTCATTTCCGAATCGGCCGTCAATTTCCCTGCAAGTTTTGCTGGTTAAGGGTTCTAAGCAAGGAAACAAGGGGCTAGCGGTCGATCCCAGCTATGATTCGGAAGTTGCCTCTTTATTATGACTTTTCAAGGAGGCTGTCTCGGCATCACGTTCTTATGTACTTAACCTCTATAGTCATTCCTAGGTCTGTTCCTTTCAGTGATTCACAGAACCCTCTTGGAAAGTCTTCATTACAACTTTTCAATTTCCTGTGCCGCCTCAAGTTGCTATCTGCCATCCGTATACTTGCGAGCCAGGAAGTAGTTGTGCCATAAAGAGTCTCAAGCCAACTTTGAGGGTTCTAAGTGACTATGGCACAACGTATAGATGTCGACAGAGACTCCCAAGATCCTATGGTCGAAAGCCCACTGGAGGCAAGCGAATCGGTCCCCGGTATGTCGGCATCGGGCAAGCAAAAGGAGCAGGAAAGCGACTCCACTTTGCCGTCTGATGGCAGACAATCGTGGAACAAAGCAGATGTGAATAGCTTCGCCCAGACTATCAAAGCCATGTCGACATCCACGGCATCTCTAGTTGAATCTCATTATCAAGCCCACCTCGACCCGAACAACTCCGAATTCCGAGCCAAGGACTGGGCGAGAGAATACTACAATTTTCGATTCCAAGGAGGACATACGCCGCGGAAAGCAGGCATTGCTTTCAGAAGTCTCAATGTCTGCGGCTACGGTACAGCCACTGATTACCAAATGAGTGTTGGAAACGCGGCATTGAAGATGGTTTCAGCGGGAGCGGAGCTGCTTGGCCTCAGAAAAAAGCAGCGAGTCGACATTTTGCAAGACCTCGATGGACTGTTGCTCCCTGGTGAGCAACTCTGCGTTCTGGGCCCGCCTGGATCGGGGTGCTCGACCCTGTTGAAGACCGTTGCCGGCGAAACCTTGGGTCTCGAAGTACAACCAGAATCCTATATCAACTATCACGGTATCACTCCAAAGCAAATGAAAAGCGTCTTCCGTGGAGAAGCTATCTACACCGCTGAAGTAGACTGCCACTTTCCATCACTCTCTGTGGGAGATACACTCTACTTTGCAGCGCGCGCGAGAGTACCTCGCACTATCCCCGAAGGAATCAGCCGCGAGCTTTATGCCACTCACCTACGCGACGTCACCATGGCCATGTTCGGAATCATTCATACAAAGGATACTCAGGTTGGAAATGACTTTGTGCGTGGAGTCAGTGGCGGCGAACGGAAGCGAGTGACGATCGCCGAGGCATCGTTAAGTTACGCACCGTTACAGTGCTGGGATAATAGTACCCGTGGACTGGATAGTGCCAACGCGATCGAATTTTGCAAGACCCTGCGGATGCAGAGTGATGTGTTTGGGATAGCGTCCTGTGTCGCAATCTATCAGGCACCTCAAGCAGCTTACGAGGTATGTCGACATAGCGATAAAAAAACGCACGTCTAATTTCTGATAGGTCTTTGACAAAGTCACTGTTTTATACGAAGGGAGACAAATTTATTTCGGAAGAACATGTGATGCCAAAGCATACTTTGAGCAACTCGGATTCAAGTGTCCAGAATCCCAAACTACTCCCGATTTCTTGACTTCGATGACAAGCGCGACGGAGCGTCTGATCAGTCCGGGGTTCGAAAGTCTTGTCCCACGAACATCTGTTGAATTTTCTCAGCGGTGGAAAGAAAGCCCAGAACGCAAACAGCTCCTGGATCAAATCCACCAATACAGCCAGGATCACCCCTTTGGAGGAGACAACCTTCGAGAATTTTCAAATGCTAGAAAGGCCGAGAAGTCTAACAAGCAACGTGAAGACTCACCTTATACCCTGTCCTATGGGTCACAGATTCACTTGTGTATGCTGAGAGAAATGACGCGAATCAAGGCTGAACTCGGCATTCCGATCTATATGTTGGTAAACAACATCATCATGTTTTTGGTTATTGGAAGCTTGTTCTACAATCTTTCTTTATCCACGGAGTCATTTTTTGGACGTGGAGCCACGATTTTCATGGTTGTCATCCTCAATGCACTGGGGACTGTGCTGGAGATCATTAACCTCTACGGGAAGCGCGATATTATAGAGAAACACAAACGCTATGCGCTCTATCATCCTAGTGCCGATTCGGTGGCCTCGATGGTTATGGATCTGCCATATAAAGTTGTCGGTGCCATTGTGTTGAACATTCTGCTTTATTTCATGACAGATCTTCGCCGCGAGCCAGGTGCCTTCTTTTTTTCCTTCTCATCGTCTTCACAGCGCAGTTGACCATGTCCATGTTTTTCCGACTCCTTGGGTCACTGACCAAGACTCTTGAGCAAGCAATGACTCCAACAACGGTCGTCAATATCGGACTGGTTTTGTACGCCGGGTTTGCAATTCCCGCCTCTTACATGCTTGGCTGGGCCCACTGGATCCGCTACATTAATCCTATATACTACGCGTTTGAAGCCCTCATGGTCAACGAATTTCATGGTCGAAAGTTTGATTGCTCGAACTTCGTACCGTCAGGACCTGGCTATGAGAAGGTGTCCGCAGACGAGCGCGTGTGCTCGGTGATAGGCTCGACTCCGGGCACCAACAGCGTCGACGGCGACGCCTTTCTCACTCAGTCCTATGGATACTCTTATAACTTTCGTTGGGCGGATTTTGGTATCATGGTTGGATTTTGCGTTTTTCTCTGCATCTGCCACCTAATAGCCTCGGAGCTTGTCGCCGCTCACAGATCGAAGGGTGAAGTTCTTGTGTTTCGTCGTGGCGAGATACACCAAAAGTTGGCCAAGCAGCGCAAGGTTGATGATGAGCAGCCACGGGCAGGTGTTTGTCTCGGCGAGACAACGTCTTCCACTCTTCCGTCTCAGGGTGTGGAGCAGCAGGACTCTGTTTTCCACTGGGAGAACGTCTGCTACGATATTACAGTCCAAAAGCAAAGTCGAAGACTGCTCGATAACGTTGACGGATGGGTCAAACCAGGCTCATTGACAGCTCTCATGGTGAGTTTTTATACTGCAATTCGTGATCTATACTCATATATATCAGGGTGTTTCTGGCGCCGGCAAAACAACTCTTTTAGACGTTCTCGCTAACCGCACCACAATGGGTGTCGTCACGGGGGACATGCTGGTGGATGGTCGATTGCGAGACAACTCATTCCAACGCAACACTGGATATGTCCAACAGCAGGATCTCCACCTGAAAACTTCCACTGTTCGGGAAGCTCTCGAGTTTAGTGCTTTGCTCCGACAGCCACAGCACTTTACGACACAAGAAAAGCTGGAATATGTCAATACCGTCATCGGTATCTTGAGCATGGAAGAATATGCAGATGCTGTGGTTGGAATCCCTGGCTCCGGGCTCAACGTTGAACAGAGAAAACGTCTTACAATCGGGGTGGAACTTGTAGCACGCCCCAAGTTACTGATATTCTTGGATGAACCCACTTCTGGTCTTGACAGCCAGACGTCCTGGTCTATCTGTAACCTTATGGAAAAATTGACTAACAACGGGCAAGCAATTCTGTGCACGATCCACCAGCCGTCGGCAATGCTTTTCCAGCGTTTTGACAGACTCCTGCTCCTCGCCCGAGGGGGAAAGACAGTCTACTTTGGAGATATTGGCAAACAATCCCATGTTTTGATGGATTATTTCGTTCGAAATGGCGGTCCTGTCTGTCCTCATGGGACTAATCCTGCCGAGCATATGCTGACCGTGATCGGCGCTGCTCCTGGGTCTCAAACACAGATTGACTGGCCCGATGTATGGCGCAAGAGTCCGGAGTACAATGCAGTATGTGACGACCTTGCAAAGCTCAAGCAGCTAACGGAAAACTCCTCAACCTCGCCCTCGACCAGTGATCCTTCCATCAACACAGAATTTGCGGTCCCTCTCATCGGTCAGTTCTTCATTGTATCCAAGCGTGTGTTCCAGGACCTCTGGCGCAGTCCATCTTACATTTATTCTAAAATATTCCTTTGTCTAACGAGTGTAAGTCACTGTTGTCGATCCAAGGCTGTTTACATGGGAAGTACTGACCAAGCCTTAGGCTTTGTTCATCGGATTCTCTTTCTTCAATGGCGAGAATACTCAACAGGGGTTGCAAGACCAAATGATTGGAGTATTCATGTTCATTATCGTCTTCATTCAGCTAGTCATGCAGATAATCCCAGCCTATGTGAGCCAGAGGACATTGTATGAAGCGCGAGAACGTCAGTCCAAAACATACGCTTGGCAGATCTTCCTTCTCTCAAATATATTGTCTGAGCTTTTTTGGAACTCGGTAAGTTTCTTTTGACGTGAACCAAGGGGGAAGAGCTAATACAAGTTTAGTTGATGGCCGTTTTGTGTTTTGTTTGTTGGTACTATCCCATGGGCGTTTGGCGAAACGCATTGTATGCGGGTGCACTTCACTCCCGGGGTCTTCTTGTCGTTCTTACTCTCTGGGCTGGATTCCTCTGGAGCAGCTCCTTCGCTCATCTGGTCATATCTGGATTCGACTTCCCCGAGATGGCATCGGGTCTCTGCAACTTCCTGATGCTCATGTGCTTGTATTTCTGCGGAATTATTGCCAAACCAGCTTCTTTCCCACGCTTCTGGATCTTCATGTACCGTGTGAGCCCCATGACCTACCTGTCCTCTGCATTTATATCTGCTTCTCTCGCAGACGCTCCGATGCACTGCAGCGAATCCGAAGTTCTATCATTTATGAGTCCAGGGAACCAGTCCTGCGAGGAGTACATGGCACCCTATATTGCCAGTGCAGGTGGTTTCCTTCTGAATCCAGATGCCAATGGGAACGCTGCAGAGGCATGCCAATACTGCGCGGTGGGCAACACCAACCAATTCCTCAGCGGTGTGGGTATTGATCCGTCGACCCGTTGGAGGGATTTCGGCATATTGTGGGTTTTCTTTGTGTTCAACATCGGCCTAACCCTCTTCTCATACTGGTTTTTCCGAGTATCCAAGACGAAGAAAGGAAAGCAGTAAGCGTGGGATTCGGTTTGACGTCTACTACTTGATGGTAACCTTTAAAAAGTGGCTACAGCTGACACTTGTATACCTGAGCCCATACCGAAAACTCTGTATACTATTTTTTTCTTCGGGTACTCCCCTTGTTCCTTTGTTTCCCCTTTCTTCTTTTATCAAGGAAACAGGTTGTCATAATAAATAGCTAGACCCTGAATTTCGTTGAAATCCCCCTTTCGCAATCGGACCTATATGCTTCTATGTAGGCACTGCCATGATAAAATTCAACTCCTACCAACATGTCCAGAGAGCTATACATGATATATCCAAGTACTGTTCCCAATTTCGACGAATTCTTGGACTCCTAGCTCCTGCCTAGTAAAGTATCTATGTTTCCTACACTTATGTTTTGCTGATCTTGGATACGCAGTGTATTTATATACATTAAAAGATTTCTAATCAATTAAGCTAAGCTCCAATGTAGAATAAGCTAGCCTAAGTCCAAATTGCCTTCGATATGCACCGTTTTGCGGTTTCCGTACTGATTTCTGCTAACTTCAATTCAGACAATACTCGGTCATCATCGTTTGATCTCATATTCATTTCTTCTAAAAATCGTAATTCTGATGTCAACCATGGGATACTCGACGACAATTTAAGAGATTGGTGGCTTAAGAGGGAAGCCACACATGGATGCTTATACCTTGACTCCTCGCCTTCTTTATTTGTGAGTTCTTCCAGCTACCTTTCACTCTTCCTGGGGTCGGTTCACACTTTAAACTGAAACCCTATGGCTGCAATGGTGCACGATACAAGACGAAACAAGGCGACCCTGGTACATGTTTAGATTTAGCTCGCTCTGCCGATGACCGGGAACATTCAAACTGATCTCGTTGGGGCTGGAGCAAATTTGTCAGCTACAGTTCCTGTGGTGCAATAGACCACTAATCCCCTCGCTATATCGGCTGTTGTTTCTACGGCTGCTGGTGTCTCTTGTGTTTTCTCGGCTACGTCTATTCTGCCTCTCGAGGTTAATCGGAGAGAGTATACCTCTTCCTCATTGAACTCAATTAGGGCTGACTGCAACGTCGATAAGGAAATTCCACGGGATGTATTGAATGTAGACTGCGCTAAAACCCATCTTCGACCCATCCGATGGGTTTTTTTCAAATTTCAAAACACATTCTTTTGCCCAAATTCATAAAAGTCTAAAACAGTAATACTACTTCCTATTATAGATAGTTTATGAAGCTTTATGCAAAAGAACGGGTTATAAGATGGGTTTTGGCGCAGTCTAATTGAATGACCAATATCTACTATTACAAATCCTACTGACTCTTTACTTGATTATGACTTAATAACACTACGAATAGACTAATACTCTAGTATAGATATATTCGGCGCTCTAACTATCATCGCTCCTCGATACCCTTAGGAGGAATCAACCCGTGTAAAGCCTATTAGGCAACGGTACGGTTAAGAAACAGATCGTTAAAGTTAGAAGTGGAGAAATGCTAGGCAAGTATAACCCGGAACCGTTCTTACATAGCGACGACCCGATAGTCGTGCGTAACACTGGGATTATATTTAGATAGGGCTAGCGTGGTGTATTCTGTTAAGGCTAAGGTGAGCTACTAACTTCGCTGCTCTCACGCTTTATTTAGCTGACGCTTAGTAAGCGAGATTGGATAGCTTCCAAGGTGGTGACACTCATTGGGCATGATGTTCAGGGAGCGATTTCATTGCTTATGTAAGACTCAGGGGGCGTGCTCAGTTTTAGTGAGGAAAAAGCGGCAAGGGGAGAGCACTAAAACGGAAAAGCAAAGCAAAGATTTGCCAGACATTATCCTGTCTATATGCAAATAATTCTGTTGACAATGTACAGTATGTACATGAACAGTATGTTACTGTAGGTCGCGGGGCAGAGGGGGATGGTCTAGACTGTATTCGCACGCCTCAGCCACAGCCCAAGTTGTGATTGCGATCGTCCGCAGTTAATCCTATCTGGGCGGACCATACCCAACTTTTGAGACTCGATCGATGGTTGCCAGGCACGATCACATGTGTTATTGGAGGTATCACACTCATCGGCTTTTATTGCTGAATGAATTTTTTTAGATGTGGACCATGGGAACCTTGGAACACTCCAATGTCGGCACATGGGGTGTATATGTATTGGCTGTATTGATAGTTAGGGGAAACTCTCAATCTCGATCTCTGATACATATTCGTCACTGTTTCAGGTACGATCCGGCGTGAGACATCGAAAACATGGAAGAGAGTGAGACGCAATGAAAATTGTTGGTTAAATGTGTGGAGCGATAGGGGCACCCGAGATCTTATTTGTGCCGAGTCTATTATGGGGTCCTTGAGAGTCCCACTGGCCCTATCATCGCCTAACTTATTTACCAGTAATTGCATTACCCAGAATCTGTTCTCGCTGAAACAATGCACCAAACTGACCGTGCCTGGCTGTACTGCAGCCCCATCACCTTACTAGCGGGAAATAGTGTAAAATAAAGCGTGTGTTGTCGAATAGACCGTAGCCGTGTCACAGGACCGCCCCCCACCCTCGCGGGTAGGGGGTGTCCCACAGCCATAATGCAATTAACAGCCATAATGCAAATTTTCAATTTCTTCAACTTCTAGCTCACTTTTTAGACGTATAAGGTCCAGAATCCAAGAAATAAAGCCCATCAATAGCCTCATTAGCCAATAATGTATCAACCTCCTCATTTTCAAGTGTTTCCTCCAATTCCTTAGCCGCCAAATCGGCCGCCATTTTCTCTGCGTCTTTCCGCCAAGCACGAAGCTTCGACTCATCTTCTTTCTCACACCTTCGCTGTACTAGCCTATTGCCTGAAATCGATGAAAGGGGACTCTTTGTAGCACCCTTCACCCATCGCTTGCTTTTTGTAGGTTTTTTCCCAGGCGTTTTATGGCTAAGGGCGCGCGCAAGACTCATCTCAGCAAGTTCCGCATTGTATAGAGACGATTTTCCGGCATCAATTGCGCGCCGTAGATGCTTCCGAATTTTATGTAAATCAGGATTCGGGTTATCAAGTAGCGGGAAAACTGTCTTCTCCAATTTTTCAATACGCGCATAAGAATTGGGCGGAGAATTGGTCGCTGAACTTGGGAATTCGCGGGTAGGTGACGGCTCGTCGTACATACGTAAGGTCTCTTCGTCCGAATACTGCCCTAAATTACCCAAAACTTGTGTCGGATCTAGTGGCCAGATACCAGTAGATTTAAACGAGGTTTGGATAGTTTTGGACTTTAAGGCGTGGCGTCGGACGGCGTCAATATTGCGGAAAAAATCGCGTTTTTCGTTGCTTCCACCCCACGCCACAACCTCAGTATTCGCCATTTTAAACTCATGTTTTAGGCTTAAAAAAGCCTCAGCATCAAGGGGCTGACATATATGAGTCGTGTGAGGTACAAAATACCAAGGAATAATCAGGTTTTCCTTACAAAAATCGAGAAATTCGATAGTTGTATGAGACGTATGATTATCCATTAGCAAAAGCCTCGGTCGCCCACGTCGTACGCGGTTTTTTGTGGCTTCATGAAATGAGCATAGCCATCGGTAAGCAGTCTCACTATCCGTCCAGCCACTAGACGTTAAGTGGATAATTTTGTACGCCGAAGAAGAGGTTGACATATTACTATACCAGTCTTCCATGTGGACGCTACCTTTGACTAGAAACCACGGAAACATCACCCAGCCATCAGCGGCAATACATTCAATGCCAGTAATAGTTTCACCTCGATCTCTAGTAGCAATACTAGCAGTTTGGCGCGTAGAGACGACGTGTTGGTTAAGTCCTTCTCCATTTTGGAAGCCGGTTTCATCCCAATTATAGATCTCATGAGGTTCAAAACCATGCTCACGGTAGAGACACTCAAGCCTATCATACCAATGGCTAATAACTCCAGGGTCCTCAGCTTGAATTCGTAAAGACTCCTTTGATTTTTGGGTAATAAGCTTGATGTGTGGAGGTAGACGCCGTATAAGCCGATAGCTATACATTGAACTAACAACTCTCTCCGAACCCGCTATTTTCAACAGGCGATTTGCGGCAATTTCAATATCTTTTGCAGTTGGAGGTGTATAGCAAGAATTTAGCACTTCGATCCAGCTAATTAATGCATTTTCCTGATTCGAATTCAATGCATTATTGGTGGTAGGGCGATCGGAGAGAGATGTCTGTCCGTTTTTGCGACCGCGAAGCTTCGAATAAGACACGCGATAATGGTCCGCAGCCTTACGTAGAGATGAAAATTTTCGCGTAGTATAAGCATGTAATGCCTTAGCTAGCAGATCCTCTTCATCACGAGCTTTTTTAGGCATTTTTGGTGGGTAGAAATACGCGTAAAAGTTGAAAAGGTAGGAAATTTGCATTATGGAGGTTAATTGCATTATGGCTGTGGGACACCCCCTACCCGGAGGGTTGGGGGTCGTCCCGTGACACGGCTATAGGATAAGATCTGAACTGTCGACCCACACCGAACTAAACTTGAGACTGTGCACAAGCTTTTCCAAGGTTTCCTGATACTGTAGTTAAAAGGATCATGATCGCCAATGTCACTCACATCCTTCACTCTCAACCATGTGGCGCCAATTCCAGACTCTCGGGATAGCCCTTGTGGCCGTTCCCCTGGGCCACGCGTTGTCGCCGCGCATGGATATTAATGATACCTACGACTTTGTTGTTGTCGGTGGTGGTCAGGCTGGTCTCGTGCTTGGAGGTCGTCTGTCCGAGGATACGAATCACACTGTCCTGGTGCTTGAATCGGGTGGTAATGGCGATGAGTATCGTGAGCGTATTGGTGTGTATCTGCTGTTCTATCTGAGAGGGGATTTGACTTGACTTACACTGCAAAGATACGCCTGCGTACTCGTACTTTGATTCTCTCTGGACGACTCCGTTGAATTGGATGTTTTACACCAATCCCCAGCCTAATGCTTACAATCGTGAAATCTACTGGCCTCGTGGCAAGGTCCTTGGAGGTTTGTT